AAGCTTAAAACATAAATCAAGAATCAAATAATATTTTTGAGTTTTTCTGTCAAAATAAGCGGCTACAGATGCCATTCAGGTATTATATTAGATTAATTCCATATCGTGACTGACCTGTGTTTGAACCGTGTACTATGCATGGAGACTCCTACAATTGGTTTGGAAACAATCACTGCACTCACTGCACCCATTACACTCACTACACTCACTCTCTGTTAATCCCCGAGTTACATTTGCTCCGATTCATCAGCTGACGCTGTTCAAAATTGTATTCAATCAGTTTTGAACAAATTAAGATTAAATTTGATTAAATTAACAAGATCCGAGCAAATGTGACCAAGGAAGGATGAGCTCAAAACATAGCAAAGACAAATCATAAAACAAAACCTGGGGATTTTGACCTATTATCGATTGTTTTGTGAAAGGATTGGAATCTCGAAACCCCAATAGTGTATCATCCAGGGCATGATACATACAAAGACACGGTTTTTGACAAAGCTTTCACCACTTAATTTGATAGTGTTCTCCCCTGGATTGGCATATAAGTAATAATGTTAATTTTTACGTCAATGGCTCTGGTTTTGTGTTCGCTTAACCCAATTCATCCAAAATACGAGAAATGAAATACACCATGTACGGAGAGTCACGAAATGTCATAACAATTCAAAAATGATGAAAAGAATCAATTATTCCATCAATTGTAATGCTTTATTCAACATTCTCATTGTTTGCGGTTGTGGTATATAGATAAAAAATAAAAAAAAGAACTTTGCAACAATATGATTGATCCCGGCCATTAAAAACCTCAAATTAATGCGGAAAAGGTACGCGATCAATCAAAGACATGTAAATGTTCTAAAACATAATAATTTTATTAAAATAAAGTGCGTCTCGATACGTGGCAAAGCTCAGAATGAAGTTACACTCCGTTCTAACATGCACTCATGCAAAACAATATGATGAGAGCTTCCAAAAACAACAATCGGTCATTCTTTACACAAACCGTACCATTGTCTTGTTATGTCTTCGGGAAACTACAATTGCAATTGCGGCGTCAACGTGATAACTTGGGACTGACTGCAGATGGAGATTTTGTATTTGTGTAATACACACTACCCTACCTCGGTAGCGCATGCGCGAATTTTTGGGCTTTCAACCAGGTCGCTTTTCAGTATATCGACTGCTTAGTCAAAATAGACGAGGAGTGAAAATGAGATTTTGAGGAGATTAATAGTTCAGAGTATATAAGGACGTGTCATACCTTAATCTCTTCGTTTATATATGCCTTCAGTGAAAAAATATATATTTTAAATCATAATGAGGGACAATGATGTTTTAGACGCCCGTTTCCATGGCAACTGAATTTCACCACTGTTAATGAGGACTATTTCTATTATTAGAGATATTTAATACATTTGGTGCTCGGAGTGAGTCAATATTGCTTTTCGCTGAACTTCAGTGGGGCAGTAGTGAATTCCATGTTCCAAGTTATATGATAGTTGAAGAAAGAATGTATATAATATCGTTTTAAATTTTAAAATATTTGAAATGTCATAGTACACGGTACACAGTTGCAAAAGTTGATCAATACATGGTACAAGGAATGTAAATTGTTCAATAGTACAGGGAGCGAGAAAGTAAGCTGATTATACAGACATACTATGTCCCGATCTCATGTACATTTACGTTGCAAACAGTGAAAATAATGCTAAAAAGGCCGCCTGTTGATGCTTTGAGGTGTCATCAATTGTTATTTAATCCAAATAAAGTAAACATTATTTTGTAGATTTAGACACAGGCTTTCAGGTCGTATATGCATTTTAGTCATTAAATTAACAAGAACGCTAGATTATACGTGTTTCTAGGGTATCAAATTAAAATGAAATAACGAAATTAAATATGAACACGTTAATAAATGACTATCCGCTATCAGGATTAATGACTATCCGCTATTCAGAATAATTAAAATTGCCTGAACTAGATGTAAAGAATCTTTCTATATAACCCCTTGAAGCAAAAACCGATCATTTAAAATATTTTGTTCAAAATACCATCATGCCACGACTGGAGAGCATTCTGTTCTTCACGGTTTGCTGTAGCACTGATATGACGTCGTATTTCTCTATCATTGTAAAAAACTAATACAAGATCGATTTAGTCTTATATGACGTGTTGAATGTCAGATGTTTTTGGATGGTATCTGCTCCAGTGATTTTGCATTTAATCATGAAACGCTCATCACAAGACACCTCGAAACAAACATTATCCTCTTTGTGACAAGAGGAAAAATGTTTCACAATATGTTATGCCTTACGGCAAAGTAAAGATACATTTCTGGGACGACTTTTTTTGCATCTTAAGATTTTAGAAAAACAATTAATTCACAAAAATACAGTTGAATAACATACCGGAAAACGTATCCACATATAACACGTTGACACGCAGTTTAAATAACAGTTAACTAGTTTTTTGTTACATATCAATGTAACGTTTTCGAGGGAAAACTTACATGCTCCCTGTACGTTGACAGATTTACTGAAATGTATCGTGTATTGCATTGAGTTTTGCTTCACTGCGTCCACTATTATCTATCTTTGCCTATAGTGGTTTTTTGCCAACAATATTCTACAAACTGCTTGATGAATCAATTCTATGTCTGGTAGAACACTAGAAATAAATGTAAAATGTATTTTACGTTCAGAAATATGGAATTAAACCCACGTCCTCCATTTGCAACTTAGCTGTACCCTGTTTCCCTTTTAAACGTGGTAGGGTAGTGTGAATACTGAGCTGAGCAACCTTTACAGTTGTACCTTTTCAATTGACTTGACTACTCCTACTATAATATTATAATATGCACTATTTTAAAGTAATATAAAAAGCGCTCATGCCAGGTATAAAAACTTGTTTTTGTTAGTATTGATTTTTGTGTCCTGGATTTAACAGCATTCACTGTATAGTGTATAAGTATTAAATATGCATTTGCATTGAATGGAATTTTGTCAATTAAAATTTCAGTGATTTTGCTTCTTAAATTTTGCTTTGAACATTGAAGTGGTTCTCTTCATCTGAAAATGCTTTCAATAATATGCATTTTTTCATTCATAAACAACTAGTCTTTTTATACAATTGCTGGTATTGAGGTTTAACCCTAAGTTGTCAAGAAATAGAAGGTATAGATGGTTTCTTGCTTTCCTTGCCAATGGAACACGTATGGCTTTTTCAATTGAAATAATTCAAAAATGTACTTTTTGCATATTGCCATATCAAGGCCTAAATAATAGCATTGCCCAAGTCGGTCTCTTTTACTAATACAGACTTGGGCAAGGCTACCTAAATAACTATTAAAGTTTAATTGATTTTTTCTAAAATAGCTTATTCCTGATAGCATCTCAGATCAGATGGCAGCTAAAAGGTTTATATAAGAATATAATAGTATTGGTCATTGGTCTTTTTCAAATGACTACGATTTTATGACTATTTTACAAAAGATTCTCAAAATGCCTGTCTTGTCTCTGGAGGCTAATTTGAATGTACCGGGTGATTTTGTTCTGACAACATGCCAGGGGTTTCACTAGAGTTTCTCACAACAGGCTAAATAAATGAAAACAACAGGCAAAATAAGTGGAATCAATGTTCATAAACAGTATCCTTGAAATAGCTCCTAAGATAAAAGTTTGGGGATTCATATCGGGTGATTTTGGCACGTTTCAATGTTTTGAGCATGTTTTTTAAAATGGTCATAAAATCACAACCATTAAAAAATACACCAATGAAACTTATATAGAATGAAAGAACATTGAAAAAATTCAAAGTTCAATTGTGCCAAATATGATTTTGAATCCATGCTGGATGACAGAGTTATTAACATTTGTTTGGGTTACCTTTTTTGGCTCACCTTGTACATTTAACCTATGACATCACTAAGTAATGTTAATAGTCATTTCTGTATAGCTAGAATAAACAATTAACCATTTTTATCCATCCTCTTTGAACATAGGGTATGAGTGCAAAATATCATAATTTTAGCTACAGCACAATTCTCGAAATCGTTGTTCCCTCTTCAAAAGAGGAGACGCGAAAATCTTTCCTTATAAGGTCAAAATATTTCCCATGATGCAGTTCGCGGAGGAACAAATTTATACTTCCTTGTTTTCCCTCATAGGTTTAACATGGGGATTTTCACACCTATTTTTCAATCGATATATTCGTTAATATTCCCGTACAGGAGTACAGAAAAAAATATTAGAAACAATTGATCTCTTATTAATCTTTATATAACAGCTATTTTTTTCATTGTATTGATTCATAGCGTGGTGAAAACGATGATTGAAAAGTGAGAAAATATTCCGGAAGAGAAGGTCACGTGATCAGTTGACTAGTCGCCATATTGGAAAAAACAATTCCATTCGACTTTCAATACTTTCATGCCAATCTTACCGCACTACAAACCGCAACATCTATGCAACAACTGAATAAAAGTATTCATCTTCAAATTACATTTTAGAGTTACGTTGAAAACCCACAAACAACTGAGCAGTAGACCAAAGAAAACGCGTCGCTATTATCTAGGTCAATCTGTTCAGTGGTTCGAAAGCAAATCTATAGTACTCGTTTCCGAATTTTGTTGTTCATTGTACAATCTTTCATTGATTAAACTCGGTATATATATACTGACTATTAAAGGAATGACAAAGAAAAATACTTCCGATGGAGACATTGTTTTATTTAGCTTGCGCGAGTAAAACAAAATTGCGTAATTAGTTTGATTTAGAACTTTCGGGTCACGCAAATAGCTACGCGAAATGCATAGTGGGAAAATATTGACCTATCAAATTTTGTCCTTTTTGAGTGCTTTTTCAGTACATATTTGCGAACGTTCTGATTCAAAGGGCGAACCGCGAAAGGGAGAATTGGAAACAAAGTCCAAGGAAGCAAGAATGACAAAAATAATCTTTGAACATAATAAATGAAATAATCCAAATATTTATGTGTTTCAGCAAAGAGATCATTCTACATATACGTGTTCTTACTGTCACTGTTGAATATGACACAAGCTATCGGCAGTGGTCTTCTGTATGGTGATGTCATGTCTGGACTCTGGTATGTACTATCAGTAATTTATCAAATCAAATTATGTATTTTTTGTATTTTGTTAATCCAGTCACATTTTTTCATTATCACATTGTATTGATGACTATTTTAGTAATTAATTAGTCATACAGTATATTCAAAACACATGAAAATGAATAAATATTTCTCTAAATTGTAGTATTCTTTAGCACTGAAGTGTAATACTAATTAAATACATGTAACAAACTAGTAGGTGTAGAAAATCATAATAAAGTGATCATGTATTTGTTATTATAGTGTCGTTGATGTGACTACTTATCTTTACTTCACCTGTTTCGCTCCATTTGTCTACCTGTGCTTTCTTAGAGAGTTTTTCGCGTAAGTTCAATTTGTATTCTTGAACATATATAGAGAATTCTATCGCCTCTGCTCATTTAATTTCAAGTATTATATCCCCATGCATATTTTGTAAGCCCACACAGTCATACTTATCACTCCGATGGTGCTGTATTGTTGTGTCTAGTTGCAATTGGAGAATTTTTCATACTAATGATATACATGTATATAGAAGTACATTCTGTGTAATTGTGTGTAATTTTCAAGATAGTTTTGTGTGATTTCCTGAACTCAAGGATATTGTGTAATTGCACTCAAATTATATGTAATTTCCAGGACATCTCAGACCCCAAACATCCTCTTCTCGTACAAAGCCCAGGTGGATGACGGGGGAGAGGAAGACCTAAATTTACCCCACCAGTCCTTCCCTAACTCGCCAAAGCCAGAGAATGGTGAACTATATGACAGTACTCAGTTTGAGGACCAGGCACAACTGGATAGCCCTAACCCACTGTATAACAACACAGAGGTGTCAATCAATGCGGATATAGATTACGATTATTATCAACAGACAAATAAGATTGCATAATTTAGGCTTATGAGAAATTTAAAGTGACTTAGTTTTGTTGGTTGTGACCCTCGTAGTATTATATGCCTTTGTATTACCGTATTATTTTTTACTCTCTGTTGAATTAACTTTTGTAAGGTAACAAACAGACAACCTGAAAATAGTAGAGTAATCAATGCTTAGTAGGATGTGACCTTCAAAACGAAGATTCTTAGTCCTTCATTGAGATTTTATACATGAGAAAAAATTGTGCCAAGCTTTCTATGTAAATACATGGACCGGTTATTGAAAGGTAATATATACCAGAGTATGTATACATAACATATACATATATTTAAAATGTACCAGGTGTCCCAGAAAAAATGCTACCTATATGAAATGGAAATAACTCTTCTTTCATCGAAAAAAGCTGAACTTGAACGAGACAAAGAGAATTTATTTTTCAATAAGCAGTTACAAATTTTATAGAAATTAATAAATCATTTACTGAGACATTTTAGATAACATGCTCTAACTTCCATTATGATCGATGCAGAGCTGAATGCAAATCCAAAGATAGAAAATGGGTGATCGTGCTAGAATTGAGAGAAATGTAAACTGTCTGTTAGGCCTAGATAGCCAAATTTTAAGAATATTCCATTATCTCACAGATCTAGAGTTGTTTCATGTTTGTTTCGGTACAATTCTTTTGTGACACCTTGTATTCTCAAAATAATTTTATGTTTTTTGTTGTTGCTTGTTTGAGATGTCAGATTTTATAATTCATAGTGTACTAGGTACAATATTGCCAAATGCAAAACACGAAAATTAGGAGCTTCTCTTTGCTATATATTCAAATAGGGGCTTGCAATTTGACCCTCTACTTTTCAGTAAGTAAGAGCCTAAGATTCGAATGTTTTGCTTCATTTAAAGTTGAATGTCATTAATCATTTCCATTTGGTTAATTGTCAAATTACTGGTAATATCAAGTTATTTAACATGTAAGTATAAAGGCCCCTTATTCATAAAGTATACAAAGCGAAGAAACATATTTTAAAAGATGAAAGAATTTATGAACTTGTTTATAAAAGACTTAAGACATGAGGTATAAAAGCTCCAGAAATATTAGAAATTTAAGAATCACAAAAGATCCCCCATATGTACACATGTAATATAATTGTGTTTCGTAGCTTTGATTTTCCATAGGCTTCCAGTTTCTTGCAAGCACGTGATGTACACAGGCGCCAAGGGTGTTTGAAAAAGTCAACAGGGGCTTAGATTTGATAATTTTAGGCCAAAATCACTTGAAAAGTACTCAAAGTGATGAACACTGTGTGGTTTTGAAAAATAATTTGGCTCGCTCAAACCCCCCCCACCCCTTGCTACCGGCTACATTATGATTTCAGATAGAGAAATACTACTTTGTTTTTTTGGTGCTAAGTGCTTATTATTTATAATTATTTTAAGAAATGTAATTAATAATCTGATGTTTATGTTGTTGTGATGTGAAGAAGCTATGAACTGGTGCTTTGGATATGTTTGTTTATATTTAAAAGAAAAAAATTATGCTAATAATTAATGGAAGGTTTGGAATTTCAGTGAGGGAAATATACATTGAGATATTAGATGGAGAAGTGGTTAAAGTGATATTGCCTTTAGAAGATGTTCATTTATTTTCACATCAATATCAAGTTTGCCATTCGGCAGTATTCACCAGTCAAGCACAGTGAACACAAGACACTGGGAATATTATTTACTGGTATTCAATTACCTGTATTGCCAAGACCCAGAATTTTTCAAGGATACCTGTACTTGTATATCAAACTTTACTCAGAGTAGGGGAGTATTAATAATGTTATAACATAATTTGTAACTAGCTGTACACAAAAATACAAAAATTCATCAATTATTCCCCCAAAATATGAAAATTATGTAACTTTTGGAATCATGTACAAACTTCAAAAAGTTCATGGTTTGGAGATTTGTTCTCAAAAATACTGTAGAGCATGATTATTCAAGTGTATATTATATAAATGCATGCATAAAATGCATTTTAAAAAAGTACATAGTACTATATTGCCAATGTATTTGTTATTCTATTCAAAACTGCTGCAAAGTACTGTATTTTCACAAACATTGTATTCTGTGCAATAAAGAGTAAATTGAAAAGATACTGTATTATTATTGTATTTATACTAAGTGTAAAAAACAGGTGTCCATTTCCCTAATTCAACCATATATTCAGCCATTTTTTCAGTTAATCTTTAGCAAAGCCTACATTTTCCATTGTTTTCATAATTTAGTTTAATATATCATAAAAATTTTTAAGTAAAGTTCATCTGATGCTGTTTGCTGTTTAGTTTTCTTTTGTGAATGAAAGAAATGGTCTGAGTGTAAATGTGTCTTGCCTAAAACTTGAGACTCCCAAGATGATTGCTTAAAAAATTCTAGTCTCATTTGACCAATATTCTGGGAATCATAGGAAACCCTTCTTTAAAATTGAAAGTAATCAACCATCCAGATTGAAAAGCTTAATCAAAAAATTCAAAATTATTCTTAGGATTTTGTTGTCGCCACCAAAAAGTGGTGACCTATTGTTATGGTCTCCATTACTTGTGACAGTGGTTGCCGATAGGCCATCGGTGTCTGTAACAAATGGTGGTGACATTTTGCATGTCAATGCCTTGTATTGACTTGTAGTATTCTGACATTTGAGCCTGAGATGTTCATTGGAAAAAGTCCGTTCACAGATCATAATTATTCCAGGATAAGGGACCATAATGGATATGTACATTATACTGAGAGGGATTGAAAATATTTCAGGGGTCAGGTCAATAAATCAATATTTATCAAAAATGTAATTCAACTCATCAATATAATAGAAATGCCCAGTTCTGCTGAAAACTTAATAAAATGCATGCCCTCACATAAATGGCTTTTACCCTCCCCACATACATGTACATATGTAACAGGTTAAAAATACAATTTTCTGGAACATTGCTTATACTAAAAAGCCAACACTTTTAGCAAATCATTTGATTAAAGATTCTTTATTAATTGAATTGAAAGGCTTGTTGATGGAATACTAACTTCGATATAATATATCTCATGTTTTAATAGAGTAATATCTCGTTTTGACCACACAAGAATCTGGTGAATGTGTTAGAGATTTTAGATACGTTGAGCTGAAATGTTGTGTTACACCTCTCTATTGGGTTCATTGTCTGGGGGTCATTAACAGAAACTTCATAAAGTTACAAATTCGTAAATCAATTGTTGTTACCATGGATATAATGACGTCACAGTTAAAGAACAGTGGACTTTACGAATTCTTAACTTTATGAAGTTTCTGTTAATGGCCCCCTGGTTGATATGGATGATTATAAAATTATTGAACACTCACTGAGTTTCATATTTCCAATAAACTGATACAGCTATATGCAATTTCTTCAAGCTCTAATATTGTTAGACATTTTTGTCAGTTTTTTGATAATAGATTGTCAACGGAGTGTTATGATGCTATGCTTTTATTGTGGCAGGTTATATACTGTACCTGTACTTCTACTTTTTGGCGGATTTGCTGTTTTGAAAATCTGGTAACTACTTACTTTGGCGGACTTGCACTATTGAAATGTGTATACTTATACTATACATATTTGCTACTTAATTTGGGGGACTTGAACAATTTGATCCGCCAAATTAAAACGGCCACCATATTAAGTAGAAGTACAGCAGGGTTAATTCAGAGCCACCATTAGTTTAAGTCCAAGCTGTTAAATACGTTACACGTTACACCTATATACTGATTTGTTGGTGCACAGCCATCAACATTTCACTCTGGATCTTTTACTAGTTTTTCATATTTTCAGTAAATCACAAACTGGTGAGAGCTCGTAAAACTGAACGCCATACAAAACTATAATACTAAACATTTCTAAAATTACATAGTTTTAGATAGCACATTCTAAATTCAAGAAAGTGAGATGTACACCCACATATGGCTCATTGGTAGAGCCAAGGTTAGTAGTCCAAAACTCAAACAAAAGGCTATGTGTGTACTTGTACCAAGTATGTCTGAAAAAAAACACAGGGCTCTTCTAAGGAGTTTTTGGATCTGTTTTCAAGTGTGAATACACAAAAAACAATATAGAGGTACTGCCTGCCAAAATGTGGCAGTAACCAAAAATACAGCCTTTCCCACAAGAAACTGAACATTGTGAAACCATAATATACAAAAGTGTAGTACTAATAAGATAGTATACAGTATATTGCAGTATAAAAATATACATTTGATAAAACATAATATTAAAGTTTAGAGAGAGTCAGATCACATCTTTAACTAGAAGGTTTTTCAACAGATGACAATTGAACAGATTTTTACAGTTTGATAGAATAACTTATTTCTAATATACAGTAAAACCTGTCTCAGTGAACACCTCTCTCTTGTGAACACATGTCTCTAATAGACACCCTTCCTCCACACTACTAACTTCTATATAAATTCTCTCTGTAGTGAACACCTACCAACACTGAACGTTTTTCTCATCAAAAGAATGTTCATTATATACAGGTTTTACTTTACTACATTAATATACACTGTACAATGTAATTGTTCCTATACAAAATACTTACAATAATATACAATAATATTTAACACATAATTCATACAATTTAATGACAATTTTGCTTTTCATGATTTTTCTCTAATCACTAATACTTAATCAAATAAGAAATGGTGATAATCTATGTAGTTTATCTAATAATCCATAAATAAAGTTAGTGGAAAAGTTTACCAAAGTGGTATAAAATGCCCCAAAATAAGAGGTCAAAAACCAACAGGAATATGTTCATCATACCACATGTTTTATACAGTAGAAGGAGTAATCAAGGAGTAATCCTATATCTGAATTAAATGGGCTGATTAACCTTTTGCAGATTATTGATGTAGATATAGATAGATCAAGACATTTCACTACTGTCTGGCAAAAATCTAAATACTGACATTGCATCCCTGTCCTGTACATAAGATTCAAATGAATTTTTCAAGTGTTGAATTTTCTCATGTAACTTGACAATGGATGAACAGGTTAAAACACTTCAACGAGGAATTTTGCTTTGATATAAAACTAGGAACTTAAATATCTATTTTGACAGATCCACTTGTTTCTACTTACAAGTTACACTCTACATGCATATTGCACTAAAATACTCACACACTTTAAACAGTCTTAACTATAGCTACTAATAACATTTCACCTACATATAAAATCAATTTACTACTTGAATAGATATCAGTATGTACAGTATTTGCGTAAGTGTAAAATGTGGGCAAAGGAAACTACTTGCATATGTTATAAGTTATAATTGATATATTGGACAAACAGGGGAACATATTTCACAACACAATCTCAACTTAAGAATTGGCAGTGTCAAAATACTAGGGTGGTGCCCCTGGATAACCACCTTGAGATGGTACAGTCCTTGGGGGTGGTCCTGATGGTGGACCTCCAGGATATCCTGCTTGGGGAGGTGCCCCTGGGTATGGAGCCTGAGGAGGGGCACCAGGGTATGCTCCCTGGGGAGGAGCACCAGGATATGCTCCCTGTGGTGGTATCCCTTGAGGAGGTGCTCCAGGGTATGCTCCCTGGGGAGGGGCACCTGGGTATGCTCCTTGTGGGGGTGCCCCAGGAGCACCTGGGGGTGGTGCTGTAGACATGGCGGACATTGCTCCTGTGGGTGGAGGCTCTGACATAGTGCTTGACACTGGGGGTGGGGGTTTAGGTTTTACATTGTATTTTTTCATGTAGTAGACAACTTGCTCTGGTATTTCAGCGAGGACTTCCTTGGCGAGGTGTTGTTGCATAGCAGCTGGGTTGCTACCATGACGTCCACTCATGAAGTTACGAAATGGTACAAACTGCAATTGCAAGTACATACTCACATTGATATATACAGTAGAGGGACACATTTGTGCAATGATACTGCATCTCTCTACCTATTTTAGTGTTATCTCTCACGACTTCAAAAAATTAGTTGTTATAAAGAAAATGTATGCAGTAAGTTACTTTAAAATAATTTTTCTACTCCATTGGTAAATATCTAGCATTAATTTAATGACATTGACCAATTTGAAAAATTGAAGAATTTTATGAATAATGACAAAATATGAATATGACAGATTTCAACCTGAAAGACAGGAACTAAAACCCCATCTACAGTATATGTCTAATATACCTGTACGATATCTCTTTCAGCATACTGGCCATTTGCATATAGTCTCTTGTCATCTGCATCTAGTTCATCCATTGCTGGAAATATGTAATCACTGGTTAATGAACTGTCATGGCAAGCATTTCAAAATTGGCTAGTACCATATGCCAAGCCTCAGGATACAGTTTGTACAAATATTACCACAAGTACAGATTTATGAAAAAATGTGTACCCTGACTTATGTAGACTCAAAAAGTGAATATATATATAATTAATTTCTTGGGTTGATTTATGATTTTGCTGACATTTTAGCCACACACACGGCTATTTATGAAAATTTACAAAAATCCCTCATTTTTAGAATATTGAACTAAAAATATTACTGATAAAAAAAAATTTTCAGCACATTATTAAGGTTGAACAGCTTTTGTTACATATGCAAGTATATAGATAATGGTAAAGTTAATTACATACCATCAAACTCTGCATTCCCCACTCCAACTATTATTATAGACATAGGTAAATAGGAGGCCTGAAAGAGACAAGTAAAAACACAATACAGTGAATTGCACAGAAATGTATCTAATTACTATATACCATACAACTTTAATGCATCCCATTTTATTCATTGTTTAACATTCTTTTCAATATTTGTGATTGAAGACTACCATGGACTTGACTTGCAAGTCCTTGATTCTACTATTTCTCATTCCCACTTGTATCATATAGAGATTGCGATTGACACCAAGTGAATGGGTATTTAAACTAATTTCCACATTCAATTTCAAAACAGCGTCAAACATACACCTTGATCACGGAATGCCAAAGCTGAATGCCTTGAGTCACAAAAAATAATGACTATAACAATTTGTATCACTTTAAGAGCAAAACATTTATTAATGATAAACTCACCCGCACAATGGCTTCTTTTGTTTGTGGCATATCTGTAATAACACCATCTGTGATGATCAACAGAACGAAGTAGTTTGATCCGTCCCTCACAGCTTGGGCAAATCTGGTTAAAACAACTGGCAATTAAAAACAAGTAAAAGGTCCCATAGCAGCCAATAATTTTGCAAAGGAAACATAGAGAGTGAATAAACATACAAAGATCCTGTGGTAGTTAATTTACCACAAGCAGTAAATAAAAACACAAAGGTCCTGTAATAGTAAACAATTAACCCACAATAGTCCCCGGCAAGAAAGAGGCCCAGAAAGGTACTGTAGCAGTAAATAAACCCACAATGGTCATATAGCAGTAAATAAATCTGTAAAAACTAAACAGATCTTTGTTATGTTTTAGGACCTTCAATTCCTTTTTACTTTTTTCAAATTCGATCTTATCTAGTCTTGAATCAAGGCCTTTTTTCTTAAGCCCATTTACGAGAAAAATATGAAATGACTGGAGACTTGACGTAAGATTACATCCTAGACATAGAAACTTACTTTGCCACATGATTGATGACTGGTGAGAAGTTGGTTGGGCCATACAGTTGCACAGTCTTGAGGCTGTGATGGTAGGCTTGCATTAAGCCCTGCAGGCCATGGCAGTATGGGTCAGTGGGATGACCATTCAGGAAGAACTCATGGGATACTGTACCCTGTGGAGGTATTCTGGCACCAAACCCAAGTGCTGGGAACATCTTATCACTGAAATAGAAATTCAATGTCACAGATCAAAACTGTTTGCAGGGCAGTTATAGATCAAAAATGTTTGCAAGGCAGTTACAGATCAAAACTGTTTGCAGGGCAGTTACAGATCAAAACTGTTTGCAAGGCAGTTACAGATCAAAACTGTTTGCAGGGCAGTTACAGATCAAAACTGTTTGCAGGGCAGTTACAGATCAAAACTGTTTGCAAGGCAGTTACAGATCAAAACTGTTTGCAGGGCAGTTACAGATCAAAAATGTTTGCATGGCAGTTAGTCGATTTATAACAATCATATACAGGTTGTTCAACTAGAAAATGGCAACTCCACGGAGTAGCAAATCCCAACGAACACTATATAAATCATCAATCTGTACAGTCACAATGTAATATTGACATTCTACTCTTACCTTCAATAAATATTTGAAATAATTGTAGTATCATGTAACCATACTTTAAAGATAACTCTAAGTAATTGCGAATTTCTGCTCTAGTCAGCCATTTTGAATTTTCAGAGGCGCAAATCAGAAAATTGTGATCTACTCTGAAATTCCTTCAATTTGAGTATAATATAGCCATACTTTTAAGAGATCATAAAATAATTGCGAAATCCTGCATTAGGCGGCCATTTTGAATTTTTTGAGGCCTGAATCAGAAAAATGCTACAATATTTGCAATCTACTCTAAATTGCCTTTCATTTGAGTATAATAAAGCTATACTTCAAAAACATCTCAAAATTAATGCAAATTCCTGTTTTCCCAACCCCCCATTTATGGCCCCTGGGGGTCAGGGTGAAAAACCCGGGATATATGTGAAATAGATAGATGTTGTTAATATACTACCAAAATTTCAAATAATAATATTTATTATTTTGGTTTAAAATGAAAAACATAAGATTTTGGCGAAAAATTCCCGCCATTTTTTAACTGGTGGCCATTTTGAAATATTTTTTTTTTGCGTAAAACCATTCACCAATATACATCTTTCCACCAAATATGAAGAAAATCTGTCAACTAGTATTCGAGTTATCTTCCGGACAGACGGACGGACTGACTGACTGACGGACTGACTGACTGACTGACGGACAGACGGACGGAGGGCTTCACTATATCCCTACAGAACTTCGTTCGTTGGGATAATAAATGGTAGTACATGCATAGCTATATACATTTTTCATTCTATTTGTATTTTGTATTTTGCTCTTCGGGTATGAGGATATACTAAATGGGTTGAGAATACATGTTACTTACGAGTCATAATCTTGTATAATCTCCCCCACTGAATTAAGGGCCTGGGCATACTGGTTGGGTTGGTATGGGTTAAGGTAATGTAAAGAAGTGGGCTGGGCTGGGTTACCATTCGAAGCTGTGAAGTCTATTGCCACTGTGAAGTTGAGTTCAGTCCTAGAAGAAAATAAGGTGACAATGTCACTTGTGGCCATTAGTTACAGATGTTGAATGCAGACCGCTGAACGAACACCAACTGCCAAACACCAACCACAAAAAAGATGGAGACTATTAAAATATGTCACCACTTCTAATGGTGTCATAATAAAATAGAACCAAACAGTTCAGTTGCTTGAGTATTAAAGTATTAGAAACATGTAAGCAGAGAGAAACTGATGATAAATACACTCCCCTTCATAAGTTTGGCAACTAGGTAGGGCTGGCACGGAACGGAATTATTGTCCGAACCGTCCGATTTTGCCTTCGGAAACGGACTTTCGGACCTACCTTCTCATATTCCGACAATTTTCGGAACTTTTATTTTCCTTAAAGAACATTCACTTTTCGTTATAGTGACACGCTAACTCGCTATAGCGAACTAGTACTATGAAACGAATTCAATAAATATATATAATTATTAAACATTTTCACTCGGTAAAGTTGTTTTATATGTAATGAATGATAGAAATAAATAAAGTATGATTGTTTTATATATATTCAGTACCTATAAGAGAATACAATTATTGTAAGAAAGACAATATACAGTAACAGTTGTATTGCCAAGGTGCTAAGAAGGCAAGGACATTAACATTTTGCCATTAGTTTTGAACATTTATGCCACTTGTTCTGGCAGTTAGATAGTGCTAGTGTTTGTATTTAATAAACATAACAGCTTATATATGTACATAGTTGTACAGTGCTGTTCCAATGGTAACAAAATGAGAACTTAAGGGGAGAAGAAGGAACTATTTTAAATAAGGTCCGAAATTCCGAAAGTTCCGAATTCCGAAGCAAAGTTCCGAATTCCGTTCCGTTCCGATTCCGTTCCGTTCCGTGCCAGCCCTACAACTAGGAGCCCCCTTCTGTATTACATGTTCAAGACTAATCAGACTTACCCGCCTGAGATGTAGTCAAGGAAAGAGTAAGACTGTGTGATTTTGATATTCTGAATGTTGATCTGAAATGAAATGATGTGATGTAAAAAATAAGGTATGAATGTTTTAAAAGCCAACAATACAATACATTGTCAAATGTAAAACTCAGTTACAAAAATGGTGCAATATTGAAACAATTTCAGTATTGATAATTTAGTATTGCATTTATCCATGTAGTGTATTAAAGCATACTGGTTTAAAGCATGGAGTGCATGGCAATACTTTTTTTTAAGTTAATTTTTTTTATTTCAGAGAAGAAAAAACATGATAAAGCAATTGCAAAATACAATTACAATACAGTTACATGGAAAACATAGATTTTACAATACAGTATTGGTTACACGTTAGTGTTTAAGAATTTTATACCTATGGCAATTTTTTTTATTTAAAGCAATACTTAAATCTATAAACATATATTGAAAAGGCAAGGGCAAATTCGTAAAAGCTAGTTCATATGAGACATAAAGATAACTTACTGTTCCCGAGTTTTTATAACTTTTCTTCTTTGCTTTTTTCTTTGGGTGAACTAGATCAAATGAGGTGTGAGTCCCGCCAGTCATTTCTTTAAGTGTCGTTGAGAATACCCCTATCAGGTCATGACTGCTGAAACATATTGTGTCAATAAATCTCATACTAATAGTATAGTATCTCATGTTTGAAATGAAATAAGAAGTGCGTTATGCTAAGTAATCATAACAATAAAATATACAAGTTATCTCATGAGCAAGCTAGCTAGAAGTCATATGCCTCACTTAAACTTTACAAAAAATTATTTCGAATCTAGACCGCCTGGGGGGTTCACTCCAATATACTTCTTAATACCCCCAGGCTAGACCGTCTTTCCTTCAAAACTAAAATTATATACTTTCATTAGCTATAGGAAAATAACATGGCAACTGGCCCGTATTGTCATTTTGTCCAGCTGCTCTGAAAACCTGACCTCAATATCAATATCAACCAATACCCTCCTTGCTTCACCTATTTTTGGATCCTGGGCATGCCCCTGTCAACCACTTACCTTCCATCACTGTCCCAGTCATAGCACTCCACCTTTACAGATCTGTCATGGTCACCACAACATAGAGATCTCACAGGAATGGTGAATGGCTTCCATGTAGGGTTCAATGTGTTCATTATCACCTCAGTTTTGTGTACAATTGTATAACTGAAAGCATCCATTTCTTATTGATCAACCCTCGTATATATGCAGTAGTATTGTAATGTTATAAGATGTACAAGTACAAGTAGGTTGATATGCAACTGGGATGATTATTTACATGATGTTTAAAGCCATTTGAAAAATACATTTGGAGCTGATAAGATAAATTCATTTTATGATTTTTATCACTTTCTCAAAGATTTAAACGAGATATTTCTGATTGTAAGGGCAGAAAGCATTTTAGTTTTTTTCTGAAATACATGTAATAATGGAAAATGAAAGAGTGAAATAACATACGTACCTCATATCTTCATTTACTCTATAGAACACAAGAAAGGGGTCAGATTTCCCGAAGAAGTCCTTCTTGTCAAGTTTGGATCCTGAAAGATGCATTGTGACCTCATCCTACAAGACACAGAGGGAAGAAATGAACCTTTGAAAATGACAACAATTTAAAGAAAGATGTTATAGGCTTAGATAGTGTATTTCTACATGAACAGATGGAAGTCAAATGCCTATGTTGACCATCAAGGTATGAACCTGCAAACTGGTTTATTCAACAGTAATGAAGTTCCCCTGACCAAATATTCAAATTGCACTAACCAGCTGCAATGGTCAAATTAAAAGGATCTAGTATTTTCCTATCAATAAAAATAAAAATACTAACATACCTTGCAGTCAACCACTTCCTCTGCCCTAACTGAAAAATAAGATGAAAATTCATAAGTGGCAAAATAGTTTGAAATGTGGTTATAGCATCAGTCTAGGTTATGAGGCACAGTACTGAAGTATTTGCATATATGGTTTATATACCCTTTTCTCTATGAGCTAGTTAATATTTTTAAATCTGCATTCTATATTTTGCAATTCTCAACAATATATAAAAGTATGTTTCATACAAAGGTTGCAACTTCTGAATTTTGTTTTTCATGATTTTGACTATAGGGAAATGAACTTCATTAGTCAAAACTCACAATATTTTCCAAGAATCACCAAAAGGATATTTACCAATGATAGTTCCCTGTCTCTTGTTATTGGCAAGGGCCTTACACACTTTATTACCAGGTGCCCCTACTATCTCTCCTAATGTGCACTCCATACGTCCCAAGAAATCCTGAACCAAAGAGGGATAAACATATTTGTTAGCCTCTCAATTGATACAGCCATTAGTTTACGGCTACGCAATGGTACATTTGTTGTATTGGTATTCATCGCTTGCAAATGGTTACAAAAGTGTTACAATTGTTACAATCACTGACTGCCAACATAACACCAAACACTTGTTACATAAAATGGTGGTTATTAAAATACCATGTTTTGGCGAGGCTTAGTAAAAATGATAAAAAATGAAAAATATCATGCTTTTGGCAACTTTTATATTTTGTTATACATTCTTATAGAGTGTACATGTATTCCCTTTAAGTTTAAAACTTGAATAACATAACATTCTTTGATGATCCATTGTCAGAAGAACATCTTATTATTGTAGCTGAAATACAGTAATTCTTGTGATTCATCTATTATATGGAACAACCAGTACATTACAAGATTTAGAGAACCACTCCTTTTTGTTAACTGGATTAAGAAAGGTATAATTTATGTGACAGATGTTGTTAAAAACAGTAAACTGGCTACATATGATGAATTGTGTCAAAAGATTCATAGAAATGGCCAAAGATCTTTAGAATATCAGGCTCTCAGAAATTCATTGTCTGATGAAATGATCCAAAAGTATGGAAATGTGGTGCCAAATAAATCTTTAAAGTTTCGAGACATAAACTGCAAGATATTAACAACCCAAACAATCAGAGAAAAACTTACCTTGGATAGAGAAATCTCATTATATCACAACAATGTCTTAATTGAAACAAATGTATGGAAATGTTTATATTCATGTACCAAAGATACGTCTTAGTTAACATTCCAATGGAAGATACATATTTCACAATATCTATCCAAATGGTGTATTTTAAAAAAAATGTAGATTACAGCAAAATGACTTTTGTAAATTTTGCCAACCTGATGTACACTTTAGAACATCATTTTATAGACTGTAACTTTATTAAAAAATATTTGGCAAAATAGTTTACTCAGTAATGATGAAAAATTGTGCCACAAGACAAAATGCTAGAGGCATTAATTATTAAAAAAAACATTCACAGGTATAAATGTAATGAAAATTTAAATGTATTGAGTTTAAAAGCAATTTTTGATTTAGAGAGAGAGAGGCTTTATTTGTTTTGTAAATATGTATATATTTGTTTGTGATTAATAAACTGTTTTAAAAAAAAATTCTTATTATTGTAAGAAAAATAAATAGTGTACTATACTTACATGCATGTCTAACTTTTGACTTGGGGAATCAACATCATACCTATAAAAAACAGTTTGATCATACTAAATGCCAGGCTTTTGACAGGGTGAAATCATTTTCAACATGGTACCAGTAGTATTGTAGTTTTCAACAGAATACAGCTTCCAGAAGCTCTAATACTAAGACATCACTGTTACATGAACTTACATTAAGGTACATACAAGGCATTAACATACAAAATGTCACCACCTTCCATTTGTTACAGATGCTGGCCACTGAAAACCAACCACTAAACACCAAATGATAAACACCATCCATAAAATAACTAGAGACCATAACAATTTGTCACTACAGGCACTAGTGTTAGTGAGATAAAAACCAGTACTGATTCTACTTGTTTTAGTCAACACCCTACTCAAGCCCAAGTGATAAATTTGGAGATTTACATTTAGACTTACTTGCATTATAAATCTAGTATTTAAATTTTGAATATTGATTTTATCAATTGATTCAGTTGATTTCTTCAAATGTTACCTATTGTAATTTCGAAATAGTTGATTTACTCTAAACTGTATGTAAACCTAGTATCTATACTTAATTTACACAGTCGTGGTGTATACTTTATAGACATAAATTTGAAATGTAAAAATAAATTACACTGTGGTTTATGTAATATGGCCTCTAGTTTTACAATCCAAATGGTCTCTTAGTAAAGCATTTCATACTTACAAGTCAAAGCGAAGTTTCTGTGATTCTTCAAAAAAGTAATCCATTGTAAACTTTTTAACAAAGTCAGGGTTCAGTGAATTTTTTATCATCTCAGTGCGGCCAAACTGTAACACAAATTAAGAACAATTAGTTTAAGTGTCTTTGTGTACATATTATGCATGTATACATGTAGGTTTCTTTATCATGTTTATTGCCCTTTATTAAAAGACGAAATGTGTATCATATCTTAAAACATATCATATCTAAACATGAAAAATCCATGTTATTAATGATTCTCAATTTCAATGATGGCAGAATTTTGATGAGTTTGGAATTGAGGGATATGATATCATATCAAGAATTATTAATTAGAAAGTTTCAATTAAAACAAATTCCTGTTAAATTCACATTTAAATTCTCATTTAAATAATTCAAGGTTCAAGTATATGAATTCAACTTCAAAAAGTTATTTTTGTCCAAGTCTGACCTGTGTAATGACATAAAACATGGAAACCACTCAGTATTGAACAAGGGGTGTCAAAGTGTAGCCTAGGATGGTGAATTGCTTATAGTTGTAGAAGAAGGAAATTCATTTTATTAGGAGGTGGGGGGGGGGGGGTAAAGGGGAGCATGGGGTAAAAGATAATTTTATGTGAAAATTGATATATGAGCTGGGAAACTTTAAAAATAATACAAGAAATTAATGAAAAACAAGTTGCAGGTTTAACATTGGAACACAAACAAAATATGGAAAAATAAAAGTGAAGGTGAACATTAAAATCAAAAATTTATCTCAAGATTGCTGCTGTCCTGAATAACGGAATAGTTAGTTTTTCCACTACTGTTGATTATTATCCCTAATCTCTTATCGCCTCTTACCTCAAAAAAATTATCTTGTCCAAATTGTTTTGTATAAAGGACACACATTGGGTCTGACTTTGACATCACATCTCTGTCTAGTAGATTCCTAAATTAGTACAAGACTTACTTATTTCATACAAATCAGTATTATGTGCAGTACAGTAAACCTTGGCCTCTTGTAATTTAGGGAATTTCAGGAGTGATATTTATAAAAAAATAACACACGAGAAGCACCAAAATACAAGAGGTCAGACTGTTGTAATAGCCAAAATCAAGCAATATCTTTTTTCCTTCATTGGATACTTTTTCGCATTATAACTGAAATGGTTTAAACGAACCAATCATATTACAGAATATAGTGTGCACATCCCTGCACACCATCGAATATCTATTAGGCCTGTGTTTACTCGAGTCTCTAGCTTACAGCTAGACGTAACTTCATTGATTTCGTATGTACTCTAGAAAAGGTGCTCCACGCACCTACACGCACCTAGAACTCATTTTTAATAAATTTTATAAATATTTTTAAGAATATTAATCATATTTAGGATGAAGCGTTGCTTGTCTGGATTTAGATATTTCAAAATTTCATTTCGGAGTTTGACACATGGTGAAATTTTCTCGCTGTAGCTAAAAATGGCTTCCAGTTCTGGACGTGAATAAAATTTGAAATTATTCTCGCTTCAAAGAAATCAAATATAACAATAGATTCAGACGGGGATGTGAGCTGATATTCTTAAAATCGATACATAAAGGTATATTTCATATTATTATGCCATATTTACTGTGCGTGTGACACAATGATTTACAATATTTATAATACTAAGGCAGCTCAATCTTCCTACTCAAAGCCGGAATATAGAGAAGGCTTTGGACCGAAGTAAGCCTGTGTGATTCATTGTTCTTACAAAATTAGTCATCTTTCTGAGAGTGGGTGTCGTTCTGAGCCTGGGGTTCCTTGATCTTTCAGAAAAGGTGATTGTTTTTGGCCAGGACTTTGTTTTCTAATGAAAGGGGGTGACGAGGGCGTACGCACGAGCCCTACGATCCTCCTCATGCTACGCCCATGCTACATCATGTGAATTGGCTGCGAGGATTGATAGGCTGATATTTAAGAAATTATAATTTGAATTTTGACAACATACATCTCAACATTGCAAAAAGTAGGCTGAGTTCCAGCCATTGCTAATTTTAGCTCAGAGACGTATATTTTTGACTTTTTTATTGACTTGTATTACTTAGATAAGATACCAATGCGTGGCCTATTACATACAATATCTCTTGAATCTATGGATTGCCCTACCTTGCTGAAACGGTAATTTCAACTTTTGTTGCGGGTATTGTCGCCATACCCGGCTGAAAGGGCTGCGAACTTCGAAACGATGACATTTTTCGAGCCGGAAGTTCAATTAGTAAACAGTGACAAGCAATCCATGGATCTAACAAAACTGAATAATAATATTATTTTGTACTATATTTGAAGTTTATTACATTTTCTGTGTTTGTATAAGCATTTAAAATTTTTATTTGTATTTTTCTGCTCAATAAGTTGCCTAATAAGGATTGAATTTATGTTTTAAGTAGAGTTATTTCTATTAACTTCTCTCATGACCCACTTTAGTATTTGTCAAAATTGTCAAATTATCCCAAATTATACTTGCGTATTTCTAAGAGAATCCAAGGTATGTGCGAATTATAAATTGTGTGGATATTTTTTTGCATTTGATAAAGATTTTTTTGCAATTTATCTCATAATAATGTGTTGCGTACTTGCCGAGTAAATAAACAGTGAATCTGAGACATTTCTCTGAATTTATCCTGTTTTTATTGTTCTCAGCTCAGCTCAGGATCTCCCATTGTAAAGAATATTGTAAGGGGGGGGGGGGGGGGTCCTGGGACCAAGTTATTTCTTAGTATCCTACCTCAAGCGCTTTATCTTTCTTCACTCTCTGAATTGCCAACAAAGATCTACTTGTAGAACTAGCAAGAGACATGTAAATAGTTCTGAAGCCTGATGGAGAAAAACACGCATGATCAGTGTCAAGAATAGATCGTCTTCCATGGAGGATATAATGGGCCAACCAAGAAGATCACCCAATTTTAGAATTAGTTGATAACCGAACCATAGATTTATTTTTAAATGTTAAGGTTTAACTTATATTCTCAATGGCGTAGCATCATATACGCATAAAACGCCATGGCGTACTCTCAAAATTTAGAAAACAGTTGATTTTTTATATTGATTTGCCCCACACTTCAAAAATGGATAAAAATGGCTAATAATTTACATTCTATTTATCGATAATAGTCGGAATTTCGTATTTCAAACGCCCCAGAACGCTTCAAATGCAATCTCATTTTCAAATTTTCCCCACCCTCCAACACACACCCCTCAAAGCACTTCTATTTCGCTTACTCGTGGCATACACTCACAAAATACCCACGCTACGCCACTGTTCTATTCAAATTCTGTCATTGTCATACTTAAGGGGGTAACAAGGCCTGTAGAGAGAAAATAGGAAAATTTTAACTTTTTCTGAGCTATCAAGGCAACATTTGGCTTAACATCTTCTTTGACATACCTATTTTCTTAAAATGTATTGATAAACTATTAATTTCAACATAAGAAGTGTAAATTCAGTTCAACGCTTCAAAAAGGGGAAATCCACTTTTATAATTTTAAGATCCACCATGTTTCAAGAGGAATATCAGCTGAAATAATGTTATCTAGGGGGTTTCTTTGTAGATAATAAAAATAGATGTAAGTCTTGATGAAATATCCAAACTTAAATAAATTTTGACACTGGTCCATGATCGTTGAATGGCACCTCTGCACTACTTGTTGCACCTTTAATTTATTTCCCATAATATGTCTATAATGTATATACTCTATGTTATATCCAGAATTTTTGTATGGTCATTTCAGTAATATGTCTGAAGCAGAAGTAAAGAAAGGAAGGGGTCGGCCAGCTGATGTTGATGAGGTCAGTAGTGTTTATTTTATTCATAAATATTCTAAAGAAGTATACTGGGATTCATTGAAGTTTTCTCTTCATAACAATTTTAGACACAGTTTAGGGGAGGCGCATGTCTAGTATGGTCCCAGTATGCTGTACAAAGATCTATATATTAAAAACTTTGGGCCCTTAGTGTGCATGGCATTTTGGAAATTTTTTAAAGAATTTAGCCATTTAAAATATGTATATTTTTCTACATATGTAGTATGCTTTGACATTTTGAAACCTTTTCTTGGAAACAATATGCAAACTTTTTATAGTGCCCCAACTTAATTAAAGATGTATTTATGATATGTTTTTACAGAGTGGGGTTACTGGTGAACCAGAAGTCAAAAGAGGACGTGGAAGACCTAAAGGCAGCACAAAGGCAGCTAAAAAATCTGCAAAAGCAGTCACAGTAAGTATATTTCATGCTACATACAGTGGAACACCTTTGGAATCTCTAAAAAGTGTCCCATTTAACACCAGTTCACCCAATTCTCAGTTAAATCTGTAGCCACATATACTACGAAACAAAAATTTCAAAAAGGCCTCAGTTAAACTTAATGTCCTGTTTAAGAACCCCCATTCTAACTTTCGAAAATGGCTTCTAGCAATACATGGTGACATACATGATGGTATCCCACGCTTTCAAAAGTAAGAATAGGGGTTCTTAAACAGGACATTGGGCTTGCTTTTCAGAACTTTTTGTTGGTACTAATTTGAGAAATGGATTGATTTGCTTCCATGTTTCCAGAATGATTCTTTCTTGGCTTATTTTTACAATAACACTGGTATTGTTTGTCATAATCTATGTTGTTCTGGTCATAAAAGTATCATATTGCTTCAGAATATGAATAGCAATTTTAGTTGTCAACTTTTTTTTTCATTGAAATACATGTGCTGGAGCTTGTAAGAGCTAGACAAGCACATCTCTCACATCCATGCTGCCAATAAACTAAAATCAGTATGAAGGAAACATGTAATCAGAGTCAAAGTGTATTTCAGATTTTAAACACAGAATAAGTGGAGAAGATGTCACAAAATAAGGATGGAAACATAAATTTTTGTTTTCTCCACTCAATATGCAAAAAGTGTATACAAGTTTACAATGCATTCTTAAACTGATTTTCCCTGGATGAAGTACCCATACAGTTCCTTCTATGCTGGAGACAGTATTAAACTCTGTGGTTTTATATGTTTTATGAATCTGTCAAATATACTTGTACACATGGATACATATTAAGTAAAATGGGTCAGGCTGCAAAATGATACTATTAAGTAGAAAACTGATACTGCTATCAATTTTAGCATGAAAATTATACCTATTTTAGAATGGAGCTCCACGAGGCCGAGGAAGACCTCCTAAGTCTGCTCCAGCAGCAGAACCAGTTCCAGAAGATGATGATGTCCAAGAAGAAGAAGAAGTTGAAGCAGCAGAAGAGGTGAGTTTTTTAGTGTTTTTCTGATATAAAACAATGTCCATCCATTACCCTAATACACCGATTTGATAATGTATGATGTTGATAGTATTGGAAATATCATAATTGATAAATCCTTTTTCAACATTTTTCAGTTTTCATTAGATAGCTCAGGTCAGATATCAAAAAATTTTGTATCAGATATTGAAGTTTCAAATGTTTCCCCCCATTGACCTGATCTAAATGAGCACGATCAACAACATTCGTCTTCAACTTTGAATCAATGAATCAAATTGATTGTTTGTAGCTCTTGTTAATACCTTGTTTCTATTCTACAAGGTGCCGGAAGAGGAAGTTGAAGCTCCCCCAAAGAAAGGCAGAGGTAGACCCAAGGGCACTACAAAGGCAGCTAAAAAGGTAAATATCTCAGTGAATAAAGTTTAGTACATGTACATGCTGACATGTGTGTACTATGTTGGAGAAACATCTGCCTATTATTTGTATATATCATCAGTTATCAGAAATCAATTGAGATTAGTCTTTGTCTGGGCAATAACTCAGATACCAGTGAACCAATTTTCTTAATATTTGGTTCAAATGGTTCTATATAACTAGTAACTACATATTAGTTTGTTCATTGGGATTTGCTAATCTCGGATTTGTAATATTTTCTTGTCATAGATATAATAGGGGAAAACTAAATATATTTATTAGCTATTAGTTTTCAATTTAAACTATTTGGGTTTTTGCCAGGGAATCATGTCATTGGATGAATCTATTGTACAATTTTACTGCAATGATTTACTTATTTCTAACTTTGCAAATATTCTTCGAATTCTGTTTTATGTCACCACTACAAGTGATGACATGTTGTTATAGTCTCCAACTGTGTGTGGATGATACAATGTTCGGCAGTTGGTGTTCAGAGTTTGGTGGTTGGCATTTGGAGTTTGATCGTTGGCATTTGGAGTTCGGCAACTGTAACAAGTAGCAAGTGGAGACATTTTGCATGTTAATGCCTTGTTTATGAGTTGCTACTCACCACTTCTACATCAAAATTATGTAAATTACATAAGCTGAGGGGGTAAAAGTCCATTTCAATTTTAAATTATTACATTGATTTCTAACAGAGAATGACTCATAATGTTAGTTGCATTTCTAAGGTGAGGGGGCAGGCCCGTAGCCAGGATCTGCCAAGGGGGGTTCACTTTTTGGAAAATTCCAGGGGGGGTTGTTCACTTTTGATAATTTTGGTCCAAAAATGGCAAAAATCACTTAAATGGTGCTCAGAATGGTGAAAAACTGCATGATTTTGAAAGAATTTTTGGCCAGGTCGACCCATCGACCCCCCCTCCCCCTGGCTACGGGCCTGGGGGTTGCTTGAAGGGGTCAGTTTGAATGTAATTCATATTGTCACTATTATATGTAATGCTATTTTATCTGTGTATTTTCCAGGCAGCATCAGGACGGGGTAGAGGCAGACCAAAGAAGGTCAGTATATACACTCAGATAAACTGCCATGAAACTCAATGCGAAGTTAGGATCCCAAAATAATGGAGGCAGAATTATATTGGCGTGGCAAAGATATTAAATGAGTCAAATGAACCCAGTAGCTTCTTTACCCTCGCATTTTAAACTTGTAATAAACATGAACAGAAAATGATCCACAACATCATGTCTTCACCATACTTGTTAGGGGATATGATACTTTGTTATCAATACGTTTTTCAAGAAGCATTGGCAGCCATGATTCAAACTGGATCCTCTGTTGACTGGCACAGACCAATTTGGTACTGATATTAACCATATAATGAAGACAAGCATTACCATAATACACAAGCACTAGGTAATGTTCATCTCCCGACTAAATACTGAATATTGAATATTAAATATTTTAACCAAATTGATCCATGCCAGGCAGTTGAAGATTGGGTTGGAATCATGGCTACCAATTCTTCTTAGTATTTATATGAATTTAAAAATATATATTGCAGAACCCAGAGCCAGTAGAAGCTGAAGATGTCTCTGAGGATGCTGAAGATGCAGAAGATGATACTCAATAGACTATCACCCTAGTAACGAGTGCTTGTCGCTATGGCACCACCACACAACATACAAATTCATTTATATGTGTGATGACATCTTCACCATGTAGATCTACTATGTTAGCTGAACCATATAGATGTTGTAGCAATACATGTACGTGTATGTACTTAAAAACGGTCAACTCGTACCCAAGACAAGTTGTACCCAAGACAACTCGTACCCAAGTATATATTTTGTTTTGAATCAAGCGTTGGACTGGGAATGTGAATAGATATACATATTATAATTGTAACATACTGTTCAGAATAGTTTAAAGTTTGAAGAAGAATTTTCGGAAGAAATTGATTTAATTTTGTGACATTTTGAGCTGAGTATCAATTTATATTGACCATTATTTTATATTGGTCACAGATTCAGGATGTTCGAGTGAAGAGACATATGTTTATTCCACATATTCATAATCAATTTTCAAAATATTGTATGTTTATGAGTGTTTGGAACAAGTGTCAGATCTAATGTTGTAATTATATTTATTTATATATATATGTTTGACAAAAAATGTTGAGAACAAGCGCTTCAAGCACTTCTTTTATTTAATAAAAAAAATGCTTTACTGATCCATTGAAAAAAATGTCTTCTAAATTCAAAAAATATTGAGGATTATTTAATTCACATTATAACATGAAAGCATTACAAGCTCAATTTTTTCCCAAATATGCACCCATAATACTGAAAATAATCTTGGGTACGAGTTGTCTTGGGTACGAGTTGTCTTGGGTACGAGTTGACTAGGAAGCCTTAAAAACATACAATGAAATGTCCTGAATATCATAGTCAATTTTGATGGCAATTTTGAGAAATATTTAGATAATAAGTTTTATAAGCGTTTTACTCAGATTCTATGTATTATATGGAAGTGTGCTAAAGTGTGGTTTACAAGGGATCAAGATGATATAGATGTTCTATGTATACAGTTTCCAGCGAAATCTCAGGAAAGCGTTTCTCCTGGCACTTCTATGACCCAATTTTCAATTGATTTTAAAAATGTTATATTCATAAAGAATTCACTCTTAAAGCATAATAATTATAATCTACACTGTAATATTTTTATCACTATAATTGTCACTTTTCTAGTTTTATCATGGACTTAAGCCATTGGTTTTACTATATTGAGTTTGGAATTATTAAATTGGGTCACATGAGTGTAATATTTTCTATTATCAATTGTTTTTGCAAGGAGTATGTGTATGATATCATGAATGACAAATCATTCACCCCATGTACAATCAATCAGTGTTCCATCCTATAATATCAGGTTTTAACTTTTAACCAATCATATTCATGTATTATACTTCTTATCATGTTTCATCCAATCATGTTCATCCTTGTTTCACATTTTAACCAATCATAATCCATCTGGTCAGTGTCAGTGAATTCTTGTTTGCTTGTTTCCAGGTAACACATTTGATTGATTGATTTTGAAATTTGGAGGGATGCTCCTTGGTATGAAAATCCAGAATGGGGCAGTTCTTGTGCATGCTGGGTAAATTTTAAGAGCATTACTTAATATTTTTGGAATCTTCTACATGAATTATTACGATTTTCCAAAGTTAATATTTATATAAGTTTGAAAATAGGTAACTGTAGGCATTTGTTGATAAACTTCCCAATGCAATATTGTTCTCCGTTTGACTTGTGTTAGATGTAACAACTCTTTTTGTAAAATGTAACAACAACTGACTTAAAAGTACTATTCTTTTGAAGCTGCCTTCCATTTTTAATCATGTGAAATGAAGAGTTTGTGACAGAAATTAGAAGGCAGTGAAACTATGGCTGGGGTTCAATATGTAAGAGGACATTGTTTTAATTCTGCAGTCAATGATATTCTAGTTTTATTGATGAATAATGCGTTTATAATTATATTTTATGTTTATGTGACTTTTTCTGAAATGGTGCAAAAATGATTTATGAAAGCTAATTAAAGGTGCAATTCATTAGAAAATACATAAATTCACAAATGCATGTTATAAGTTGATTTAGTCAAGCCACTCATTTTATTTTATATTATTCTATAAATTTTTTAACATTTCATAACATTTGTATATTGACTCAATGGTGCATTTTCAACCACACTTGTGTTCATACCGGTGCACTAATACTGAATAGTGTCATTTGCTTATTGCCAAACAGTATTTTTTATTATTACATTTGTAAGCATTATCTGCGGTGCATATTTATAAAGTCATTAAAACGGTCTCGAAAATCATATGTATGTTTTACCATTGTTTTTGTAGTCCTAGTTTGTATACTGTATATCAAATAAAGTGTTTTAGAATAAAACTGTGAAAACAATTTATTATTCATGTCCGTACATTCATGCTATTATATTTTTACAATACAGGGTGATCACTAAGCAGTGAGACTAGGGTCAGGCCTATAGCCAGCTTTTGCCAAGGAGGTTCGGTTTCCAAAAAATGAGGGGGGCTCATTTAGGACAATCTTGACCCAAAATCACTTGAAAAGTGCTCAAAATAGTGCAAAACTGCAGGATTTATAAAGGAAATTTTGGCCAGGGGGTGGGGGCTGGCAACGGACCTGAGAGTTCCCATTGTCGTGGCACCTGTTAAATCTTGGTAAGACAAATAGACTGTCTCTCTGCCAAATGATCTGTATCATAAGTGTAATGACACAAAAGCAAAATATAATTAGTATAGGCTCTATGGTATAACTCCTAGACTATCTGTATTAAAAGTAAATAGCACTATCTAACATACAGTTTAATCTCAAGGGATTTTGGTGAGGATCTACTTTGTTGAATGTTTCAAATCTGCCAGATTAAAACTGCCATCGAATTAAGAACAAATACACTTTCTAACAGCATTTTTGTGGAAATAATTGCATTTTATGTACAGTTCAAATACTCTAGTAAAACAGAGTTTGTAAATATTTGTAACTTATGTAGAACATGAAGTACATACTATCCTTTCCAGGGGTCCATTTCCCAAAACAATTATTTAATATATTGTTGTAATCATGGTGATATGACATCAAAATGGGTCTGAAAGCATTGGTTACCATCAGTTTTATGGCTCTTCAGCAGTATTACTAATTAGTTGACACTATTTTGACTAATTGAAAGTGGTCACATTGGGTGGGTGAACAGCCATCTGCTATCTATATTCTCCCAAGAAGCAGCATGAGAAAGCAGTATATTGATGTTTTGAGAAATGTACCCCTGATTATCAGCAATAACTGAATTTGAGCGCAGCTATTTACAGTATTCTTGTTTGTTTGTTTAAAAACAGAATATAGGACACATAGGTTTTTTAAATGAATAGTAAGTTGCAAAAATTACCAGGATATATAGACCTGTACAACAGGCCTGTAGCCAGTTCTTGCCAAGGGGGGTTAACTTTTCAAAAAATTCCAGGGGGTATTAACATTTGATAACTTTGGCCCAAAATCACGTGAAAAGTGCTCAGAAAAAATGCTTGATTTTGAAAAAATTTTTGGCCAAGGGGGAGGTTCAAGGGAGCCCCCTAGCTACACACCAGCACAAAGTTGCTATAAATCAATCATCATCACCAATCCAATAAGTTTTAAAAAGTGCAATGTGCATATGTCCCACACTTAGATGAATGTATGGAGTTCCATCCATAGTTGGTGTATAGGCACCTTCATGTACAAAACACTGCCAAGGTGGTTTATGTATTTCATCAAAATGTTCTCTGATGTATTTGGCGACTTCAAAAAGGTCTCTGTATTTAGCCAGTGCTTCTTTGGCCAACTGGCGGACATACTGTTCCATATGATGATCGGGCGGGTAAACCTTGTGGATATTTGTAGTGTCTGGTGCATTTTGAAGAGCTTCATAACTGCCAGTGGTATTGGGTGTGTGAATTGCATTATCTGAAATATCTTTTAAGGTTGTTATCAATTATATAATTATGGTGTATGTGAAATATTTTACAAATAATTTAATATTGCCCTTAACCATTCATTGGAAAACTTTATTTTCAGATGTTCAGTTGTGAATAGATTCACATATACAGGCCTGTCAACTTGGGAACACCTAACATGAGTGACTTGGAAATGTTGAACACCTCCCCTCAAAATGTGGACACCTTGGTCCAAATCTGGACACCTTGATCTAAATTTTGAACACCTTGGTTTAAATTTTATTACATCTTGCCAAATTTTGAACACCTCAAATTTTTCGGGGGGTAGGTACGAAAAATTTCGAACAGAATGCGTGACATATACGCAATTCGCGTGAAAAGTCCGAACGAAATGCGTACATTTTTTTCCGACGTTCGTATTTTTGCTGTGTAGACGATCTTTTTTAGAAATTTTTCTACTGAAATATTTTTGCTTGACATTTACCAGGTAAAATGCGTATTTGCGTGACATTTTCTGTCACGCAAAAATAACTGGCGTGACTTCAAATTCTTCAGCAAATGCGTGACAAATACGCAAATTGCGGGACAGTTGACAGGCCTGCATATATATATGTACTCATACTAACAAAACAAATATATATATCATTTGATGGATAATTTTAATTCACACAGTGGAACAAGTGTGGTACTGCATTAAGTTACCTACCTGTACCAATACAACATGGTGTTGAGGCAGACGTGGCATTTCTATCCGTCTGTGACCCTATGAAATGTGTTAAAAGATAATTATTTGCAGTGGGTTTCAATGTGTCTAACTAGAGGAATGTTTCGTTTTGTAAATCAAAGAACATTTTATACAAGCGTTTTTATTTATTTATTTTGTTATAGATGTCTATTGAGTTATATGAGTATGTCAAGGGAAAACAAACTCAATGTGTATAAACAGAACATGACCACATTCAATGAAATAGCCATGGAATGAGCTTGCTTAATTTCAAGACAGTATGTGTATGTGCTACTAGCCTATACTTACTTCTTATGTATCTTGTCCGGAAAACAATATACTCCAAGGCACCCATCTGGTACCTGACAAAATGGTTATTGTCATAAGTGATAGAGTAACCAAATTCTTCAGATGTACCACTAAAGCATTGCCATGGTTCCTTGTACTTTTGGTTTAACCTTATCCGGATGTATTCACAGGATTCAGCATTGGAAGCAATTATTTTTATGACATCGCGTCTCAAACTCTCATAACCTAAAATGGATTTCATATCAATTTCAATTTTTTATTGTATATATCAGGTGTCCCAAAAAAATGAGCCACTTTTTGACAAGTATTATCTCAGCAACTGATGATCCAAATTTGTACAAAGTAGTCTAAGAGTATCTTTAGCAAGTTGTTAAAATATAAAAAAGATCAAGTAAATATTCTGTGAGTTCTAAGAAATTCAAAACAGCATGTCAAAAATTCCCATACCGGAGCTCTGATATGAGACTTCAAAAATGTTTCTACCAGCTATCGTCTTCGCACGCTCAGTCTTCATTGTGTTTGATGGGAGCCGAGTGATATCTGATTAATTCTTTTCATTCATCCCAAATATCCAAAATCCAATTCATTCTCAAATTCATTGGAGGTGATATTGTAAGAAAAAATGCGGAAAAGTATTTTTACTTGGAAATGGATTAATAAGTGAGTTTTACATTGATATTGGTTATTTTGACATACTGTCTTTAATTCTAAAATACACACATGCTATGAGACCAATCTCTTACATATTCATGGCACTAGCAGAGGATAACCTAAAGTGCCTAAGGTAAAGTTCTCGAAGAATTTGGCTCATCTATTGCTGAGAAATTACTTGTCAAATTGCTTCTCATTTTTTGGGTAGAAATGCTGTAAGGTTCACATTGCATTGCTCCGGTATGGGCTATTATGACATGCTATCTTGAATTTCTTAGTTCTCACATAATATTTACTTGATCTTTTTCATATTTTTATACCTTGCTACCAATACTCCTGGGCTACTTTTTACAAATTTTCAGTGAGTTTGGTTCATCAGTTGCTGAGATAATGCTTGTCAAAAAGTGGCTCAATTTTTTTGGGACACCTGATATATACTAGGACCATCATAAATGTTACTCTCAGTCTTTTTGTTTTATGGTAGTCTCAGATATGTACAATCGATTTTAAAAAATCACAAAGGGCAGTATAAGAAAAACAAAAATGGATAGAAGTTATGGCAAATAAGGCAGAAATGCAGAAAATATAAAAAGCATGTGTAGAAAAAGTATTTCCGAATATGCAAAGCATGTATGTTCCTTGTCCTAAAGTATGCAATGGACTTCAATTTTTCCTTGTCCTTAAGTATGCAATGGACTTCAATTTTTACTTAACCTCTTGACTACCCAGAATGACGAGATTTCTCGTCACCTCAGAAATGACCTTGAAACCCAGAGGGACGAGAAAATCTGTCACAAATTTTTTCACAAAAATTGCTCTCATTTGAACAATTTTCATCCAATTTACACAAAAATTGTTTTAAAAGGTGTAAAAATAATCTCTGCAATTTAATTTTACTAAATTGAGCATCTAAAATTGTATAGGTATGTAGTAAAATGTCAAAAGGTGGCAAAAAATGAAAAATTCTCTGGTTTCATGCCAATTTAGAGCCTGGGACTCAAGACGTTAAGTATGCAATGGACTTGAATTTTTAACGAAACAAACAAACATGACCATAATTTAAAAGCATGTTTTTATTCACAGGAATTTGAATAATTCAACCTTTTCGAACTGCTCCATTATATTTATATACTTCGTAAACTTGCGATTGTGACCTTGTGCCAAATGAATAAAAACAAAACAAAACTAATGTATTCCTCACGTTTTACACAATACCAATTTACTTTTCACAAACCCTTCTAAGATTGATGCAATTATTATTTGATTTGGTCACTTTGTGTGAAGTAAAACTCTCCACGGTTAGATTACTTCAGCTTGAACTCTTGTGACTTGCTTTGGTGGCAATGTTTAGATAGCCCAAAGTGTTTCATCACAAATGGAAATATAACTTTTTTTGCTTTGGTTTTGTTATTTATGAATTTTTAATTTGTTTTACACAGTCTGAATTGAGCATTTATTCTTATCATGTTGATATACAAGACACTTAACCTCAGACATTGTACATACATAATTTGGAAAAGTTCCAAACACTTGTGGGTCAAATCATTCAAAAAATTCCCAAATTGTTAATAAATGTATATAGTCCAATAAAAAGTTCATCACTTGTATATTTAAGCATGATTAAGATCATTTTCTGAATATAATTTTTCAGTTTCACTTATCGTGGGTTTGATTCCCTGTGGGGTGGACTGACTTTTTCACATCAGCCCTTAGCACAGGATTTCATTCTGTGTTTTCATCAATCATGTTAATTAAGCAGGATTTGAATCATTTTGCGAATATGATTTTTCAGTTTCACTAAAAATAATAACCAAAGGCAAGCAATATGAAACGTGCATTTTAACAAGTAGTATGATTGGTGTTTTCTTGTTATGAGCTTCTGTAGGAGTGATTTATTGTTATCGCCCACTTGCTGTTCAATTATGATTGTTTTATAAAACTATTGTGTTGAAAACTATTAACAGGGCATTAAAAGATAACATATACATAACTAGGTAGGTCTGTCCAATTTCAGCCAATCAGAACATAGTATTTTATATAATTGCATTGCATTATACTACTCCAATGCTCTGTTTCATTTTGAGGTATGAACCTGAACATTGAACATAATCATTTGAAGAGATTGCACCTGTTTTTCAGCTTTTTATTCTTGATAAGGCAGGGGTAGTCTGAATTATTGAATGGCCCTTGAGTTATTTACACAAATTATAAACCAATACTGTAAGTTGCTTTAATTTGACGGCTGTTTTAATTTGGCGGATTTGGCTGATTGATGACAACCAGCAAATAAAGTGTCCACCAATTTTTTGAATAAATCCCCTGGAATCCCTTGTGGGATAAAAACATTTGAAATTACCCCATTAAAATGTCAATATTGAACTATTTTCGAAGATCTAGATCCACTGCTGGTTATTCTTTTGAAAAACGAGAGCATTGTTTCCATCTTTGTAAGAGCCCTCTAATATTCACATTTTACCAATCGGTTAATCGGTTAATCCGCCAAATTAAATAGCAGCCAAAATTTCCAAATTTGCCCAATCCGCCAATTAAATAGGGCCAATTAAAGCAACTTACAGTATATTGGTATAAGTCAACTATCAAATTACAATGAGTTACATGTATAGATAACAAGTCAAGTATATAATTAATGACAAAGTTATATTATATAAGGTCATATAATACATGTAGGTTTCTATATTTTCTTTAACATCACTTCATTTTGAACATAGGGCCAAGGCAATGTATTATTGGCCATGTTACTAGTAATTATAAGTATTGATAAAATTAAAAAGTAATAGTTGCAATGAAGACTTATGGGTGATATGCAAATCAAAATGATCAACTGGAGAAAACCAACAATTTTTTGAGTTGTCAGACATGAAATAGAGAAATTCACTCTGTATTGATGTCTGAGTGAGTTATATAAAAGTGTTTGTTTTGTGTTTCATGTGTTTATTTTCAAGTGACTTCTCTTATAAAGACATCAAATACAAGAGTATAAGCTAAAGGTTATCAGAATGAACCATTGTATGAACTTATAATACCACCTTTACTGTTTATTTACTGTTTTATAGCATATAGCATATTTTATAATTATGTTATGAAATAAATGATAAATAAATAAAATATATATCTAAATAGAATAGGAGCCAATGTAAGTTACAGTGTTTAATTCATAAGAAATGTATGATGACTTACTGTCACAGTTGCAGGTTGCAGGAGAAGTTGAGGACATTGCTGGTAGAATGGAATTTGCAGCTGGCGCAACAGAACCTGATGGTCGTGATGATACAATGATGGCCTCTTGGAAAGTCGGTGTCTTTTGTGGGATACCAAGATGTTTACTTTCAAGAGGTTTGTTCCAAGCTGGAGAGAATGAGGTGGTAGATTTAATGACAGTTGATTTTGTTGTGTTTTCAGCTAGTAGTGCCAATGTTTTAGGTGTCCCAGTTTTAGGTGTCAATGTTTCATTTTCAGGTGGAACCCTAAGTGTGACATCACCTGGAGAAACATTATTATAAACACTTTTTCGTTTGTTATTTCATTTATGTTTTACATAATATAATAATAATATTATTGGGCACAATTAAATGTTCTTTAGAACAAAATACAATAGTATTTTCAAATTAAAAATATGAATTGTATAAAGTTAGCATGAAACTAATTTGAAAAAATATTCCTTTTATTCCTGATGCTACAACATCTCTAAAACAGTTCTAAAATTCAGATGAATTGAACATTTTTTCACAGATGAGCAAAACATTATTGCCGTTAACAATATTTTTGAACTCCCAGGAATTAATCTGTTAAGATAAATTGAAATACCTTAATTATTTTTGTATTTTTTTACTCTTTAGATTTAAGTTTCCTGGAAAAGAAATCATTTTAGCTTCCTTTTAGAGAAATATATCTATTTATTCTTGTAATGGTTAAAAATTTTGATTATTTGCAAAGTTTTCCATATCCCATATTTTTACACAACGGTGTATTTTTCATGTAACATTTCTGCTATTTTTATCCCACTTGCATTGCGGGAACCACAGCATGTACTATCCACCTCATGCATTAGATAAAGAGGTAATTAGATATAAACCAGAACATCTAAATTGCAATATGTCTAAAATAATAAAATATTAGATAAGACTTATATTGTGATAGATTAAATTCTTGTGGTTAGAATTACATCATAAAGTGATTTATATAATGTTGTTTATGAATGAATAGAAAGTAGAGATAGTAAGGATAGATATTGTAAAATGAAACCAGTATTTTGAATAAACATGTCAATGTGTCGCTTTACACTCTCAGGTAATATTTGTAAAATTATTTTAGCTATCAGATCAAATATTTCGAATTTTTTAGAAAGCCATGCTTCTGCAAGTGAAACAAGAATTTTCAACAAAAAAGTCAAAACTCTTTTTTGCATTGTATTTGAAAAGGTTTGCATGTCAGAGAACAAACATTGAAACAGCTACCATCAACCAATCTCTTCTTTGTTGCCTCTTAATTAAATAAAATTAGTGATCCAAAGATCTGAAAAATAATTGTGTATATCAGAGACATATAAAACAAATACAGTATTATTGCTCACTTGAATCTCTGCTTACAGTGAGAACTACTCCAATAGTAGTACCAACCACCAAAATAAAACCCATGATTCCTGCAATCACTTTCAACATAATCGGACATCTTTTTTTTGGGTATCTCAACACCTCTTTGATTATGTTGTTTTCATTGTCTGTTATATAGTTGCCGATCTCTGCGTATTCATTTTCAATCATCAAAGAAGTTGTGTTGTCCACAGCCTTAGATGGCAACTCTGTATCAATGTATTGCATTTCTGTCATGGCTTGCTGCGATGTTGCAAAACTGCAACGAGTTGGTCTTAAATGTCCAGTTTCTTCCTTAAATTTTTAATTGGAGCAGTCGGGGATGTCTGCTGGAGCCATACTGTCTGCCGATTTAAAAAAATATTTGTACAAGTGAGGCTCTTGGGAACAGCTCAAAATAAAATCTGCTGATAAGCAAAATGAAAGAACAAGTCTAGCCCTCTGTAAAGTTAAAATCAATTTGGATCATGTCATATTATTATCCAATGTTATCAAAATGTGGTATGTGAAACCTTTCAGTTTAATTCCAAATAGAAGAAAAGTTGATTTTTTATGACTTTTTGTTTGAAAAATTGTGAATTTATTTGAAACAAAACATGATGAAGAAGTCCTGTTTGCATTTCTTGAGCTTTTCATACGAGACGATCCCTATTATCAAGAGTAGGGTCACCAGGTGAGCCAAAAGTTATTGGTGATTGGTGTCGTCATCTTTCAAAACGAAAGCAGTTGTCGCAAGTTACTCAACAAGTAGATAATTTTTTGCAATCTGATAACCTTATACATTCAAAAGCAATAGATGTCTTATTATGGAAACATTTGTTATCCTAAATATTTTACTTACATATATAACTCCTTATAGACTTCTACTTTATTTATTTTCTATAAAATTAATTTCATAATATAAGATTAACACATAAGCAAAATATGAATATGTGAATGAATCATTGCATCCTATGTTATCGAGACTTTTTCAAGAAGTTTTTCTTTGATGTTTTCATCAAATATATTTTATTCAACAAATGCATCTTTTATTTTTAAAAGAAATGATTGCTGATTCATTTTTATAATTACATACTGACAACAAATTTCTGAGGAATCTTTTCTTTCTCTTTCATTTTCTTTCTCTCATTGGAAATATATCATTTTAGTTGATCTGCATCCACTAGAAATTGTTTGTTTTATTAACCGCAAACTCTTTATTTATGTTTCTAGTTATATAAAACATGTTAAAGTACTTATACCCATGTTAACAAGGCATTAACATAACGAAATATCACCACTAGTTATTGGAAGTTCTAAGAAATTGTTACATACGCCGAACCCTGAATGCCCACTGCAAAACCATTCTTATACTCATTACATCCTTCTGCCTTCAACTAAAAAATCTAGAGAGCAGCTAATAGAAGGCTATTTTCCAATTTTGCTCAATTCGCCAAATTAAATTGACTAACTCAGTATATACATGTATATACTGTGTTAGTCAACTTAATTTGGCGAATTGGGCAAAATTGGAAAATTGGCGGGAATTCTATTTGGCGAATTTAGCAAAAATAAAATGTGGTGATTAAAATTGAATCAACATGTATCTTACACTCAGTTACAATTGGATGAAAATTCACGGGGATTTCTGAAAAATTGGCGAAGACATGAATTGGTGAATTTTTGCAATTTGCCAAATTAAATTGGTCGCCTAACAGTATCTATATTATAAACGTAAATCAAGTGAATGTCATTTTCAAGATCAACATATTTATTCACAAACCATATGATAGGATAGATATACAGTATGTAACACATGGTACTAGCATAGTACATGTATGTCACATCACATATGCTATTTTTATGATTCTTATAAACTTTATTTATGACTAGTTCCGTTAATTCAGTATTGTTATAAAAAACAACTTGTAATATGAATAGATGTAGTTAAATCTAGCATTAATTGATATCCGCATGTAGGACATGAGCAATTAAGTTAAATGGAATGCATTTCAATAGGCATAATGCTGTTAAAAATCAACTTTAAAAATAGCCTAAGACATGAAAACTTAACCATCCTTAATTCCTTCAATTCCACAATATTTCACAACAGTATATCACCCATCACTCCTTAAATATTCAATTTTCTTCAATTCAATACACTTGATTTTAATTTTTTAGGCATTAAAACTTCACAATGACATAAAAAAGACACCCTTGTTTTCAAAAAATAACTGCGATTGTTGAGGGCATGCAGAGTTGTCATCTCCTTGATATATTATATAGAACATGACTTCAATTACATCAAACATCCTGTAAAATGTCTAAAACAACAGCAATAACAAGCTATCATGCAATGGGTTATCCAAACTGCCATAGTATTGATTCAAAACTTAATCGATTCAAAACTTTTCGAGGCTTTGGTTTCTTTTTGTGTGAATAAACAACTAATGTTGTAAATAACTGTAAAACGAAAGTAATTACTTGGACAGATTGAATCTTGTTACTGAACATATAAACTTCAGATTTTCAAAATAATATTAGATGTTTGATCCAAACAAGGAAACTTAAAGGTTGCATGTACTTTAAAATAGAATAAAGAATAAAATATTTTATTACACGAAACATTAAATATATCACAGCTATACTAAATATTCTGGTACAGTCTTAATTAATCTGTTCTTGGACAGATTATATATTTTTTCTTGACATATAAACTTCAGATTTTCAAAATAATATTTGTTATTTGCTAAAAACGAGAACAGTTAAAGGTTGTACATGGAAAACAGATTGAAGAACAAAATATTCTATTACACAAAACATTAAATACACATAAATGTGTATCACAGGTACAATAAATATACAAGCAAATAAATACAGTAATTAAATAGATAGGCTAATATTCCAGCACCATTGGTACAAGTAACTTAAATATGATTCAGGTATATCATGGTTTAGTTTATTATACCTATTATATATTATTTGTTACACTCTTATATTAAATAGATAAATTCCAAGAATTTCGAATTTTGAATACCCATGAATATAGTTTATTCAGGGTCTTAAGCCCAGAGATTATTATAGCAATTTTAAAAACTGAATGAACACATACTTATGATATGATGGATTTATATATGTTAAAACATGGTCTACATGAGTTAACTTTTCATGTGAAGTCATGTTAATCTCTTGTTAGAAACCTGTGCTCTGTCCAACAAAAACAGGATTTAAGTTAATGACCATGTTTTCAAATACTGTAAAAGAATTCCAATAAAGTTTCCAAATACAAAATATAAGATAAGGGCTCTAGAAATGAGGTATAAGGGATAAAATAAGGTAAAAGAATCTTAGAAACTTGAGATGCACTCCCACTCACTACAATAGTGTACATATAAAGAAACTTAAATATATAAATATATCAATAAGATATTTTAAAATTTGTTTGGAAAATACAATATTGACAAATAGATGTCACTAGATTATTACACGCTGAAGCAGGTGAAATAATTCTAATTTTGCCTAGCCTAATATAGTTCATGTGACCTTGAAAAATGAGGCAAACGAATAAATACAGCAACAATGGGATTTTCTCCCAAACATATATATGCACCTTGATGCCCTCTGAGATCCAACCTGATAAAAAATATTGATACTTACATCCTGTAACATATTGATACTAATATTAATGTAATAAAATGTTGATTAAAATGTTTGGTATCAAGACACTTTATATCTTACATGTCTTATATGCTATCAAACAGCAACACACGATTCTCAATCTGAAAACACAGAAAACCCTCAAGAGCCACAAGAGTGTCTTAAAATAGAACCTATTACAAAATACTGCTCAAGAATCAATTGTTATTCCATTAAAGTGATGTATTACAATAGGCATACCATAGTTTGATGGTAATCAAGGGAACATTTAGTGGAACTTTGAGGACATTAAATATGATATACACAAAATATTCCATATCAATTAAGTCAAGTAAAAATGGAATGCAGATACAGTTCATACAGTTATTGCTGTATCTGTTATAATCATTAAAATTGACCAAAAAGTCATAAGCATTATTAACACAAAGGAATGTTAAACACTAGATTACTTATTATCCCAAGACTTTTCTCTATCTCAACCAAGAGATTAATTTAGGCCACAAAAATATTCACTAATGAAATCCATCTATAGAACCCATTTGAACTTCCTTGCAGTAAACTGTTTGCACCATTTTTTCTTTGCAATGTACATACAAAACACAGGCTCGTAGCTGGGGGGGGGGGGGTCAGCAAATTCTTTCAAATTATGCAGTTTTTACTTCACATTTCCGAGCACTCTTCAAGTGATTTTGGGTCAATGTTGTCAAATGTGAACCCCCCTTGAATTTTTTGAAAAGTCAACCCCCTTGGCAAAAGCTGGCTACGGGCCTGAAACTATGTTGTACACTAATGACATTCCCTTATCCTCAAAGTAGTTTGTATTGACATTCACGCACACAATTCTAAATAAAGTAGTACACTGTGTATATATATATCTGCAGATTTGTTTATGAATATTTCAAGTGGTCCACAGCTAAGGGCAATTTAGGTCACATGATCAACATATGCCTTTTGTGACGTCAGATCCATTATAAAATATCAAGTTTAATATACATGACCATATGTTGGTTGACCATCCCAAATTGACTAAGCACCATGTTGGGTGACTTTAATCATAAGTACACATGTGACTAATAACTATACATACTCTGTATACATGTGACTATACCCATCTGTACATGTATATATGTGAGTATAATCAAAAGTACACATGTGGCTATACATACTCTGTTTACATGTGACTATACACTATCTGTACATGTACATATGTGACTATAGTCATAAGTACACACATGACTATAATCATAAATATACATGTGACTATACATACTCTGCATACATGAGTCTATACACCATATGTGCATGTACATATGTGACTATAAGCATGAGTACACATGTGACTCAACATTCTCTGTACAAATGTGACTTTCTTGAGGAGGCTGTCTCAGTGACTAAAGCATTTTCTATAGAACTTTTCTCTTCACATGTGACTATCCAAAAGTGACTATACATGCACTGTCCATATCATGACTCTCTCTGTGAGACTATACATCAAGGCTATTAGTGTCTTTGAATATGAGCTTCCCGCCTGCAGGTCTATAATGCTGTGGACTAGGACTGTTCTGAAATTAGAAAAATTATAACTTTGAACCAACTTTTCAACTTTACTTTATTCCTACAGCCAGAAACCATAAAGAGATGGGATAACATAACAAATGGTTCACAAAAGAGAGATTTCGCACACCATTTTTAGCTCAGCGTATCTGAAATCAGTAACATCAGATTTATGCATAGCAGTTCAATTAAAACAAGATGCGGTTGAGGATACATGTTAGCTACAACCTGTGTGCAAAACCTCTCTACATTAACACATGTGGTTCCCTATGGGGGTATCTGACTCAACTTTGCTGCTTTTTGAAAATTCTCACGAAAATGGTTATATTCAGTCTTTTCACTTACCCTCATCTTTAGTGCAGCTTGCTGTTCCTTGTCTTCCTCAAGTAGCTCTGATTCCCAGTCTTCATCATGAAGTTGCTCTGGGTCAAAACTGTACACAGGCATCAGATGGTGCCGCAGCTTATCCAATCTTGAAAAGCAAAAATATAATTTGGCTAAATGTATTTATTGGGGTACATCTGATCAAGGTTACTAACTGCAGTAATCTTCCCAGCATTAAAGCAAGTGGGTACAGCACCCACCTGAGATTTTAAAAATAGGCTTGCACCCACCTGAAAATTCATTTGCACACACTTGAAAATGAGAAAAATCATGAAAAATGGGCATGTTTTTCAATCATTTCGAGTTGAATTGTGAAAATGAGAATTTTGCACCCATTTGTGAAACCAGAAAAACGGCAACGCCAAAGCATAGCGAATCCCATCGAACAGAAATGGCTGGCATTTTTACAAACAAAATATATAGCAAATATCATAAAATAACACCCATAAGAAAGGCCACCATTCGAAATCGCTCCACTACTTTTCAAGTTATAGTAAAAAACGTAAAAAATGATGGCCATTTTTCAAAATGGCCGCCTACTACCAAAAATGTCATTAGAAATTGTGCCATGCTTAAAGTATTCACATACCAAATATGAACAAAACAAAATCGCTCCACTACTTTTCAAGTTACAGCAAAAATGGTAAAATGACGTGCAAAGGTGGCCATTTTTCAAGATGGCTGCCATGGATTTCTTCTATATTTACATTTCTAGCTTAATCAATGTCCTATATAACTTTTTTACATTTAAAACATATTGCTATTACAGTTTTATATGCAGTACCTTAATTACTGTAAAATTGCCACTAAAATGGCCGCCATTTTAAATGAGCGGCCATTTTGAAAATCAATTTTCAAGCAGAACTTCTAACCCCATTGGGTATCTGTGTACAAAATATGAACAAAATCGGGCCAACGGTATTTGAGTTATTGCCCGGACAGAGGGACAGACTGACGGACGGACGTATGTACGGACGGACAGACGGAGGCGTTCCCTATATCCCTCTGAACTTCGTTCGATGGGATAAAAATCCTGTGGGTGAACACTGAACTGGTATCAGATGTTGACATAATTTATCTATAAATTTGAAGGAGAAGAATGAATGCTACAATAAGCAGGGAACATATTTGAATATCTGACAGTATTGGGTGTATTTAACTTCATATACACTACCAGAGAGAAGTTACAGCCTGATATGAACCATCCTCTGAACACAGACCTCCAGAACTCGTACCTCGTTCTTCCCAAGAAGTAAGGAATGGAGTGGATGAAGTCTGGAGGCCTGCATTAGGATGACAGATATGAACTGCAAGAAGGTTATTTTCTTGAATCGTTTTTCGATATTGATCAAAAGTGGTCATAAATTATACTGTTACTCAAGAACACATTTGCCATTTAACTAGAATAACATCGACAGTCAATTATTTTAGTCATCTTATACCTATACTTAACATTTTAGGAGGTCTTATATCTTTTCATGTTAGAGTCAAATTTTCAAATGAGAGTCACCATAAAAAATCCAATCAATATACTTTGTGCTTTAGGGTCTGATACCTTAATTGTTACCAGAATAACATCTCAAAAAATCTGGTTCAAATCAATTAAATCCTGTCCAGCTTAAATCACTTATCTGTCATGTCAAGCTGGTCGTACATGCAAACAAAGTTGGCTTACTCGTATGTCTTGATCAGTAAGTACATCAAATGATCTGAGAAAGCCTTTGGACTACTTAATGTTATTCTGTAAATCATAGCATTTCTATTTAATTCAGAGAGAATATGAACCTTATCTGAAGAATGGGAAATGTCATTTCCACATGGAATCTTCAAAGCAGGGTGGGTAGATTGATTGTCACTGATATAAGCATGGGAGTGATGATCTACTGGTTAATTTAAACATCCGCAAATAATGATCATCTCTTTTGAAGATTTCTCAGAATTAATAATACTATAATGGGAATCTTGGTGCGAAAGTCCAATGTGATTAAATGGATATGATTGATTGTCACAGAATGCATATACTGTCTGTTAATAATATACTCTATAAAACAGCTTTGTTCTGATCTAAATTATTTAAAATGTACTTAATGAATGAACAGATTTACAAGTGTACCAACTTACTTTACTTTTTTAAGAGTCCTCTTGATTTTTAAAGATAACCACAATAATCTATGCATAGCACTAAAAAGATGCAAATTTTGCGCAAAAATTCTGCATGAGAAAGTCAAATTCTGCAGGAAATCCCAAAGGATAGGTATCGATGTAAACTAAATTGAACAATGTTTTTTTCTCTTAAACCAATTATTGAAAACATTTTGTAAAAAAACACGGTCCTTTATGTAATGTTGACTGATTGGCAACAATTTAATGCAAAAATTATTTATGTTCAGAATAATCAAGTTTTCCACAAAATTCTGTGCAAAAATTAAAATTCTGTCAATTATACTTGGTAATGAACATTAAACTAATGATAAAGGAAACAAGGAATACAAAATTAGGGATATTACTTTGCATGAGCGAAGCTACTGCTACAGTAGTCTCATTTAGATTGTTATAGAATGCTTTGCTTTTGTAATAAAGAATAAAGAAAAGTAACCACTTAGAAAAATTTTGAAGAGTTCAGATTTATGGATTATAGAATCAGTTTCTTTTCTCATTTGCCAGAGCACTCACATGGCTTTCCATTTACCAAAAATCAATGGACTAAGGCCTAGATATAGTAGCTATGTTACTTTTTATAATTTTTTTTACCTTGTTTCCATTTATTTCAGCCCTTTGATTTCTTTAGAAACAATTTTGAATCACTAGTTTTTATTTGAATTATATAAAATACATTTTTCTTTACTTGATTTATTTGACCACTCAAGCCTTACTGTTTTGACTAATTGGAGTGACCTTCAGAAATACAACTAACATTATTACTTTATTTAGATTCATATAAATTAGGAAACTATTAAAACCATTTCAGTACAGACAGAAAGTTATAATATATGACAATGACATTTTATTGTATTATTCAATATGCTTTTATATGTCCCTTGTGCATTATGGTTTGTTATTTCACATATTGTATGGATTGTTCGCAATCGGCTACAATTATTAAGCTTTGAATCTACAATCTGAATTGCATTGGGAAAAGGGAACTGTAATCCAGCCATAACACTGTTACTTTTATCTAGACTAACAGAGGTCGTGAGGACATTGTAAATTGGGCAATACTTTTGAGCAAATCAATAACAAGAAAGAAACGCATAGCAATTTGAAGCCTAATTCAGCCAAACATACCATGTGGAACTAACAGCAAAGGATGTTTTCGACAGTTTCTTTTCAAAACATTTTTTTGATAATATTCTAAATTGGAAAATATTTCAAAATATTTGATTTAATCTTAAAATAAAAATCACTGATCATCCAAATTATTAACATTACTCCTTTTACGTGATGATGTTGATTGGCGAACAACAAATTAACCGTCAACATTTGTGAAGAATCCACACAATTAACTTTTATCAAGTGCCAGATCTACTTTTAAAGGAATTCTAGGCGATAAAAATAACAAAATACTGCTTCTGGGACAAGATCAAAAGAATTTTACATACTCTCTACCCTAGCCATAGCCAAGCCCTCTCTATCTCTATCCTTCTGCGATGCAACAGAGAGAGATGCTATGAGTATCAGAATGTACCCTACCTATTTTGTAATTTATCAGATGTGAGTGTCCTGTCCTGTAGGCCTTATTTTTTTCTTTGCATACATTTCCATAAACAATATACATTGATGAAAGGCTTCATATCTCAATAATACAACTCGACTATCAGATAAAAACCATGTCTTGACTTTTCTACGATACTAAGATATAATGTATGAGATTATCTGGAGGATCTAAAAATCCAATAATTTTTGAGTTCTTTCATCTCATGCTTTGTTTCATCTAAATGGGTCTTCTGACCCAAATGAGTTTAATTCTAAACTACAACCTCTGAATAGTTTAGACAATTTTACAGTTCAACAGCCCAACCCCACTGCCAGTATAGCCATCAAAGTCCGGATCATAAATCAATCAATGTCATAGGAAATGACCATTTTTAAAAAATCGATCCTCTGGTGATGTCAAGCTCTGGTGTGCTCAGAGAATTCAGGTTTCATCTTTAACTTAAAGATTGCAGATGAAGCTATCTTTTAAGAAGCTAAGTCAAACAAATGCAAACAGAAAGATGTGGCAAGTATCTGAAGGCACCTCAACTGGAAGTTAACCCTCCACTAACTCATGTTAGTGCATTATTTTATGCTGTAGAACTCACACCTAAACATGTAGAAGCTTAATTTAAGTTTAGGGTGTTACCAGGCCCGTAGCTAGGATTTGCCAAGGGGGGGTTCAGTTTTCAAAAATTCCAGGGGCGAATCACATTTGACAATTTTGGCCCAAAAATCACTTGAGAAGTGCTTCAAAATGGTGAAAAACTGCATGGTTTTGAAAGAATTTTTGGCCAGGGGAGGGTTCGTCCGAACCCTGCGAACCCCCCACCCCCTGGCTACAGGCCTGGTTACTATTTTAAAAGCACATACATAAAAATAAAACAGAAGTGGATAACAGCCCCATTGTTATATTGAGCGCTCGGCTAATTGAAGATGAGGAAACGTGGTACTCAAGGTATAATGACTCTCATTGAGTCTTTTACTTCCTGTTATAGATGTTGCCTAGGTAACAGATGATACTTAAAATTACATTACTTGTTTCCAAGAAATTCTTAAAGATGCAGACCAATTCTAAGGGATTATGTCCAAAGGAATAATGAAATCATTTGTTTGGAGAAAGAATTCATCTTTAAAGTGGGAGTATCGATTGCCGAGTCGTATCCAATGATCCTGGGCCTATCGTAAAATGAAAGCTTTGAATATGTTGTTGCCTTTAAAAATGTATCTATTTTCCATGTATGCTACTAGAATTTGTGCACATACCTTATAACGATCGATAATGGCAAAGGAAAATCCTCTAATTCTTCGTCATAATTTCTCCTTCGACGTCCGCCATTTTTTATTAAACCGGAAGTTTTTCTCTGACGTCCGCGCAATGTTTTTTCACTTTTATTTCAGATTACGCTTCGGATTCACGATTTAATGCTTTATAATATTAATTAAGTGTTTTCTATCAGAAAGATTTCATAAAAAGACTCACACTATCAGAGATTTTATCGATTCGAGCAGCCAGAAAAATTAGTTTCAATTTCACCCGCTAGGTGTTTCGACGTCGACTTGGAAAGAATTTGAAAAATCTATGAGTGGGACTCCTTGTATGGAATTGTAGATTCTAAACGATTTGCCAGTTCTACTGGTTGATGAATATTGCCATATGCATACATTTTTATAAAATAGGAATAAGGAAGAAGATGTTGGACCAAACTTCACCCCGATAGCTCAGAAAAGGTAAAATTTCTCCATTTTTCTCTCCACAGACCTTAGAGCCGCTTTAAATGTTGATTTTCATCAACTGAACAGCCATATTTTTAACATTTTAGGCATTAACATGCAAAATATCACCACCTGCCATTTGTTATCAACACCAAATGCCGAACAACAACCACCACCACTTATGGTGGTGACATAAAACTGATTGGTTGACCTCTGACAGCTTTAAACAAACGCAAAGTTGGTCTACATCTTTAATGTTTGATGAAAAGTTTATATTCATCTTACCTGGTTTTCTTCAATATAAAGATGATCTGAAAAATAATAAAACAGAGTTAGATTCTTATGTTTGCTGGTTAAAAGACATAAAACCTAAAAAATACTTTACTATATATCAAATTATCTTAGGGAAATATTCGGACAATTGGATTTTGAGTAAAGTTTTTCAAATAATATACATTTTTTGATTCTTAAAATTGCAAGTTACATTTTAACTACTCCAAACCATAAAACTTCTTTTGTACTAGGAAAACAGCTGCTACATTAAATTCATTAAATTAGTACAATTAGTAACACACTATCATCACTGATCAAGTCATATAAATGTCGATCAATTACATGATGGATATATATAATTTAATAATAATAGAACATAAAATAATGTACTAGTATATAGAACCAATTTGAAAATATCTAATAAAAATGACGCAGTGACACAATGAATGCATTATGAGCAATGTTGAGAAAAACGAACAAATAATATCAGATAATATGTCCTTGATGTAAGGGAAATTGATGATAGTTTTTAAACGTCACTTACCAAGAAAGACAGGATAGCTATAAATAAAAGAGCCCCAAGTGGTATAAACACATAAGGCAATATGTTCTTCACTGGTGTCTCGGTGGTGGTGGTTGCACCATATATAGGGGTCACCCCTGATGAGCTAGGCAGAGTCACATTTCCTTGGATCTTTTCATCAATATGTATAACATGAAGTCCGCCTGTGCTATTTCCAGCTCCTAGAGGCACAATTCCGTAATGAACCGACCCGGGATCAAAATCCGAGGTCATGTTAAGACTGCTCATTTCCCAAAATTCATAATGACGATCATTTCATTAAATGAAGTCCATGAATAGCGCAATGATTCCACACATGTATGTGTGTATACTTAGACTCCAAATCTGTGTTGTATCTGAAATGAAAAAGTATATCTTGTGTAATAAATACTAATAAGCTCAGAGACATATGAGACGTTGTAAGCTATCAAGCTGAGATTAATTGTCTACATACAGTAATACAACCTCATTCCTCGCACATGGAGCAATTACACCCCGATGAAAGATGAAGGCGGTCATAGAAAATATGGTGAATTTTGAAGATACTACAATACATCAATGAGACATTTTTGATATGTTATTTTAGCAGACATTCTCCTGTATCAAAACACATGCTATAAGTACACTCCTCAGAAAGTCATTGATTTCCTGGTTTTCAAATAGAGCACTTGGATTGAAATAATCGTGTCCTTTAATAAGGAGAATATAACAAGCCGATATCTAAATGCTCCAAACTGTCATGAAATGACTCCACCTAATAATAAACAAACAAACAAACAATCAAACAAACAAACAAACAAACAAACAAACAAATACATAGTACTATATTAAAACAAAACAAATCCTAGCGCAACAAAAGAAACTACAGTATAAATCCAATTTCCTTTTTGCTCCTAATCGTGAAAAATATGCGCAAGCCATGACATATTTAGTTATGCATCAGTGAATGATAAGTAGAAACCCTAATTGTTTTATCTATAGTTTAGGAAAGGCATCAGCAGTCAATAGAAATATGCAGATATCATGTTTATTTTCAGCTTTAGATTAGACACAGGGTGGCACTTAATATTTTCAATCCTATTACTGCGTATCTGCATCTTTGAATATCATTAGAATATTAAAACAAGAGAACAAGATAACAAAACAAGACAATTGTTATTATTACATAATGCAAGGAAATGCTAAAATAGACGATTAATTCTCTATCAATAGAATGATTTATATCAAATAAAATTTTTGTTACTTTTTTAGACCTAATCAGTTTACAGGCTTCTGAACACTGTATTGATCAAACTGAGCCAGACAATTAATTACACGATTTATCCAATCCCCAAGGTGCAAAAAAGGGCAAAAACGTTTTAAGTTTAAATTGTGACGTTAGAGTTTCCTTGTTACCCATCTCAGGTATCATTGTAGTTTTTCATGAAATATTGCGGAATATAACAAGGCATTAATTAATATGTGAGAATGTTACCACTTGAAAGTTATAACAAAGGTGTAACAGTTTGTTACATATACCAAATGCCAAACACTAATGGTAATGCATGTCACAGAAAAACGTCACTTCTTGACATTGAACTCATATTTTTATTAATCATGGTATCCAATATAATGTAGCCAGCATTTGTTAAATTTTTGTTCAGTTTTTAAAACGTTCCAAGGGGGGTTCAAATTTGGCAATTTTCACTTGGAATTTAAGTGACAAAATGGTGAATATTGCATGATTTTGAAAGAATTTTAGGCTAAGGGGGTGGGTGTTCGCTCAAACCTCCAAACTCCCTGGCTACGGGCCAGTAAGATGTTATAATGCCTGTTATGGTATTTTAAGATTTCATTTGGTGAGTGTCTGAGTACAATAAAAATTCATATCCGTACAAGCAGTATATACGAGGGGTGATCAATAAGTAATGGACGCTTTTTTACACAGATGCTTTTTATAGACCAATCCCTTCGATTTTCTTACCAGTGATACATCATTCAATTATCTATCAACTCTGAAGATTTGAAGACAATATATATATTACATGTTGATATATCCTTATTTCCGTGAAGGAGGTACAGGTACCCCGGGACCGACATTTACGTCACATATTCTGAAGCTATTTTAGATTGTTTAACGTGCAATGCAGTTGAATGCAGGCTGAACAAAACAAACCATTATGGTCATGAATTACCCCATTTTGTTATGCCATAGTTGATTTTGAATATTTTATCATCACTATGTGGTATTCATGCCACATTCATTCCACAGGGCCCTCTAAATAGGTTCCATCAAGTGCTACATGTACACAATTCCTCATCCTCTTAACTCAAGATTGTGAGACAAGGCTGAATCAATTCTCTGACATGGGAGCAAGATGCAGTTGCACGGGTTGTTTTATTTCATCAATGTCAATAAACCTGCGTCCTTTCTCAATAGAAATAAGTAGTTATAGAAATAAACAAGTCACATATGAGCAGATCTGGACAATATGGTGCATTGGCCAAGGGCTCATTTTGAGGTCCAGGGATATTGTTTTCTGAATTCATTTTGAGGTCTGTGGGCAGGTGCATTGTCCATATGGAGTAGGGTGTTCCCTTCTCTCACCACCCCTTTCTTCAACAATGCTTTCTCAAATTGACCTGCAAACCCCTTCCATACAACACTCTGACATTACAATACTTTCTGTTTATGTGTTACCACTCAGCAAAAAAAATTTAAACAACACAACACTTGTTGCATATAAAACGTTCAAATCTAACTGAAATTTACCAAACTGGCTAAAATCTGAATATGTGACGTAAATGTCGGTCCCGGGGTACCTGTACCTCCTTCACGGAATTAAGGATATATCAATATGTATTATATATCTTGTCTTCAAATCTTCAGAATTGATAGATAATTGAATGATGTATCACTGGTAGGAAAATCAAAGGGTTTGGTCTATAAAAAGTATCTGTGTAAAAAAGTGTCCATTACTTATTGATCACCCCTCGTACATCTACAATATAAGCAAGGTAGGAGTAAAGGCTACTAAAAACATTTGGTACAATCTATACTTTTTAGGAACAGTTAATGATTTAATGGTAATGATTTGTCTGGGTCATAAGACTCATCATATACCAGGATAAGGAGGTCAACAAGAAGTGTTTGCTAAGTAAAGCAGTGTCTTCAATTCTAAAGCATTCTCCTAAGCAGCTAAAAGGGAAAGTCAAGGAGAAAACAATGCAAATCTTCATTCAAATGGACAATAAGATTATATGAAAAAAGATCACTGTGTCCCATTCTAATTCGACCATTGTGAATTAATAGCAGTCTTGCTAGCAAAGAAATTACATGAACGACTCAACCCGTTGACTTCAGGAGTAGATCCACTGTTGAAAAATATCAAATTATCCATTTATATCATTATTACCCCAAACCATCAGATATCGCATATTTCAAAAGATATATCAGTAGTTAATATTTCATGAAAGGAACAAATTAGTTTTATCTAACAAGCTGAAAAAAGTTCTCTATTTTGTCTAATACATCATGGAATAATCAAAAGATAATTCTTTGGTTAGGTTTGCTTATGGATTTTATCATTCTGGATTATCCTTTTACTGTAGGCTGAGTCATGTATCATATCTGTCATGATATAATCCTTATGTAATCCTATCCTGGGAATCATATCTCTGTAGCATGGCAATAGTAGCTACCTCAATGAATTCCTGGGAATTTAGAATGGATAATTTAAATTATTGGGATGTTCTTGTGACTATAGTCCTGACACTGGATACTTTCATTCTCTCCATCAACCACAGAAACTATGATATACAGGAACTAGGAACACCTTATATGGTATAGTTTTGATATGCTGGGTTATATGGACTCAGTATTCCATACCTGATGAGGTTTCAGGGACATATCAACCGGAAATATATTCCATATCCGGGCAAATATTTTTCGTATGTCCCGCTCCATCGGAGCTCCGGGACATATAAATCGTATGTCCTGCACAAGCCGTCCTCCGGGACATTCGATGGCTGTATGTTCCGCCCCGTGAATTTACGTCATAAATATTTCAGCGCACTGAACTAAATGAACGTCTAAGATGGCAGACGAACGAACAGAACAAAATGTAAGATTTGAACACAGGGGCTTGTCTGGTTGTTGTCTGCTTGTCCGATGAGTGTGTACTGCTTATTAAGAGTATAAGCACACACTCATCAGAGGGCTTGCCCGACCCTCGAGACAAGCCACTGTGGATTTGAAACAAATGATGTTGATAGCCTAGTTTCTTAGAAAACACTGCAAATTAACACACAGCGAAGAAAACGCGTTTAGATGTCGGAGTACTCCATGATTACTTGGCTACTAAGGGCGAGCCCCTATATATCCCTAGTCTAATAGCCTATATAAATTAGAAGTTTCGAAACTGAAAGTTGAAAAATGGCGATTTTCCCGTGTTCTATGCGCATGCTCAAAAATGAGAGTACTTCATTCCCACGATTCAGAAGGATTCAAATTACTTTTCGGCGGTTGTTTCGGTTTTACTTAGATACCATATGAAAGATTATTGCCAAGGAATGGAAACGTATTTCGAAGATGAGAGTTATGTTTTATCACTAAAGGAAAATATTTCCGTAATATTAGGTGCATCATGGGAAGGGACTGCTGTGAAATAATGACTGCAAGTGATATCTACCTAAAAATATATGTAGCTATTGCGCATGCGTTCATATAATATGAACTAATCAAATTGCTGGATTGAACGCACCTGCGCAGTCGTTATAAGCTGTCCTTCGTTAAAAATAACATACGGGAATGAACCTAAGGAAACAAAGAACTCTAAGAACTACCAATTTTTAACAGTGGACATGTCTTGGGGAAGAAATTGACTCTGGAGGTAATAATTTGGGTGCAAAAATTTTCGGTTCTTGCATTGTTATCACTTCTTTACATATTCTTCAGATTTCACAGCAACTACTCTCTGTTAAGCATGATAAAAGGCAAGATGTTTAGCTAGAAATATAAGAGTTATCTCATGAATGGGACCCTTACATGGCTCCTAAAAGGTAGAAGACACTAAATGGTGTAACACTGTAAGCTGAATTTTGTCCACATAGAGCATGAGCACAATTTCAAAGACATATAAAATTGAACTGTCAAAAGAACTGAAATAAACTTACCAGCTCGCCTCTTCCGGAAGTTATGATACGTTATGGAGTAACTCCGGTAATTAATTTCAAAATATTGAAACAATCACAAAATACAAGGTTTGAGGTATATATCGCCATTTTCAAGCGAATGAGCCCATATTATGACTATATATCCGCACCCCCATGTATATAAACTTAATCCTCACAATATATTGCATTGAGCTTCTTTCAAATTTCTGTTTTTGAGATAAGTGCCATTTTCTTACAATTCAAACCTCAAAAACAGTTGGAAAGTGCTTCCCAGGTGAGGTTAATGGCTTCTATACTTACTTTAATGTATGGAGCACTTAAGATGTAGTTAGAATCGTATAAATAGCTCTATTCTGTGGGATTTATTTTTGTTCTTATTTTTACATTTTCTCATCTCATATTTGAAGAGCTCAGCTGTTGACCTACATTCAGTTACACATATTTCCTTGAAAATTTGCCATGATTCGAACAAATGATGGTTGGTTCATGTTATATTCATTTAGTTTGTATTTGAATCTAGCTACTAAATTAGAAAACATGTCTTCATGTTATGCTGAAGAGCAGAGATCGCGAATTCTAAGTGAAGCCAATTATTTTGCACAAGTCATATCCTGATTGTATCAGCCAATTCACGTGATTTAGGTATGAGGTTCCATATCCATCCGCCAAAAGGTCCATTTAAAAATGTCCATTTAAAAACCTGTAGTATTGTTCTAAATAACGCCATAGTTGGCTTCTAGGGTACCTAGTATGCCACTATTTAGTATCAAAATAAAGAGGAGTTCAACTTTCATTTGAAGTACGCAAATAGCTATGTAGGTCAAAATAGTTCCGACGTGAACATGTTTACTACGCAGAAGTGGTAGCAAACGCGAGTTACAATAAATGGACGCTGATATCTCAAAAAGTAACCTGACTCCCTATAATTTGATGTAGATCAATCGAACCCCTATATGAACAGGTACATTTTGATATATAACACTATGGGGGGTAAGCGTTTTATAGTTGGTCATGAACGCCATATGTGTAAAGTATTGTTATGAATTTTCGAATTTGGTGTTGGATTACGGTACTCATACCTTTACACCTGGTTTCAATGTACATGTTATGCTACTTCCGGGTAGGGTAGTGTTTTTTATACTTTAAAAACGAAGCCATTTCGATCAGTTTTTATAATCCTCAGTGGAACTGAGAGGTATTACAATACATGTTTAAATTAATACACATGAGTGTATTTGATGAACTCTCAAAAAAACACAAAAATACCTTTTCAATTCACAATTTCATGTCATTGTTTCTATCAAGTTGCCTCTTTCTCTCTTTTCCCTATTTTTGTCAACAGTCAAAATCGGAATTTAAAACTTGGTTTCTTTACAAGCTCTGCTTCTGTATAAACCCTACACCCTACATTGATTTGATATGAAATAGGCGATCATTGATATCATTTTTGTGCTGTTGATCTTTAAATTTTTTAGTCAAACTTGATCTCTGTCGATGTGACGTCACACCTTAAGTATGCACGCATGCGCATTACAATAATTAAGGCAATATGGCGTCTTAGGCCTATACAATTCTGAGCCAGAATGGAGGTCTGCAAGTTGAAATGAATATGATTGTTTATGCATCAATCGATCACACATATAATCCAGACAATCTTTCAAATCATATACTTAACATTGTAATGGATTTATTTATTTTGTGAGCTAATTTAATTTTCATTGGTGAAGCAAGGATTTTACCTAAAATGAGTCCCTGTCTTTGCATACTGATATTTAAAAATAGAGAAACAAAACCTATGTCGAATATATTGTGTATTGATGAAGTTTATATGTGCTTAGGGGAACTCAAAAATAAAGTTATTTTATCGGCAATTCGCTCGAAAATAGTGAACACCCTAGAAATTGAATATTGGTGATTTTTCCAATATTTTAGAATGAATTACCGTAGTGACACCATAACCTATCATAACTTCCGGTAGAGGCGAGCTGGTGAGTAATTTCTATTATTTTGACAGTTCAATTTTACATGTCTTTGGTATTGTGCACATGCTCTATGTGGACAAAATTCAGCTTATAGTGTTACACTATTTAGTGTCTTCTACCTTCTAGGAAGTATTTTAGGGTCCCATTCATAAGAAAACTCCTTTATTTCTAACTAAACCTCTTGCTTTTTATCTTGCTTAACAGACAGTAGTGGATGGATTTCTTCCATTTTGGGTAATCAGCATGTCGGTTGTTGAAAGGATTCCATATATTTTTACTGGATATTATTTACTGTATATAATAGTATAAGGAATTTTAGACTTTTGATAAGGAACAAGTGAATAAGTATCAAGAGCAAGCACAAGGGAATAACCAGTAACACGTGACCAATAAGCGGCATTATAACGCTATAAAGGATACAAACAAACAAACATATTATCTAACAATCATTTTCTACAAATTTCAGGAAGCATCAAAATCGACCTCCCTTTTACTCTTAATAAGCAGTACACACTCATCGGAGGGCTTGCCCGACGCCTCGAGACAAGCCCCTGTGTCATTTATTTATGGAGAGCACTGTAGGTATAAGGTGCTCCGAGTGCCATAAACAAGAAACGTTGCACAGGCAATATAATGAGGTCTCTTAGCAAATTAAACTATAGGCTGGATAAAACTAAATGTTATTTACCTATTTAAATCTATCTCAGAGAGGTAACAGCATGCAGAATGTCGTTTTAGTCTAATGTGAAAATCAAAATTAAAAATCCGAAATTATTCTACCCGATTACGCACATCCGGTACAGGAACCAATCAAAATTTGGAAGATTTTTTTCAGGAAGACAAAGTGTAAGTTATTATGTTTTTTGGTTCATATAGGTGATACTCCTTTGATATTATATGTTCTAAATGTACTACATAAATCATGCTACATTTATCTTCCAAGAGAGAAATGATATGTTCCAGAAATACTTTAGTCTAGTCTATTAATTTTTGCTAGACAATTTTTTACAAATTTTCTTCATCTTTCTCATTCAGACTTCAGAGTCAGATCTCAATTTTCTTTGTCTCACTTTTACACAGAAAAAACATTGTAAGTATATATTCAATGTTATTATACAGGCTGTAGCCTTCTACACTAGAACCAGTCAAGGAAATTCACTTTACATTCATGTGTATGGCAACCATTTGATCTTTAGAGGCCTCTCCCAGTGGGAGGAGAAAGAGTCGAAGGCATGCGAGGCAAATTCTGGAGACCCGTGTTCGGGAAAGCAGGGTTCACTGTTTGTTTCCGTTGACAAGTGTGCGAAACTACATTCATAATCCATACGACAGTGAACAGGAGGTTTACAGTCAGAGCCGGGCGCGCCAATCCCTTATTTAAATGTTTGTTTCGCGGACCAGGGTTTAAGGTCATTCCAAACAAAATAAGTGTTTAATGAGGCTACAAAATATAAAAGTTCGTTTTATTAAAATTTTATACATGTTATTTTGTATCTACCAAGACGTTAAACACATTGGAAAATAGTAACGTATTATGACTGGTCTAAAATGTGCAACGCTAGAAGACCCCTTATACTTGTTCATTCTCTATTTTGACTAATATAATATATCAGTACAACGGCTACTAAAACAATGAAAAATTGACAGAGGAACTTGAAACAAATTTATTTTTATTCATATATATGAATAATATTTGATTTGAATACAATGCCACACTATTACCATCCTCCAGTGTTGCAATTTCTGTTGTGTCAGTCTGGGTCAAAATCTTACATATTACAATTGATAACGAGGAACCCTTCTAATAAACACAATTAAATCCAGGTTTGAAAACTCCCAAAAATAACACGAATGAGTCTAATTATGAACCGTTCACATATTTGCAAAGGCGGATTTGGATGATGGCAAACCTGTGTTTTGAGGGCGCGACTTATGGCAACGAGTACTTCTGTGTGGGAGGGCTGGGGGGGGGGGGCTGTGAGTCTCCTTTTTGAATAAAAACCTTAGATATGGGTCGAATGGTCAATAATTTTTACTGAACCTGGATGCGGCATAGGAGACAGGTTACTGAAAATAAATTGTTAAACATCTAATGAATTATACATGAACAGGGAGTGACATTGTTCATGTATAATTCATTATATGCTTAACAATTTTTTTCAGTAACCTGTCTCCTATGAGATGCGGGTGACAATTTTATGATCTCACTACAGTAGATGTGTTTGACAGCTCAGGTTGACGTTTTTTTTGCCGGGAAAATCTCAAAAAATCCCTAGAAGTTTTGTTTGAAAGAAAAACCTAGATGTGGGTCCACTTTTTTAAAGGATAAAAACTCTAGATTTTTTTGGATACATGTATTTTGAATCTCAGAGGCACCCCCCTCCCCGTACAAAAGGTAGACTAGTACTCCCCCAGAAATTCTCTACAGAGTCAATGTTTATTCTGTAGACATACACAAATTGTCTTTAGCCTTTGTCACTCTGTTCATCCATTTATTACAAAATCATTTTTTATTTCCAGTTTACAAATGCATAGAATTCATATGGAAAACACTTTTGTGTGAAATTCTATTTTTAAACAACATTCAAGGTCTTCTTCCAATTCCCGATTTATTTTCATAATGATTTATAGAATGTCACTGCTAGTCTAGTGGTAGACCCTCCCCAGTCCGTATCTATCAAAAGTCAGATACGAGAATCTGTAGTTAGTTTAGGGGTGAATTACTGTCTTACTGTATACAGTAGTCTTACATGACTATATGCCCGGCATAACAATTGAACTTATTTTGCCCAAACCTCATGTTTGCTGATGTCCGAGTTATTTTGCACTTGATTTCTAATTATTTTTCAGATAAATTATCAGCATGGCACTGAGTCTTGATGACAAGTTGCTTGGTGAGAAGACTCACTATTATTGCAGCAGCAGTGAAGATGAAGGGGATGATGATGATGAGAACCAGGAAGGCAAGGAAGCTGTCAGAGGAGGAGGTGGACCAACTTTTGTACCTGAATCTCAGATTAATCCAACACGGGCAGCTTCTTATTCAGGCACAGCAGTTCAGGTATTCAATGTCTTAAACTGCCCTTGTTATCCAAAGGATAGTAGGGTTTATATTAAGTTATACATCCACCAGTCCGTCCTCTCAACTTTCAGCCAGTGAATCCTGACAATAACTTGAAAACCAGTGGACCAATTCAGTATGGCTTCCCAAATGCATTTGTTTTTTGATACCTCCATATATTATATTTTTTTCAATTTCAATTTATTTATATTTCCTTGATATTGATATAAATACAAATGTATGCCTTTGTTAACCTAATAACATTAGTGGCAAAGTAAAAATTAAAAATATAATACAGGAATGGAATTTACACGATACAAAAACCAAGTAGTATTTCAGTCTGTATCTATGCTTGCTCCCCCTCCCACCCAAAAGGTTCCCAAAGCATTTTAGAATGTTTCACTGGCTGTTCAATACTGAGATTGCTGCTGAGACATAGTGAGCCACGATTTCAATAATTTTGCCATTCATCACATCATGAAGCTATAAGGTTGGTATCCCCATTCAAAAGTGTATCTGATTTCTTAGAGATTATTAAATTTCTGAAATCGGGCAAACATTCCAGTTTGTCAAGTCATGCAAGAAGCAATTCCCTTTCATTTATGAGCAGTGGACATTTGATTAGAAAATGAGAAGTAGTTTGTTGAGCTGCACCTTATGGACATTTGGGATCATTGATTGTGGTAAATTGTGGGCATGTAAATGACTATTGAGCAAAAGACCACTTCTGAGTCTGTTGAAAGTAATTTCTGTTTGTCTTGGCATAGTGTATTCCATTTTTGTTTAAAAATGGCCGCCATTTTAATGATTTTACAGTAATATGTTTTAATTGTAAAAAATTATTTTGGACAATGGCAGATTCAGCCATTTACAAGTACGTGTGTGGTACATGTATTTTGTTGAAATTTTATATGTCCCTACTTAGAAGCATATTACACTTTCTGATGACAATTTGGCTAGTGAGGAACCATTTTGAAAATGGTGGCCAATTTTTATGTATGTTATTTTACGATTTTTACTATATACTTGTTCGTAAAAATGCCAGCCATGGCTTATCAAGTCAAACCGTGTAGCTCAGAGGTAGCGCAGGTACCTCTTACGCAATAGGTCCCGGATTCGATCCCCGGTTCAGGCAAGACTAAATTTGCTTGTTTGCGTGAAGTACTTCAGGGTGTTTGACTGAGTGGTCCGCAACTCGTTCAAAAGGCTGTGGTGTGTACTTGTATGTCTATGTATAAGTGCACATAAAAGAACACAGGGCTCCTTCAAGGAGGGGTTTCTGGGTCTATCTTCCGTGTTAATTACGTAAATTACGACCGTATATATACGGGACATACCCAAGAGGTATTGCTCACCTTCATTTGTGGTAAACAAAAAAAAAAAAAATACAACACACATCAATGGGATTTGCTACGCTTTGGTATTGCTGTTGTCTACTTCTGTCATGTCCTTGTACAGTATTTGTACATACCATTACATGTATTCAATATTTCAGACTGGGCCTAAGGGTGTGATCAATGACTGGAGAAGATACAAACAGCTTGAGAATGAGGCACGGACAAATCAGGAACTGGAGAAAGCTGACCTACTTAAGAGGCTATCAGTTACCTGTAGATCTCATGTAAGATATGAAATAATTTGAACCACCCGGTTCTGGCCAGTTTATAAATATGCAGATTCAGAGACAACTATGTTCATGTCAGTTATTTTTTGTTCTGTCGTTGTAATTTGTTTTCGAACTTTCCACCACATTTTGTGAGCAATACGTGTTTGTTATTATCCATGATTTTTTACATATTAAACATTTGAAGACAGTGTAGCCTTTGTTCATGTACATAAGTACAATCTCAGAGCCAAACCTGGGTAAAGCCATGACCACTTTATTTCCTGTTATTTTGGATATTGAGACAATCAAAAAAATTATTTGTTTTCTGAAAACCTTTCTCATTATAATGAGAGATGGGATATTTAACATATATGAATATTTAACATTGAATGGCCTAACATGAAACATTTAATACAATTTTACTCTTCATTTTGCAACAGTATAACTGAACAACAATAATTTTGGGCTAAATTTTCTAACTATGCTTTGCTCATGACGGAAACCACTCACATGTAGCACATGTAGTTTTGTAGAAAGATGTCAGGTCAGTTCAAATGTATGTACATGTAACTGATAAGTTAGATAAGTAAGATATATGCATCATTCGGAATAAAAATCCATTTATACAATATAAATAACAATATAAAATATTTTCAGCTTGATGATGAAAAGGAAAAGGCAAAAGATGCTGACTTTATGCAACAGATGGAAGATTTAGAAGAATTTGAGGATGAATTCCTCAAAGAATACAGGAGAAAAAGGATAGAGGAAATGAGAGCTACTTTTACAAATGTGTAAGTGCTTCTTCACATATTGTCGAATAACATATGATGTTCATGTAATCAACATTGTTGAAAAACATATGATGTTCATGTAATCAGCATTGTTGAAAAACATATGATGTTCATGTAATCAGCATTGTTGAAAAACATATGATGTTCATGTAATCAGCATTGTTGAAAAACATATGATGTTCATGTAATCAACATTGTTGAAAAACATATGATGTTCATGTAATCAGCATTGTTGAAAAACATATGATGTTCATGTAATCAACATTGTTGAAAAACATATGATGTTCATGTAATCAGCATTGTTGAAAAACATATGATGTTCATGTAATCAACATTGTTGCCCAGATGATTTCATACATCAGTCGATGGGGAGGTTAAGCTACATGTTTCTTATCAGAGAGAACTTGTATGTGAACCTGTAGAATTATGTTCATCCAGGGATTAGTTCTCCCCTTTGTAGTATACAACCACAACTCTGGCCAATCAAATGATAGATGCTTTAAATTCACGGAATAACTCACGGAATAAAGGTTAAAAGGTTTGGGCTACAAACTCTGAAAATTTCATCAAGGTTGGTACAATATTGAGAAAGTTACAATATCTTTCACCTTCTTTATTGGACACCCTGTACACTTTACTGATATTGTATTAAGATATTATGAAAAATACCTGTAATTAGGTCCCTGGAAAAACACAATTGAGAGGAGGACAGTAATCCCTGGGGTCATAATATTGCATGTCAATGTGTTCTCCTAAAAACGTGTAGCACAACCTACCTATTATACCAAAGTGATCTTCCTAAGTAGGCTGATTTAAACTTTGTCTTACAGGTTTTTAGAATGGCTTACCCGACTGTTTGGCAGTTTTTTGGCCAAAATATGTATAGACTTACTTGACCACATTTATTCTCGAAAAACATAACATAATTTCGCCTATAATTACGCATAAAAATCGCATCACATGACAATTATTTTTTTTAAACAAGTTATTCTGAATGTGTATTGTGAAACATTATGCCTGTCGTAAAACTGTTAAACCCGTGGCTGATTCATTTGATACATCAATTTTGATTGGCTAGTAGCTGTCATGTTCAGTGTATTTTAAGAAAAATGAACAATCAAAAGTCCTGTTTTAAATTGATTTGGGGACAGTCGCAGAGAGATGATAAAACATATAATGTTAAAGAGATTATCATATTTTTTTATTGGGGTAGACTGATTTTGATCTTTATCAAGTTGCCTACCCCACTGCCGACAAATCTTTGAACGAAAGGTGAACCCTGCCTATAGTACCTGGTTACTATAACTATGGAAGATCATTGCTTCACGTTAGAGCTAAATAAAGAAGATTAATTTCCTTTCATTTGTTTAACCATGGGCATTCAATAGATTTCCTGTCAAGTGTCTGTTATTTCATATGAAGCTTTGGGCTTTCAAAATCTTTCCAGAAAAAATATGACTAAGAGTAACAAAGACTCAGCTAGTGTATGTTGTATTTATATTGGATGTGTATTATATATGTGATGTATATTTCCAGTCCATTGTTTGGTAAAGTCCTGTCATTAGATGCCAACAGTTATGTTGAAGCCATTGACAAAGAGCATCCACTAGTCACAATAATAGTCCATATATATGAAGATGTAAGTATTCATACTTCAATATTAAACAACATATTCCATTTTTGGAATGTGTTATTATATTTTTTCTCTTTTGAACAGTTTTTTCAGGAGATTCATTTTTGAAAAAATCTTTTTAAATAATAAAGTTAATCAACTTTTTGATTTACATTTCTGAACGGTAGAATTTGCGACACAATGAATCTCATGATTTTTCTCTTTTCTTTATACGGTAAAACCTGTCTAAGTAAGTACATCTAAAAATTGTTCCATTTGGGAGGTATTCCACTTATAGAGCTTCATTTAACATTTAAGTCAGTTGTTCCAATTTACAGATTTCACTGTATCTTGCATTGTAATACAGGAGTATTGTACACATACATGTATTTAGATTCCAGCCTGTGAAGCAATGAATGGGTGTCTACTGTGTCTGGCCCAGGAGTATCCCAAAGTCAAGTTTTGTAAACTCAGGGCATCAGATGCAAAACTGAGCAGCAATTTTGTGAGTAACTTTCTTGCAACCATCAAGTGAAAAAAGTATTCCATCACAGTAATAGCATATTCAAAATATCATTTTTGAAAAAATGACAAAATATTGTTTATTAATAGAATTATACAGTGTTTGTGGGCACAAGATTGAAGTTTTAGCAGATAAAAGTATGAAACAATTTTTTCTAATGTATTTGTGTCACCTTGATTTTAACAATACCATAATTTGAACATGTATTGTATTTTATATATATTTTGTAAGAACACCCTGTATTAGTGTGCCACCATTTATAAGAGGTCTGATGAATTAATGAATTCAATGCAGTGTCTCATAAGACTGGGTACCCATCTTGATACGACAATTAAATAAACTTAACTCTTTGCTTACAGTCTGTCAAAGGTGTGCCGGCCCTGCTGATCTATAAGAATAAGGACATTGTTGGAAGTTTTATAGGGATGGGACAGGACTTAGGAGATGATTTCTTTGCGACAGATGTTGAAGCATTTTTACAAGAGTAAGTAACTGTAACTGTATACAATTAATTCATTCTTATTTAGGTGTTGTTGAATGATACTCATCATTCAAAGTGATCAAAGTCGGGTGAGATAATTAAAGCTTGTAAAACAATCAAGATAATTGTGTTGAATTTTAATATTTTTTAATGGGTACTTGCTCACTGTAAAGAGAAAAAAACACAAAGTGTCAATTAGTGTGGTTCATGCTCCGATTGTATTTCATTTAAACCCAACAGAGGGGGGTTTACTTTTTGAAAATTTCCAGATGGTTCACTTTTGACAATTTTGGTCCAAAAATGGCCAAAACCACTTAAAATGTGCTCAGAATGATAAAAAACTGCATAATTTTGAAAGAATTTTTGGCCAGGCAGGGGTTTGCTCGAACCCATTGAACCCCCCTGGTTACGGGCCTGGTGATGTGCCTCCAGCTAAATATCATTGCATTACAATTTATTTGACTTTGTTATTATATATTTCAGACATGGATTTCTGCCACAACCTGGATCAAAAACCCATGCATTAAGCGCTAGTGCTCTAGCTGCACAGGAGGACAGTGGGAGTGACTTTGACGTGGACTAGAAGTACCTCCTTTGTATAAGATAGTTAAGACTAACAACCGAAGCTTGTTGCAATCTCATTCTTTGTTACACATTTGCTATGAGATTGGAAGAATTGTGGTCCATATTTTGATACTTTTATAATGCAGAATGTACCGAAGCAAGCAAAGGAAAGAAATTGTTTCAAGTCTGAACTACCCTAGTTTGAAACTTCATCTCCCTTTGTTAGGAATTTTTTGGAATATTTGAGGAAATCAGTTTCTACTTTAAAGTTCCATTTCAAATTTATTGTGACACAAGTATAGACCAAGGTACAGAAAATAAAACAAAACATTATTCATCTACATGTAGAAGGGTCAGTGCTAAGGTATTGCATTTGATGGATGTAGTTGAAAAGTAGAGATGAAGTTTCATTTACTAACATGTTAGTTAGGTTAAATTAAGAATAAGAATACTCAGTGCAATCATAATGTCAAAAAATGACAGTGTCACTTTGGAACTTTTTATCAATCTACATAAAGACTAGAAAGAGATGTACACACCCACCTACAAGTGTAAGGATGGTCACATTTGTATTTAATTTGTCCACACGAGTGTCCTCGTACTATACAAATGAGTAACAGTTGTAATAACAAAATGTCACCACACGGGAGAGGTAGTTATTGTAAAACATTTGTAAAGGTGTCACTACATACTGTATGACTTTTGGAGTAATATGTTACTTAAGTAGGGACCAGGAATCCTCAATCTTGGATTCATTTCATGTTTTGTGTTGATATACATATATAAAGGGTTGCTATGCAACTGCATCATTGTTTAAGATTTTCTTCAAAGAAAATGTTAAATGGGAATATTAGTAACGAGGGGCTCATTAAATAGACTTTATGAATTCTTAACTTTTAACAAAGTTTCTGTAAATTCCCCCCAGACAACTGGAAAAACTATTGCCAAATTGTATTTGACCGTTGAACTAAATGTACAATGAACAGTTGAAAGATAAGCATGTTATTTAAACAAATGGTACTCATTTTGGAATGATTTTTAAAAATATTTTTTTATTAGATAAAGATATTGCATTTGATGGATGTAGTTGAAAAGTAGAGATGAAGTTTCATTTACTAACATGTTAGTTAGGTTAAATTAAGAATAAGAATACTCAGTGCAATCATAATGTCAAAAAATGACAGTGTCACTTTGGAACTTTTTATCAATCTACATAAAGACTAGAAAGAGATGTACACACCCACCTACAAGTGTAAGGATGGTCACATTTGTATTTAATTTGTCCACACGAGTGTCCTCGTACTATACAAATGAGTAACAGTTGTAATAACAAAATGTCACCACACGGGAGAGGTAGTTATTGTAAAACATTTGTAAAGGTGTCACTACATACTGTATGACTTTTGGAGTAATATGTTACTTAAGTAGGGACCAGGAATCCTCAATCTTGGATTCATTTCATGTTTTGTGTTGATATACATATATAAAGGGTTGCTATGCAACTGCATCATTGTTTAAGATTTTCTTCAAAGAAAATGTTAAATGGGAATATTAGTAACGAGGGGCTCATTAAATAGACTTTATGAATTCTTAACTTTTAACAAAGTTTCTGTAAATTCCCCCCGACAACTGGAAAAACTATTGCCAAATTGTATTTGACCGTTGAACTAAATGTACAATGAACAGTTGAAAGATAAGCATGTTATTTAAACAAATGGTACTCATTTTGGAATGATTTTTAAAAATATTTTTTTATTAGATAAAGACTTTACCTCCAGTTCCAAAAAATCAGGTTGATCTGTACCGGCATCAATGAACTTTGATATGATCATTTTATTTTACCATCACATTTTGAAAGGATGTTAGCATTATTTAAATCTTAGTTGATATCAAGATACATGTATGTTGGTTTTTATTTATTATATATTTAACGTTGTATTTTGCTTTTATGTTTTTCTGTGTATAATTGTCAATGTCTCGTCTAGTCTTGACCCAAGCCCTTGGAACCCCTCCCTTCCTTAATTAACCTAACTCTACAAGGGGAAGGGGGTCCAGAGACTTGATACAAGACTATGCCTCAATCTATGTTAACTGAAATACATGTTAGATTAAGAAATGTTGACGCACAAATAAGATAGTAGAAATACATGTACACTGTACAGAGTCATTGTGTTCAAGTGGAAATAGAAACACCAAGTGAGTTCAATCTGCTAAAGATAAAATGTGTTGAAGTTCGTCTATATTGAAAGATGTCACTGCAATAAACACAGTGTAAAAACTGGATAAAGCCAAGTAGGATTGGCTCCCAGAGTGCAACATCGATATTCTGTCCCATATATGGGGATGTCATGCTACAAAATTCCAACAGCCGCCATTTTGTTCACCTCAACATTTGAATCATGAATTTTGGTCTTATTTCCAAACTAAAAATCCCAAAACTCACAAGAAATGATCAAGATAATGATTTGAATCATTCGAACTGTTTATTATGTCACCACCAAAAGTGGTGACATATTGTTATGGTCTCCATTTTTTTGTGACGGCGTCCGGCGGTTGGTGGTTGGCGTCCGGCGTCTGTAACAATTTCTTACAACTTCCTATAACTTAACAAATACTGTTTAGACTGACTTCAATATTTTTCTAAATCATCTACATGTTCTCAGAAGTTCAAATCTGACTTTAGATTTGACATTTGACCTTCAATGACCTTCTCAAGGTAAAAAAGGTCTTTTTTCAACTTGCTTCACATTGACTAAATTTTTTTTCAAAATCATCTACATGTTCTCAGAAATTCAAATCTGACTTTAGATTTGACATTTGACCTTCAAATCTGACTTTAGATTTGACATTTGACCTTCAATGACCTTCTCAAGGTCAAAAAAGGTCAAAAAGGTCTTTTTTCAACTTGCTTCAAATTGACTAAATTTTTTTTTCAAAATCATCTACATGTTCTCAGAAATTCAAATCTGACTTAAGATTTGACATTTGACCTTCAATGACCTTCTCAAGGTCAAAAAAGGTCAAAAAGGTCTGTTTTCAACTTGCTTCAAATTGACTAAATTTTTTTTCAAAATCATCTACGTGTTCTCAGAAATTCAAATCTGACTTAAGATTTGACATTTGACCTTCAATGACCTTCTCAAGGTCAAAAAAGGTCAAAAAGGTCTGTTTTCAACTTGCTTCAAATTGACTAAAAAAAAATTTCAAAATCATCTACGTGTTCTCAGAAATTCAAATCTGACTTTAGATTTGACTTAAGATTTGACATTTGACCTTCAATGACCTTCTCAAAGTCAAAAAAGGTCAAAAAGGTCTTTTTTCAACTTGCTTCAAATTGACTAAATTTTTTTTTCAAAATCATCTACATGTTCTCAGAAATTCAAATCTGACTTTAGATTTGACATTTGACCTTCAATGACCTTCTCAATGTCAAAAAGGTCAAAAAGGTATTTTTTCATCTTGCTTCAAATTGACTAAATTTTTTTTCAAAATCATCTACATGTTCTCAGAAATTCAAATATGACTTTAGATTTGACTTTAGATTTGACTTTAGATTTGACATTTGACCTTCAATGACCTTCTCAAGGTCAAAAAAGGTCAAAAAGGTCTTTTTTCAACTTGCTTCAAATTGATTAATTTTTTTTTTCAAAATCATCTACATGTTCTCAGAAATTCAAATCTGACTTTAGATTTGACATTTGACCTTTAATGACCTTCTCAAGGTCAAAAAAGGTCAAAAAGGTATTTTTTCAACTTGCTTCAAATTGACCAAATTTTTTTTTCAAAATCATCTACATCTACATCTTTTCAGAAGTTCAAATTTGACTTTACAAGTTCTCAGAAATTCAAATCTGACTTAAGTTTGAACTCATAATATTGTGAGCAACTAGGTGGTGACATTTTGTCATGTTAATGCCTTGTTTTGAATTTATAATCGGTTATAAGTTCAGAGTATGAACATTGTTGGAAAATATCAACTTCGATTCTGGGAGCCAATCCTCCTTGGGATAAAGCTGAAAATAATGGGCAAACAACTCTCTATGTTGACCCATACCTTAAAATCTGGTTCTTTTGTCCATACTCCTGCAGAAAACATTAAATAACAAATCATAAATCTCTATATTATCCATTCCTCTGATATTTCCTGACTGTAAACTAAGTTACATGATAAACAACTTACGGGTTTTGGGAATTGTTATTATGTTGATATTCATGTAACTGTGTATACTGAATGAGTGAATGTAAATTTCCCGTTTCTTCAAATTACATTTACTTCAGTCTGGGCCAACATCTGTCCATATCTTAAAAGGAAAGAAAAGTTTGTCACTGGTCATTCTATACCTTTCTTTGTGTCTACACAGGTAGGGGATACTAAAGGTAGTTCAAGATGGTATAAAGCAGGCGCCAAATGAATGGCCAGACCACTGGTCATTGACAGTTTTTCTGTAAGGCTTGTTAATTATTGTGGTATAGAATATATCCAATATAGAAAAGAAATACCATTCTGTCATGCTGGGTTGAAATACTTAACACAATACCCTTTGCAAAATCTGGACTTCATTTACACAGTTTAAACAAATTAGACATGAACAAATCTGTTTTCTAAAATCATGACACACTAACATTCATGTCAGATTCAAATTGCTTTTAAATGGCCATAAAAGAGGTTAGAGATGTTAGGATCAATATCAGAACTTTAACATTTACTGCTATAGTTGTAGAATGAGTCTAGTTAATAAGGGTTCACGGTATGTGAAAATCAAGTAAAGGGGAACAGGGAAGCAATCAAACCATTTTGTGGCCTATGTGAATTATAACCTAAATACAGTGACACCTCTAGAAGTGGAACACTTCTGTGAGTCCCAAGACCAACTGATTCAATGTTAGATAAACCTCTATAAGTGGAACATCTCCCAAGTTGAACACATTTTAAAGGTACCAAAGGTGTTCCACTCAGATAGGTTTTACTGTATATGAATTTGAATTCAGTAAAACTTGTACAAGTGGAACACCTTTGGTACCTCAAAATACTGTTCCACATTGGAGGTGTCCAACCTATAGAGGTTCAGTTTATATTAAGTTAATGGTATCAGGACATGGAAAAGTGTTCCAATTACAGAGATGTTCCACATTACAGGTTTTACTGTATGATTATTCAGATCTCTAGGATATTGTGTAAATGAGACCATGTAATGTAACAGGTCATTGTTGATCTTTTTTTGCATGCTCATTTATTAATATTAAGGATTATTATTGCCATTATTGAACTATTGAATTATTGACTGATTGTTAAGCCAGAGATGTGATGTGACACAATGTTATTAATTAACATTTGGATTTCTAGCATGTTCTTCCAGCAACTGGTAAGATAAAATTTTGTATAAATAAACTATTCTTTTCTATTATTTCAAGTTTTTCCCGCCAATGCAGTATATATGTATTATGTACTTCCCATATTTATATTTATAAGACATGGTGGCTTCATCCCCTTACGATAGCCCAAATCATGTCAAAGCAAATTGAATTATTACGGAAGTACTAGTGTAGAGTGTTCTGAAAGTTTCAAAGTCTTATGCACGTATTCTAATTATTTTATATTATGTTGCATGACCTTCCTTAAACTGCATCTGGTTTGGATGGCGATTAGAGAAGGGAATCAAGACTTGACATGAATTCACATTCTAGACTTTTAAAGTTCATGTTACCCTAAAATTATTATATTATTTTATAGGGATTTACATAATGATGAAATAACCCTTCACCCCAGGGTACCTACCACCTTCCCTGTCCCTGCCAGCAATTTTGACCCCCCCAGAAGGTAAGCCTCTGCGGTGTATAAAGTACTTAATAAGCATCTGCATGTGTTTTGCCTTATTATTTTATTGCACATATTTTATATACACAACACTGCACAATCTCAAAAAATAATTGAGACAACTCACTCCTATTCGCGTATCTTGGTTATTTATCTTAATCATCAATGTATAATTGAAGGATGACACTAGATATAGGATCATAGTATCACTGGGAATAAGTTGTCCTCTCCCTTTATTTTTTTGTATATACTAATCGGGAATTCACACGACCAAGTAAGTATATAAAATATAGGGGGAGGGGTGCCTTGCTCCCCATGAACAGTGTTTTGGGCAATCATGTTTTTGGAGTCTTGGGTTGCGTACCTGGCTGTTTGTGGGTTATGAAAGGGTGTTGCTATCCCAGTTGTAATACCTTAGAATGAGACCATAAACCTTTCAATTTGTGGCTGTCACCTATTTTGTTTTCCTAAGGCTTACACTGGACACATTTGGAGTTGAAGTGATATGAAAGGGAAATGATACTGTGTTGAGTGAAATTTTGCCAAGTACAGGTATTTATTTCGAGTAGAATGTTTTGATCATCATTATGTGGGGTTTATATCATGAGATTAATATTTGGATTTGCAATCATTTTTGTGTCATCCCTACAAGTGGTATTGTTCTTGTCTCCAACTTTTTTGTGGATGGTGTTTGGCTTTTGAAGTTCATCATCTGTAACAAATGGCAGTTGGTGACATTTTGCATGTTAAAAAAGTTGTTGTTAAAGTAGGTACCATACATGTATTTGAAACCAATTGCATGGTGGGCCACAAATTGATGTTGCCAAGTGTTTGAAAAGAGTATTGAGACTTATGCAAAGGACGATTCTCGGTTTGGAGAACAGTCTCCTGGGCTAATAATTTTTTTCATGAAAAATATAGAAATATTACCCAAATTAAACTATAAATATTCAAAAGAGGACATTTAAATCTACAAGATGTAAAAATAACAAAGTGGTCTGAAGCAGGGATAACACTCAATTAGACCGATTCAATAAAATACAAGTCTTGATTTTGGGGAAAGAAGTTCATCAGTGTACTGCGCTAATATTTTTTTGCGAAAAATCTAAAAATATTACCCAAATTAAATTATGACTATTCAAAAGAAAACATTCAAATCTATATTATGTAAAAAAATCAAATTTGTCCGAAACAGGGATAATGCTCATTTAGATTGAAGAACTTCGTTCTCCAAACCGAGAATCGTCCTTTTCTTTTTTATGAATTATCTTTTTGGTTTAATTGATTGTTTTCAAATGACCTTATATGCCTTGAACACATGATACTAAAAACAATTTCCAAACAAAGTTACAAAATAGAGAGATTTTGGAATGTAAGTTGTGTGAAGCCATGCCGCATCTCGAGTCCTGGGCTCTTATGACATTTTACTGGATGCTCAATTTACTGTGATTAGTCTGCAGAGATCATTTCTACACATTTTAAAATAGTTTTGTGTAAATTGGATGTAAATTGTTCAGATAAGAGCAATTTTAGTGAACAATTTTGTGACAGATTATCTTGTCACTCTGGGTTTCAAAGTCATTTCTGAGGTGATGAGAAATCTCATCACTCCAGGTAGGCAAGAGTTTCTAAATGAATTGTAATTTCATCATGCTCTAGCACAGAAATCTGAGCTGAGCAATCAGCTTATATGATTTCATGTAGAGAGTCATGGATATCATGGGATAAAAAGCTTATTTACTGGCCAGAATTGAATATGGGTTTACATGGGCGTAGCGCCTGGTATGCTGGGTACGCACAGGCGTACCAGATGGTTGCAAATTCGCTCCAAATACAACCAAATTTCAAAATTTTCCTGGGGGAGACCCCCAGACCCCCATGAATGTTCGTTTTTTGATTCACTCAACTATTGTTCCCGTGGTTGTTGCGTACTACTTAGAAAAATAGCGCTACGCCCATGGTTTATTCATCCTTTGTAAACAATATATTTCCTGAGGGCCCTCAGAATAAAATCCATATTCAATCCCTCCCAGTAAATAAATAGCCTATGTATATTCTTATGTGATCTTTCTTGGTTTTTGTTACACCAAATGTGCCATATATTCTTTGTTGCACACATGGTATTTGCAATATATGGCAGGTGAGTATTAGTTAATGAAAACACAGAATGAAATCATGTACTAGGTGAGTATGACATATTCCAGAAGTGAGAACATGATTTCAATGGGTGTCGACTTTTGGCTTGCAACTGAAGATACCTGAAAGAAAAGCTGGAGACTGCCGAAGATTTTATTTGCAAACGAATTTGGCCACAAATGTGAAGAGGACGTCTCTCATTGGTCAAAAAGAGAGGCTCGACATTCTCCATCAGATTGAATCGGCAAAATTCGGTTGTATGGCTTACCTTCGACTGCATGACCCAACCTCGATTGAATGGCCCAACCTCAATTGAATGGAAAAGATGCTGTCCCTGACTTCAGTGCCCTTTGGTTCAATCATATCGATGCAATTGACTTGCATACTTCCAAAATGCATTCTCATTGGTTAGTGAATATGTCATGTACACCTGTGGTATATGACATATTCACTTGTAGAATATGACATATAATTGTATTGTGTTTCCAGCATTACAGTTTTTGAGTATTGTCAATCGACTGATGGTCTTGTTGGTTTCAACATTTCTATGTTTTTGGGTTATTGTTTGATTTAAAATTATTTTTTGATACTGTTTTTACATTTTAATCTGTTTCATTAGAACATTAATATGATTAAAAGACACTTCATTACTTTTTTATTCGTTCATTTCTGTACATCCAGTTTATCATCACGTCACATTTAAACACACATAGGCTGCACTTTCACTTTTATCTTCACAATGTAGGTATCAAAAAGTGAACAGTGTTAAAAAGTTATTAATGTGTGATGCTGATGTGATGAGTTGTCAGCTGAAAAGAAGTGAAAGACTTTCTGACAGTTGCATGTAAGATTTATCAACTTTCATGCTCTCGCTTTTCTCATCATTTTGAAATTATTAGATTCACATCTATATCCCATTGAATACATGTTATGTTTGTTTATCAGATTCGTTGACTTAGAAGTTGTTTTTGTGGCTAAACCACAAGAGAAAATTCTCTCTGGGATCTGACTGACTTTTCTTGCTATTATGATTGAGGGCGTAATCTATTGAAATAATGCAGTCACAATACACTAACCTCAATAATTGCCCCAAGGTTTTTGGGTCATACGTCATGTCTTGACAATTTGAAAAGTGAGTGGGTGCATGAGTGCTTCTTTTCAAAATTCCAGAAAAATCGCTAAGCTGTTCAACTTGAAATTTTTGCAGATGCAAGAGCAAAATAGTGCCAAGATCTGACAACATGATTGTGTTATATCATATTATATTATATTTTGATTGTTAAAAAGCCCTGATTCTTGTTCTAATCTAATCTTTTATGTTTGCTAAAATGATCTAAATAAATCTTTGAATGCATTTGATGCTCTTTTCTCCAAGGTTACCAATTTATGTTTTTTATTGCCAGTTAAGACCACACTCTGGGATTTTATGCACAAGAATAATGAATAAAGCAGCATGGTGTTCTTTTGACAGCCACATATATATTTCTGAATTCATAAGTTTTGGGCTTAATGAGTAAATCTGGGTAATGTTAAGTTCTTGATAAAGGGTTTATATAGTCTTAAATGAGATTTGTAAGCTGGCGCTAACTCATAGAATAACATTGGCTTAAGCAGCTGGCAGTTACTCTGGATAATATATTAGAAAAATACTGCAAATATTATAAAGAACTATTAACCTATGTTGACAAATTTCTTCAAAACGTGTAACGAAAACATCAAAAAATAAGTACAACATAGCAGTTGGAGGATTTGGAATAAAGGAATACTACAAAATAATTCAAACAAACTACACTGAAATAATGTTTGAATGGACAACTATTTTAAGATGTTTTACTGAATATAGTGGGGGTGTTAAATCCTATATGGCAATTCAAAAACTTGTAATGGTAAGAAAGCATGAAACTAATTTTTAAGATGTTTTATTCATGAAAACACTGTATTTCAATGAAAAGAATAAAAAGGTACAATGTGCCATTATGTACACCCACCCCCATATTTTGATGAATATATAAACCTTTTTTTCTCATGAGAATAGAGATATTTGAATTCAAAATTGCAGGTTTTGGAGCAATAATTTACAAACCAATGTAATTGTAATTTAAACCTTATGTTCACATTCAAATATTGATATTAGTAAAACTTAAATGCAGGCAATGAGAAAATTTAGAATTATGAATGGGGGACTTTTTGAAGATCCCAGTATTACATGTCACATTAATTTGCATTAGTAAATCTCAAAATTTGAAAAAATTAAAAAATTATTTGAAAAAACATTAAAACATAAATGTATGGCAACCCAAGAAAACAAAATCATAGTAAGATGGATGTTGAAATTGGTTTCATATTTGTTTGTATAAAGTTTTGACACAGAAGTGAGACATTTGGCAAAAGGTATGAGAAAAGCTACAATTCATCAATCACAAGTGTTCATTGTTATGTGACAATCTATATACATGTACTGTAACATTTATTGTCGTGTGAAATCTATTATTTTTGAAGGACTTTAGCTTAGATTAGGAGTGGATATGGATATAAATCTATATAAAAACATATAGGCAACTTGGGCTAACCTCTTCAATTTCTCCCTTACAGAACTGAACCTTGTCAATATGTTGCGCATACTTTATCAATATTTATATTAAATACACATGTAGGTTTCAATACACACACATTTCGTTGACGAATTTTAGTGTCATTCATATACAAATGATCATTATTTATATTTTCTTATTTCTATCATACGAAAGCATGAACCTTGTCATTCAAATTCAAGTCAATAGCATTTCACATTGAATCTTAAAAAGGGAGCTCGCTTGCCAGTGGTATAGTGTCCTGTTGTGTTTTGTAGGTATAATTGCCAGCAATTGTGATTGGGAAGGATGTGAGCCATCAACGCATCATGTACACGTGGTTGCAGTTGGCTGAATCCATTGCTAATCATCCTAATTCAGTTTTACATGGTTGCATTAAGGCTTAGTTCAGGTAAGCGATGTTTTGCTTGTTTTTTTAGATTTGTATGTTTTGTTTATTTTATTTTGTAGTTTGATGTTTTTGTTTGTGAATATGGGGTTTAAGCACCTTATTAAAAGTATGTTATTAAAAGTATATTTTTCAAATAAGAAATTGATGTCTCGCAATAGGTTATTTTTGTTATTTTTGTTATTTTTGTTGGTTTTATAAGGTTTGTAGATCATTGGATTGTGCTGTGTTTTTTAAAAAATTGTGCATATTCAATAAGTAAAGAACAGATATCAATTATATGTCAAATCCTATATATGGTGCTAAAACAATAAAATGAAACATTTTCTGAATGGATAAGAATTTTTTATTTGCTGAACTCCTGCTAATACAGTCAGTATACATACACTAATAGAGCTCCTATTTTGTGTTTATTATCAAAATAAGTATGAGTCTAATTTATTACTGTAAAAGTGTACGACACCAACTGGATACAGTTCATTTAAGAAAATCTTGATATGAAGACAAGGAAAGGTCATGGTTAACACATATTAGTGTTACACTCAATAATTATATGTTACCCTTAATACTTTTACTATAAATAGTGAATGTGGATGATTATAAGAACGACCCAAGGCCAGGTCGAGTTCTAACCTTTGATGTTGTTGATTTGTGAATGAATTACTATATCTGTTAAATGTTTAGTATTGATGTCAAAATATTGCACCCTATTAATCTATTTGACTTGAATACATATTTTAATGTTTCAATTCAATGTTTTGAAAATTGATAACCTGATTATTAATTTAAAGATGGTGTCTTGTATGAAAAATAGGTAAACTATAAATGTCATAGAACTAAACATCTAATTTGTAGTTATACAGTTATACATACATATGTGCATGTCATATAACAGTTTTTTGGGGTCATTTAAGTAGAGAATTAAACATGGTAATGTTTTCCATTTTCTGCAAATTTAAAAAAAGTTATAAGGGATTTTTCTTTGTATTCAAAAACACAGTCGGAGGATAAAATGTTTATTAACCATTTTAAAGGCATCTTAAAATGTTTTAAGGGAATATGGTATTCAGAAAGGTTAATTACTAATACAGTGAATATTTTTAAGTTTGTTTACAAGAAAATACCTTCAGACTTCAATTATCCTGAAACTAAAATTAGAACTTCAGTTTCCATTATTGTTTTGTTTTTAGTATACTACAGCTATACTGTAAAATGTGAATTTATTTTATACCCTATAATTATTCCTTGGATTATTGAATTAAATATATCATCCTAAACACTTCTACAATCATACACTAATACACTTGACTAATAATTATAATCTTCAATTTTTACTTTCGTGAATGAAAAATATTTCTAAAATAAAAACAACAATTCTTTGCAGCAATAATTTAGTTTAAGAATTATTCTGAAATATATTTCAGGGATTGCTGCCACACATCAGCCACTTTTTCAGATGCCTAGAACACCTGAATATGAAGCTTACTCATGTTGTCGAAACTAATAAGGCCAAACTAATAAAAGTGTCAATTGGATAAAAAACATCAAAAACTGTATAAATAGGGAGAATACTTTAAGAAGGATAAGACAAGAAAATCTGGCATTCCATTCATGGCAGCTCAAAGGAATTAACTTGGGTTCCATCTATGATAAGGAAGATGAAAATGGCCAAAAGGAATCCCACGGTGACACTGATATGTACATTATTAGGAATGATGATTTCACAATCACATGCTGTAGAGATTAAGAGAGAATTGTACTTGGGGGATGCCTTCCAAACCCCATCTTGTTTTATGTCCAGTTACTGCCAGGCTCGTAGGGCAGAATTGCCAACATCAGGGGATAGGTGCAAGTGTGTATGTCGCTCACCCTACCTCACATACCACCAGGGAGTGGATACCTGTGTTATTGCTATTCCTGGTGAGTAAAAGCTTTAAATAGATATTTCACTTTGCCTTTGTAACTTGCTGGATTTCACTTTTTGAAACGAGATATTTCAGCCATAAGATAAAATGTGCCTTTAAAGGCCCCATGCAAAATTTGAAAATATGTTTTTATAATTCATTTACTATATTCGCTGACTTTAAAAGTGATAATCATCGTGCATTTTTCTCTGAATCTCTTTCATGCATGGATGAGTTTATTCCTTGCTTATTTATCAACTAATTTTTCTTCATTTTTTCAATAAAGAAACATGCTATATATGTATTTGGATGAATTATGGATCATTAAAAGATATGTGTGACCTCTAAAATTTAGCTATAAATACATTCATGATTTTTGGATTAAAAAATCCTTCAAAAACCACTTTTCAAAATTAATACAAAAGTTTCACATATCACACTTTGATAACATTGGGTAAGACTTCAATATAAGCCAAAGTGGTTTAAACTTTATATGGGGCCTTTAACATTCTGGAAAAAGGAGAATGGCCTTTTATTTAGTCAAATAAAAAATTAATGCTCTTCTACAATGCTGAAAAGCGATTGAGGATCTACTTCTGTAATAAATTATATTGATATCAGTAGAAATAAAGCTCAGCCAAATGTTGAATGTTAAACAATGACTTCAATCAAGATAAGTTATGCATTTAACTTTCAGAGTGCCAAAGTCTCCAGATGGGGAGTGGTTCCAGTTCACCACCTGTCATATATTTGCCAAGGACTGGCAACAAAATTATCCCAAGTTCACCATTGTACTCAAACTGTAAGTCCCTTTTACTTGTTTGTTTTATGTATTTGTTATTTTTAATGAAATCAAAAGATCAATATATCATCTACCATCAAAATACAAATCTTCTTCGTTTTGCATATTGATGACGCGTATAAATGGGTTTTGTCATTAATGTGACCACATTTTACGACAACAGGAAATGTCTTCATTTATAAGTTAATAGGTGTGTATTTTGGATATCATATCAAAAGCTGAAGCATTATAATACCAACCTTAAACAACTCAAAGCAAAATGTTTTGATAATAGGGAGAATTTTGCTTCTCACTTATAGCATGTTTATTATTCCCATATATGCTACAAGTGAGTTGCGAAATCTCTCTATAATTCAGTTGATAAAGGTTTATACTTGTATGATTTTTTTTATGATTTTGTATGGAAGAGATCATGATTATTTGATCAAGGCTGGATTTTTGAGATTAACATTTCAAGTACTGATTGAGAGGATACGGTTTAATTGAGCTTTAATAAATATAACCTTGTAAAATGTTATGACTTATTTTCCCCTGTGTATTGTTTGAGGATTGGCTGAACCTTATAACCCAGTAGTGTCATACTCAGTAGTTTTCTCTTGTTGAACCTCTGCTCATATTTAAGCATCACAACCTGGGCAGATTATCGCTCATGCTGATAACATAAACCAATGTGATACACAATCAATTGAGTTGTTTAGCACAATCCATCTTAATATTTTATTATGTGGATAATTGGTATGATAATGCCAAGAAGTTAAAGGAGAGACCTTATAACTTAAAAGATTAGAGCTTAAACTCCATAACTTTCATTATTTATAGGTTTGAACTCAGCATGACAGATGAGTGTTTTACTTCAATATTGATATGGCTTAGCTGATCTAAGACAGTTTTTCTATGCATGTTTTTATGATGTAGTAAATGCGTTTTCAGTCCAATGCACATTTCAAACTGTTATCTTCACCTGAACACAACATGGTAGATAACCCTAACATCTTTCTTTTTGAGATGAACAAGATCTCACACCCAGTATTTGGTTATTTCGTCTACATGTCTCATTATTTTTTTGATAAAATCTGAGCTTCTTTGAAGAGGTTTTGTCAGCGGAAAAAAACAGTATTTGAATACTTTATGAATACCCGAATGACCACGTTTATCGGTGAGAATATTTGAATGTGCGGTTCATGCTTGTGAGGATCACCTTGAGCAGTTGATATGAACACCTAAATAGGGAATTTACAAGGACATGTTATGTTAGGATACCATTTAATGATACACCAAAAGAAACATGACACTAGATATGAAATCTCAGCATGAATATTCAGAACTTCTCCTTTTGCTTTCAAAGGACATACTGTAATTCATTGTAATACAAATCTCAGATGATTCAAAAATGCAAAACAAGAAAACATGTTACAAGAAGTCTAATTTTTTTATTTGTTTTCCAGCCAATGGTACAGTTGCTTTAAGTGGTATGGCAGAGTGTACTATTGGAACAGTCTCTGTTCTGGGAGAGTCCAATACATGGGACAGTATCACATATGGGCGTGGCCTTCTAATTGTGCCCATAGAGGGGAAGCTCTACCTAGAGGTGAGATTATATGAATTCTAATTTTTATTGAAATCACATAAATATATTTATATAACAGTAAAATTAATATTTTGCCAAAGAAAACTAATGCCTTAGTCACATTTGATCTACAGCAACCATACAGTGGTTGTACTTCCCAGAATTGAGAGAAATGTACAGGATAAAGTATAGGAATAAGCAGTACAATATAGATTTTCCATATAGATTTGATGAAGCTACGGCTGGTGTACGCCACCCGTAGAACAAATATGACTGAGGCTTGACTTTCAATATTTGGACCTATCCTTGTAAGGTTATTCATAATCATTTATATTGATGATGACTTAAATATAAAGTATATCAATATTTGTGATGTCATATTTGTTATGTATTGTACATATTGTAGTGGAAGGGTGACATACCTAGCAGGGACAATCTACGGGGAAACCTGGTGAAAGTTGAAGTCTCGTGCATGTTGGAGGACGTCACCCAGGAGATGTGTATCACTGTGAAGATAGATGGCACCACGGGTGCAGGTAGCCAACAATTCTTTGGTCAAACAATATACAGTGGCTTTATGGGAGACAATTAAAATACTGTATATTCACTGTTTATTCAAGCTTTTTTATCAACATAATTTGCATTAAAAAATGGAACACCTCTCTAAATGGAACACCTCCATTAGTGGAACACTTTCCACAGTTCCGCAACTCATTGATTAATTGTTAAATGAATCTCTGTAAGTAGAGCACTTCCTAAGTGGAACACTTTTTAGAGGTACTAAAGGTGTTCCACTTACCCAGGTTTTACTGTATGTGGTATGTGTATGCAGAATAAAGCGTTATAAACATTTGCTGTCAAGAATGGATCAAAGACAGTTTTGTAAATATCATAGTCAGCTCAAAGGACATTTAAATCTGCAAGATGTAAAAATTGTCCGAAGCAGGGATAACGTGCAGTAGACCGATTCAATAAAATACAAGTCTCGATTTGGAGAAAGAAGTTTATCAGTGCACTGCGCTAATATTTTTTTAATGAAAAATCTAGAAATATCACCCAAATTAAATTATGACTATTCAAAAGAAGACATTCAAATCTATATTTTGTAATATTATGTAAAAAAAAAAAACTTGTCCGAAGCAGGGGTAACTCTTAATTAGAGTGATGAACTTTGTTCTCCAAACCGAGAATAGCCTTTTCACATATGACTCAATCAATGTTGAATTTCTTTGGGTAAAGCTGTGACTGAGCCAGAAGATGAAATTGAACCAACAGAACCCCCAAAGCCAACCACAACAACAACTGTACCTCCACCAGTCCAAACCGATCCTCTGATGCAACAAGTGATGATTACGCTAATCGCGATTGCTGTAATCATGGTAATCATATTTTCTATGGCTATATGTGGCCTGTGTTACTGCCGATATGCTGATAAAAAGGAGATTGAGAAGCGCATGATGAGATACAAAGAGGTTCAGGAAAACTGGGAATATACTTCACAGGTATGAGATTCCACTCAGTCCATGAATATCACTTTTAGTTTTACTTTATGTGTATGCCTGTACATATATCATATGTATACTGATTTAACGTCGTGAAATTTTGAAATAAGCATTTTGCTGGCTTCGTTCACTGGACCCTTTTGATAAATGAAAAATGTGTAAATGTTTGTCAATATTGTTATTTTTGTGCTTTCAGAGAAGTTATGAAATCTTCAATCGCAGAAAAAGTTTGGATAGTTTAAGAAGTGTAAAAAGTGGAGTTCTAAAGGTACTTACTATAGCATATGGTTTTGTCATAATCACAATTGTTTTGTCACCAAAAATCTTTCTAATTTCAGAGTGCACAATAACATTGACTGTACATACCCTACCTTTCTTATCAGAAATATCTAAAATCATATGGCACAGTATACTGTTAATAACACAAAACTCCTCTAGATATTCTTTGGATTATGAATTCAGAATATGTACATTATTTAACTGTCATGTACATGTTTAATAATTACCACTGGACTGGGTAATTTGCCCAGGGAGTTTCCCATGGATAATGGAACTATGCACAAATTGAAAGAACTGAATCAAAATCACAATGTTTGCCAAAGAACCAAAGACATTCTTGGCTGTTAAAATCAATCTACATCCAAATGAAATATGACTTTATTCCCTTTCCCAAACTACTTTGGCAAATCTTGAATTTTGATATCATACCTTTCTGCACTGGAACATTGCATGACACTAAATGTTAAGAAAAAGCTAATTTTCTTTTCACAGTCTATACTAAATGGATACTCACAGTCTGCAAGTTATAAAGTGTCTGAACAGGTAAAGACTCACTCTTCACTCTATCATGTTAAGCTTATATAGAAAAAATGCACACATGTACTTATGTAGCTCTTTACTAATCTGTCCACTTGGGATATTTATGTAAGGTTACGTTTTGAATAATTTTATGAATTTTTGTACTGTATTATTGTCTGGCAATGTACAATGCAGTGGTAATATTGATGATAATATATATGACATTGGTTTTGGTTTTCTTACCATTTCTTTGTCAAAATTGTTGAGTTAACCCTTGTATGTATAAAATGGTATCACCTTTGAATTGCTTTCAAATTCTCCTATTACAAATTTTAGAAAATCTAGAAAGAACCATGTAAAATAAATTGTGTTATCTTTTAATAGGGAATGTGTCGATTGTTCAATGTCTGATGGAAAACTTTGTGTATCAGATCTCATCTACAAAAAAAAACATTTATAATTTTAGTTTTAACTTTGTAACTAGACATTTAACTATAGATGGCTCTCCTCAGGAGCTGGATCAAATGTTTTTGTGTCATATTTTACAACTTCTTTAATTAAAGTGTAAAAAGCCTGGGATTTATTTGCAACATAATGAATTTTTTTTTCAGACCAGCGGTAGTGTTAGAAGCATGCGACAGAAGAAGAAACGAGTCTCATTCCAGGATACGCTAATCGTCCATAATATCGATACATCAGAAGATGTTGAGGCCGAGATCCAAGAAGATGATGAGAAACACACCGCAGACAAATACACTCAAGAAAATTATAAACGACATTCAAGGTATTCAATGCATTATATCAAGAATATCGTCCAAATAGGACAGACTAAAGTAGATGACAACTCAAATAGTGAAACATCTTCAGTTTCCTCATCTCAAGTTGACGAAACTGTCAAATCAACTAAACGTGTCAGCAAAACAAAGAAGACTAAAAGTGAAGATAAAGATGCAAATGTAAACCAGGAAACAGAGGAACCAGATAAGAATGACAATGAAAAGAATGACAAGGACGACAAGGACAATAATATTGCTCAGGTTCATGACAAGAAAAGTTCAATGAAAAATAAAAATAAGATACCTCAAATTAAAGACAAAGGTGAAGTAAAAGATGATAAATACAAAGAGAAAGGGCATAAATATGAAGTAAAAGAAGATAATCATGAAGTCAAACAAGATAATGTTGAAGTAAATGAAGACAGTGCTGGTAATGAAGACAATGTCAGTATTGAGGACAATGCTAGTAATGAAGACAATGCTGGAAAAGACAATCATGGATATGACACTGATGTAATTCACTCAGACAGTGATGACTCTGATATTCTCGAAACTGAGACAATCGTCCATGTTCCTCTGGGTGAAATTGTGAAATCCTACGAGTCCTCACCCACTGATGATAGCCAAAGTGAGAGGACTCTGAACACAGGTGCTGAGAACAGTGACAATGATGAAGTTGATGAATCAATAGACACTGATGAAGTTGTAATAGGAATTGAGGAGAGTGAGGATGAAGAGAAGGAAAATGATGAAGTTGATGAAAAATTCTTTAGGAAAGAAGAACGTAGACTAAGTGTAAAGGATATGGTTGCGAAATATGATGATGGAGATGTTGTTATTAAACCATCTCTGTATAAAAAGAAAAAAGAATCGAGGCCTAAAAGTGTATACTGGTGATAGTACAAAACCTTAAAATGTTCAAGCACCTTTCTAAAGGAACACAACTAATATACTGTTCATCATTATGTATGAACACTTTAACATTAGTTCCGATGTCAACTTTGCACAATGACCACGTAAATGCTGATTTAAATTTATACTTTTTCATAAATGATTCAATACATGTACTTTCTTACAGTGGTGTACAACCTTCATTCCATTTAATGTGATAAGTATATTAATAATAAAAAAGATCATATTAGGCAATCATCTAAGTCACAAGCACCTTTATAACAAGCTAAAATATACAACCTCTACTAAAAAAAACTACTAGTATGCAGTACTAAAGTGTACATTTGATTTTGAATATGAAAACTATCTGTGACTTGTTTAATATTGTTTAAAAATCTGAATAGTCTAGCAACAAGCCCCTGTGATATCTCCCCTCAACTTGACTACATACATTCTGACACAGGAATGAGTTGCGGGGGGGGGGGGTTCAAGGGCTTGTAGCTAAACTAAAATCTGAACTCTAGTACTCAGGTAAAATAGAAAGTTGTCCAAGATAATGTAAATAAAGAAACTATTGGGATGAACCAATGATGCATTACTTCTCCCAACTACAACTTTCTGTTTTGCATTCATAAGATGGTTACTTAAATGCTGCCAAAGGAAGGTACAAGAGCCTATCATGGGATTATCCAAATTCGAAATCATGTGTCTCATTCCATATACAATTCTATATTCCAATTAAACCAAATGAAATATTAAAAAGAAGTCTAGCATGCTTTGTTGTGAATCCCTATTTCCAAGTGGATGGCTCGACTTATTCATTTTAACAACTGTTGTAAATGGACCTGGTAAAGTGTATAGATGGCAGTAGGGACAAGTCGTTAATTGATACTTCATGTTGTATTGGATAATATGTAAATAAAGTAGTACTCAACATTTTCCAATACAATAATTATACAATTTTGAAGTAATATTTACATGGTCATTTATCTGATCCAGTGTGTTATCCATCTACTGAGACTTCTACTAATATCATGTCATACTATCACACAAAAAATATTGTTGCAACAAAATACTGTAAATGATAATTTATATAAAATTTATTGTTTTATACAAAAATAAAATATATTTACAAATGTAGTACATTGTTTTATGATTGGTAATTTACATAAGTTATTTTCTTGTATTATAATGGTTCCAAAACTGATTTGGTTTTGATGTGAAGATTTTGCTGTAGAATCTACACAAAATCCATTACAATAATTGTAATACAATTCACCTTCCCTCTCAATAATATGAGTGTAAAATGTAACATCGTTTCAAGAAATGGTTTCCTTACAACTCTCAATTTATTTTCTGAAAAAGTGAGATCTTCTAAAATAAAGTCAGAACAGTTTGACATTTTATGTTACCACCATATAAAATCTTTGAAAAAATTTGAATCTTAAAAGGACCAGGTATGGTATGGCAATTAATAATGTTAGACAGTCGTATCGTTTACCACAATTGTTTTCTAACCATAAATACAACATTTCCCATAAAAAAGAAATTATCACGAGGGGTCCTAAACAATGGTTTTTGAGAAAGTTGAATTATTATTTTTTTTACTAAAAACATTATTTCAATGAAAAAATGCTGTATTTATGGTCTGAACCATATGAATAATCATTGTCAAAGATATATGTCTCAAATCATTTGCCATACTAGTAACCATACTTGGTGATAACATCTTGGCATTTATCACCATAAAAACAGTTTTGCTACACAATCAACAGATATGGTTTGGTATAACATTAAAAACAAGTTTTGAGCCTTGAGGGTAGGATGCAACATATCATCTTTCTATCCTCTATTACGTGTCATCCTCTTAATAATTGAATAAATCTATTAATGTATACATTTCCTCAGAATAATTTTCCCCACAGGGTCTTTAGTAAATTGAAACCATAATTTCTAAGTAATTCACATTAGAGAATTGTCAGAATTAGTTCTCAAAGTATCTACATTACAGTTCATAAGTTTGTTGTGTCTGCATTAATAGATTTATAGTGTCTGCATCAGAGTTCATAGTGTGCATTAGAGTTCATAAATCCATAGTGACTGTATTAGTGTTCATAGTGTTGGCATTAGAGTTCATAAATTCATAGTGTCTGCATTAGAGTTCATAGTGTCTGCATTTGAGTTCATAAATTCATAGTGTCTGCATTAAAGTTCATAGTGACTGCATTAGAGATCATAAGTGCATAGTGTCTGCATTAAAGTTACATAGTGTCTGCATTAAAGTTCATAGTGTCTGGTAGGAGACTATAAGTTCATAGTGTCTGCATTAGAATTCAGAGAATTGAGATAGCTTGATTCTTCCCCTCTAAGAACCAACTTCTCACTCGCCAACTTAGGACCTTTCTTCTCCTGGAAAATGTAGAAATGTACATTAAGAAACTGATTTATGCTGGATAGGTTACAAGCTCTATAAAGCTGTACTGAACATTTCATTATACAATGTGATTTGATTTTTTTTATCATCGAGATCATCTTATATTCATTACATAGTTTGATGTTATGTTCGAGAGATCACAGAATACTATATTTACTATAGTTATAATATATCCTATAATAGTAATATAAGCAGCATGTTCTTCCCGTAGTAATTCTTACCTTAAGCATTGAAGCTCTCGTGTACTTGGAGCTGCCACACCTACATGCCTCTTTGGGGTATCTCAAGAATGAGGAGGTGTGGTTGCTACAGTTGGTGCACTTGAAGAAACGTTTCTTAGCCTTGGTACGCCTCACCACATGGTTCAGGTCTTTGCACATTGCACTCACTTTAAAGCTTGTATAGTCACACTGGAATGAAGTGGAGAAGAGTTTATTTTAGAAATTAAAATTTTTTTTTTTTTTTTTTTTTTATAAAAATATTTATTCAAAAACATAAACGCAAAATACATAAACACAAACAATACTTAAATCAATAAAACTATGCACAGACGGAAATATACATATATCCTGGATTAGAATTTATACAATAGTAAAATAGGATTTTCACAGCATTATATACTCTATCAAAATTTTGATCCTTATACAATAGTAAAAGTCCATAAAATCCATTCAATCTTAGTAAGCAGCAAAGGCATTTATAATTTTCTTAAAATCATGAGCAATATTTACTTTTCCTTGCAGTTTAAAAATGTGTTCATAAATATTTAATTTAGATGCTATTTTCGATTTAAAATTTGCTTGTTTATATTGAGTTGGATTGTCTGAGTTTTTTGTCCAAATTTCATGAATACATTTCATCAATATTGTGTAAAGCAACATTCTAAATTCTAATTTGCTGTTCATGCTTTGGTACCCCAGAAGTATATTTTTCCAAGTAATATCCACCTTTAGTGTTTCACTTAGAATATTCCATAGATTTTTAATTAACACACAATCATATAATAAATGTCTAATGTCTTGTACAACATTACACTCACTACATTCTTTTGGTACATTCATATTCCACTTATTTACCAGTTTTCCGCAGGCTAAGAAATTATGTAATAGTTTAAAATTAAATTCTGATAACTTTTGGCATTCAATATCTTTTATCTTGTTTTTGTATATATTTCTAAAAGTGATTCTATCGTTCTGAATATTGAAGGATTTTGTCCAATCTGCTTCCATCTTTGGTCTAATAAATTTATCTTTCAATAGGATTTTATAAAAGAACTTTGAACTTAATTTCTCAAGGTTTTCATATTTGTCATTTCTAAATAGGAAAGAGTTTGAATGCCTTTTGTTAGCATATTTCATACTTTGTTTACATTCATATTTTATATTGTGCAAAACAAGTCTAATTCTTAAAAATTCGGTCATCCAATTTTGCTTATTCTTTAATCTTAACAAAACAGTTTTCTCATCAATGAGATTATTTCTCTCGTCAAAAAAGTCCTTGACATAAATAAAACCTGCATTTATCCAATTTTTCATGTACAAAGTTTCTTTCCTACATAAAAACCGTTTGTTAAGCCATAAAACTTCTGTTCCAGGAAGTTTATTTTTCTCTATTTCCTTACATCTATTGTATGCACAAAAGACATGTTTGTAGAACTTATAGTGATCTAAAATCTTAACATTTTCGTCAAAATTTGTTTTGTAAAAATCGTTTATTGTAAAACCAAGCTTATTTATGATAAATTCTGGAATTATTTTAACCGATGTGTTTGTTGTTTTAATACGAGGTGCCCATGCAGCTTTTAAAGCATCAATTTTACATTGAATGTCTACCAGATTAATCCCCCCATCAAGTATATTTCCAATTAAAGTATTTCGTTTTACCCAATCCTTTTTCCATAGAAAACCGTAAATAATTTTATTGATTCTTTTAACAATATCATCGGGTACATCTAGAATACTTAAATTGTATACTAATTTTGAAATTCCAAGAGTGTTAATCACATGTGCTTTGCCAAAGAGGGTCAGTTTTCTTTTTTTCCATGATTCAAAGAGTTTTTCAAAATTGTTGATCTTGTTGTCCCAGTTTTTTTCTTTGCACAAAGTTTTGTCATTTCCAATAAATATTCCCAGACATTTTACAGGTTCTACTCCAAAATGAATATTTTCATATTGATGTCCATTACCTTTTAAGTTACCTAACCATATTCCCTCCATTTTGCCCATATTTAAATTAAGTCCAGATATTTCAGAAAAATTATTTATTTCTTTAAGTGCTTCACGAATAGATTCTTTAGTTGACAATGTGAGGGTGGTATCATCTGCATGTTGAATTACTTTTATTTCTTTTTTGTCAATTTTAATTCCTTAGAAATTAAAATTGATATTCAACAAATTGTGGGGTTCCCATTTATATTGAGAATGAAGAATAGAGTAATCAGTGTTCTCCTTAGGATTTTTTCCTCAAGATGGGACACATTTTCAAAATTTTCAACCAATAAGCCTCTTTTCAAAATCTTATATGGGTAGTGTGGATAGCAGTTGACTACTTAATGGTCTGTACTCAATGTAGATTTAATTAAGGATACACACACTATTATCACATTTATATTTCCTGGTACTATACTTTTAAATTTCACATAATCCGGAAAAGAATATTACAATTATGGCTTGTGATCTGACTTTGGCTGTAGGCAAAATACTTGAAATATATAATATGTACCTTATCACATATGACAACATCACAGACCATCTCTTTTATACTCGCCATCTTCTCTTCATACATCTCCTTCTTCTCCAGAGGGCGGAAATATTTCTCCAATCTTTCAGCCTCCATCTAAAGAAAAAATATATTTAGCTTACAATTATGCATACAAGGGTTTATTTAGTATTCTCATAAAGTGGCGATGAAGTAAAAACATGAACCATGGAATGAGAAAGCATGACAAATTGTGGTTAGCATTCAGAGTAACTTTTAGCCCTTTTTATAAATCAATAGTGACCACTTTCAAAATTCAATTAATCGTGATGAATTATGTCACGAGACAGGAATTAATTTTCATAAAATAACAATATACATGAACTCAATAACATTAATACACAAAAATGAAAGTTGAAAGTTTCTCACATCTGAGAGTTCTGATTGGTGTTTAGAGCGGGCCTTGACAACTTTTTGAACATTTGGGTCATCCATATCTAGACCACCAATGAAGCGAGACTTCTTCTTGGGAGGAGCCTCTTCTTTGTTTTCCCTCTCACTACTGGAATCTACAACCAAGGGAGAATATTCTCATCTTACTATTTCAATAGTAAGATATTTTAAGATTATCTTTTAAAAAGGTTGCATTTAATTAAGTATACTCATAGTCCTAACCACCTTTCTATTTCAATTGAAACATTTTTTATCAAACATTATTGCATCAGAAATCAGAAAAAGTTATTATTTTAGTGACTGGATTCATAACACTTGCAGTACCTGTAAAAAATCCAAAATAGCAAAATAGTATAATGACTAGGGGTCACACGGTTTGAGATTTCACGGTTCGGTTCGGTGATTGTATTTCACAGTTCGGTTCGGTTCTGATTGCGGTTCTCACGGGCCTCGTGAAATGAGCAAAAATATATGAAATTGATCCGAAAATCAGAAAACATACTAAGTGTGTCACAGTGTTTTATTGTATTCAGTATTGTAAGTATCCAGTTTCACACAATGTTTGTTTGTTTGTTCAGTCTTTTTTCCCTTCCTCCCTCCCAAAATATCTGTGTGTTCACTGTGTTGATCTTCTTGTTTGATGTTCAAGTTTTTTCAACACATAAAATAACTTGTCAACTGTTGGCAAAATTAGCACAGTACTTCACTAAACTGAATAAATGTTTTCTTTAGAAATATAACTTAAGTTCAACACTTTGTCAGGACTCAACATGGATCAAAGGCGAACGTAATACACAGAACGTGACTCGTTCGCAAATTCAATGCATTCGGCGTTCGGCTTTTTACAGTATAGTGTTCTATCAACCAATAGGATTGCGCGAAATGTTTAGCGTAGGTCACTTCCGGGTCAATATGCCGGTGAAATTATCAACATTTTCCTTTTGTTTTTGTTATCTGCCGTCTATATCAGAAGATCGTCGTAAATATCAGGTATGGTTCGCATTATTGCATGATGATTAACGATTCCAGACGATGTTTAGTTAATTGGTATTACCACCCTATGCAGACAGAGCCTGTGGGAAATATTGGGTGCGGCGCAAATGAGCGGAGGGTGCGGAGCTAACGGTCATTTTTTAATTTAAAATTGGGGTATTTCTGAAACTAAGCCGTTTTGGGACTTCAAATATACCAAGATATGTGTATTTGACACCAAATATCAATAAAATTGTGAAAATAGTAGTGCAATTCATTTTATAGCGACGCAGTATGCCTTCAACATTTCCCAGACCTATATATTTTGAGACTATCCTTTTAATACTGCGTCCCCAGCATTCATAAAAAATGGTGTTCAAGATACACTACCCATGCAAATTATTTTTGCATCTTGGAAGCCAGGCAGTATCTGTGTGATTTTATAAAAATTCGGAAATGTTCTTCAGATATGAGCCCCCTCTAAATATTGGGTGCGGAGCTACGTTTATGGAGCTGCTCCGCACCCAATATTTAGAGGGGGCTCATATCTGAAAAACATTTCCGAATTTTTATAAAATCACACTGATACTGCCTGGCTTCCAAGATGCAAAAATAATTTGTATAGATAGTGTACCTTGAACACCATTTTTTATAAATGCTGGGGACTCAGTATTAAAAGGATAATTTCAAAATATATAGGTCTGGGAAAGGTTTAAGGCACACTGCGTCGCTATAGAATGAATTGCGCTACTATTTTCACAATTGTATTCATATCTTGGTATATTTGAAGTCCCAAAACGGCTTAGTTCCAGAAATATCCCAAATTTAAATTCAAAAATGACCGTTAGCTCCGCACCCTCCGCTCATTTGCTCCCCACCCAATATTTCCCACAGGCTCTGTCTGCATAGGGTGATTACACGAAAGCTTGAAATGGAGTTTAATTCCGAGTTTACATTTTTATTTTTCTGAAGTGAAACTGAAAATGTCACGGTTCTTCAAGAACCGCGGTTTTCAAGATTGTGTGCGAGCTAACCGTCGTGGAGGTATGAACCGCGGTAACCGCAAGCCACGGTTAACCGTGTGACCCCTAATAATGACTGGAGTTATCGAAATTCCAAATACATGTATATGTTTATTCAGCATTGTGCTTAAAATGAATTATAGTAGCATAGAATACCTTCCATACTTTCTGCTACTCGTTTTTTAATACTTTCTTGTTTTTCTTGCGTCTTGTTCCGACTGGCCACTGCATTTGGGTTTTCTTTCTTCATGCCACCTTTCTGCTGGAGCTTAGCAATGGCACGTTTCTAAAATATTCAATGTCAAGAAATCAATTGCTGATAATAAAATAAATAAATCTATTGAAATTATATCGGGGTAACAATTCCATAATCACTTATAACGACAGGCAACATTGGTAATAAAAAGAACAGAAAATTGACTACTTCTAATAAAACTCAAACCAAGACTTTAGCCTTATATAACCTTTTATAGTCTATTTGTTAGACATATACTAAAGCTCTAAAGTGTTTCATACAGACCCAACAAATGCTCAGACTGATACCTCTGCACCACACTCACCTTTGCTAGTTCCACCTTCCTGTTGTCTCCAGCCTTGGGAGATGGAGTTTCAAATAGATTTACAGACTGCCCTGGGGCGAGGCCACGTCCTATCCTGGGGGGTCCAGAGAGGTTCAGTTTAGGAGCTGCTGCCTGCTTAGCTTTAGACTGTGCTGCATCTTTATTGCCTTGCATCCCACTTCTTGCTATCTTGAGTAACTCACTTGAGGAAATGGACATTAGCTTTTGTTCTTTGTGGACTTTACCCACTGAAATATAGGATGTACTTGTTCTTATTCCTAAAGTATTTTAATAACCTGGCACGGAGGCTATACCTTAAACTAGAGGGGGGGGGGTTATATCAGTGCTCTTTACAAATCTCAAGAACTACTATACTCATTGGGAAAATAATTTCTATTTACATTTACCTTCTTTATTTAATTGTGAATCAAATGATTGGTATATTGGTATAGGCTATAAAATACACACCATTTTGATCATGTTCCTTTTTGACGAGATGTTTGACTAGATTCATGGCTCCAACTGAAGGCTTTGCCAGCGCTTCCAAACTAGAAACACAAAAATACATGATAAAAGGAACATTATAAATTCAATTGAAAGTACAACCAATTTCATTCTTACTTCATGGATAAATGTGAGCATCAGAGATAACATTTACATGGAAATCAAATTTACATGGAAATCAAACTTACATGGAAATCAAATTTACATGGAAATCAAATTTACATGGAAATCAACACAATATCATGGGTATACTTTGTTATAGGCCTAATGGGAATAGGTCTGGGGTTAACTCACAAAAGATCTTGCTTCATGGACTTGTTGTCAGCCTCAAGTTTTTTCAAGGCAGCCTTGTCTTCAGGTAAGATCTCATGTAAGGTCATTGTGTTAACCTTCTTGCTCCCCTGACTGACTGCATGCTTCTGAAGGGTCTTCACATTCACCTGGTTGCGCTTCTTCACTGCTGCTTTACTGGAAAAGGGAGGGGTGAAATTGATTAAAATACAAGACAGCCTGGTTCTGGTTTCTGGGTAAAAAATACTGCACCTTCTTGGTATCCTGGCTTGCAGAGTTGTCTCAAGTTTTGCATCAAATTCTTCATTTTTGTTGACTGCTAAAACAGATCCTTTTGCAAGTGGAATCTTTTTATAAATGAGTAAATTTCCAGAGATGAGTTTCATCACATACATGTGAACAACAACAAATTTACTAATCAAAAAATGTTTAGCCTTAGCTTAATTGTGAAATTTGGGTGCTCCATTGTATGGCTCTTGGATTACAAACAAACTAATAATTACGTCAGGATAGAAATATCAAATTGAACATTGAAACATATATAGTAATAGTGACTTAGTAGTGACTACATACTTTGATATACTGGAAGTATATGTCCGTCCTTCATACATGACATATGTTTCCCCTTTGGCACCTTTCTGTTGGAATGCCTTGTTGTAGGTCTTAGGAACCACCCCCTGACTGCAAATATAATATATGAAATACAAGAAAATTATACCTCACTTGAAAATGCATGTGAATATGTGCTATGGTACACAGGTTAAATGGACATTCCTCAGAGAGAAGTGTTTTTCTAAATGTGCTTGTATGGTCAAACAGTCCAAAATATTGGGAATTAGGTACAGAGTATGTACCTTATTAGAATAAGGTACACAGTATGTACCTGACTGAAAAATAAAGAAATTAGAGATATATTATGAAAGTAAATATGAATACAATTGATGCATTATTCTCATAGTTAGAGATAATTGTGCAAAACTTTTTGAATGACCCTAATATGTTACCTGGCTTGTAGCTCCGTTCTGTGTGATGACACCTTCCTATATTCTGCCTGCACATGGTATGCACAAAACTCCCCCAGTCTCCTGGAACACAAATTTCCTTCTAAGTAATTCAATTGTCAAAAATAACTTTTCCATTACAGTAAAACTTATGTACAGGACACCTATGGAGCCACAAAAATGTGTTCACTGTCGGTAGGTGTTCACTAGAGAGGCAATTTTATAAAGAACTTAGTTGAGAATGTGCTGAAAAGAAGTGTTCACTAGACACAGGTGTTCACTAGAGAGAAATGTTCACCAAGACAGGTATTTCTGTATTACCATTAGTGTCTCCTAACTAAAAATAAGTTTTTAAACCAACACAAAACCATCAGATGGATTTAATTTGCCTTAATTTTGCCTGAAAGCAGGGATTCACATAACAGTAAGGATACAATGGAATCAACTGACTAATTCTATCAATCTTGAAGAGGGGTATTTAAACAAACAATCTCAAAAGATACAATATTCAAAACAAGGCATTAACATGCAAAATGTCACCACCATATGTTACAGATGCCAACCGCAAATCCCAGACCCCCGTCACAAAAAAACGTGACCATAACGATATGTCACCACTTTTTGGTAGTGACATAATAATCAATGTTGCGCTTACATGTTTATAAATTGAGTACACTTGTTGCCAGCCTTTGTCTTTGCTGTACATGAACCAAAGTCCTTGGATTCACCCATCTTCATGACTTTACTTGGTTTCTCTACACTAATACACATCTCATCTGATGCCTGGAGGTAGGAAGATAAAGAAAATATTATTACAAACTAAAAAATATCATTTCAAACCATAGGGAGAAACTTGACAAGATGCCTCGAGTTTTAACAATGTTCCTAGATTTTTTTCTCATTTAGCATAGATATTGATAATTTTCTCAGGACATAATTTTTGCCATATAAAATCTATAGTAAATGGTGTCAAACACAGGATGCAAGAATAAATATGAAAATGAATGATACTATCAAATATACTAATCACTTTTATATGAACATTATACTTTCAGCACACAGTTTCCTGTTTCAACTAGAAAAATAGCAAATCCCAAAAGCAACAAATCCCTCTAAACAAAACATATTTTATCAAATGAATGTGTTCTATAACAGGCTCATTATTGTTTTGCTATCACTTTGACAGTGCAGGATATAGCTTTACATCCTGGCTGAGCAGGCAGATATATTATCTAATTATCACTGTTTGCATGTTGGCGGATTTTTGTACACTTCACATAAGCACTGTGAACAGCAATGGCGATAACAGAGATTATCTGGATCTGTTAGATCATTTAAAGGTCACAATTTGGACTGGGCAAAATTATTAATTCATCTGGAATCATAGCCCTGGTTCGATTTATCGCGTTCACCTTTTTCAATTTCTTCTTTTTATTTTTTAGTCAAGTCCGCTTAATATTTATGCAAGCCCATGGTTTTCTCGCAACATGTCATACATGCTCATATATACTTCCAGAGAAAATGTCAACAATGAGATGATCCCTGGAGCATAAGTTATTCCATTCTTACCCGTTCTTGTGCTGGCATAATGTTAGGGTTAAGTATTCCAACTACAGAACCAACAGGAGTTTTCCAGAGTTCCTCATGTACTTGACCGAAACAGAATAAAGACACAATTTTATCATTGTCCGATAGATCTGAGAGTTTCCAAATACTGTAGTTGCTACCCTGAAAGGACAAAATACAATACACAGTTAAGATATTTGATTTTGATTTAATATTTTCATTATTTTTACTCAAAAAACTTTCATAAACACATCAGATATTGATGCATGTGGCACCCGCCCACACATCCTAACAACCATCATCACAAGACGATGACAATATAGTACTTTTTCAAAGTGCCTTAAAAACTTTAAAACATCAATAATGGCTGGTTATCTTCTAGAACTCCATATAGTTAATACTGAGGAATTTCACCATGTGTCTTTGCCTTACCTTGGATGATAGTTTTGGTTCAGATTTTCTCACCAGCACACCAATTGTGACCAAGTCAACCTCTTTAATCTCTGCGGAGTTCCTATATTTGTATAAGTGTGACATCTTTATGAACTTTCTGCCAGACATACGCTGTTTCATAGAGGTACTTGAAATCAGTGGTTTCCTGAAACAATTCATACAAGGACAATACATTAGATTTGGAACTTGACAAATACCCCCGGCATATACCACAATAATGTTGATCTAGACTATAAATAGGGTAGAATGCCATGTGATTGAAGGGATTTACATTACAATATTTTATAGTGAAATAAATATATCTTAATAAAAAGGTTGGAGTAGTCAATTTAAATACAATCATATATATGTATCCTAATCAATGTTCATTCCTATACTTTAAACACGTCCAATTGAGTTTGAAAATGTTTGCTTTAATAGAAAACATTCCTTTTTTATCAACATGAGAGTCCATTGTAATGTGCACACCATCAAAACATTAGGATGAACCATTTGATATTTGGATGACTTTACATTTTTCTCTGACCAAAATTTTTCACACTAAATATACCCAGAATAATGAACTTGCTCCTATCAATTTTTTCCCATGTTTCAGAGTTCAAGAACTCCCAGGTAATATGATCAAAAAAAAAATTCTCTCCTTCATTAGTTAGGTAAAAAGATTTTTTTCTGAAAAAGTCAAGGTCCAAAAAGCTTATGGTCAATCCCTTATTAAAAACCTTATTCTTAATTGAGAGAATGTATCCACGACAACATCTTTTTCATCTTCGGGAGGCTTGGGCTTTGTGACTTGGATCTGGCCTGGGAAAGGGCCCTGGGGCTCGGTACTTTTACTTTGCATGGGACTTGGCCTCGATGAAGCTTGGGAAGCTGCGGCCGAGCTCTTGTTATAGAATGAACTACCTAAAATGAATATTCTTACTTAAGATACTAAGACTAAGGCAACAAGGTTTATCTTCAAAACTTATTTCATTTATAATTTATCAAAATTATATTGTTGAAAATTGAATTTGAGAATTCTTACAATAAGAGTAACAAGGCATTAACACGCAAAATGTCACCAGCTGTCATTTGTTAAAGATGCCAACTGCTGACCACCGAACACCATCCCAAAAAAGTTGGAGACTATAACAAAATGTCAATATGTTATTACAGTTGAAATTTAAGTGTTGTACCTCTGTTTGAAGGAGACTTCTTCTTGATTGCACTGGGGTCATAGCTTGGTGTATGGGCTTTTCTACTTCTCTCTCCAGTTTTTATCAACTGATTCAGGGATTCTCCACTCTCTGAGAGATTCTGCTTCTTATCTGACGACACAGGAGATAAAACATACACTCAAATGATGACGTAATTTTCAACACATATTTCATTGTCCTGATGGGTGCAAGACAATTCTTAAAATCTCAAGTGGATGCAACGCCCACTTACTTTAATGCTGGGGGGATCACTGCATCTACCAGCATTAAAAGTTTTCAAACAATAATGTTTGTTCATACCGTAATATGCATTATATTTTGATACAACCAATGGTATATTACTATTTTTCTGCAGTTCAGTTGACAACATGAATTATTTGAAACACCTTTTATTGATGTTGTCATGCACAAATATTATCCCAATGTGTTACCAAACACATTCATATCATTCCAAATGATGATACCAAAGAGTGAATATAATTGCAGACATCTGGTAGGATCAGATGGTAGTCTGAAGCCATTATTTCTCTATTAAAATTCATGCCTTTTCGAACTATAGCTGAAAAGATGTTTTAAGTGTTGGATTTTCATGATCAAACAAAATAGATATTTTCATCCAATTCGAGACATACCAGAAAATTCCTCTCCCCATTCAGCGTCATCGTCCCCATGCACAACAGATTCGGACTTCTTCGCAAGTAATTTATCTAATTGGCTCTTTTTCGGCCTCTTTGAAGCTGATCCTGCATCTCCAAATATTGCATCAGCAAAACTTCTGTCTGCGGAACTTGATGATTTTTTCACAGTTTTATTGAAAGTCGGAGATTTGTCAGAAGAGGATGGCGATTTTGTTGACGTTGGAGATTTTGACGTATTCATGATTTGTTGCTGCAGGAGTGCCATCTGCTCTTGCATCTTACGCATTTGTTCTAAAATGAAAATATAGCACTGAATTACCTATGATACTAGGATATTGAAAATGTATGAACTACATGTACTCTTAATAACTATATGGCAATGATTTTATTGTTTAACGAATACCAGGCACTGGAGTTCCCTTTTAAATGTTATATACCATATTCTCTATAATTATCACCCAGGGCATTTAAAATATTCAGAATACCTCCTTCAGACCATTTTAATAAGTGCCCATATATGAAACAAGTCCCAAGTCCCTGTGAATTTCTTTCTAACAATGGCTTATTTGTAACATCAGAATGAAGTAACAGAATATTTTTACATTAGTGATATGGAATTATTATTGGGAGAATGAACTGCAAGGAAATGGCCGAATATTCTAGCAACATTGACAACACGACAACAATTTAAATGTTGCTATTGTCTAGTCATATAAATCCGACCGTTGTATGCTGTTCTTCGATATTCCTTGTTCTTATTTGGATATTTATTTTTTATCATTTTCTTTGCATACACGGTCGTAGATATTATATGGAACAAATTGTGGTAAATGCTTTCCTAGCCTGTCTGGGTAACCATAGTTACCATACTAACCAAAGTTACACAAATTATCGAGTAATTATTTAGCTCCAACATCAAAGTGTTAAATCTTACCTTAGACATGTAAAACACTTGATAATTGACGAAATATAATCAATTGAATTATATTTTCATTATCGCCCGCCATGTTGCTAAATGTTGTTTCCGGTAGTCTAAATGTAAAACATGTATCAAAACGGAATCATAATTATTTATTACTCAGAGATTGATTCCAAAGCCATTCTCTGCCACTTGTCACTTTTCTCATTTTGAAACAATAACTTTTCTAAATAACTTCCCTTCTTAACGACACTGCTTCCCTTTCAACCGAATCTTCGTGTAACAAATACTTATGATTTCGTTTGATATAGTTTTACATCTAGACTCAGATTAACCCGTAAGTGACCTTGGTATGGCAAAATGAAAAAAATTTAAAATTCAAGCGACATGCTTATATTTCTTCAATTACCAAGCGTTTTACGTGCCTAAGGTAAGATTAAATACTTTATAGTTGAAACAAATAAATTTATTTATCATTTGTGTGAATTTGGTTGGGTAGACAGGCCAGGAAAGCATTTCCCGCAATATAGATGAGGCAAGGGTGTATGACGCTCGTATGCAAGAAAATAAGAAAAAAAAATATCCAAATCAGAAAAAATAACAACAAATAACATCATACGAGGGTCAGATTTATATGACTACTATTGTCTGACATCATAACTGATTAATAAGTCATAATCAGCACTCCAAAAGATCTGAACTAATATCTTGATCACTTCGAAATTTTTTGTTGGGAAATAAAACCAACTCGAGATTCAAATTCTGAAGTGAAAAATGGTGACCGTTTAATTTTGAATTCGGAAATCATGACATGACTCCATATATGGCAGAAATCAAGTTAGAACCTCCTTGTTTTCTTTGTTCAATTCCGAAACAAAATCCTTAAACCTGAACATTTCCTTAATTCATTAACTTCAAGAACGGTTAAGATCTGCACTTCTATTCCATTCCATTTACGTAACAATAGTGAGGTATTCAATCAACGATTATGTTGTCTTCTGAACTATTTGTTCGCAAACATGTACAACTTCTTACTATAATGCATGGTGGTCTGTCTGTCAGACATCTCCTAGACCGATTGACATTGGACCCTCATACTTAGTCAACATAGTAAGTGGGTCAGTGGACATTCTACAAAGGTCAGAGGTCATCTCAAGGTCAATATTTAGGTATTTGGCTTTTAAGACCCTTGGTTTGTGCTGTGACCATTGATGACCCATAATTAGGTAACCAGAGTTCAATGTTAACTTTATGAATCTTGGTCATCCCAAGGTCAATATCTTGGTAAATGGTGTTTTAATGCACTTCACGGCTGTTTGTGACTATTGATGACCAATTAAAAGGTGACCACAGGTCAAGGTCATTCCTAGGACAAAGGTCAATATCTAGGTATTTGGCGGTTTAAAAACCTTGGGGGCTAATGTGACTCTTGGGGACCCAAGGACAGGTCAAGGTCATTCCAAGGTCAATATCTTGGTATATGGAGTTTAAAGACCCTTGGGGTTGCTATGACCCTTGGCAGCCCATAATTAGGTGACATGAGGTCAAGGTCAGTATCTAGGTATTTGGCATTTTAAGGTCCCCAGGGACTGCTGTGACTCTTGGCAACCCATGATTAGGTCACTACAAGGTCAATATGTAGGTATTTGGAGATTTAAGACCCTTGGCAACCTAGATGAATGATCAGGATCAGGTGAACTAAGGTCAAAGTCAATGTTATATTGGTCAATGCAATCTCAAGACCAAAGGTCAATATCTAAATATTTGGGCACTTGAAGGATACTGTAACCCTCGGGGACTCATGATTAAGTGACCAAAGTCAATGTTTATGGGTCAAGGTCATCTCAGTCAAAGGTGAATATTTAGGTACTTGGTGTTTCATGGCTTTTAGACAAGTTCACTTCAATTCAAGAATTAGTCCAGGTCAAACGATCAATATACAGATATTTAGCATCTTATGGGGGCTGGTGTGACCCCTGGTGTTCCACTCAAACAGGAAGATTGCTAGTTTTCTTAAACATATAATACTGACATTTGTGATAAAAATGTCATGGGAATTCTGCCTACAACCATGAAATAAAGAAAAATTGTACATGATAGCTTTCGACATTTTGTTACTGAAACGATTTGTTTCTGTAACCCGCGTAATCAAGGAGATATATCTAAGGTATGTAAGATCAGGGTTCGTACACCTTTTTCAAAATGAATTTCCCTGACATTTCCAGGCAAAAAAGGAAATTTCCAGATCTAGTTTTCCTTGCACGGCCTCTAAAAAGTCTCTAACAACCGTATTATTTAAAAGACAAGACTTATTATGAAACATTTTGGGTTTATCCTTTTGTACCATTTCTCATGACTTAAAGGCATAATCAGATCTATAGGAGTGACGAAATTACAAGCAACTTGTATAATTGACCTACCAATCTATTCCTTACAATATCAAATACAATATCTCACAAAAGATTCACAATATGTTTTAAATTGGTGAAGTTATCAGTGACTCAAAGTGCAAAAATGGGCGAAAAATGTTTAAATTCTCCCAAATTATAAGAATGGTAACCATTCTTACAGAAAAATAATATATTGTTCTAAAAATCTTAAGTTTTCCTTGAATAAAGTATGCACTTTTTAGATTTTTTAGAAAATAGACATGACAAAGGATGACATGAGCCTGAAATATTTTAAAATTGAAAGAATTTTTTGTTTAGCCTGCTCGTTAAATCTGATTCTCTCTTTAACTTTACTTCTACAGGCCGTCTTATTAACCAATTTATCATATTATTTATTGCATTACATTATTATTCAATGCTTTATTGTACTAAAAATCCCTTTCGGGTGAGTGTACAGCAAATAAACATGATAAAATAAAACTAAAACTATACATACAATTACAATAACATACAATGCAAATTTTACATGGCATATAATGACAATATAATGTGATTGACTGATCATTAGATATATACCAACAACTACTATTAGCCTACACCTACATGTATATATTTATATTGATAATATAGTTGTTGATCTCTTTTCAATTATTTCATAAAGGTATTTTGCAAAGGTGATACACATGTTACCCTCAGCATTAAACATATAATTAGCCTTTTCTTCGGTAGTCAATACAGTTAGATTTGGGCAAATCGAGTTAAACGTATCAAAGTATTCATATCTCATTTTTTCCAATTTTTGGCACTCAAAAATAAAATGAGTTTCCGTACCAGTGGTGATTTTACATAATTTGCATTTTCTTTGATCTCTCGGAACTATTGGTCTTGTATACCTTCCTCGCTCTATTTCTAAATTGTGTGCACTTATTCTTAATCGCGTCATAGATTTCCTATGTTCGGCGTTCTTTATTAAATTCAAATATGGTTCTTTTCCCCATCGTTGTTTGATATTATTCAAAAATTCTAATTTCCCTTTATTATCATTGACAGTTTTTTCCCAATATTTTATATATCTTTTTTCAAGGATTTTCTTAATATCAAGCGGTTTACTTTTAATGTAATTTTTATCATGTGGTTGAACATATGCCATTATTTTATCAATGTCATAGTACCATGATGGTTGATTATGAACTTTTGATAGTTCAATACTATCTGCATATGCATTAATTAGTAATGAACTCGTTCCTTCATTTTCTATATGATCTAAGTATTTAACTTGTTGGTAAAATATATTGATAAACAGAGGGAATCTACCTAACTCACCCATCGTAGCTAAATTACTCGTTTTTCTATGCACCCCTAATAGAAACTTCAAAAAAGATAGATGTAGTAATTCCGGTGGAAGTGACTTGTCATATTTCATTTCAAGGCCAAAATCTTTATTTTTCAGAAGATCTTTATTAGTTATTAGACCAGCACCCCAGATTTCACATCCATATAATAAAATTGGTTTTACTAATATGTCAAATAATTTCAGGCACAAAGTTAGGTTAATATCACCATGTGTAAGCATACTTATCAATTTGAATTTCGCCTTTTCTGCTTTTTCTTTAATAAAGATTGCAGCTTGTTTCATCGATCCGTTGGCATGGAATTCCATACCCAAATAAGTATACTTTGATACGTTTTCAATTACCTGGTCCCCAATGTAGAATATATCATTACATCGTTTACCACTTTTATTAAACATTACAATTTTAGTTTTATCAGTATTGATATCAAAGTTCCATTGTTTACAATAATTGTTTAATTTTTTCAATTTTATGTCCATATCAGTTTTATTTGCAGTAATTATGGCTAAATCATCTGCAAATAGCAGGCAACTTATTTTTTGTTTTTGTAATTTTAAGTCTGATTCAAGTGTTAATTCTTCAACAACATCATTGATGTAAATATTAAACATTAATGGACTGAGTGGGTCCCCCTGTTTAACCCCCCTCTCACATTTAAAGATATCAGTATGGTCACCGTTACTGTTAATTCTAACTGATGCCATTGAATTAGTATACATGTGTTTTACCATGTGATAAAAATGACCTCGAATTCCTGCTTGGAGAAGTTTGAGATACAGTCCCTTATGCCATATCGTGTCGAATGCTTTTCTTAGATCTACAAAGCAAATATACATTTTCTTTTTCTCAAAGTGTATAAATCTGTCAATTAGCGTACGAATAATAAACATATGGTCTGTGGTTCTTGACTTTTTCTTGAAGCCAATTTGGTTTTCCTGTAACATTTGATTTTCTTGAACATAGTTATATAAACGATTATTCATTATTATGGAGAACAATTTTGACAAGCAGTCTGATATAAATAGTCCACGATAATTTCCAGGATCACTTGAATTACCCTTCTTGAAAACAGTTATTATTGATGATACATTCCACTCTTTTGGGAAGAGTGTATTTGAAAACATAGTATTAAACATCTTTAAAATAATATTCCCTATCACAGGGTATGATGTTTTTATCATTTCATAACTGACAACATTATGGCCAGTCGCCTTTTTATTTTTCAGGCCTTTCACTGCTTGCCAAAGCTCTTCATCCGTTATTTTATAATCTAAATTATCAAATGTTTTATCATTTTCCAAAGACTTTATTTTCTCATCCATAGTCGTGTCATTTGATTTATCTGTAAAAAGCTTGGAATAGTGATCATACCAGCCCCGAGGTGATATATCATTTCCGTCACTACCCTTTTCATTATTTCTAATTTTGTCCAATAGTTCCCAATATTCTTTAGGGTCTGTTTCATACAGATTTTCTAACCTATTTAGCAGTTCTTTTTTATATTCTTTCTGTTTACCTTTACAACACTTTCTATAATGCTTTAAATATTTGAAATAATTGTGTCTAACACAGCTATCATTGGGATTTTTCGTCAGTATCTGACCAAGGGATTTAACTTTCTTTCTTAATTTAACACAGTCATTGTCATACCATTTATTTCTGTGGCTGTGGCTCTGAATTTATATTCTAATTTTACGTACAGTATTTACATTGCATAAGGCCAAAGGTAAACATACATATACAGGGGCATAGCCAACAAGTGTCAAGGGGGTGCATCTTTTGGGGTTTGCATCACTGCGAGCAAAGGAAAACCAAAAGGGGGTACACCCCCGGAAATTTTTCAAAATTGACAATTGTATATGGTGCATTCTAAGCATTTCAAACTATAATTTGTTAATGTTTTGTAATGAATCCAAATAAAAACTGAAACTTCAAAATGTTGATCTAAAGAAAAATAGCAACTCCATTGAGGGGCAATTCCCATCTAATGAAACATATTTTATCGAATACTATCATTGTAAACATTATATGAAAAATGCCAAGTGGCTTCTTGGGCAGAAGCTCTATATACAGTAACAAAAACATTGGTATATAAAATTTTAACCAAATCTGTCAACTGATATTTGAGTTATCACCCTGATAGATAAATAGACTGAATACGACCGGACTGTCGAACATACAGCTCCTTAATATACTTGTAAATACAATTTTAAACTGTAAAGAGTTCCTCAACAAACCATGAAACATATACCAGTAATTAGCTTTGAATGGCCTAAAACTAACTTACTACATGGAAAAGCATAATTGTATTGAACCATCTATACATATTCTTTATTCGGTTTCAGTATAATGTTCACACTGTTCTTACAAATAGACAAAACCAGATTTAATGTCATTCAATCAACCCTAATGAAAAGATTTTCAATTAGTGGAAACAACTTAACATTTGATTTTGGATTTCATTGATATCCCGTCATAGCCTTAAAATTTATTTTGCTGGAACATTATTTTTTCAACAATCATACACAATTCCCTGACATTTCCCTGACACATCTTCTGTTTCAAAATTCCCTGACATTTTTGGCCCTTTTTGACCCAATTTTAAAATTCCCTGACATTTCCAGCACCTGGAAAAATAAATTAATTTCCCTGACATTTCCAGGTGTGTACACACCCTGAAGATATTATTTCATCTTTTGTCCTGGAGAGAAACCAAGTAAGACACATTATCTATAAACAAGGAAATGATGCTCTTAAATAGAATGCTGATGTGATGTTCAGTGCCCCAAGGCTACAAGTGATATTCAATATAGGAAAAGGGAAGTCCTATTCAAGTTTTACCTTTTCACCTCTCTATAGAAATAGCATTCTTAGAAAAAGTATTTCATAATATAATTTTTGCAGAAATGTATTTATTCATTTTTTTCAATTTTGAATCTGGCAGTCATGTTTCAGGAAAGAAGCTTTGTACCAAAGTCTGTTGACGGCGCAAATGCTGTTTATTTTAAAATATTTTCATTAATCCGGATGTTGAGGGTTCAATTCCCACCGAGGTTGAGTGACTTTCTCACATCAGCCTTAAACAAAGGACTTTATCCTATGTTTCAGATTATCAGTAAATTTACTTAGAATTATGACATCAATTCACCACCATATGTGGCAGGTTTTATGTGGTATGTAGAATAATTGACTCCAAGAAGCTTGCTTGGATACAGCGACAACATGACCATGTATCTCAACCAAGTACCCAGGAGAGTATTATGATATCGTACTTCTGTGACAAGCCTCCGTGACAGAGTTTCAAGCCGCTGTGACAGAATTGTTATCATTTTAAAATCTATTTAACCACATGGACATCCAGGCTTCCCGAAAATCCAAAGCTATGTGCTATTTTCAACACCTTGTAGTTGACTTTCCATTTCTTGAATTCCCCCAAAATTCTCTGTTTCAGCTTAAAGAGTGCAATGGGAGTAAATATAAAAATGTGGATGTAAAGACCACAGTAATGAGTGTATATCTAGTCATGATGTAAAGTACATGGACTCGACATACACACATTAAAGTAATCTTAAATCATCAAGACATCTTCTGATTCCCAGTGCCAAAGAAATATTTCTAACTGAAAATTACACACATGTCAAAAGTAAAACAAATCATATTCCTTCTGCCTGAATCACCTTCAATCGTCCTAGTTGTCTCTTCTGCAGCACACATGCCATAGCCACGAAATGCGTTTCTAATTTTTAATTGTTTAGGCTTCTTCTATTCTAGTTTGAATTGAATTGTTCTGTTAGCCACAGTAATGAGTGTATATCTAGTCATGACGTAAATAACATGGACTCGACATACACACATCAAAGTAACCACAATATATGAATCCACATGTCACAAAATATGCATGTTCAAAAACATGTAAATTCAAGGGAAACATAATAGATCCCACTGTATGAACAGAATAATATTGTACATTGTTGAAAATCCAACGTACTATCTGAGAACACTTATTAATTCATTCAAAGCCTAGTAGTTAATCAGAGCACCACAAGGAGTGTATATCTAGTCATGAACCGGATAACATGGACTGAACATACACACCTTAAGGTAAACTGTAATGTCATCTTCCTTCATTATTCAATATCCGAGTAGTATGCACACTGGAAACTATAGGCAATATTGATACCTGCTGTGATGTGCTGTCTTTTGTCATTTCGAATTCATTCCTACATATTTTGTCTACTCGGAAGCGTTATCTGAATTCATTTTTTAAATGGCTACTAAAAATTTAATTTTTTTGGGGTGAATCAGGTCATTGTTGACAGCTTAAGACTTGTTAATGAGTGTATATCTAGTCATGAGCTACACATGGACTTGACATACACACATCAACACATCTCGCATGTACCTCACAATCTTACGTGCATTTGTACTAAAATAGATGCCCCCCATGGCCAACACTTCAGATCTTTTCAAGTTTTCATGTCATGCTAAAAGTAGATCCAGTTGAATGATTTTTCCATGATGTCATGCTGGTGTAAGAAATTATTTGTCCACTTCCAGAAAGCGTCAAGAAATTGACCACCTTTCCATTTCTGGATTTTTTCACAAATAAGCCTTTTGATAATTCCATACAAATATTTCATTTTATTTAGGTGAATTCCTGTGCTATTCCATGAGGCCCAAAGAGCTACATTGCGAGCTTGACAACGATGTAATAATATATGTTTTGTGTTCCAATCATGTAATATAACTAATCTAACTGAAGAGTCACTTCCAATAGTAATGAGTATATATCTAGTCATGATGGTAAATAGCACATGACGTGACATATACCCACAACTAGCAGAAGAATAATGTGAAGGATAACAAGATAAAAATGTCACATTTAGCTGTGAATGGTGTACATATACATTTTACATGTTGTACATATTTGCAATGTGCCAAACATAATCAATGATGCTAATGATATGAATCAATGATTTTAAATACACACATATTCGGAATATTTCCAACTTACCAAGAATTTCAGCTTTGGATTTGTCTTCAATGCTATCATTCTTTGGTGGTATGCTATCATTTGAGACATCATCAACATCTCCAAAAAGATCATTTGGATCCACAGCCACAGCATTATCAACAATTGGCTCTGCCTCATCAGCCATTCTTGACAATTCATCTTCATCTACAAGAAGTAAAAATAAATAATGATTTCTGTCTTTCTAATCATATTCTATTGCTATTTACACATTCAACTTCATTAAATGCATACCATCCAATTTTTAGAGCACATACAGTAGAACCTGATAAGTAGAACACTTCTGTGAATGGAACAACTCACAAGTGGAACCATGTCCCATGACCTATCTTCTCCATGTTAATGAGCCTCTGTAAGTGGAACACCTTTTCAGTGGTCCCAAGGGTGCTCCACATACACAGGTTCTACTGTACTAAGAATGTCCATATGCCAATAGTTTTCTTGATAATCCAAGCACCCTGATTTCTTAAATGATGAATTACTTAAAGCAATTAGAATGTGTACTATAGATATATGAAGGAATTAAATAATAAAGAGAACTACCTTCATTATCCCATTCATCAACATCTTGGCCTGGTACATTGTTGTCACTTTCACCATTCTTCTCTGCAGCAGCTTCAGCTTCAAGTTGAGCAAATATGTCATCATCTAGAAAAACATACAAATCAATTTGTTTATTAAACAGTTGAATGGGTAATACAACATACGATTTCTCGCAAGTCTCAAATGAATGTTTAAATTGTAATTAGAATAAATATTTTATTTCATGTCAATATAATTGTTTCCTATTCTGGTCCCCATCATGTCACTTACACTCATAAGTAATACATACATAACTAACACTTCAGTTCATTATGAAAAGTAAGTATTTCACATATTGAAGTACATGTATTTTACATTCATACAATGTACTTATGAGTAATTGCTTAACTGTGTTTTGCAATAAGAAAGTTGGCTGAACATCAAAGGATGTGGTTTCAGAGTTAATTAAAAATGACTCAACCATACAAAAAAATATAATCTAAAGAAAACATTAATTTCATGAATACAAGTTTCCAAATTATTTTGTCTTAATTACTTCAGTTAAAGAGGAATTTTATCTTTATATGATACACTTCAACTGAAGTTGGCCCGATATAATTCAAATTCACCATGCAGAAAAATCACCCCCAAGCAGATGCTTGAAACATACATCAATTCAATAGATATTTGTATATAAACTTCAATATTATTTGTGTGACCTTAATGACACCTTGCCTGACAGTTATTCCATAAATAAAGTAAATCTATTCTAGAAGAATGGACATGTGCTCAAATTCTTAGCCACAATCCTAAACCCTTCCTAACATAACTGTCAAGCTCTCATTTCTCCATCAAAGATTTAAGCCACAGCTATGATTAGAATTCAATATGACATATTGTTAATGCCCTTGGTTAACCAAACCTTATTTCTGTATACCTACACCTTTGCTCAAACGTATAGAAACATCAACGTGAAAATATGCTGCCTTGTGAAATAATGATGTTTAATGATGCTAATTTAACGTTGTGAAAGTTACACAAAACAGGCTACTAAATCCCTGGTAAATACGATATCTAAACACATTATACATACATAAAATATTAAGTGCAAAAGTATGACTTGAATTTATAAATAATTTTGTTGAAGTATAAAATACCTGTTTATTAACCGCTTCTGTTGAAAAACCATCACTCAACATCTCTGCATATATTCACGTGACATTTAATGTCCTATCTTCATCCCTTCATGAATTCACCCATGCCTCAGTGTTATCAAGCCTATAGCCTAGTGGTAAATGCATGGGTAATAGCCCATGTCGCCCTGTAATGAGCTTTAATAACATCTCCTTGCCAACAGTTAGTTTCTTAATTAGCTCAGTTTGGTGTATCAGAACATTTCTCAGTTGATTTTGCAATCAAAGTTACCTTCTTAACTCTAAATTTTCATATTTACTTAGTTAATTATAGAAAATTATTGTGATTAAGTGTAAAACAAAGGGAAGTTAGGAGCCATTGTTTTAATCAAAAATAATCTGAGGAAATATATCCTAATCATAGTTATTAAAGTGCCTTAAGACCACATCCTATCAAAACATGAGGTTAAAACTAAATCATGAAATTCATGTTTTTAAAATACACTGTGAAATGTATATATCTCTTTCAAAAATAAAAGTCTCAGAAGCTCAACGCTATAATATTTGAATACAGCAGAAATAATACTAAATTGTATACACATATACTTTAAATAGACTTACATACCTATTCACATTGCTACGCTGTAAAAACATGTTTTTCAAAAAGTGATATTTGAACAACGACTTTGAACTTCAATGGAAGTTTTAATACCAATAACTCTATTGAAATAAAATCACTATACTGTTTTGCGTGTACTACTTACATTCTATACAGTGCCATGTGAAAATAATTTAAGGCTTCGTTCCTATTTGTTTGAGTGCAATCTCTATTTAACACATGTAGTGAGTAGGTTGGTGGCTTTGTTCAAGCTATATGCTCACACCAACAGGGCTAAATGATTTCGACTCATAATTTGCTTCAATAATTTTAACAGCTATACAGATGTTAACTCTTTCCATACCAGCCAAGAAAATCAAACGTCCTGATTTAGTAGCTCAAATTACAATAGCTATACTTAAACCTGCTCCATAAATAGTTTCCATTCTTACAGTGACATTAATTAGGACACTAGACATCCTTTGATTCTGAAAGGTATTTTTCCAAATTGTTAAGCCACTGTGTCTCTAAACCGCCTAAAGGGCTGGGTCAAAATATCAAACTAATTTAACAGAGACTAGGGACCCTCCTCCATGTGTTTGTTAAATCTTGTCAAATACCAAAGAAATCTAATATGTTAACACTCGGTATCAAAAACTAACATTTACTTCCCCAATAAAATTAGATTAGCAAAAATCACACATGATATTTGACTTGCTCCCTAAAAGGGGATATTTGACTTGCTCCCTAAAAGGGTGAACAATTATATAATTATAATTATGTTGCTATTCAAGAATCTACCCTTTATAATACAAACCTATCAGACCGTGAATCTATGAACTTATGACCTAGCGTATCTAAATGATTTCAGTCAGTATGAAGAAATTAATGGAGATCTTTTGAAGAGCAGACAAGGGTGAAACTGTTGAGTGACCAACATCTATGAAAAATAAATGACCAACAATACCAGATTATGCAGTTATACACTTGTATACTTAACAACCTTTTTTCACAAATGGCAAGACTAATAAAAATAGAAACCTTACAAAAATCTGATGAACTTATTGAACAGCCTTTTCTTCCAAGCATAAACATCTGAATGTATGCGTTTTTTTAGTAATTTTAACTCACCAGATTCATCAGAGAGGGGGTTTAGATCATCTCCATTTTGCTCAACATCTTCCTCAGCATCACTTAGTAACGCTTGGAGTTCATCAAAATCACACTGGTCATCCCCATCAGCCATCTGAAAGTAGATATTATTTAAAACTCACTAAAATCCTATTCTTTTTCATGTGCTCTACCTACACAAAATGTGATATCACACCAAAAGCAGAGGTGCTCTCTTCTTTATGTTCAGAAACTTAACTGCTCCAAAAGTACCGTTATTTTCGATTTAACCCGAAACATTCAGTGGCCTTGTTAAAATACCTCAAAATATCAAAAAGAAACAGATGTTTCCCCAATCTTTTTCAGATTAATGCCAAATTGTTTTGATATCCTACCAAAATGTTTGAAAAAACTATTCTTTGCCCTCACAGAAATATTTTGCTTGTGATTTTTTTATGAACTTGGCAAAATTACTAAACAGTGCTCTCCCCAGAACTTTATTATGGAGGATTTTGTTATTTTTTAGCGCAACATTTTAGTTTATTTTTAAGTTTATATGCAACATTTTGATTTTGTAATTTTTTGTGCAACATTTTAGAATTTTGTAATTTTTTGTGCAACATTTTAAGTTTTTTTTATTCTTTATCGTAACATTTTACAAGACGTATCTTGTTGCATTGAGGAGCATTTTGGTTTTACAAAATACATAGAGGTGCTGCGCCTCAGAGATTTCAATGTAACTAGAGGACTGCTAAATGAATTGTACAAAACCACAAATTAACATCTATAGCAACCGATTTGATTACATTCGCCATAAAGATACAGATGGCATGGATTCAGTTAAGCTACACAGTTGAAACTGGCTCACTTTATGTAAAAGATGGGATAACTGTGCAACATTATCTGGAGAGCAAACCTAGAGAAACACATGCTTTGGCCAAGAGATGGAATACCTTGCCTGACATATATCAGATGTGTGTTTCGGTCACATCTCATAATCATCGAAAAATCCTGTTGATCATGAGGATGTATAGCAATATTGTTCCTGGCCTGGATGATACACAGTGCGCATATCAGATTGTACACAGTGCGTATATCAGATTGCACATATGAGATTGACCACAATTACGCCATCTTCCCAGTGATATCCGAATTGTCCCAGGGTAATACATTTGATTACGAGACCCAGGGTCAAGACTTTCATACTGATACAAATAGAGGCTTGTTACATGACCTTTACACACTTTCTATTATTTTCACACCCAGTGTCTTTGGAAGGCTCGAGTGACAAATAAACTCTGATATGAAGCCTACAGTCTAGTAACTTCAATGACAATATACACTGCTTTTGAAATGTTCTGTTGAACAACAATGATATAAAATATTTCTTCATATTCGTTGGCTATACATCAAAACTTTCATAAGGAATGTCAATTCAGGAAGTAGGTCAAGTTTTCAAAACGTGAGGTCCATTGTGTGAAAATTTACCAACTTTTCAAAGTATCTTAACTTTTCACTTACCACATTAATGAATACCAAAATAGCGCCAAATCTTCAAAAAAATATTACTTAATAAACAGACTACGAAGGAAACGACATCAAAGAAGTAGCACCTTCATAATTTGCCGAGTTATGTGGAGCACATTGTAAAAGTCGACTTACCTTGAAAAAACGCGCCAAAGAAGACAGAGCTACTGGGTAAGAAACTAACGGATCAAAACCGTTTTTGACAGAACTGATTTTCAAGATTTTATAAAGTTAGTAGGATAATAATATTTCATATTTTATGTTGAAATATAAATAAATATAATCATCTGTAAATGGGTAAATAAAAGGTTTTATACATTCAAAACTAGTTTCGTATTTCAGACGCCATGTTGGAAATTTCTGCAGATTCCTCAGAAAAGTTTGTGCAGCATTTTTAACGATTACTCAGTGGTGCATGGTCCAATGACGCAGTACACACTCCATTCCTGAGTACTATATCTGCAGAATCGTTACAGGTAGAATTATTCATAAAACACAAGTAATGGTTCTAAATTATATATTTTTATTTTTGTATCAAAAATTATTGAAAAATGTTAGATTTTGAAACTTATGGCTCTCAAACGGGGAAATGGACAGCTGAATAATAGTGACCTTTTAACACGAATTCAGTCGATCAGCTGCCTACTTTTGTTCTCTAACTATGTTATACATCATTATCATCCTTCCGTGCAAGTATTGGAGCGCTGAAGTACTTCCTTTTCGATCAAGACTTGTAATTGTTAGTCGAATTAATGTTTTTACTGCCAAATTCAAATATGGCATTTTCTGCTCTGACATTTCCGTGAATCTCCAGAGGTTGTCCGAACCTAATCATTCTCAAAATTCATTTCGTTCGTTGCATATCTCGTTCTTAGCAAACCGCCATATTGGAAATGGGTCGAAAAAACATTCACTCGATGAACAATTTACAAGTCTTGATCGAAAAAGAAGTATTTCAGCGCTCCAATACTTGCACTGATTGATGAGACACAGTTAGAGACCAAAAGTAAGCCGCTGAAATCTTTATTCATATTTTAAAGGTCACTATTACTAAGCTGTCCAAGTGCGCTGTGGGAAAGCTATTGTATCAAAATCTGCATAGTTTTCGCATGAAGTAAGGCCAGCCTACTTCATGTATTTCTAATCTGAAGCATCCAGAATAGATATTGGCATGAAATGAGAATCCTCCCCCACTCTCTGTGTACCAAGCCAAGTCTTTCATCAGCATCATCAAGTCATATTATTGTCACTTAGGGTTGTTATGTCCCCACCACATAGTGTGGGGCCATATTGTCGGCCTAGGCGCGTCCGTCTGTCTGTCCGTCTGTCTGTCTGTCCGTCTGTCTGTCCGTACGTCTGGCAGTTTTCTCCAAAACCGCTACAGATATCACCTTCAAATTTTCAGGGATAACTTATGAGTGCATACAGATGTGGATGAAAAAAAATTAACTCGATACCTACTTCCTGTCGGCCATTTTGAAGTCAAATGCTAAAATCCTTGTCTGCAAACTTTAAGAAAAACGGCTTCACAGTTGCTTTTAAAACTTTAATATCTTGTTCAGCTCACTTCATTCTAGATCTGATTAGGTTTTGGACCTGTTAGCTCAGTCATGTCAGCCATTTTGAATGTTTTAAGAAAAGTTAGCGCACGATAATACTTTGTATCATATTGAATGGTGTTTTTCAGTTTTCATACTTAAACTATTTCTTAGCTTTATAAATAATTTCAGGTGTACTTTGTTGTAAAAGCCTATGTTATTGTTAACAGTAGTTATATGTGATAATTTTGTAAAAAGAAATCAGCAAAAACTCATAATCACTTTTTTATTGTCGGCCATTTTGGATTTTTCCGTCCTAAAATCTTGTCTGTAAAGTCTTGTCTACGCGTTTTCAGGTCGACCGTTTGGTAAATCAATTTCAAATTTTCAGGGATGATTCTTAGTATGAAAATCTAGATCTGATTAGTTTTTGGGCATTCTGGGTAAATGTCAAGGCAGCCATTTTGGATTTTCCGTCCTAAAATCTTGTCTGTAAAGTCTTGTCTACGCATTTTCATGTGAACTGTTTGGTAGATCAATTTCAAATTTTCAGGGATGATTCGCAGTATGAAAATCTAGATCTGATTAGATTTTGGGCATTCTGGGTAAATGTCAAGGCAGCCATTTTGGATTTTCCGTCCTAAAATCTTGTCTGTAAAGTCTTGTCTACGCATTTCCAGGTGAACCGTTTGGTAGATCAATTTGAAATTTTCAGGGATGATTCTCAGTATGAAAATCTAGATCTGATTAGTTTTTTGGCATTCTGGATAAATGTCAAGGCAGCCATTTTGGATTTTCTGTCTTAAAATCTTGCCCGTAAAGTCTTGTCTACGCGTTTTTAGGTGAACCGTTTGGTAGATCAATTTCAAATTTTCAGGGATGATTCTTAGTATGGAAATCAAGATCTGATTAGTTTTTGGGCATTCTGGATAAATGTCAAGGCAGCCATTTTGGATTTTCTGTCCTCAAATCTTGTCTGTAAAGTCTTGTTTACATGTTTTCTGGTTAACTGTGTGACGGATCAATTTCAAATTTTCAGGGGTGGTTCTTAGTATAAAAATCTAGAACTGACTAATTTTTGGGCATTCTGGGTAAATTTTAAGGCAGCCATTTTGGATTTTCCGTCCTCAAATTGTGTCGGTAAAGTCTTGTCTACTCATTTTTAGGATAACCATTTGACGGGATCACCCATTGGTGGGGACATTTTGTACACATTTGTGTTCTTGTCATATCTTTATCCTGATGCAAACGTGAGATTATTTATTAAAGATTAACTTTTATATATTCTACCAAAACCACATGTAATCATCTTCTTAGAGTTATATATTGATTAAGATCAAAACACTTTGTTATTTCAGAGTACATACGGTGAACTTGTCTGACCCTGGCTTTACAATGAGTGATGGTATAACAGACACAAGTGTCAATAAGTCTGACACTAACTTGACAACTACTGCTAACAATACAGAAGAGATAGGTGAGCCTGACAAAGGCATAGTTATAGATAAGTTTGTTGGTGAGGGGGAAGTTAATCTAGTTGATGCTTGTGTTGAGTGTCCAGGGGAAGATAATGATAAGGTTGATGTAAATCAGCCATCGAATAATGAATCTGAAACAATAGCATCTAACAATGAACTGGATAGCCAAGTAAACAATGATGGTGATGATTGCAGTCAAGGGAATACAAATGAACAAGAAATAGAAATAGATACCATTCAATGTAAAGATGAAGATACTGACCAAGAGGCTTCTGTGGACAATGAAACAGAAGATGTTAGCAATGATATTGTGGAAACTAGTGAAATTCAAGTTGCTGATGTTAAACAAGTTATTGCTGACAGTGACACATTGAAGAATGAATGCAATGATAAGGAGCTGAATGAAGATGCTAAAATTGAATTACCATGTGCTGCTTCAGATGAGACGGATGTGCTTGATGATGTAAAAGCAAGTGAAAGTGTAAATGAAGCAAACATCCAAGTTAGTGAACAGAAAGAAGAAAGTGAAAACAAATCTGCTAATGACAATAGAACTGTCGAATCGGATCAAGAAGTTGAACAACTCATCAGTGAAGTTGATGTCATCAATGAAACTGAGTCTTCATTAACATCTTCCCAAGAGAAAATCAAAGATCAAAATGAGTTAACAGAGGAGACCCTGAATGAAGAAGAAAATGATAATGATGAAAATTCAAAATCTAATGAAAGTGAGAAAAAAGTTGACAACAAACCTAAAGATGATAATGCTACAAGCCATCAAGCAATAGACAAGGACATAAAACAAAAATCTCAGAATGACAATGATTCGTCTGTGAAGAGTCCTGGTGAAAAAGATGCATCTCATCGAGATCGAGACCGTGAAAGATATCCTAAAGAGAAGGAATCAAAAAGCAAAACTTACAAAGACATTAAAGAAAAGCCATCCAGATATAGTGAAACAAGAGAAAGAAGCAACAAAGATTCAAGAGAAAGATCTAGGAGAGATGAGAAAGGTAGTGGTAAAAAAGAAGAGAAACCGAGTAGATTTGAAAAATCTAAAGATGATAAGAGAAGTACCCACAAGTCAGGTGATACGAAATCTCGATTTGAGGAAAAAGGTGGGATTTAATTTTTATTATAATTTTTATTCATCTTTTTATTTGTTATTCATTTTTGGTTATTCAGTATGTAGTTTTAAGGTTTTTTATTTCCTAATCATTGGTCTTTTAACACAGTTAATTCATCAAATGGATAGGTATATTTCTCAAAACCTATTTTCAAGTTAAGTTTGTTTTTGGAAAAGTATTGAAATATCTTATTAACACCCCTCAAATATAACAGAAACTGGAGAAAATATGTACATGTACTCATACCCAAAACCAAAAAATCATTCATTTTTGAAAGAGTTGTATGAATATGATAATGTCTCATGCACAAGTTTAGCCACCCCAATGTCAGTTTAAGATTATATGTTGTTTACTTAGGTGTTGCCAAGAGTAAGAGTGAGATGGGGACACCAGGGAGGTTCTCCTCTAGCAGGGGACGCAAGGACAGTGACCACTCAAAGACTGATAAGGACCAGACCAAGTTTGACAAGGAGCCTGCCAGGAAGAAGGACCACTTAGCACAGGGAGACTCAAAGTCAATTGATAAAAATAAAGAAGCTTCCAAAGGAGAAACCCATAAAGAAAAGTAAGTTGTTTTTAACTGTCAAGAAAACAAGAGTGTGTAAGAAATATGTTCCCAGGTACATGTTCTACATTACATGTGTGACTGGAAATTTCCCCTGTCTTGATAGTATACAAAATGATTAGGTGTCTTACTTCATATTTTTACATATGAATCAGAATGTAAAACATCAGATAATATTGATCCTGTACCATACATATATGTTTTGTCTTTCAAAGGGTGGAGAGTTTGAGATTTCTCAATTTTTACCATGCTCCCTCTAAAAGCATTATTCAGACTCACATGTCTAGGATCATCTAAAAAATATTTACATTTAACTATGCAATTAACTGTTCAGAAACACCAGTACAGTTAACACATACTTGTTTTATACTGCAATATAGATCTGATAAGGCAAAGAACAAGGCCCCAACAGCTGCTGAATTAGAAGCTGAGTTGCAGAGGGAAGCTGAGGAAAAGATCAGAAAAGCCGAAGAAGAAAAGAAAAAAGTAGAGGAAAAAATCAAGGCAGAGGAGGAACGGCAGGTATAAAATGATGACTTATGTTGTTATGTTGTTGTATGTTGTTTAATGACATGTAGTCTCCAATAACTTTTATGCTGCCCAATGTTGTGTATGTTGTCCAGTCAATGACCTATAAGTCCCCAGTGTATGTTGTTTATTGACTCACATGATATCCAGTGACTTATATGTTGTACAATGACCTACACATTATCCAGGGACCTGTTTGGTCCCCAATGACTTGTATGGTCTCCAATGACTTGTAAGGTCCCCAATGACTTGTATGGTCTCCAATGACTTGTATGGTCTCCAATGACCTGTTTGGTCTCCAATGACTTCTATGGTCCCCAATGACTTGTATGGTCTTCAATGACTTGTTTGGTCTCCATTGACTTGATATTGTATTAATTGTAAACATGAATTCTCTAATTAATAAGTAACTTGTATGCTGTCCAGTGACTTTAATGTACTCCAATGAGTCTTGAATGACTTGTATATTTTTTCCGCTCATTAATTTATCTTTTCCATTGTTTTGTGTATTATTGCATTAATTGCATGTTTTCTTCAAAGATGACTTCTTATGACTTCTATTTTGTCTACTTTTCTTGTGTTTAACTCCAATGTTTTGATAGAGTGTTACATACTTTTCTGTTATTGTAGAGAAAGATCGAGGAAGATAAAGCAAAAGCCTTTGAAGAAGAAAAGGTAGGACTTGACCTTTGTAAAAACATATGATGTATTACATATTATAATATTGGAAATTGGTACTAAAACTAACTTCAGATTTAGTTAATAATCTTTGTATGCAAAAATAATTCTTGAATCATTAAGGAGTTCTGAGCTAGTATTTTGTCCCAGAAGTCACCCTCAGATAGAGAATAGTGTTTAAAGCTTGATTTTTCGATTTTAACCAAGGACAATTTTAAAGCCATTTCCAGCAATGAAACTTGAGTTAAATCCGCTAGTTGGCTCATTTTTTCTAGGCAAGAATCAAGCTGAAAAACACATGAAAATGATATTTTCAGAAATCAGTTGAGGAGTATGCCATCCAAGCCAAGGAGATAATCACATGGAAAGAGGAACTAAGAGAGAAAAACAGCCATGCTGAGGGTAAATAAGAAAATATTACAAATTTTATGTTTGAATAACTAGGCTATTATTTTGAAATCATTTGCATGTAAAGTAAAGGCCATATACATTTTATTATCTGCTTATCCCTTATACACATGTCATATTGTATATAATGAAATGAACTACATGTACAGTGTCAATTTTATGAAACTTAATTTTTTAGAGAACAGGCCAGAGGACTCTTTCTTTAGCAAATTGGACTCCAAAGTGAAGAAAAATACTGCATTTGTAAATAAATTGGTAAGTGTTTATCATGCGCATTTTTGATGACTGTTCAAAATAATTTACAATTATGTACACATGAAAAAGCATAGTACATGTATCATGTTTATTTGTGTTTAGCTAGTAAAGTCAATCATGTAGAGAACATGTACTGCATTCCAAATTGCATTATAGCATATGTAATCAACAGTACTTGACTTGTATATATATAAAATTTAAAATAAATTAATTAATTTCATCTTTTCCAGCGTAATTTGACTGAGACTCAAAAAGATGCCCTGACAAAAGAATTCAACAGTTTGAACCTGAATAGATATATTGGCGAATGTGTGAGTTAATAACATTATTTTGAATTCAACAGTTTATTCTGCTTCATTCAAATATTACTATTTTTGGCGAAAGGAGTCTGCAAAGGTGCCGCAAAAGCAGTGAATGAAGAAATATAATCGGATTAGCTAATTAAGCAATGCTGCTGACTGTTTGCTGGCTCTAGCTAGTCTAACTGAAGTTCTAACATAATTCAGTGCCTCTGTTCTGATGCCTTCATCACAAATTACCTATAAACCTACATTTTGGCTTCTAATTGGTATACTGCAAGAACATTCAAGCATGAATAAAACTCTGCATATTGTAAGCTTAACTAATTAAAAGTCAGCATGGGTAAATAAAATTTAAAGGACCTGTCCAACCTTATATGCCACCCTAAGCAAAACAAGCTTAAGCTTTGCAGCACCAATTTCAAACTCCTTTTCAATGCTTTAAACTTCATAAATCAAATTATTTCATAATTTTCATTTACCTTCAGGGAGTCTAATTAGAACAATTATATGATTATTTAATTAGCTTAATTAAAAGGACAATTTATTCTTTATTGTGATAACAATTTTGAAGAATAGTGATCGAATGAAAATCTAAAAGAAAAAGAGGGAAAATAATTATTTTCCTAAATTTGACTCTGGAACTCTCAAAAAGTCATACTATTCATGATTTTTAGTCTCGGCTGGGTTTTTGGCAATTTCGTATTTGCTGCAACTTGCAGCACCTTAAGTACTTCATTTTATCTCTGTAGGCTGCAGCTATTACAGAAGCCAAGTTGAAGATGTCGGACATCCCATGTGCTGTACACATGTGTTCTCTACTGCATCAACGCTATGCAGACTTTGCTCCTGCTCTACTAGAGAACTGGCATAAAGTTCTCATGACCAAGAAAGATGAAAAGGTAAACAATGGGCCATCCATATGGGCTAAGGGCAACATTTGAAGATTACATTCACACAAATTAGAGTGCGAAATAATAACTGGCTCTTATATCCAGAGGAAGTTAGTTATAAAGAAACTGCTTATAATTTCTGTATGTTTAGGACAATTAATCTGTAATTCAGTATTTACCAAATTTAGTCAAATTTGAAAATGCCCCAATGATGGAGTATGCATGACCCTATTTAGAAAGAAATGTAACTTTTAAATTGAGACGGTTTCATCTGATGTGAACAGTGAAACATATATTTTATATCTTCATCATACTTACTGTATACATTATATGTATAATGTTTACACACACGTATTATAGGTAAAGTCTTGTTTTACAGGTGCCAAATGCTAGCAAACTGCGTGTGGATCTCCGTTTCTTCGCTGAGCTGATATCTGTGAAGCTATTCACCATGAAAGAAGGTCTTCCCCTCCTCTCCACACAGTTGTCAGTCCTCATCAACAATGACAAGGAGGACCATAACAATCTGCCTATACTCATCAGCTTCTGCAAGCACTGTGGTGACGACTATGCTGGGTATATACCACGCAAGTTCAGGATCCTAGCTGAGAAACACAATGTTGAGATCCCCCGTAGTAAAGTAAGTACATACTGAATGGATCACTGTTGATTTGCTGGTACAGCCTTATTTTACTGTATTGAGATATATATTGGAATTTAGGGTTAAATACATGTCTTAGATAAAGGGGTCATCCCAAAGGAAACATCTATATAGACTGACCCACCTTCAAATTTGTTGTATTGTTACAAATGATACTGTGAAAATGAGAATTGTGACATCACACAAGAATATATCAAGATATGATAAGTTGATTGAAGAGATATGTTGAGGTTGATATGTATCAGTTGAAAGCAAGTTTTTATCTCCTCAATGACAGCGCAATTGCAAATAAACTAAAAATATTGTCTTAATTTTTGAGACGTTCTTAGGAGAAAAGAATGTACCCCGGGTACCCCTACCCTGCACCATGCAAGTTCGGACACTCATAACTTTTTTGTTACATAATATTTTAATTTGAAAATAACAATTAGTTCAGGACTTATTGGACCCTCATATAATGCATGTATGTGGTAATATTTACTTCATTCTCAGGTCAGTGAAGGTACAATGTTTCAAGTAGATCTTAAAATCTAATGTCTTGTTTGAATATTACAGTTGCTACCTCCGGAGAGACAGAAAGCTTGCAATAAGATCATAAAGACTTACTTTGACTCTTTAGCCATCCATCTGAAGAATGATCACACTGATTTGAAAACAATGGAGAAAGTAAACAGGAAGGTCTTACAAGTGAGTGAATGGTCATTGTCTGTAACAATTGGCAGGTGGTGACATTTGCATATTAATGCCTTGTCATTTTTAATTTGATCCCTGTTTTTTGAATTTTAGTTCAATATTCTGGGATGAGTATATTATTGTATTGTCCTGTTTAAAAAATAATGTCACTATTGGAATTTTAGACATCTGTTACTTCAAAATTCAAAAATTGTATCGTGTTTTAACATGGATTTGTCAAAAGACTTTTGCTGAAAAGGTGATAAGTATAAACTTTGAATAATGCATTGCAAGTTACCTGTAATATTTATCATGTCTATTGCAGACCAAAGGAGAGCTATCTCCTCAGCGCACGGAGCAGTCTGAGGCCATGGTGACAGCATTTTCCAAACTACATGCGAATACCCTGATATTTGCAGTAAGTTTTTATCTTAATTCAAGCGAGTTGTAACAATAACAACAATCTCTTTTATTGTGCTCACACATTTACATGTTTTCATGGGATTAACCCTACGCTTCATACTTCCTCAGAATAAAACACTAATATTATGTAAAAAAGATTACATGTACCTTTATCAATATTTTCAGGATATCATTAATGAAGATATGCCTGAATTACCAGAAGATGGTGAGTTAATGCAAATCTTGAAACTGATGGACCTTTGAAAAGGATGATTCAGTATAACCCTCGGAGTCTACTAGGGACATTGATAAATCACATACAAAATTCCAATTTAAATCAACATAAAATCAACAATCAAAAAGGTTCCCTTCTAGCTCTAAGTCCCAACTCCATGGTTGTTTGGAAATAGTTTAAAGAAAGTTCAGTAATGTTCACATGTGAAAAAAAATCCTACCATTATAGTGTAGTGTATTTTAGCATAGTGTAGTGTAGTATAATATTTGTTTCATAAATGTAAGGCCTTAGGCCCATATATAATACAATATACAATCAACATATTTTCTCACTTCTAATAGAGTATCACATTATATCTTATAGAAAAGGATGCTGATGGAGGAATGGATTTCTTTGATGGCTCTAAGCTTGGGGAGTACCAGTATGAAGGAGAAGGCGCTCTATTTGAGGATGAAGAGACCAGAGCTTTCTATGAAACTTTGCCTGATCTAAAGGAAATCATTCCTAGGGTAAAACTTGTTAAGTTAAACACCTCTAGAAGTGGAACACCTCTGTTAGGGGAACACTTTTCAGAGTCCCAAGACCAACTAACTCAATGAATGAACCTCTCTAAGTGGAACACCTCCCAAGTGGAACACTTTTTAGAGAGGTACCGAAGGTGTTCTACTGAGACAGGTTTTACTGTATTTCTGTACCTGGAGTTCTAGGGATCTTATAGGAAACTGGTCTCACCAAATTAGTTTTGTTTTAATCCAGCAGGTAGCATGCTAAATTCTCCATTCAATTATCTTTATTATTCTTTAGCTCAGATATAGATTGATATGAAAGCATATATAATTCTGTGGCTTGTGCTATAAAGTTCTTCTTGATCAAACACATAATGATAACTTGACTCTATTAGTGTAGGCACTCTCTTTTATGATACATTCTTCTACCCCAATTATTTTAAGGGTTACAAACATTTATTACTAAATTATCCTTCATATTTTAGATTCTGTATAAAGACAGTGCTCCAGCAGCCCCAGTTGAGAAAACACCTGAAGAGACAACTGCAGAGGGTAAGTGAACCACAGTAATAAACATTGTGTATGAAATATCTTGCAAAATGATTATTGTAAATCAGTTATCTTACAGAATTCTACCAAAGCAACCTTAAACCATATACTAACTTTGTTTTTCCACGCTTGTTATCATTCGATCCTTTAATTAGACAGTTATTGAAATTGAAAAGTTGCACATAATAGTGCTTCATTTTTTATCTGCCCCATTAATGTTGTAGAGGATTTGAATGTGGAGGACATTGAGAAAGAACTTGCCATTGAAGGAGAGAAGATCAAGCAAGAGGAGAAGAACAAGTCCAAGAAAGATGGAGATAAAGATAATAATGATGATGCAGAACATCCTGTGCTTGTAGATATAGATGGCAAGTTGAAAATTATTGATAAATTTATTTCACATTGTTGTATGAACAGATATTTCACCAATTCACACTTTTCCAACGTGCTATATTGTCGTCACTTTGTGCTGAATTCTGGGTGGGTGCCACAAAAATCTTGTCATCATAATTCTCAAAAGCTGCTTACCATTTCAACTTGAAATGTTTACAAATGCTAGAGCAACTTGGTACCTGGATCTGATCAGGTTTTGGGCTTGCTTGGTCAATTACATGATGATCATTTTGCTCTTCAAGGTGCTTCATATCATTGTGTGTCTTGTCTATTGCAATTTGTGTAACTTCCTCTTTGCCTTTCTTTGATTAGTATTTTGTTTTTCCAGATGAGGTTGAGGATACAACTGGTGCCTCTATGAAGATGGAGTTAGAAGCATTCTTGCAAAGTCTCCCACAGTGTGTCAATAGAGACCTCATAGATTCAGTTAGTATTGTAAATTCCATACATCATAAATATCAAAACTTTGTCAATTTGTCAATAGAGACCTCATAGATTCAGTTAGTATTGTAAATTCCATACATCATAAATATCAAAACTTTGTCAATTTGTCAATAGAGACCTCATAGATTCAGTTAGTATTGTAAATTCCATACATCATAAATCCAATATGTTCATATCTCACTTACCTAAGGCACATCTTAAAACAATTATTTTTATTTTCAAGTTTCAAATAAAGATACATTGTAGTCTATATTATTTTACAGGCATCGGTTGACTTCTGTATGAAGTTGAATATAAAGACCAACAGAAAGAAACTTACCAAGGCCTTGTTTACTGTGCAAAGAACCAGGTATGGACATTAGATGATTTGTGCAAAATGGTCAAAATGGCCTCTTGAATTCTAGAGCAGTTTTTGCTTGCTTTTGCCTGTTTTCTGTCTGAATATACATGTACACTGTTTGATGATTACTGTAGTTTCATATTCAAGATATTCATTTTTTTAATAAACTTAGTACTTAACTTATAATGAGAATTTGTATAAGCTGGATCAAAATTTTCAAATTTGTGAACCTCTATTCATGAAACAAATTGGCAGCAAAGGGTTTGTATTTTACTGTACATTGAGAACAACCACCAGCTATTGAAAATTACTATTTATAATTTCCTATTTCATTTTAGATACGACCTCTTGCCGTTCTACTCAAGATTTGTGGCAACCCTATTTCCTATCATACCTGACGTCGCTAATGATCTGATGACCTTTCTCAAAGGAGACTTCAAATGGCATGTCAGGAAAAAAGATCAAATTAACATTGAGTCTAAAATAAAAACTACAAGATTTTTAGGTAAGTGTATATCAATTGTGCCTCAGTATTATTAACTCATAGATTAAGCATTAAAAAGTACATTTGAATAGGTGTAAACATTTCAGACATGCCTTAAGCCCTGATAATAATTAATATCTACACCAAATGAATTGACAGTGGTGACATACATGTATTGTTATAGTCTCCAACATTTTTTGTGGACGGGGTTCGGGATCTTTAATAAATGGCAGGTGATGACATTTCGCGAAATGTCATCATTTATTAAAGACGCCGAATTCTCAGGAGTGATGAATACACCTTTTTAATTAGTATGGCAGGTGAATATCACCTGATCTTTCCTTATATGGCAAGTGAATATCACCTGATCTTTCCTTATATGGTAAGTGAATATCACCTGATCTTTCCTTATACGTAACCTGGTATTTGTGTTGCTATAGCAAAATGCAGGATTTTTTTTAATTGCAACTTTTATGTATTTCAGGAGAACTAGTCAAGTTTAAAATACTTCCAAAATCAGAGGTACTTCACTGTTTAAAGGTGAGCAACAATGCCATTTTGGATCCATGTTTCTATTGATGTGGCAATAAATTTACTGTTAGATAAAGCAATCAAATTTCATTGCAATTGGCATTTGTGAATGGACCAATGTGAAAATAAAGTTTTATATATTTGGTTGATGTTTCAGATGTTGCTGTTTGACTTTAGCCATCACAATATAGAAATGGCTTGTGCCTTGTTAGAGACGTGTGGTCGATTTTTGTATAGGTCCCCTGATTCTCATCATAGAACCAAGGTTTATTTGGTAAGTTTAAAACACATCCACAATATAAGCAAGCCAAACAACTTAACCAGTATGTATAAAGTATGGATATTTAGGTTGATAAATGCATAATACATCTTTGTACAATGCCATGAAAAACATTTAAATGAAGAAAATGGCAGGTAGTGTATCATAGCCATTCTCCTATTACCCACTTTGTCTCTTGAAATCTTTAGATATTTTTTCAATTTTGTTTAGTCTCATCATTTCTAATATTGAATGAAAGAAGAATGAGTTCCAGTCATTTGGATGAAGCTTTTATTATGTCACCACCAAAAGTGGGGACTTATTTTTTTTTTTTTTTTTTTTTTTTATTTATTAAAATCATATAAACATATATACATATAAGTGATAATGACACCCTGGTGGGTGTATGTCTTATCACAAGCTAAAATATTTAAAAATGGCATATTGTTAGTTACATTTATTATTGATGTTACAAAATGTCTCAAAGTATAAATTATGTAAGCCAAACTGGGAAACAAATAAAAATAAAAATGATGTACATTATAAAAGATGTAATAAAACATTTTAATGATGTAGAATAGCTAAATGGAAAAAGGTGCATCTGTTAAAAATTTGTACAGGGTACTAATCATAGAGACTAATTACATGTCTTTTGTGGATGGCAGTTGATGTTCGGTGTTTTTTTTGGCGTCTGTAATTCATCATAATCAACAAATAGCAGGTGGTGACATTTTGCATGTTAATCCTTGTAATAGATCGAAATAATTTCTTTTAACACCTACATCTGCATTAACCAATTGGAACCTTTTTACCATGGTAACATGTTACATTCATGTATCTATACAGGAGGTAATGATGAGAAAAAAGACTGCACTACATCTTAGCTCGCGCTACAATACTATGATAGAGAACGCCTTTTACTACAGTAACCCCCCAGAGATAGCCCCCATAGAGAAGAAAGTCAGACCCCCGATGCATGAGTATATACGCAAATTACTCTACAAAGATCTCAGTAAAACCAATATAGAAAAGGTGCTCAAACAACTCAGGCGATTGGATTGGGATGATAAACAAGTAAGTTCATGGAAAAAATTGCATGATTTGTTTTTTGAGCTTTAGTCTGAATTCAGAGCATCTTGCTAGTGAGACAGAACTATTGGACTTGTATTAGAAAATAGGTATGACATGGAATGATGATAGCAAAATCTTTTCAAAATTCTCAACTCATCTGTCCCTTCTACTCCCTTTGAGTCAACGGATCTAGATGTCACATCAAGAGGTATAAACTCCTACCATGGTACTGTACAATTGTGTATTCTTTATTTCCAGATTAGTTTCTATGCGACTAAGTGCCTCATTGCCATTTGGAACATTAAGTTCAACTGTATACATTGTGTGGCAAACCTTCTGGCTGGGCTGGCCCCATACCATGTATGTATAACCACAGATATATTTCCATTTGTTTTATGTGAGTATTGCAGCTCCAATTATCATTTCTAAATAATGTTTTAGAAGCAAAATCTGAGAAATCTTTTTCATAACAAAACTTTTATTTTATGAATATGTATAATTAATATAATATAAGGATATGGTGTGTCATGAGCATTTTGCAATATTTATTGTTGATGTCGGTTTATTTCCAGGAACATGTTGCAATATCTATTGTTGATGCCCTTTTGGTTTATTTCCAGGAACATGTTGCAATATCTATGTTGATGCCCTTTTGGTTTATTTCCAGGAACATGTTGCAATATCTATTGTTGATGCCCTTTTGGTTTATTTCCAGGAACATGTTGCAATATCTATTGTTGATGCCCTTTTGGTTTATTTCCAGGAACATGTTGCAATATCTATTGTTGATGCCCCTTTGGTTTATTTCCAGGAACATGTTGCAATATCTATTGTTGATGCCCTTTTGGTTTATTTCCAGGAACATGTTGCAATATCTATTGTTGATGCCCTTTTGGTTTATTTCCAGGAACATGTTGCAATATCTATTGTTGATGCCCTTTTGGTTTATTTCCAGGAACATGTTGCAATATCTATTGTTGATGCCCTTTTGGTTTATTTCCAGGAACATGTTGCAATATCTGTTGTTGATGCCCTTCTGGAGGAGGTTAGGCTTGGAATGGAGGTAATATTATAATAAAACACACTAAAAGTTATAATCCAGTGAGCCAATATGAACGATTATTGAGACAACATTTGGGGCAAATATATAATCATTGTCACTCAGTACCACAAACAGTACTTGTATGTTTTGTAAAACTGCATTGAAAAACTGCTGGGTTGTTTTTGATTTTGAGTAGTCCCTTTGTACAGTGTTTTTCATTGTCAAAGAATATAGCAAATTGCCTCTGATCTATTTTGAATGTAACTGGGTCTGAGATGACTAGGGTCCGAGTTAACTAGGGTCCGAGTTGACTAGGGTCCGAGTTAACTAGGGTCCGAGTTGACTAGGGTCCGAGTTAACTAGTGTCCGAGTTGACTAGGGTCCGAGTTAACTAGTGTCCGAGTTGACCAGATATCCATTGTACTAGGGGTGAGATGGATAGAAGATTGCTCTACAAAGTTGTTGCACATGCACAGGTTCTACTATTCATATTATTTTTGTAGATGAATCACCCCAAGTACAATCAGCGCAGGATCAGTGTTGTGAAATATCTAGGAGAACTATACAATTATCGTATGGTTGAGTCTGGAGTCATCTTCAAGATGTTATACTCCTTTATAACATTTGGTGTGTCATTAGATGGTAAGCTTTCTCCTTTACTTGCATTCACTTTCATGTTTTTAATGTCACCACTGCAAGTGTTGGCATATTGTTATCGTCTCCAACATTTTGTGGATGGTGTTCAGTGGTTGGTTTTTAGCATCTGTAACAAATGGCAGGTAGTGACATTTTGTATGTTAATGCCTTATTTATTCTGTGAATGGTTCAACACTGGTCATGAGGCATAAACTATTCTGTGATATTTCCCTACCATGTTTACTGTTCTTGGGTACAAATAAATAAAAGTCAACATTGATAGGTGAAATCTAAAAGTGTGACAGAATTGTGAGCAATTTTGACCATCCAAAATGTATCAAAAATATCCTTGTTATCAAAATAAGACATTTTTCCAAAAGTTGCTTTCTGTATCTTTAATTTTCTTTGGGACCTACTTAACCCACTGAATAAAGTGGAATAAGTTGGATTTTGCATGTCTCCTGTAACAATAAGTGTCAGTCACCCCCTCCTCCATCTCCTCCCCCGCCAGCACCTCCCCCACTATCTCCCCCTCCTCCACCATCTCCCCAGTTTTGTCCACTATGGACTCCTCCATAATATGATGCATTGTCGTAGTGTGTTCCAGAAATATGGTCATTACTCTGAGGACTTCTTTGCCCATTTGTTTGGTTACTGAAACAAATGTATTATTTGTTAATTACTTTGCTATATGGCATCATTTACATTACATGTTTAGGTTGAATAAGACTTAACAGGCAATATTTGAGAAAACAAACACTTCTGCATTCTATGCTGGTATAGGACTAGTCCTTGCTCCTCATCCAAGGACAAACTTGCCTGGAGTAAAATTTATAGATTAGGGATGTCAATTACAACTTCCAACTTGTTAATTACAATTGAAATCAAAGAAAACTAGAGGAACAAAGTCAAAACTTGATTGTTGTTTTGAAGATCTCTAAAGTTGTATTTGATTGATGTCTTGTTATGTAATTGGTCACAGCAACCATATCAAGACATGAACAAGGTTGTAAGGGTCGACGTACCTTTTGCAGTATAACCAAACTCCAATTGATATCACCCCAGCCACTATCACAATGCTAATGATAGTGCCTAGAAAATAGAAATGACCAGGTATGAGAGTTCTTTCATTTGAAAAATGTGGTTGAGACAATAAGTTATAGGAAACTGAAATCTATTTCACCCACCCAAACAGAAGTTTCTCACACACTCAATAGTTTAATAACTTGTGTAGATATTTTTAAGAAAATAAAAATTATAGGTCTTCTTTTTTATTGCCTCTCAAAACATATTATTTCAAAGTGGTTCTGTCTACTATTTTACAACTAAATACAAAAATATATTTAAAATGCCATTAGAGGTATAAATAATTGGATCCATCTAAATACTGTAGAACCTGTATATCTGAACATCTGGCTAATCCGAACACCTTCCAATTTGAACACTTTTTTTCGGTCCCATTTTATCCTCCCATTGACTCCCATGCTAAAATACCTTGAAATCTGAACAGCTCCTAATCTGAACAGTGAACAACCAGATTTGAAAAACTGACCTGTCTAATCTGAACATTTTTATCAGAAATCAAATGTCTGGACATTTCAATTATAGCCACGTATTGAGTCAATGTTATAGTTGTTATTTATCTTTACATATACAATGTAATCAAAGAACCAATATTGTCATAATTAACTTATTTAGTCTCCGTGACATCCCTAATTTTTGGAAAACAACAGGATGTTTTGGAAAGGTGTGAATACAGGAGTTAATTGGTTTATCCTATTAGAAAAGAACTGAATGTTTTTTGTTTGAATTAAGAGAAAGGTGTGAATCAAGAAGATTATTGATTTATCATTATTGGAAATTACCTGGATGTTTTTGATTTGGATTAAGAGAAAGGTGAGAATCTGGGAGATAATTGGTTTATCCTTATTGTAAATTAACTGGATGTTTTTTTGATTTGGATTATGAACAGGTCTTAACTGTCTTATATCCCATGGGTCTGTTATGATAGCTAAGATTCAATCAGTAAATGTTTTATAATCACAAAGACAATACAGACACATTTGCAGACAAGATTATATCACGAGAAAGAGAAAAAATCAACTTCGTAATATCCTATCACTAAATGCCTCCTAAAAAGGCATACATCTGACATCCTGAATGCCCTTGATATTTTGAAGGATTATACATCATCTTGTAGGAACACTCATTAAAAATTATTTTTGCTCGAAGAGAATATCTACTCAAATATTGCTAATGCTAAAAGTGCCAAGAAACAAACAACATGGAGGTCTTTTTCAAGCAAAAGTAAAGCAGTGCTATATAACCATAATATGGGATAAGTCATTTGAGAAGCATACCATTTCGTACAAGACTATCATATACTGTCTTTTTTTTTTAATTTTTATTACAAAGTTTTTGCCAAAATATAAGAGTTATTTTTACTAAAATAATGAAATTGTTCAAAATGTAAATAAAATATAGGCTATAGGCCTATTGTAGAATAAACTCATCAACAACATGTATTGTTTTCTGACTTAGTATTAAGTGTTCAATATAGTGGACTGAACAATGAAAATCCCCCCCCCCCCGACCAACAAAATCCTCGAAATTTGAACACCTGCCAATTTGAACGCTTTTGGTTGGTCCCATGGGTGTTCAGATTAGACAGGTTTTACTGTAATATATTTATGTTAACTATACAAAATGTTCAAAAGTGTGATATCAGGAATTAAAAATGTATGGTCTAAACCTGGATACTCATTGAATAATTGCGCCCATGGTATAACATGGAACCATGTACTGCCAGTGTATATCTACCTTGAACAAATATAAAGTATTACACTTGATACAATATCTATAATATCTATGACTTTACCTACGATAATGTACAAAATTCTATTTTCATCTCCATAAGACCCCTCTAGTGGTGTTGTCCTTGTTGGGCCCTGAGGCCAAAGTTTATCTGTCGAATTATCCATCATTTCTAAGTCTTTGAATTGTTGGAGTTTTCAATAAAATTCCCAATGTTCCTTTGTAATTTTGATTATCTCTATGTTATGCCTTATATTCAGACAAAAAAGGTTCATTCCCTATTATTGTATGGGTACAAGCCTGGTGCTAATACATGGTATATTTTCTAATATACTACGTATGTAAAGTTGGTATATACTATGCATGTAAAGTTGTTCCAGTCAAGCTCACTAAACCTCATATCCCAGTTGGTAGATCATCAGCTTAAATGCTTAAATGCTAAAAATCCTAAGCAAGGAGAACTCTAAATATTATTTCTATATATAATAGCTCATATAAAAAAGAAAATGATATCTTGATAATTTTCCTACAGTGACATCAAATGACAGTGTCACGGTATGTAACTTGGCTTTGACCTGAATTGGCCCAAACAGCAGATACCTGGCCTGCCTTGCGTATAAATTTAGGAATTTTGCCATTTTTCATTGAGCTTTTCAATACATACTTAACAAGGGACCTGGTCAAATCAGTTTGTCATTTTTTGCTAAGGTGATTTCATGGAGGGGAGGGAAAAGGGAAAAGAAAACTTGGCATCATTATCGAAACTTATTGAACATTGAGTCAGAGTGTTTGATAAGATTTAATAATAATGAACATATAGGGGGGAGAGGTCTGAGCCTTTATGTTAGATTAGTTTTATGAGTGAACAATGCTTTTTGACCTGACCCCTAAATCAAAACTGAAGCTTCATCACACTCATCAAATCATGTTTCTGAATGGTTGTGTCATTTGTAGCCTTATTTTGCACTTAGTTGGCACTTAGTTGATGGCCATCTAAAAACGATAATTTTTAGCAATTTGGTGATGGGAGTACATTTCCTTAAATGTAGTTATTCATTAATTTCTAAATCATGCACAACATTGTAATTTGACCATTTTCATTCCCTATAAAATCTCTCTTATTCAAAAAATGTTATTCAAAAAGTTTGATTAATCAGTTAAAAATATTCTATGCACAACTTTTGATCACCCTCTAATTCTAAGAGGAATGATTCCACAGGGTGAAGTCTTCAGAAATTACAAGTTTCCTTCTTTATCGTAACCAAGGCAACATATTGAAATCAAACCAACAATGTATCTGCCTAAGTTGGAATTCACAAATAAAAGTAACACAACTAGTTTGCACTAAAAAGAATAACATGAAAATTGCATTTCTTTTTTCAGAGAATACATCATCTCCATTGGACCAGCCAGAGCATTTGTTTAGACTGCGACTAGCATGTTGTTTGTTAGATACATGTGGACAGTACTTTGATAGGGGATCCAGCAAGAGGAAACTTGATTGCTATCTGGTCTATCTCCAGGTAAATCTACTGACTGTTGATACATGACACAAATAAATAATTTTTACAAATGGAAAAAAGTTCAAATAGTGGTTCCAGAATCATGTGGTCGTGCAAAAGTAACTACAGGGTGTCTCGAAAGTATGGGGCCCCCCTAGTCAGACATATACCAGTGTCGTCCTAGTATGTGTCATATATCATTTTAAAGCTTATCCAAAGTTACATTGATTCACCAAGTATCATAGTTCAACTGTCAAATGTGAAAAAATTACAGGCATTTCAAAATTTAGTGTTTGGTCAAAATTAAGTTCAATTTTACACCAAATCAATGTCCTCCTGGGCCATCTATAATAGCAGCAATTTTTTTCGAGTCGGATGGATATTGAGTTGGAAAAAGAGAACGGTGAGGGTAGAAACTCTAAGAAAACTCTTCTAAAGTGCCTTAACAGGTTTTAAGAAGGTTATAAAATTCCACACCCCTATTTGAAGGGCTTTAAGGTCATATCTGAAAATAATTGCGGGTGTCAACATGGCCAAGGGGGGACTCATTGACTAGTAATGTGGTGTAAAATTGAACTTTATTTTGACAAAACACTAACTTTTAAAATGACTGTAACTTTTTACCATTTGGGAGTTAAACCATGATACTTGGCAGATCAATGTAACTTTGGATAAGCTTTAAAATGATATATGACACATACTATGAGGACACTGGAATATGTCTGCCTAGGGGGGGGGGCCCTATACTTTCGGGACACCCTGTATACTATTTGCTTGGATGTGCTATTCCATGGAGTTGCTGTTTTCTAGTTTATTATTTTGAAGGGAAGATAGATGCCACTCTAAATTTTTATGTCACCGCCACAAATGGTTAATGGTCTCCAACTTTTTTGTGGATGGTGTTCAGTGGTTGGAGTTCTGTATTTTGGTGTTCAGCATTCGGTGGTCGGCATCTATAACAAATTGCAGGTAGTGACATTTTGCATGTTAATGCCTGGTATAAAAATATGTACAAATGTGTGTTCATTTTCCAGAGGTACTATTGGTTCAAGAAGAAGAATCCCATCTGGAACAGTGATAGACCATTCCCCATGGATGTAGAGTACAATTATCGTGATACCATTGAACCACTTAGACCTAAGATGCAGTATGCTGAGAATTATGAAGAGGCATGTCAACTGTGTGAAGAACTTGAAACTGAAATAAAGAAAAAGTTAGGTATAACATTCTTACTTTATTTAAATAGTTTGGAAACCTATAACAAACAAATTAGCTCATTTCTTTGCTTGATATGAATAAAAGGCTTCAGACATGTATTTTTATCTTTGCCTTTTGTCTACTGGAAAATCCTTAATATCATTTTTCATTTTTACCTTATGTACCTATTTACTAACTGTTATCATATTTCAGTATGAATGTATTGAATCCATGCATTTTGTCACCAAGATAAGTGGTGACATATTAGGTCCCCAATCTATTTGTGGACAGTGTTTGGCAGTTGGTGTCTGTCATCTGGTGTTCAGCGTTTGGAATTCTGGGTCTGTAACAAAAGGCAGACATTTTGCATGTTAATGCCTTGTTATAGTTAAAAAATGTGTACATATACTTTGTTTCAGCTAATGTCCTGCCAATCATAGAGACAGATGGAAGCCAGAGTGAGGGAGAAGCCAGTGATGGTCTGGGAACTATTAGAGAAGATGATGAAAACAGTATGTGGCATTGTCATCTGTTCTGTATTACTACTACATGTATTGTCGTGTAGTAATTGTTACTGAAAGATGGGAGAGGGGCATATAATTTTTTTGTTAATGTTTGGGGTTTGTGTCCTTATCTTTCCCTATTGGCACTTGTGTTACATATTCATTCTCATGTCTAGTAGCTTGAGTTGGCTTAAAAGTCTTGGTAATATTCCAAAAATTCTACATTTCCATTTTTATATGTTTGTATTTTCTCTCCAAGCATATTTCCATTTCCATCCATTTTTTCTCAAAAGATGTCTCTGCTGTCTCCAATATACAAATACAGTGTTCTGCAAGGAGGATTGACTCCCAGGGTGCAATCTCAATATTCTGCCATATATGGAGTCATGTCGTGATAACAAAATTTAGAATCAAGCAGCCACCATTTTTTCACTTCAGAATTTCAATTGTGATTTTTGGTCTCATTCCAAACAAAAAATGTCAGAACAAACAAGAAGTGATCAAATTATTAGTTCAAACCATTCAAACCTTATGGATTGCTGATGATGACTTACTAGTCAGTTTTAATGTCAGAAAATAATGACATTTCCAATGTTGTCACCGATCAAGGTCAAGGTTGAATATCGAGTTCTGGAAGGTCTGAGATCCGATCCTCCTTTGTGTTCTGTATTGGATTGTATTGTCCAGACAAAATCACACTTGGGGTTTCATTATACTTTGAAGTCCTTCAGACATGTGATTTTGTCAGGGATCTGGAATGATTGTATATGTTCCTAACATTCATACTGTTCAATGTATTCCAGTGGATGAGTTGAGTCAGAGAGACAGAGGGGCTGACCTGACAGAAGAGAGTGAGAGTGAAGGAAATAATGCCACTAGCAGTCAGAACCAAACTACAGAGGTAAAACAACAAAATTCATTGTGAAGAAGTCCAAATCGTTTAATGCCATCGCTGCATAAGAAAACATTGCATGGTGTTATGTTATGTTAAATTTTTCGTAAGTTGCAAAATGGTACTTATTCATAATTTTGTTTTAACTAGTATGTCCTTAGTTTTTATGATGAGACCTTATGAATCCCCTTGTCTGTACAGTAATGTGTTTTTGCTTAAAGGGAGAGGAAGAGGATGAGAGTGAAGACATGTTAGAGTCTGCTGGGGAAGATGAAAGTGAAGATCAGGTAAGTAACCATACCCTTGAAAAAGCATCTTGTAAACTATACTCTTCATACATGTAGCTCTGTCATACCCTGTGATCTCTATAGCTCTTAAGTGGACAAATGCTGCATTGGAAATAACCCTGTTAAAAATTCATTCGGATAAAGTTGAAACTTGACAAGTCAGAAAATTAGGCATTGACTTAGGAGTGTCAGAATATTGAAAATGTTGAAAAATAATTAGCAGTGTTCACTGAATAAACTATAGCTGAGTAGCAATTTTAAGACTTCAGTGAACTGGACAATTGTTGTCTTAATGGTTGATGTTTTACTTTGGTTATGTTTTCATGTACTTGACATAATTACCAATTGTATAAAATGTAAACCGGTTAATGGTTAACTGCTGTTGTAAAAGGGTAGGAGGTCCTATCAAATTATGGTCCTACTTTCCATTGATTTATATGGTGACCTCAATACAACTCTTTCCCTCATTATCTTATACATAATCAGGGCCAGTAAGGGCCGTTAAGAAAGGGGACCATAATCCCTGGGGGACCATCATTTCTTTCACACTGGTAGTAGCTTACTTGATTAAGAAATTTTCACTTAATAAATTAGTTGACCCTAAATACTCAATCCTATTTTGTATTATGAATTTCTTTTTCACAGATGTCAGATTCTCAATTCAACTTCAAGCAATGAATGAATGACACTCGCTTGATATTAATTTTTCGGTGCTGAAAATAAATTCCTCATTATTGGCCAATCAGTACGTCAAAGGTCATAGCCTTGCTTTGATATTGTTAAACCAAATTACAAACAATTAACCAACTTTAATCGTCAAATATGGATTTAATCAAACAATGTTTTTGGCTGTAAATTGACATCACTAATAAAATGCTATCCTTGCCTTTGGAGGATGATTCTAAGACAAGATGTGATGGCACAACCATGAAATATGATGACTGTAAACTGTAAAGTCTGTCATATAATAGAATAAAATGAAATGTTAGTTGTCTTGTCCAGTTTTAAGCACAGAATTTCTGGTGTCTTTGTCTCCTCAACACTGCCTAGGACTGCTCACACGACAAAGCTAATTTTTTATAGCATACTGATTGAACAAAACCTACAATCTACTCAATGTTTGTTAATCTCACTGAATTTATGCACCTTTGATTGACTATATGCAATAACTGCATTAGGCAGTAATTTCCTCTAAGAAATAAATTTTATTTTTCCATAATGAATTATGAGATAATAGTGGATGTGCCATTATTGCATAAAAATCCATTTCTGCATACCATAAATTCTGGCTGCTTTAGGCTCCAGTATATCAGCATGATTGTTTAAGAGCTAGTTAGCTGATGTTTTTCTTCTTAAAGATAGACAAACTTCAATTGTAACATTCTATTATCTACATTTTATTTTCCATTATATTTTGTGTTATTTACATAAATAAGAAGAGCTACTACTTATAAACCCTACAATAAATATGTAGCCCTGGGAATTTCCGTAACAAAATTATATCAACAGTTCTTGTATATCATTGCACTACCAAACAAACTGCTGTTTTACATTCATGAATTCTTGTCCAATTTATCAAAATGCCTTCCTATTTTTATTGATAATTAAATCATTGTTTTTATTTGAAAGGGCATGTTATCGGTAGAACAATCCATTATATCAAATTGATTGTTCCTGATTCAATCATGACAATCCCAACTAAGCCAGCAAATTAACACATTACCGTTCAAGAAAGTTTTTCCCTGTCAGTCAAAGAGCTTCCAGTCTTATATAGGACTTTAGAGGCTTCTGTTGTTCTTGCATTAAGTCTATAAGCTTTTCATTTGATTCCGTGTCATTTCTTAATTCCTTTCAAGTTGTATTTTCAATTATCCTGAAGATGGTATTACTTTCACTATGAGTGGTTTCTTCAGTTAAGATAACATTTAAGTGAATGCAGAAGGTTATTTTGACTTGGCAGAAAAATTCAATTTATTAATTACAACCTTTTTATTATAACAATATTGATGCAATCATTTTCTAGCTCTTACATTTGATTGGGTAGTAATTACATAGGATTGCGCTTTTGGAGAAAATCTCGTTTTTGCCAAAAACTGACATAACGTGACTCATTGACTCAGACAGCCATACGCCCACAAACATACATGTACATGTATTTAAGAAACCCAAGTTATATTTGGTAAAAGTTAATTACAACACGTGAAGAACGAGAAGCATGTTTAAACTCTCAGTTAATATCAACAGCCCCTCTCATTCTGTCATGTCTATAAATATTCATCTAGGCATATTTCATGATTGGAGCCTGTTGTCATGGTGACATCGCAATACAAAGTCATCTGTTGTATAAATAAGCCCTGCTTGAAGCAGCAAGTTGGATTCTTTGATTGTATTCCTACAGTGTACGAGTCTTTAGGTGCTGTCTATCATGTTTCACACTTAACTCTTCAACAAATTGCTTTCATGGGGCAACTGGTAAGAGGCTGATTCAAACATCAAAATATCGAAGAAATAATTGCAAAACTACTGAGATGACCCCTTAAGGTAGAACTTGTTTCAGTTTCATCACAGTTTCCATAATGGATGCATATTGGCCCGCATAGAGATGAACCTTTGTGATGTTGTGCCAGTTGAGGCCTTTATTCCCTGTGTCATATTCCCCATCTGAACTGTAAACAGCATTGAGTTTAACCCTCCCACAACTGCTGTACCACCATCCACCTCCCTTTAAGGCTTCTGCGCAGTTCAATCCTGATCCATCATTATCTCGGTCAATTGTTGAGAACTGCATATTTCCCGGATCATATATCGCGCCATGTCCATGGATACTATCCCCTGCGTCTCCTCCAATAGCATTGCCTATTGTTAAACGGTATTTGTCCGATTCGTCCGTGATTTCAAAATTGTCATAGCTCTCGCTGAACCAGTTGCCATTAGGGTGTCGCAAATCAAAATCGATCATGTAATTCCCACTATTACTCAAAATGTGGATCTTATCATTTCCCAGCCAGTATTCTGTTTGCAAATCTCCAAATCCCTGTTTGTATGCATCCCAGGTTTGAAAGTGGAAATCTTGGGCGCCATCTATTCGTCTTTGAATGATATCCCAGCCACCAGATGTCATGTCACACTGAATGTTAAAAGGAGGTTGACCCATGTTAGGTTGTATGGTATAAACGGCATCTACATCGCAGCCTGTATTATAAATCTCCTGACAATCCCTATATATACTTTTTGTGTACAAGATTTGTGAGCCTTGGCTCGGCGTTATTTGTTCCCATTTTGTTATATCGGGATTCACATATCCTGTATTGTCGTGGAGAAGATTTCGAAACAGTAAACATCTTTTCGTTGTTTGGATGAAGTTTGCCATGAAACAGCAGTCGCTGGTACATTTCATTCCACATGCTAAAGCACTCTTAATGTTTTCATGTGTTTTGAAAGGATCAGCAGTTACGGCAAAGTTTTTAACTTTGTTGTAGACTCTTTCTCGCAAATTAGACCCACTTACTGCTTGATTAAATGTATACAGTCCAATTATTAAAGCTAATGTGAATGATATATCCATAACTTCGTACTGTATATACACACAGAGTTGAGTGTTCTTTTATACTTTTTTATTATAGTTTTTCAGCAATGTCTTGAAATGTTTCCTTAATTTCTTGAATAATTAACCTAATTTTCCTCATTATCTTCTTGTATCAATGGAATCATATATTAAATGTATATCCATGACGATCATCAAATGTCTTTAATAGTACTCATAAGTTAACTTACAAGAGAGACTTTAAAAGCATGCAGATCAGTGGCTTGACGTAGAAGTTGTGACGCGGCTCTGTGATGTCCCCTACAAGATGATTGATGGTGAATCTGATATTCACTATAATCTAACCTGCGATCATAGTTCCTATTAATACTTCATTCACAATTCATTATTCCTCAATTCATTATATTTTGTTGAACATCTCCTGGCTTTGTTCTCTTCGTTATGAACTGGTTCTGTTTGTTTTGCCTCCTCTTTCAATCTGTTTTATTTTGTCATCAACTGGGGGATGTCTCAAAATTAATATATTTCATGAAGGGATTGTCTCAAGATGATTTCATTGTTGATTGGAGGTTAAATAACTGAATAAACTAGAATGGGTAGAATTATTGGATATCATATATTGAGTTATATCACTTTTTATTGGCAAATAAGTGAGCAAACAAAATTCAAGTTTATTTATCTTGTATGTGATGCAGCTGACAAACAGTATTTGGAATTACAGTATCTATACATTTGCGTCTGATAAATGATTTGAAGAGAAAATCACATAGAACTCAATTAGAAGATGACTGACTGTTATCATATACATGTACATAATATAATGTTTATAATCTCTGAATAAATGGTGGCTTCTTTGTTGTATGATCTTATTACCCCCTCTGTCTTGTTATCTTGATGGAAAGATACTTCTATACTACATGTACTGGATACAGAAGATAACTGTGAATATCTGGTCAATAACTCTGCTTAAAATTTTAAATATCATTCGTCAGATTTTTGTTTTAGGCTGCTGTGAAGCAAATGTTTAAAATTGCCTATCGATACAAAATTATGTAACCAATATGTTCACCATTTTGGCAAATATTGTAAATATAAGAAACTACAGATACGACAGATAACATAACAATTAAGCCACTGTGATTATAAAATCATGAAATCAGTTATAGTCTTTGACTATTGTTGATTTTTTACATTCAACATGGTGTTTTGTATAATATCTTTTTGTAGTGAAAACAAGACGCTTTAAATGGGTGAAACCAAAACCGCATACACCAACTCCAACTTTACAATTTTTCACAGAATTATACATTTTCCTATTGGAATTCAGATTCTTAGTCTCCACTTTCACTGCAATAAGAGGAAAATGAAATAAAAATTATTGAATAATTAGTCTTATGTCTTGATCATTCACATCTACATATAAAAAGAATTTTGCTTCAAGCTTCACTATGGCAGAAAATATCCAATGTTTTCTTTAATTTTCTTATCACTACATCAACTTACGTAGTCATAACATTATCTTTTGAGGAGCAATCGTTCTGATGTCAGATTTTAGAAATACTTGAATGAAATTGTAATTGAATAATTATTACAATTCCCGAGTGATATTAGCAGGTTTTATTATGGTTGTATTGAAATCGAACCATTTTAACACAACTGGAATACTTTTCTCGGTCTTTTTGTTTTGAAACATTTCCAGTAAAAAACAACATTTTTATTTTCTAACTCTTTCAGATGCCTTATGGGTTTATCTTACAAAGATTATTTGAAAACACATCGCCATTGTCTAATTGTTTTTATTGGTTAATTACATTTACTTGTCCACTGATGTGTTAAGTGTTGATTCCCGGGGCATAAAATCTAAATCTGGAGCAAAAAATAACGAACCTTTTATTTTTCCCTCAACAGTCTCATATTATAGTATAATCCCTATAACCAAGATAAGAAAGCAAAAAGGGCAACATTTGAAAAAGCAATACAATCCTGATATATCAATTGAACAGTTTGAACAATCGACATAATTTTTGAACAATTTGCAATAAAATTGAACAATTTCTTCAATTATTTAAAAGGGTGCATTTATATATCCCATGAGGTATAAACTTTACAAAGGAAAGACTGTGTTATTCTAAAGTAAGTTTAAAAGACTTTTTATGTTCAAGTTCAAGTGAATGTTATATAAATAAACCACTAGTCTATGACACTAATTGTGATTATCCTTAGTAGAAACAAGGAAAACGTTTTAATGTTCTGAATTTCACAGGATTCTAAGATTTCAAATCAATAGATGACTGACCTAAAAAAAGAAATCTATCAGTATGAGTACGATAAGGTTAGGTAAGGTCAGTTGGCATTGTTCTAGTTTTTAGTGACAGGCATTCCGCATTACCAATTGGCACCTGTAACCATTAACATTCTCATAATTTGCGATAATTTGTTATGAGTAATCTGCATTTTAACTTGTTAGTATATATAAGTCACTTTTTCACATCAGATCTTAGCATAGGCTTTAATCCAATGTTTCAGATTAAATACACATGTTCTTAGTTGTAACATTTTTTTTATTGCCATGGCAACAAATTAAGATTACATTAAGAACATGTGGCATTTTTATTGCACTCTTAGGTGCTATATTGTAATCTTTTTAACATAGCAATTATTCAAGGAGAATTGAGCCAGAGCTGAAGAAGTTTGACTTGTAGTTTTAAGATTTTGGGCAATATCTGTTACCATGGCAACATATTATGAGACTTAATACACTTGTAGCATCGTGATAACTTGAGAAATTATTGTCAGATCTTCTTTTGAGTCCATTCAACCCACTCTCCTATTGAAATAAAAACTCTATACAGAATGTTCCTGTCAGATAAATCCCTGTAGAACTGAAATTCAAGGAAGTGTGTATTTGTTCATGCAGCGTATTGACATATCATATTGCTGAGATTGCTTGACTTATTGATCAGAAAATATTGGTGATGGATTTTGGAGACTATGATAAATTGACAAAATATCACCATATTGCCCGTAAGCTATCTTTCCATTAGGAGTTTTCTTAGATTGATACAAATACATGTACATGATACAAAGAGGGCTTGAGCTGAGGGCCAGTCCATTGATCATTTACCTGGTTACTTTTAATACGGACCAGTTGATTAATTTCAGTAGGTATAGGATAATTAAATGGCAGCTGTAATGTCATTTTGACCAGCTGCTTTCAGAACCTTAGCTCATTACCTGGATAAAAATGTTATTCAAGTCACATTTCAATTGTGAATAAACAGCATTTATTTTCTTGAACAATTCAGAAAAGGTTAATCTGGTAGCCGATAAGCAGATAATGGTAGCAGATAATGAATTATTGAATGAACTATGCTCTTTAAAGTTTTATGTATTTTAGTAGAGATTGATTAAAAATTAAATGCTTGTTTGTTTAAAGATGTTCCACTTTCTTGAATAGTCCCATATAAAGATTTATTATATTTTTCTTGGATCTTACCAACTGACCGAGAAAAGAAAATGACCTAGATTTTTTAAATTCATGGAAATTCTTTTTTCAGTTTTCCTTGAAAAAGATCTAAGCAAATATTTGGTTTGTTCATTCCTGGTATAAAACATGGTTTTCAAACAACATGCTGTGAGGTTTCTGTATTTTTAATTACTTTTTATGAATAATATATGATGGTGTCATTCACAGGTACAAAACAGATCAATAGGAGACATTGGCATTATAAATCCTTTGGAGATTATTCTGTTTTTAATTTTAGAAAAATAGTGTTAGTTTTTGCATCGACCTTCAAGTAGAAGCCAATGGTTTTATGTCACCACCAAAAGTGGTGACATATTGTTTTAGGATGGTGTTTGGCATTCAGCAGTTGGTGTTCAGCATTTTTTGATTGTCCTTTGTATTCAGCTGTTGGTGTCTGTTACAAATGGCAGGTTGTGATATTTTGTATGCCTTGTTGCTTTTTCGGGAGGATTTGTCAAGGATCAGAGTTTATTGAATGAATTTAATCAATTATTAGCCAAAAATACTCAAATACTCAAATCAATTTATTCCTTTCGTGACTATGTAAATATTTTGTTTGTTATCTATGGATAGGTTAAAGTAATTGTTCAAAATATTTCTAGTTTGTGAGATTGTCTGTATGAACAGCAGCTAAGATGATACTTCAATCAATATACATCTTATTTATGTCGCATAAATGACATACTTTAATTTAAACTGACATACTTTACCTTAAATAAAATGTACACATATTCCAGATTTTTATTTCTAGGAGTGAAGGGGAATAAAACCAGGAATTTTAATATTTGTTAAAATGTCTCATTAGCTTTATTTTGAAAGTACTTTCAATACAACTGAGTATTTTAAAGCACATTGAAATGAATGTTTCAGGTGACTGTGTTGAATGGTGGCCTGAAGGTGATAAAGTGCGAGGAGGATGACGGATTCCTTGCAGACTTTGAGAAAATGATGGCTGATAACATTCAGGTAAACCAAATGAGCATTACCTACCCCCGTGAGATATTACTCACATGAATTATTGAAATAGGAGGAATTGTTTGAAGTAAATAGCTAGTGATGATTTGCACAAAACAAGTTTTGTAGAAATTGGAGATGCTATTTTTCAGAGGGCTACTCAAAATTGTTGCGTTTTGTTGAATCTGCCTTATTGTTGGCTAGATACAAAGTTCTGCAGCACTTCGTCTATTAGAAATGATAACAATGCTTTATAGATTGTTGTAATCTGATCACTCTGACATAAAACTATAAAAGGATTCCAATCAGATTACGAATTATACGAGTAACTTAAACCCTTATTTATTTCGACCTAAGATAAAAAGTAAGCATTCATTTCAATCATTTTTGCAACATCAAATTACCAATATCTGATCAGAAAACAAATTGTGAAAATTCCATATAAGATTTGTCACTTGAGCTTGGCTTGTTTTGAACCCTTATTAATAACACCACCAAATGGTAGTGACAAATTGTTGTAGCCACTGTAGTCATTGTCGCAATCAATGTTTGGCATGTGTAATCTCTTGATTGTTATTGGAAGCAGGTACTTATTCTTGTAGTATTCTCTCTTTGTAATGTGATTTTGAATATGAGTGTAAGGTCTGGACATGTACTGATGTTTTATTGCATTACAGGCCAGGAATAGGGAATCTCTGAAGGTGCCAACATTGGATATTGCTGTCCCAGTCCATGTACGCACACAGATGAAATCCAAGACAGTGGCGCTCCCTGGGGGACTTTGTAAGTCACAAGAATTCGTGAAGTTAATCCTCATATATACTAGCATATGCTTTTCAAAAGATATTTAAAAACATAAGCAGTGTATTTTAATTAATCAGTGGCCTCATCCCTGCCATCTTTTCAATATTGCACAACAGATATTAATATATAAGCACAAATGCCAAAGGGAAGGGTGACTAAAAACTTTAAAGAAACCCAACAAGAAAAGCAAACTGTAAGTGCATGTAAGTGTAAATCTGTCATAAGAAAAGTAGACCCTATATATCCCAAAAACATGATCTAACGTGAAAAGAAACAATGTCTAACATCAACCTCCCCCCTCCAATCTAGGACCAATATCACAATCCAGGACCAGAACACCAAGGGACATTTCATTCATACTGAAGTCATTACAATACATGTTGAAGAAAAATTGAAAAAATTGATAGCCAATACTCATAACATCAAAAATCAGAGCATTTTGCAATACTCAAACTGAATACCTACAGTTATAATCTCTATTGACAATATCATTCAGTTGGGTGGAAGGGAAGACCAGGTGTTTACACATCAGTTTAACAGCAAGATTACTTATTATTTATTGGACATGACCTACCTTAATGTGCATCTACAATTGTCCATTGTAGGCCAAAGTGCAGTTGAAGAAGAAGAGGAGGAAGTTAAGAACACCCTCAACTTCATGCTGATGACCAGGAAAGGCAACAAGCAACAGGTATTGTATTATATTGTATTGTATCTTTATGTCTCCATTAGTATTGTTAAAGTCTTCAACCTTTTTTTTGTGGATGGTGTTGGTGTTTGTTGCGGTTGACCCTAGCCATGTTTAGAGAGCTTTTTACTGGGATACTTTCAATAATTAAATAATTAAACCAAGGATATCTGATTGTTTTGTAATGAGTGAGGCCTTGATTCATTTTGGTGCCAATTAAGCCAAGACAAATGCCTTATATTCATGGACATGTACATTGAATTCCCATCAGTTTGCAGGTACATGTACTTTGATCAGATCTAAACAATGCAGTTGTCATTACTATCTGTGGGACTTTGAATGTCAAATGAATGTAAGCTCTTCAAGGAATGGGCAGAAATTGAGTTGAGATTTCCAGAATTTTTTGAATGTTTAGATTGAAGAATCATCTCTAAAATAAAGAGCATAGATAAGGCTAAACTCTTACAAAGGGTACTTACAAGGGTTCTTTGCTTGAACAAATTATGTTATCTTATATGCAACCATTTATTACTCAATTATCATTTTAGTTTTCAACGTTGAATGTGCCAATGACAGCTGAGTTTGCTGCCAAATTCCGTGAGAGAGCCCAGGCTGAACGAGCTGAGAAGGAGCGTGTAAAACGTGTTGTTCTAGACATGCATGAACGACAAGAGGCAGAAGATTATGAAGGTGAATACAGAGTGACTCAAAGAATAGAACCAATCAAAATTAAATGTCATACTTTGAAGGGATCCCAAAGTTAATGTCAAATGGAAAATTAGGTTGATAACAATATATACAACTTGGGTTGTTCACTTCTTTTAGGTCATCCTGTAAATGATTGTGCGTAAGCCTTTCTTAAAAATATGATTGCTAAAATATGCATTAACGATGATAGTCAAAATAACATGTGTGTTAAGCCACGATGATACCATGAGCACATGCTTTGAGGATCTACGTTGTTTGAACCTACCGTCTTGCTCACTTATACATCAAGACCCATTCTACAGTCATGATACCGCAGAGCAAGCTCATTGTATCACCGGGTCTGCTTTACCCCCATGAATAAGGTTCCAAAAGTATACCTCTCTCCATACAAAATTGTTGGTTACTTATGAATCAAGAAATTAGCACTTTTCACCATGTGCAAATTAATGTCCTAGTATTCATATGTGGAGTATCACGATGATTGAAATACTCTCATTATCTGCATGCTAGTTACTCAAGTTATAAGACACCTGCCATATTGAAATATAGACAACCCATGCTGCCATCTTTATATTGGCATTATAACTATGGATTATTTATTTTTTACACAGAGCTGATTGCTTCAATGAATCGTCCTGCTACGACAAATACAAACAGAGAACGCAAAGTGAAGTATTCTCATCCTAAAGGAGCTCCTGATGCTGATCTCATATTTGGATCGAAGTAAGTTTTGCTTATTTTCTTACAGCATTATTCTAAAGCATCATTTTGTTATTGAATCAGTTCTGTAGATAGTCTATATTAATTACAACTGTTCTAAACTTTATATTAAAGGGCCAGTAATTCCAATCCTATATTACTCAAAATATTTTTAATTCCTAATGATATGCTCTATTGATATACTTTATGAAAACCATCTTTTTTGAATTATGAACTCTGTAAAAATCAACCATACAGAAAGTGAAAAAATGAGATTCCCAAAATTCAATTTTGAATTTTATTTATATCTTTAGAAAAGCAAGTTTGTACCAAAGTCTATTTATTGTGCAAGTTACTAATATCATCGTGAATCAAAAGCAATTTTATACTATTTCAGACCAGTGTAACCGCTGTTATGAATGTTAAACTTTTGATACAATTATTATTTATTTTAATGATTTTCAGGAAAACTCTGCGTTGATGGAAACACTGGTGACACCTTGTGTTAAATGATGCAACTATTCAGAGGACAACGTGAGAACGAACGTGAATTGAGAATGTGGCGTGACATGTCGCAACGGAGACGTTACTATGTTAACCATAGACGTTACTATGTGAACCATAAACGTTTCTATGTGAACCATAAACAATAGTCAGAATACTTATTATGTATTCAAAGGCATTGAAGAAACATTGAATATGTTATACTAACCCCAAGTGATGAATTATTATGCCATTCTAATAATTCGAACAGAGGATCAAATATTTGTGTTGGTCTTTTATGCTTAAAACAGTATTATTTGCTTTAAAGAGAACAAATGCTTTTAAGTGTATTACATTTCATTGAGTAAGAGTCCTAAGAATTCTTGACACACAAAGCATGTGTCTTATGTGGGTGTGACTCCAAAAGCTATTTCGCTAACACCCTAAGAAGATTACCATTCTTGGGAAATACCAATTAGGGGAGATTACCATTTAAGGGAAGTAGCAACCTGGGTAAATTACCATTTTAGGGAAGATAATCTGGGCAGATTACCAAACTGGGGGAGACTACAAACCAGGGAAGATTACCTTCATTGAAAATTACTCAGAAGATTACCTTTGTGATACCAACCAGTGGTACATCAACTTTGCAAAATTAAATTATCAATGATGATAGAACACATTAAAATTTGTTTCAGTCTGTCTATGCTGTATGTTTTCTCAAACGAAATATAATTTCTTCATTATTAAGGAAATTTGATATCTCAGGTCTCTTGGTATTGGTTGGTTAATTGAAATTGATATCTAAACTATTTTACCCATCTACCTATCTGAAGGTTACCTTGTAAAAGAACTTTATTTACTGCATAACATGTGAAGTATGACCTTTATATACAATATGAAAATGCCTATAAACTGTCCTAGCAACCGCAAAGCTTGTCGAGTTGTACTTGTACAATTAAATGGAATAAAATTAATTGAATAAATGTGTTTATTGAGTCAATGTAATAATGAAATGTGCTATTATGTAGATAATATTGTATTTTGATAATACTAAACAACATTGGTTTAAAATCCAATCTTATATGGTATGTTTTGTTAAGATTAGGACACATAATTAATTGACTCTAGTTATTCAAATCGTTTAAAGGTACATAAGTAATATAGCTATGTATAATATACTGTACCAAACCATCATCAGGACTAAAAAGATCAACGCCTATAAATTAGTTATCCCATCAAACGAAGTTCGGAGGGATATAGGGAACGCTTCCGTCCATCCGGGCAATAACTCAAATACCGTTGGCCCGATTTTGTTCATATTTTGTACACATATACCTATGGGGTAGAAGTTCTTCTCGAAAGTCGAATTTCAAAATGGCCGCTCATTTCAAAATGGCGGCCATTTTAGTGCCGATTTTACAGTAATTTAAGTGCAATATGTTAAACTGTAGTAGCAATATATTTTAAATGTAAAAAAATTATATAGGACATTAATAAAGCTAGAAATGGAGATATTAAAAAAGCACATGGCAGCCATCTTGAAAAATGGCGGCCTTTACTCGTTATTTTTACGATTTTTGAACTCTAAAAGTATTTTACTATAACTCGAAAAGTAGTGGACCGATTTTGTTCATATTTGGTATGTGAATACAATAAGCATGGCACACTGTCTAGTGACACTTTTGGTAGAAAGCGGCCAATTTGAAAAATGGTCGCCATTTTTGCTATTTACTTTGTTTGTAAAAATGCCAGCCATGGCTGTTCGATGGGATTTGCTACGGTTTGGCGTTGCTGTTGTCTAGTTGTATTTGAAATTGGATATATGTCAATAACAGAAGTAAAGGGATTGACATGCAAAAAGTCACAACCTACCATTTGTTGCCAGTCGCCGACTGACGAATACCGTTCACAAAAAGTTGGAGACTATTAACAATATGCTGCTACTTCTGACTTCTGGGGCCATGAATTCGCACGATTCAAGAATTTATCCGGATGATATTTATCTTTTTGTATTATTGATCGGGATTAAAGAGAGAATCAGAGATAGCGAGCAGGCTAAACAAAAAATTGTTTCAATTTTAGAATATTTTTGGCTCATGTCATTCCTTGTCATGTCTATTTTCTGAAAATCACAAAAGTGCATACTTTATTCAAGGAAAACGAAAGATTTTTACAATAATGTATTATTTTTCTATAAGAATGGTTACCATTCTTATTATTTGGGAGAATTTAAACATTTTTCACCCATTTTTGCACTTTGAATCATTAATAACTTCACCAATTTATATCATATTGTGAATCTTTTGGGAGATATTGTATTTGATATTGTAAGGAATAGATTGGTAGGTCAATTATACACTTTGCTTGTAATTTTGTCACCCCCTATAGATCTGATTCTGCCTTTAATATTTGGTAAATTCGCACGATCCTAGGATTTTGGGTGAAATCCCCAAGATATATCCAAATTACATTGGAATTCGGATAAAATTTACACTAAAATCAATCCACCTTCATAGGTGGATTGAGATAAGAATAACATTTATTCTAAAGATTTCACGAAATTTATCCGGATCGTATCGCGGATCGTAGGTATTCAGGGCCTCAAGCGGTGACAAAAAAAAAACAGAATCAAAATTTTCTGTATACAAACACGTATGTAGAAATGGAATCGATTCCAGACAGTAATAGACTTACATGCAACTGTTCACAATAAAAATACGTTTTTATTCAGAATCATTTTGTAAAGAATATTGGCCTCATTTTGACCCAGTTTGGTTTACTGTAGGCCTATTTTTCAAATGACAAAAGAACATTGATTTTACCTTTGTGTATGCATGTATACACCCTTGGTACGCGCAGCCATCGATATACAGCAAGAAAAAGTCGATATTGAGCAAGAAATTGGTAACTTAAAGTACAAAACAACTATCGGCACCGGCCAGTCCAATATTTCGCACTCGCCGGTCCATCATCGCTAGCTGCGTATACCAAGGGTGGTAGGATATACACTGTGTGTTTTGGGAGAGTACATTAGCTCCAAGAAAACTAAAAAATATGATTAAAATAATCCATGAATCTATGAACTTGATTAGATAAAATGTAAGGTGAAATTGTTAAAAGTTTAAATGGCTTGTGATATAATTTGATGCATAGTTGAATGTCCAGTAAAACTTGAGTAAAATGAGTAACTTCAGTACTCGAAAGTCTAGAAATAAATGAGATATTCCTGTTCACTTTATGTACAAGTCGATATCCCTTTGGCTGTCCTTAATTAAATACAATGTATATCTCCAATCCAGAAGTCCAAGAATAATTGAGAAATCATGTAATGTTGTTTGATGAATGTACAGGGTGATCAAAATACTTATGTAGTTCGCATATGCCTGTTTATTTTACGCTAAGCTATTGCACATCTGGCATTTGGTTTGACAGGGTGATCCAAAATTCTTATATATGTGTCTGTACCTTGTCATTTCCGTGAGGATATAGATCTTCATCCTGTTTTGGTTGATTTTAGTAAATCGCAGAACAGGGGTAGTACATCAGAAACATAATTGTTCCCTCGTCATCATTAATTCTGTTCCCCTGTATCAAATTTTTCCAATAGTATTTTCGCAACTCTTGTTCTATAGTCTCCTTCAAGTTCTTCAAAGTTTTCTTCATTTTCTGCACTTGTTTCATTATGCTGCTCGTATCACTTGTAATAAATAGACTACATAAACTGAAATGTAATAGAAAAGCGAGTTGTCAGTCCAACCTTAATCGTATGTGCTACACGCTTCAGGTGCTACAGTACCTGCGTGCATACTATAGCATGTGTCGTATGTTTTCCACAAACCATCAGTTGCAATTAAAGCTAAATGTGAACACGCAAAAACAAACCAGCATGAATTTAACACCAATGTTGGCAGATAGAACAAAAATGCCATTAAAATATATAGAAAATACAATATTTAAAACAGCGCGATAAATAAACATTAATCCAGTAATGCAGATATGCCTACTTTAAAGTGGAGGCAAAGAATAGAGTGTACAATACTCAGCACGTCAATTGTCACTTCCCTAAGAATCCTAAATCGATCTTAAAACACAGAATTAACTTCTCTTCAAGGAAAGTCGAAACATTTGATGAATTATAAAAGGCATCAGGTGTGTCCAAAATATTTAGAATTGAAAATGTCCATATTTTCAAGCGAATAGCATCTTTAAATGATGGGTGAAAATATAAGATGTAAATAATTACCTCCTCCTGTTTCTCAGTTGTCCACTTTGACGATGCAACGCTCGCATATAGCAGTTATTTGACAAAATTCCTTACACTGTTGGCCTCGACGTCTTGTTTTGAAACTCAAATTAATTCAAATAAGTGTGTAAATATTTGTTGATGTTATTTCTTTACTGTTTGCGTCCTTTTTACCTTGAGACGCGAGTAACTCTAACCTATTTTGGTTTTTTATGCGCCAAATAGATTGCACTCAGAGTGACGTGGAAATGTTTATAACACGTGCCCTCAGTACTCGTGGTTGCGGTTTTTCGATAAATGTTTAAGACCCGGCCTTTTTATAGGTCCCATCTTTTTTATATCTCTAAACATCACCTTTCTTCTTCCAGTTCAGGAAACTGTGTAATCTGGACTTCTGTATTCCCATTTTCGGAGATAGATTGTTGATAACGTACAGGTATAAAATATGGAACATTTTTTGACATAAATAAATGTAGTGATCGCCATTCCAGATAAATCGGATTTTTATGGCAACACCAGAAGTAATTAAAACCGCTACCATTTTTTTAGTCGCTAGAATTTATGATTCACAAAACCGCTACCATTTTTTTAGTCGCTAGAATTTATGATTCACAAAACCGCTACCATTTTTAGCTCACATGGTGAGCTTTTGCAATCACTCACTTGTCCGTCTGTCTGTCCGTCTGTCTGTCCGTCTGTCTGTCTGTCCGTCAACAATAGTGGCACGTTTTAAAATCTCTGTCGATAGGATTCCTGTTTTAAGTTATTTCTGTTCAACATCAATACAGAATACCCCCCTATGACTCCTGGTTCAAAAGCGCGCCTCTTTTCAAAATGGCCGTCACTTTTGTCTCGCGAAATTCACTTTTAGCCCATTTCCTAGCTAACCTCTGTCAATAGGATTCCTGTTTTAAATTATTTCTGTTCAACATCAATACAGAAAACCCCCCTATGACTCCTGGTTCAAAAGCTCGCCTATTTTCAAAATGGCCGTCACTTTTGTGTCGCGAAATTCACTTTTGGCTCATTTCCTAGCTTTACAAATAATTTCAGGTGTCCTACATTGTAAAAGTCCATGTCAATGTAAAGATTAGATATATGAAATAATTTTGTTACAAAAAATCAGCGAAAAATTGTATCCATTTTTTTATTTTCAGCCATTTTAGTTAACATTGATTTGTCTATCTGACTCGCGAAATCCTCTTTCTGTCAATAACAGTGGCACGTTTTAAAACCTCTGTTGATAGGATTCCTGTTTTAAGTTATTTCTGTTCAACATGAATTCAGAAAACTCCCCTATGACTCCTGGTTCAAAAGCTCGCCTATTTTCAAAATGGCCGCCATTTTTGTCTCGCGAAATTCACTTTTGACCCATTTCCTAGCTTTACAAATAATTTCAAGTGTCCTACATTGTAGAAATCCATTGCAAAGTAAAGAGTAGATGTATGAAATAATTTTGTTACGAAAAATCAGCGAAAAATTATATCCATTTTCAGCCATTTTAGTTAACATTGATTTGTCCATCTGTCTCGCAAAATTCACTTTTGGACCATTTACCTTAAACCCTCTGTCGATAGGATTCCCATTTTAAGTTATTTTTGTCCAACATCAATACAAAAAACTCTCCTATGACTCTTGGTTCAAAAGCTCGGCTATTTTCAAAATGGCCGTCACTTTTGTCTCGCGAAATTCACTTTTGACCCATTTCCTAGCTTTACAAATAATTTCAGGTGTCCTACATTGTAAAAATCCATGTCAATGTAAAGGGTAGATATATGAAATAATTTTGTTACAAAAAATCAGCGAAAAATTGTATCCATTTTTTTATTTTCAGCCATTTTAGTTAACATTGATTTGTCTATCTGACTCGCGAAATCCACTTTCTGTGGCACGTTTTAAAACCTCTGTCGATAGGATTCCTGTTTTAAGTTATTTCTGTTCAACATCAATTCAGAAAACTCCCCTATGACTCCTGGTTCAAAAGCTCGCCTATTTTCAAAATGGTCGCCATTTTTGTCTCGCGAAATTCACTTTTGACCCATTTCCTAGCTTTACAAATAATTTCAAGTGTCCTACATTGTAAAAATCCATGTCAATGTAAAGAGTAGATGTATGAAATAATTTTGTTACGAAAAATCAGCGAAAAATTATATCCATTTATTTATTTTCAGCCATTTTAGTTAACATTGATTTGTCCATCTGTCTCGCAAAATCCACTTTTGGACCATTTACCTTAAACCCTCTGTCGATAGGATTCCCATTTTAAGTTAATTTTGTTCAACATCAATACAAAAAACTCTCCTATGACTCTTGGTTCAAAAGCTCGCCTATTTTCAAAATGGTTGCCATTCTTGTTTCGCGAAATTCACTTTTTGCCCATTTCCTAGCTTTACAAATAATTTCAGCTGTCCTGCATTGTAAAAAGCCATGTCACTGTAAAAGGTAGTTGTATGAAATAATTTTGTTACAAAAAATCAGCGAAAAATTGTATCCATTTTTTTTATTTTCAGCCATTTTAGTTAACATTGATTTGTCCATCTGTCTCGCGAAATCCTCTTTTGGACCATTTGCTTAAAACCTCTGTCGATAGGATTCCAGTTTCAAGTTATTTTTGTTCAACATCAATACAAAAAACTCCCCTATGACTCCTGGTTCAAAAGCTTGCCTGATTTCAAAATGGTCGCCATTTTTGTCTCGCGAAATTCAATTTTGGCCCATTTCCTAGCTTTACAAATAATTTCAGGTGTCTTGCATTGCAAAAAGCCATGTCACTGTAAATGAAATAATTTTGTTACAAATTATTGGCAAAAAATTATATCCATTTTTTTACAGCCATTTTAATTGACTGAGAGACAGATGGCTTGAAATAATTTTGTAACAAAAAATCAGCAAAAAATGTGACCATGTGAGCCCAGTACCCACGGTACTAATTTTTTTAGTCGCTAGAATTTATGATTCGGATTCTCTTTAAATGCATGTTGGTCACATCCGACTTATATTGAAAATACTGTTCTTTTTGTAATTTGCTATTTCAGGAAGATTCTGATATTGTCTCATTTTCAGTGCTCTCGTAACGTCTTGATTCTTTGCACTCATTATATCGCAATCTGCTACTGTCACAATAATATCAATTTTATTAAATGTATCGTAAAAACGAATACTCCTAGGTTTTACTTTACTCTCGCAGTAACTCAAGAGAACTTCAACAAAATGTTTAAAAACTTGTAGTTCATCGTTGAAATCTGGACCTTGTTGATTGATTTTGTGCCACAATGTTTTGTTGAAATGATCGTAGAGATAGTGATCTATCAAATGCAATTTGTTGAAGTTATTTAATTCAGTCAGTGAGAATGTGTCATTTTTTGATGTATAGTTCCTTACATTGAGGTTCATATACGCAATGTCTTTTAATTGCCAGCATAATAGTCTCTTTAGCAGTACTAAGGATTCTTGGAAATATTCTGAGATTATAATCAACAAGAATTGAGATTCCAATTCCTGTGTTTTCCTTTTAAGGTCATCTGGAGATACATAAGCGTATCTGTGAAATCCATAATGATATGATTGGAAATTTTTCGTATATGGATTCGCAAATGTCTTTGTTATGTTTTCATACTTTTCTGGGTGTTGTAGAAAAGTATGTATCGAAGGTAAGCCGCGATATATATCCAGTCTAAAGTGATTGAAAGTTGACTGAAAAGCTTTTAATGGATCACGGAGGCTACCAATGAAGACGGCACGTGGTCCTAAAACATCTCGAAAACTTGACAAATCGAACCGTGCATGATGCGTTAAAATATTGAAATATTCCCCATTTAATTTTGGCAAGATTTTAAGTTGAAATGTTCCCGGTGAACACAAATTCACAAATTTTCCACGATCTGGTAAAACAAAAGTCAGGTTTTTTCGTATTCCATAGCGTAGGAATATATTCATGATAGTTGTACTTCCAGATTTATGCACTTTTAAATACCCAACATATCTTTGTGGTGTGCAGCTATCGCTCTCTTCAAGGTGTTCTTCATTGAGCGACTTACTGGAAGTGGCAATTCGTTCCTCGAAGTTATCAAGTCCATCACCAGTGATTTCAATATATTGGCTCTTGTTGCTTTCGCCTCGGATTATCCCTTGGATATAGTGGAGAACAAGTGTAAAAGATATATACAATGTTAAAATTGCAATACTTTGCTTGGTTATTTTATACCAGCGCATGTTGAATTAAAATTAGCCTGTAATCTCATTTTACTCAATATTGTTTCATGTCGTAGATATCTCTACATTAAAAAGATTTACTGTTAAGTTCTGGCGTTGTTCCAGTCGCATCTTTTATTTATGTTGTTTTGATCTGCTAGATTTCCTAGTAACAATTTGAATGTTTAGTTATGCTAAAGGACTAAAAATGCGTATCTTTGTTCTTATGAGGGTTGGAAAAAACAACAGGATTCTTTCAGAGTAACATACTAGATTGATTGGTTTATCAGTGTGACTATATCCCCTAGATTTACAATAAATTGCGCCGTTTGTTTTCACAAGCCATATCTTTGTATTATCAATTTATTATAGCAATAAAGTAGAACATGGTTAATTAATGTCAATGATTGTTAATTAAATACAAACAGAATGGAAATTAATTTAATTGAGTATTCCAGATATCATAAAACATGAAGATGTTAAATGGTGTATTGCACGTAGATGGATATAAGTGTTACATTGAAATGCAATATCACACACATACTGTACCTAGGCTAACTCCCTTAAAATCAGAATTCCACTTTTTAAAACAAGTCATTTATTTAATCTCCATTCTCCAGATTGAAAAAATGTCTGATCTTGCCTCTTCCTAATTTTCCTCATGGGGATTTGTAACTACACCATTTTCAGAAAAAGTGGATGATTAGAAAATTGTTAAATTAATTTAATCCCATTACTCCCATCCTTTTTGATTTAAAGAGGCAATCAATCCAATTTCTAACTCTGTTTTTGCGTAATTTGACAATTATCCATTGATGACATACCATTATGAAGTTCAAATATTTTTTGTAAAGAAACAGATACAAACCATTTAAATAACTCATGTTTTATTCATCTGATCTAGTGTAAATCAGAAAGTAAATGTGTGTTCAGTTGATATATAATTTAATCCATTGCATTTGAAACATTGAATATCAATCAATACATTGGACGATGTGTCCAGAGTTGAACAGATGTATGTGACTTTGCTCCAACTAATATATCAAATTACGTGTTTAGCTCACATGTTGAGCTATTGTTTTTACTATGATGTGATATGTGATATAAACCAAAACAACCCAATAAGATGTGTATTAATGATAAACTTTCCTGTTATCTCAAATTCTGCTTGAAACTATACCATTGGATTACTATGGGAAATTCATCAAAGAGAAAATTCTTGGGATTAAGGAAGGGGTACCATTTACACAATTTGAGAAATTATAGGCATACATGAAACCTATTTAAAGCAGCATTAATATTATTCAAAAGCGATCGTAATAATGATTCCCAGCCCTCTGAAGTTTGAAAAATAACAATACCTGTGTGTTAATCCATAGATAATCCTTGAAAATGAGAAATATTTTTTTAGGATTATATGGTGCACTCTTTATAGTCAATGCATGAAAAAGCTCCACAGATTCATTCTACAAACAACTCGTGGTACTTTTATTATAAATCACAAAGTTACCTGACAAAGTTGTATCATACATGTATTGTTTTCAATACTTTCAGTGGTAATTTCAAGGTCACATTCCAAAACCAGATACTAAGCTTCTATCAGGGTGGGTAGGTGGGTGGTTGGATGGAATGGAATGGATGGGACGGGATGGGTGGATGGATGGATGGATGGAGAAAGGGAGGGATGGATGGAGGGATGGATGGATTGATGGATAGATGGAGGGAGGGATGGATGGATTATATGGTGCAATCTTATAGTCAATGCATGAAAAAGCTCCCCAGATTCATTCTACAAACAACTCGCGGTCCTTTTATTATAAATCACAGAGTTACCTGACAAAGTTGTATCATACATGTATTGTTTTCAATACTTTTAATGGTAATTTCAAGGTCACACTCCTAAACCAGATACTAAGCTTCTATCGGTGCACCTGTAAAGGATAACATGCATTGGTGGTTGGTGGGTGAGTTGGTAGGTGAATGGGTTGGTGGGTGGTTAGGTGGATGGAATGGAATGGATGGGACGGGATGGAATGGGTGGATGGATGGATGGATGGATGGAGGAGGGGGTGGATTGAGGGATGGATGGATGGCAGGAGGGAGGGATGGGTAGATGGATGGATGGAGGGAGGGAGGGAGGGAGAGATGGATGGATGGATGGATGGAGGGAGGGAGGGAGGGATGGATGGACGGATATTGATTGTGAGATGTTGAGTGGATGGATGGATGGGTTGATGGATGGATGAATGGGTGGGTGGTTGAAAGGAGGGATATATGGATGATGAGTGGGTGGATGGGTTGGTGGATGGATGGATAGATGTACGGGGGGAGGGGTGTGAGAAGGTGTATGGATGGATCGATGGATGGATGGTTGGGTCAATGGATGGATGGGTGGATGAATGGGTGAATGGGTGAATGGGTTGGTGGATGGATGGATGGATCCATGGATGGATGGATAGATGAACGGGTGGATGAGTTTGTGGATGGATGGGTGGATCGTACGGTGGATGGACGGGTGGGTGAGTGGATGGGTGAATGAATGGACTTACAAGAGAACCTATAATTATTACAAAGGAGGCAGCTCCAACTATTATATAGCATAGTGATCATGATCGTTCCAGAATTGAAACGCCAAAGCTTAGATTATACAATTACTTAAAAGGTTTGATTTGACGATGAACTGGTTTTATTTCAGTTGGGTATGGATACCCTATGTAATACACACCACCCTTTTTATTCATCAATACTTGTATTATTTAATTTGAACAAATGATTTACAACAGTTAACTGATGACATTTGGAGGCACCATTCTAAAACAAGAAAAATGATGAAATACGAGTTCGTGATTGTGACCCATCATGGAATTAATAAACTATCATGCAAAATACAATCAGACACGATGTCATGATCTGCCATAATCACGCTTATAAAGGTTGTGGTCAAATTCAAAATTGAATTCAAAAACATCGCAAAAGTTTTCAATTTGCCGTTTGACATCTGACACAACTGTGAACGGACTGCATTTTCAGTGTTGCAAGATGAACTTGATTTATTTCGGTAAGTTCTACGATTTTTAAACACTCTGCGGAATCAATTTAATTCCTAAAGTACAATACTTATTTTCAGAAACTTTTTATGCTTCGATACACTATTTGGAAATAAAATGAATTATTTTGAAGGACCTGAGTATAAAATACATTAAATAGCCTCTTGCTGCCGTAAAGTTCAAATGACGAAATCTTTACTTTAAATTTTAAATTTTCAGGGGTTATTACACTCGTGCTATCAACAGCAACTGAGTTATCGGCTGAATGGAACTACGCTCCCAATGAGAGACTAAAGGACGTGTTGAATAACAAAGGATTGGCATCTATGGTAGAGAAACTCACTACATCATATTTCATCGACATCTGGAAACAACCCTTTCCACCAGCGACGAGTTACATAAACGACACTTTGATTAAAGCAATAAATTTCACAGAGAGGGAACGTTTTGCCGATAATGGATACTTAATGAAATCGTTATTAGCACTTTCTATTGGTTTAAATAACGTTAACAAAGTTATGAAAGCCATGACGGGCCTTCAAAACAAGCTTTCCAAAGTTGAAACGCTCCTTCGCAACACCCGGGACATCCAGGTCAAAACAGGACATGTTGAATTAGTTCAAGAAATCTATGATGATATCATTGAATATTTGAACCTTTTTGACGAGGATCGAAATAAGATTACATTCACTTGGTATAAACCTGTCATCGGACAAGTTTTGAATTCGACTTATGTGTGGCTTGACATGTATCTCAAAATGGAACAATCTACGAAAAAAATATTTCGGTACATGAAAAAACGCATTCGGTACCTTCAGAAGGTGACGAAAACGGTTTTTAAAACGTATGATCGAGACGTCAATAAAATAGCTGGTGATTGGAAGTCGAGCATATATGGATTGAGTCGAGCGTTGGAAAAGGTGAGTACTCTAAAACTCTGAGATAGTCAATAACGCAAATGCGAGTAGGTAGTTACCTGTTTCACCGCCAGGTGGCTCGTTGGGGTCAGATATCATGGTGGGTATAGGAGAAAGTTCCCGTTAACTTAAATTGTTATGTATCTAATAGTTATGCAAATTATAATATGTCCAATAAATGAAAATGTTCCTATCTAATACAATAGATATTTCATTTTGTGATTTTGATACATGGGGTCTATGGGGAATCAACCCGTACTAGAACTTTTCAAAAAGAATTAAAATATTCAAATATGACATCACTTTTACTGAATTTTGAATATTTAGTGACGTATATCAAGATCATTTCTACTCGCATCCAGTCTATTCTTGAGGGCTCGAGAATTATTAGGCATTTACGTATTTCACTTTCTAAATTCGTCCTGATCATTAGAAGTCCACGAGTCATGGGTTCGATCCCCACTGGGGTGGGCTGGCTTTTCACATCAGCTCTTAGCACAGGATTTCATTCTATGTTGTCATTAAGTTATACTTATCTAATCGTGAATAGTATTATTTTACTATTTCAGATGTATGACAACTTTTTAATCATTCCTGATGCTTTTCCAATGGTGATCAAACAGATTCAGATATCAGTAAAACAAATCATCTTTGTTTTAAAATCATTTATATTTTATTTTCATATTTTAAAAGCATTTATATTTATATTTATATTTTTCAGACGTATGATAAAGCATTGGGATATGATTATATATACGGTACAAATTATAGTGCTTATTATGAATACTAGGATAAGGGGAGATTTCTTTGGGACCACGGCGTACATACATCGTAATAGAAAAACAGATTTGGTTATGTACACATTTAAGTAAATAAATATAACTTTCTGTTAAAAGTAAAAGTAAGAGTTTGAAGTGTATTTATTTCGTCACTCAATTCTTGCTCGGGTTAAGGGAAATACAGATCCAGATGCAGACTAGTTTCCAAAAATTGTTGTAATTGTATTTACAATATGTTTCGCTTTCCTCATCCACGGCATGCCTATTTTCCAAAAGGTCAAACAGCTCAGACTTCATATCAGGTTAGAACTTTTATTTTTAAGAACGAAATAGCTAATTATTTTAGACATATTTTCCCGACCACAGCCAGATTTAGCCCGTTTTATGGCTATTTTTGAGACTGGAAAGAACGGTTGAGAACTACTTTTGTGTGATAGGAGGGGGGGGGGGTTACGTAGGTGCAAGTTCTGAAGTTATGACAGAAGCATATCATATTGAAATGATCCTCTTAAAGTTCGGTTTGTACCAGTGTTAGCACAGTACCATGTATTTGTAAGAAAGAGAGCTAGTTCCTTATGATCATAAATCATTATGTAAATGACACCTCATGTTTTTGATCGACTATGATCAATAATATATTACCACGAAAAAGAGGAGGGAAAGCCCCAGAGTTGACAGACATAATTACCTCTCTTGCTTACCACCTTCGTTCGTTCGAATTTTCATCGGCTAGTTATCAAATATTACACTTCGATGGGATGTTTTAATTGACATAGGCATATTCCGTACACCTTTCCTTATCTTGATGTGAAATGAGAAGCTATGATATTGGTTAACACGCCAGAAATGAACATAATATTATTCGAAGCGTATTTCGAAAATTTTGAAACCGCCATTGATGACGTCATTTGTTTGTCGACTTTTGACCAATCAGCGACGATGTCATCTCAATACAGATTTACATTATAAGCGTATGTCATCTTTGAACCCTGGTGTTTCTCCCCCTCTGACCACGAAAATAAAACTCCCGTGCTGACACGATCTAACATTTCACGCGAACGAGGTTGTGGTCAAAATGTAATTTAAAGCATCACGACAAAATTCGATTTGGAATGCCATTTGACAACTAGGACAACTGTGAACGGACTGCATTTCCAATGGAGCGAGATGCACTTGATTTATTTCGGTAAGTTTTAAATATACAATTCTTTTTACATCCCAAGGAGTAAATTTAATTTATTCAAGTAAATATTCATCACAATACAATCCATTTTCAGGGATTTTTTAAAGTTAAAGCACTAGCTAAATTCAGTGACGAACATATTTGGAAATAACATTATTTGCTCGTGAAGGACCTGGGTATACATTATAGTATTACATTGATATCCTTTAAATGCTGCCATAAAGGATCAAATGCCGAAATCATAACTTCAATTTGAAATTTTAAGGGTTGGTTCCACTCATGCTATCAACAGTAACTGAAATATCAGCTGAAATCGACCCTCCCAATGATAGACTTAAGGAAGTGTTGTTGAACAGTGGATTGGGAGTGAGTGTAGTCCGAGTCCTCGAATCGGGGAAGGGCTTTTTATCAAATATCTGGAAACAACCATTTTCACCAGCGAGGAGTTCCTTTCAACGCCACTTGACAGAAGCAAGAAATATTACAGAGAGAGAACGCATCCCACACTTAATCAAAGCGTTGCAAGCGCTTGCTATCGGTTTAGATAACGTTAACAAAGTCATGGAAAGCATGACGGCCTTTCAAAGCAGGATTTCCAAAGTTGAAACGCTACTCCGCGACACTCGGAACATCCAGGTCAAAACAGGACATGTTGAACTTGTACAAGGAATTTATGATGACATTGTAGGATTGTTGAATCTTTTTGACGCGGATCGAAATAATATAACATTTATATGGTATAAAACTATCATTCAACAGGTGGAGCATTTCACGTATGAGTGGCTTGACCTGTATTTCTCAATGGATCAGTCAGCGAAAAAAATGTTTCGGTACATGAAAAAACGTATTCGGTACCTTCAGAAAATAACGTCGTCGTTGTCTGAAACGTATGAGCGAGATGTCGATGGAATAGCGAAAGAATTGAAGTACAAATTACGTCAATTGAATCAAGCATCGGCGAAGGTGAGTGAAGGAATTTACAATTTTGAATCTTATTGTGAATATTAGTAAACTGTTCCAGATATGTGTTTAAATCTTCCCTGACTTTGTATACTGGAGATGATGTTCAAACACAATCACATTTCAGAAGATCCACCAAATCCTCTTTGTTTTCAAATCCTTTACATTTAATTAGATTATTTTTCTTATTACAGACGGTTAGAATTGCACTAGGATATGATTTTAAACTGCACATGGATGACATGGAGAGATTCCTAAGGGCCTATGGCGTGTACACATAGTAATAAGAATAGATTTGCAATTATATTGAATTCTTTCAAGTGACGATGATCATAAAATAACATGTGGCTGAATGTCAAATAAAAAACTTATACACACATAAAATATATTATTTGTTATATATCATATAAAGAGTGGTCCAAAAAACACTCGTATTTCAAAAATAAGTATTGATTTTATTTATGAAAGTGTATATACCAATGGATAGGGAATTTACTTTTATTTTCAATAGCATCATTGATATATAAATATATAAATCTAGGCACATTTTCATTTAAACAATTGACACTATTGTGGGATCTATGGATTGGAGCCTCATCTTGTTAGAAAATGTAATGAGCTCATATCAGGATGGTCCAAAAACAACATGATTGGATCATCCGATGTCAATGTCTGCGACTACCACATATTGGGAGAACTGACAGAATTGGTGTTCCATGACCCCCTCACATCTACTCAGTCCCTTATTAAGGATTAAATTGTTAGGAAGTGGAATTTATAGTCTCAACAGCATATCAATGATGCTATTGGCCAGGCCAAAATTGAGGGCTATAATTGATCAAAATGGTAGATATATTGAACGTCTGTTTATACAGATAAAGTTGACCAAAAATACTTGGTTTTGGCAAGTTTCGGAAAAGCCGTTTTGAAACGAAAATGACGTCATTTATATCATTGATATTACAGACATTATGATGGACGACTTGAACTTATGATATCCAAATTAAAGATGAAAATTCCCTATCCACTGGTATACGTATAATAAGACATGTTTCCAACAAGAAAATCAATATTTATCTTTGAAATACGAGTGTCTCATTTTTTGGACCACCCTGTATATTATGAAGATTTAAAAGTACAAGCTGGTAGTGTATTTATTTCGTCGATCGAACCTAATTTTAAGATTGAATGAAAGGGAGAAAGATCCAGACATATAGTAGTTGAGAACAAGGCATAACAAATTATAGTTTGAAATGCTCAGAATGCAACATGTACAATGCACATTTTCAAAAGTCTCCGGGGGTGAACCCCCGTACCCTCCTTTTGTTGCTTGCTTTGCTCGCAGTGGTGCGGACCCAAAAAATCGCACCCCTTGACAATTACTGGCTACGCCCCTATATGATCTGACATTTCATGAGTACTCAGATCCTCAAAGTTTATTATTAATCTTAGAATAACATATTATTTAGACACTAATATTAAATTTCAGGGTGCTCTTCATCTGTGTATGGATATTTTTACAAGTTATATATTGCTACTTGTATATAATTATTAATTCGAACATTATATACTGTAGTGAACTTTTGACATTTAAAAGAATCATTCTAGATGACAATAGTAATATGACAATTAAATGTATACTAAGCTCATGTTTTTGACAGATCATGATCAACATAAACTATCAATTCATGGACATAAAGACTGCCAGATGCGTTTTAACATTTCACGCGAATAAAGGTTGTGGTTAAAATGTAATTAAAAAGTTTTCAATTTGGAATGCCATTTGACAACTGGAACAACTGCGAATGGAGTTGCATTTTCAGTGGAACAAGATGAATTTGTTTTATTTTGGTAATTTTTTTATATACGATTCTTTGCTCAATATGTGTTCACTTTACATTATGAATCAGTTTAATTGAATAGTTAACGCATATAACTTATTTCAGGGTCTTCTATTAGTTTTAACACCAATTTATAACATCTAAAACAAATCTTAACGAAGAGTTCATGATTTTTTACTTTGTATTTAATTTAACTACACATTCAACTGCCGAAATATGACTTTCAGCATGATATTTTCAGGGATGATTTCACTCGTGCTATCAACAGCAACTGAGATTTCAGCTGAGGACGCCGCGATATCTGAAGGCAAAGCAAATGAAGATGGCGACATACCTGATAATAATGATGATGACATGCCAGAAGAACTCAAGAAATTGTTGGAAAAGAACGGTACCCTTGGAGAGAGTCTCATCAAAATTATTAAAATGGGGAAAGACTTTTCATCAGACATCTGGATACAACCCATCGCACAACGCTCATGGAAAAAAATCCAACCGAACACATACTACGAGCACCTGCACCTGACAAGTTCAATAAAAGATCAGTTAAATAAAGCAAGAAATATCACAAAGATGGCTCGTAATTCAAGCAAAACATTACAAAAACTGTTACGTTGGATTGATGTTGCTTTAGATGGTGTCGACAAAGTCATGAATAGCATAATTGCTCTTCAAAGCAAGGCTTCCAAAGTTGTAAGTTTACTATATTGGCTGACGCAGATTCAATATTTTTTACCATATCCGTACTACTATGGTGAAACAAAGCTCGCATCGGTTGAAGAAATCTATTATGACATTGAATTTGAGCTCTTTGAACACAAGGATCGAGGTACATTTAGATGGTTCCACACTCTACTTGGACGGATCGAGGATTACACATACAAGTGGCTTGACCAATGGTATCCTATGGTACGAGGGACAAAATCCATTTTTCGTTATATGGAAAAACGTATTCTGTACATCCAGGACGTAGCGCCAAGGTTTCATGAAAAGTTTGAGCCAGACGTCAATGGATTAGCTAATAGGTTGAAGCAAAAAGTAAAAAAATTGGAAAAAGATTCAAGCAAGGTACGTTCACTGTACGTTGTAAATAAAACATAACAGTTTGGTTATGCACCTATCAGATTATACTGAATAACATGTACACTTCCCTCTAAAAAGTTGAAAACATTAGCTCCCTCATTGAACTACGTGTTAAAGTCGCTTCATGTTTGAAATTTTATTTACATAACCTGCGAGAAAATACTTATTGTATAATATTCTTAAACAAGTTCTTCAGGTTGGATTATTAAATCACAAAACTATTTTTTCTTCTTTTCACAAGCTTTACTTTACTAAACAGGACGTTTCGGATCCTGTCTGGATCCTTTTTCAACCATATAACAACTGCCGAACACTTCGCCGCACTATTTATAGAAACTAAAACATATTCTCTATGCAAATTATGAAATGAAACCCCATGGGACTGTCTTGTGATTGTCGACAACTTTTTCTTTAATCCCTGCGGTCCCTCGGTAGATACACACATTTCCCTTGGGATAAACCCTGTATCCAAAACCTCCCAGTACACAACCCTTATGTATTTAAGTATCTTATCAATATGTACAAACTGAAAATACTTGTACTATACACGAACGCGCCCTTTAACTATCAAATTAAATCTGTTTTAGAAGCTGAAAAAGGCAAGGGGAGATGCATACATGGACTTGTAGTGAAGAGAAATGCTTGCAGGAGCCCTATACTAGTACCAATACTGCGCACCTTTAAATAAAGAATTATGTTATTTCTCATGATCATAAAAATAAACAATATTATTTGGCTGATCTGCTGAGTCGTAAATAGATCTAACTTTGCTAATTATGGTCTCTTAGAAGTAGATATACTTTACTAGCTAGTATTCATTTCGGCACCAAAATCCAGCGAATGTCATAATTGGACGAAAAAGAGACTAGAGACAGCTCCAGATAAGGAGTAACTAGCAACAACATTTTAGTGGCATTTTGATCACCATTTCAAAAGTTATCCCAATTTCAATGAACCCCTAAGCGTATTTGTCGATGTCGGGGTATATTTAACTTTAAAAATATGTTGGATTCCATAAAAATTTTGAAGGAAAAATAATTTCACTGAAATGCGAATAAAAAATACTTCAAAATGATATAGAACACATACTTAGATTTTTAAATAAGGCAGAGAAACTGAGATCAGCCCGTATTCCCGAATTGTCCCCCGGTCCATGCACGTCATAATAAGCTAAGGTTTTAAAGTTTTTTCATTTGTGGAAGCACTTTGTCACTGTTAGTGACATTAAAAATCACCATTCTATGTAAAACAATAAATTAGTAGTCAAATATAATCTCATGTTTTTGCTCGATCATGATCAATAAAAACTACCATGAAAATAAACAATACCGTGCTTGCACGATCTAACATTTCACGCTAAAAAAGTTGCGGTCAAAATTGAATTCAAAAACATCACAACAGATCTCAATTTGGAATGCCATTAGACATCTGACACAACTGCGAACGGAATTGGATTATCATTTGAGCAAGATGAACTTGATTTATTTTGGTAAATCTTTTACGATTCTTAGCTCAATAATGTGCATACTCTAAGGAATCATTTCAATCAAATATTAAGCATATATTAATTAATTTTCAGGGACTTTCTTATTTTTCTAGAATTCATAACACTTACACATTACATACATTTGTGGAATGTAAATTTTTTTACGAAGATCATAGTTACAGTTTGGACCACAAATAAATGAGTAAGCTTAGTCGATTTAATTTTCTATCACCTGTTCCAAACCACGGTGGAAGCCCATAGTTTTGAATGATGTCTTGATAGATATCCTCTGAAATTTGTATATTTCACATTTTGTTTAATTTTATCCACTGATGTATGGCCTTTGAAAATTCCCTTATTTTAACATGAGAAATCCTCACTTCAGCAAATCCACTTCTCATTCATTTATATTCCGAACTGTAACTTATATATTTTAGGGATGATTATAACTGTGCTATCAACAGCGAATAAGATTGCAGCTGAAGATGGCGACATACCTGATGATAATGACATTCCAGAAGAACTAAAGAAATTGTTGGTAAAGAACAGTACCCTTGGAGAAAGTCTCATCAAAATTATCAAAATGGGGAAAGACTTTTATTCAGACATCTGGATACAACCCATCAGACAAAGCTATTGGAAAAAAATAAAAAACAATACTCATTACTCCGTTTCTATAAAACGTCTCTTGACTAAAGCAAGAAATATCACAAAGATGGCTCGTAAATCAAGCGAAACATTACAGAAATCGTTACGATGGATTGATGTGGCTTTAGATGGTGTCGACAAAGTCATGGGTGGTATAATGGCTATTCAAGGCAAGGCTTCCAAAATACTACATCTACTCAACGTGCTGAGCGAGATCGAGTATTCTTTACCATACGACTATCAGGAAGGACGTGTTTCATCTGTAATGGAAATTTATTATGACATTGAAGTTAAACTCTTCGATTTTTTTAACCCGCGTCAATGGACATTTAGATGGTTCAACACGGTACTTGGACAAATCGAAGATTTGACATACAAGTGGCTTGATCTGTGGTTTCCAATAGTACGAAGGACAAAAAGAGCTTTCCGTTTTATGAGAAAAGGCATCAGACACCTCCAGGACATTGCGCCAAGGTTTCATGAAAAGTTTGAGCCAGACGTGAATGTATTGGCTGAAAGGTTGAAACAAAAAATAGATGAACTGGAAAAAGTTTCAAGAAAGGTGGGTGCAATGTACATAACTGATTGTAGATAATAATTCAAGAAGACGTAAAGTTATTTTGTGAGGACTTGGTAATTCAGTCTTTGGGCAGGGACTCGGAAATAAGAAAGGGATTTGAAATAGGACATTATATCATAGTTGTTAAAATATAATAGATAGTAATGTCAACAATTTAATAAGACGGAAGTTAATTTTCAAGAGACTAGAGAGATTTACAATTGAATTGTAATCATACTGAATAATTATTTTAGCCCCAAGTGACAGATACATTACACTCAATGAATGCATTTATAATGTAACACCCCTTGTTTAAATTTTGGTCAACATTGACAAATCCACAAAAGATTAAAACATTTATCACGACTCTGAAGTTTTACTATACTGTTACCTAAAATATGTACACACCTTTAATTTTTTCTTAATTTAGATAAACACACTTTATTCTCAAATTATTAGTACTTTTGCTCATTGAACAAGTGGTATATATACCATGTAAATCTATACAGCAAACAGAAATTGCGTTTGTTAAATATATGAACACTGACAATTAAATCTGTTTTTAGAAGCTGATAAAGGCAAGGGAGAGAGAATAAATGGACAGTGATATGCATGCAGTAACCCACTAGAATCAACGCTGCCTTCAAATAAAGAAAAATATTTCTATCATATATCTGTTATTTATCAAGATGATCAACAAATCGTGAATATCAATTGGCTGTACTGCAAATAAAACAAATAAAAACATCTAGGTGAATCGTAAATTTCGACTTGGTATTATATTATATAGATATACGAGCGTATTATATACAGTAAAAATTACTCATTTGAAGTTTATTTATTTCGCACAAAAATCTGGCGAAGGTGGATTAAAAAGAGGTATATGGTTTTGGTGATATGAAATCAATTTTATACAACCTGAGACGATCTTAAATTTTATGTTGAACAATAATAATATTTGTCACAAGACAATTTGCTATTTTCCAAAAGTTCATAGTTAAAGTGGTTCATGGGATAGATTTCTAGGGGTGTTCCTTGAATAAATGTAACCTTGAAGTTTCGGTTTTAAGGGGCTTTTCACACCATTTTTTCTACCTTTCTGAGTGCGATAAAGAAGGTTGCTTTAAAAATAACCATGGTAAACAAGAAGGATTGGATTCAAGCATGATTCGTTCCAATATGAAAATGAATCCGAATCAGCATAAAACACAGTCCTCATACTCGCGCGTTTTCGATATTTTCATTTGAAACTCGCAAGAACGGTGCTTTGAATCTAGCTCTATACTCTTTCAAAACGTCATATAGACACATGATTTGTACATGTATGATGACAGTGCACAGTAACATTATATAGGCATAGAATAATAAAAGTGGAGCCTGAAAAGTCAAATATGGTGCTATGTTGAAAAGCCAAGAGAAATTCTACTGTACCAGCATATAAAATAGATAGTTCATATATTACTTTATCATACACATTGGTTCAAATTATACATGATTTTTTCATTGAACAGACAAGTCTTGAAAATTAAAAAATCATTTTTATTTACTTCCACAATATTTTGACTTTAAACTTTTTAATATGAGACTGGATGTCAATCTGTTGTTTATATATATTCATATTCAATTAAAAGTTTATCGCGCAAAAACATATTTTCAGATAAAGCTTAATTTAAAATCTTTGAACATCTTTACATCTCAGTTGCGGCCAGAAATTTTTTAACTGATGCTACGCGTATATTTAACCGTGATTAATTTTGTATTCAATGAAGTAAACATTTATTTATACTGTATTTTTTCATTGGTAGAAATAAATAATTGTGCTCTTAAATATAAAGTTTCACATTTCTTATTGAACTTGATAATTACTGTATTTTCGATCTTGTGCTGATGGGGCCAACAATTGTGAGCAAGATATGTTGTCATGGAGATAGAAAGAAACGCATTCATTTGTTTTACTTTAAATCTTTCCAAATCCAAGTGTGATTTTTTATCAATGTGTGCCTCAATGATCCCATTAATTCTTTTGAAAGTTATTTCATTTTCTAACCATTTCACAAACAATTCTTTTCATATAATACTTCTAAATTGGCATCATTTCCATGTTTAAATTGCTTATATAGTTTTTGGGTATTGATATTATCTCTATCATCAGTTTTCATTCCACAAACGAAATATCAATTATTTTGCCCAATATTTCAGTTTCATTATTTTGAAACATTGAATACATGTTTTAATTGGCAATTTAAAATGGTGCTCATTAACGAAGTCCAAAATTCAGCGCCCCTTTAATATTTATTTAGGGGCAAATCAATGCTAGACTTAGCAGGTCATCTGATTTTCAATTTGATTTTGATTTGAATTGATTCTCAATTGGGACCCATAGTGGCTTTGCTCTACCGTTCTTGGTTGAGGCCTTGCCATAACTAACGAAAACAATGGTGCGGACATTTCTGGATTATTTCCGGTGTTTCCTTTTGTTGCTACCTCATTTCTCAAAGTATCCATGCCAATTTCTTGACTCTGTTGAAAGCCCATGGTCCAAACAACCGTACCTCCTTATCTTATGATGACCACACAAAATGATAGAGCGTGGGAACCGACTGTGCCAAATGCTACGGATATTGCAGTTATGTGTGTTGTGTTTTCAAGTGTTATTTTATATACTTTATGTCCGACAAATCGAATTATGGTTTTGATACTATCTAGATGTATTTGATAGTATATCTATATATCTCGTTCATTCATTTGACCAATAAAAATCATAACTGCCTGGAAAGTAATATGAATTAAGTATGTAAATAAAACGTCAAATTAAGAAGCAAAAGTCTTTTCTGGGTCACTGCGAATGGCATGATTTCCTCGAGTCTCTTCAGTTGCAAGGCAACCATACTGGGACCGATTCGCGTCGTTCCACTACTGCCCTTGGTGGGGGCCCGCTACCATACTATATGACTCCCGGAGTTTACTAAAGCACGTTAGTGGAGGAACCAACCACAGTCTCACAATCTGTCTCCGGCAAGAGCGGCCAGAGAACCAACCCATGCCAAGGGCCGGTAAACGGTTGGACCTTCGGACCGGGTGTCCGTAGTGACAATGATCAACAACTCCGTACCTGGGGCTCGAACGCGGGACCTCCGTATCCCACGACGTTCAACCGCAAAGTAGCCTCAGTCTACGCCACTAGGCTACCCTGCTTAGGTGTCAAAACTGCTAAAAAATAATGTAGTTGTTACAATTATTTGCTTTGATAAACATGATATTACATTTCTTAATTGATTAATCTGATTTAGTTGGAATCGAAGTTCGACCAACGATCAAGGCAGTGTAATCAACAACTCTTGCAAATGTGAACGGGAGTCGTAAAGACAGAAAGTATAAGAATCGTGATCAATGTAAAGTATAATATTTAAGACACATCTTTGAACATCGGGTAGGAGAAACATTCCAAAATGAAGAAGAATCATTTAGAACATTTGATTTGTTGCCAATATATCAATTGCGTCTCAAATGTATGAAATAAAAGGTATCGCGGGCCACTAAAGCCGTTGAGTGAAAACAATTATAATTGACGCATCTAGATCGCTCACTATAACGGTAAGTGAATAGGTTTGTGTAGAAACGTCGAGGAAAATAAGCTATTTCGACGTTTGAAATAATCTGATTACGCTTATTAATAATTACGCGTGGCTATTAGAAAACTGAACGACCTATTAAGGAACTGTGCTTCAGTTTCAAAGTGTTCAAGATACTTCCGCATGTTCAAAAACACAAAATTCATATTTTAGGCTATCCATATTTTGTCAGATATCTCCAATTCATATTACAGAGAAAACAAAATCATGTTTCCGAAAATAATTTACACTCGCTACTCAAAATGAGGCACGGACACAATTTTCTATCAAAACAACTTAGTTTTTGCACTGTTATTTACCTTTATTCAAATTCTAGAGATTTTCAAGTTTTCTAAAAATGGTCGGGCTAAATCCCCGTTGTCAACTTACTAACATATACATTGTTAATATTACAGGCTTTCGTCAATGTAACAAAAGCAAGGGGCTTAGTATATGGATTAGTACAGCTTCATTTACAAAACAAATTCCAAATCGAAGAAACTTATAAAAACTAGGCTATATTTTCTGTCAAAGTAACTAGTTGTGGAACAGTGATTATGGCATTCACCCTATGCAGACAGAGCCTGTGGGAAATATTGGGTGCGGCGCAAATGAGCGGAGGGTGCGGAGCTAACGGTCATTTTTGAATTTAAAATTGGGATATTTCTGAAACTAAGCCGTTTTGGGACTTCAAATATACCAAGATATGTGTATTTGACACCAAATATCAATAAAATTGTGAAAATAGTAGTGCAATTCATTTTATAGCGACGCAGTATGCCTTAAACATTTCCCAGACCTATATATTTTGAGACTATCCTTTTAATACTGCGTCCCCAGCATTCATAAAAAATGGTGTTCAAGATACACTACCCATGCAAATTATTTTTGCATTTTGGAAGCCAGGCAGTATCTGTGTAATTTTATAAAAATTCGGAAATGTTCTTCAGATATGAGCCCCTCTAAATATTGGGTGCGGAGCTACGTTTATGGAGCTGCTCCGCACCCAATATTTAGAGGGGCTCATATCTGAAGAACATTTCCGAATTTTTATAAAATCACACAGATACTGCCTGGCTTCCAAGATGCAAAAATAATTTGTATAGATAGTGCACCTTGAACACCATTTTTTATAAATGCTGGGGACTCAGTATTAAAAGGATAATTTCAAAATATATAGGTCTGGGAAAGGTTTAAGGCACACTGCGTCGCTATAGAATGAATCGCGCTACTATTTTCACAATTGTATTGATATTTGGTGTCAAATACACATATCTTGGTGTATCTCAAACTTGAGTGGGTTTGGGGTAGATATCACCCGGGAATATATATCGTATCTGAGGAGCGGGCAGGATATATTGTATATGTCCCGCTCTTGGCCAAATGCGGGCAGATATAATATATCCATCCCGCTCTCGGGAATTTTTCAAAAATTTAAAAAAGTTTAAATATCAAAAGTTTTAATTTTTTAATTTTAAAGTTAAATTTTTTTAAGTTTAAATGTTACAATTTCATTGTATTGAACAAAAAGAATATTACGAAAATGTTCAATATAAATATCTTGTCATCTGAAAAAGGTGGAAAAGGTTATATCTACCCTAAACCCACTCAAGTATGAGATACACCAGTTATGCACGGTCGGTTTGGATACATGGAATATCCCTTGGGATATACAATACATCTTCCCTCGGTCCCTTCGGTCCCTCGGGAAGATATATTGTATATCCCTCGGGATATTCCCTGTATCCAAAACCTCCCAGTGCATAACCCCTATATATTTGAAGTCCCAAAACGGCTTAGTTTCAGAAATATCCCAAATTTAAATTCAAAAATAACCGTTAGCTCCGCACCCTCCGCTCATTTGCTCCGCACCCAATATTTCCCACAGGCTCTGTCTGCATAGGGTATAACGCCCTTCGGTACAATGCGCGTCGGTACAATGCGCGTCGGTATAATGGGTTTCGGTATAATGCGCGTCGGTATAATGGGTTTCGGTATAATGCGCGGACCCCATTTTCCTCAGAAAGCATTATACTGTGCATCGATATCGAAATTGCCAGCATAATATTCAATAGCTATGAGTATAAATCTTCCCGTTGACACCAACGTGGAATTGCCAATTTCCTGTTCTAAATACGAAACTCTGAAGCTGAACTGGTCTTTGAAATAGACTAATAAGTGCTTGTTTTGTATGCGCACTATACACATTACACACCGGAATAGCCTGACTACGGTAAAGTCAGATACCGTTGTCACAAATGGCGGACATAACCGTCGCTTCAACTGTTTGATCACTTGGTCCTCATTTCATGGGATTTTATCGTCGCTAATTCTGTGCATACATTAAGCTCTTGCGATAATGTATCATATGAAATCCCATTTTCGATCAAATTGGGTCGTGAATCGCCACAATATAACGTCTTCGATATCGTCAATGACAACGGCATCTGATTTTGAGTAATTTAGAAAGACAACGGCATATGGTAATTACAGTGTCCGTTGTCCCGTATCTCATTTTGATCGGTTAAATTAAAGACTTTATTTCGATGGTAGAACATTATTAACTGTACAATGAGTATTAAGACACTTTGATTGATTGTTGTTCCAAAGGAATTTAGTCTAGGTGCTCTATTAAACATACAGTTCATGAAAATCTAATTGAAGCGACGGCTATGTCCGCCATTTGTGACAACGGTATCTGACTTTACCGTAGTCAGGCTATTCCGGGGTGCATTAGTAATTACTTTATTGATTCATGTACTTTCCGTTTTCGGTTACATTTTGAAAAACATTGCAAGCTTTAAAGTCTCTAGTGTTCGACGTTGTCCTGTTTTGGCCTATGATATCCCATTTTGCCCGACGATGTCCGGAGCACAGCTCCATTTTGTCAGACAATGGTGATATGATTGTCCCGTTATTGAATAGCCTTAATATGTCCGGTAATGTCCCTTGAAAACAATTAACATCTCCATTCTTTTCATGGGGCATGAAGGGACATAAAGGGACACAATCGGATAGCGACGGACAATGTCCTGCGGACAATGTTTGACAAAATGGACAATGACCGTTGATGTCCTCTTGAAATGTCCGAACTTGTCCGTTCATGTCTCCGTTTCATGGGAAAATATCTTACTCTATATCTTCCTTTGATGTCCGATCATATACCATTGGTGTGCGGCTAGCTTATAGAGCACGTAGATTTAAATTCTTTTGGTTACAATAATCAATGAACGTGTCATTTTACTTATTATAAAAGATAAATAGTACTATATGTTGTCACATCGTCGCCGTTGCCCGGATGTTCCTGTGTGCAAATGTCAGCGCGTGTTTTTGGTCGATCATGATAATAAATGATTTATAGATGATTGAACTATCATGAAAAAACACTATCGTGCTGACATGATCTGACATTTCACGTGTATAAATGTTTTGATCCAAATTGAATTTAAAAGCACCGCAACAAAATTTGATCTGGAATATTATTTGACATCAGAAACAAGTTAGGTTTGATTGCTTATTCACTGGAGCAATATGAATCTGATTTTTCTTGGTAAGTTTCATATTTAAAACTTAATTACTCACATATTTACGTGTTAAAGTATCACTTTAATTGATTAATTGTCTTCTAAATGTCTAGCACAAAGCAGTACAGTTCTGTATCTGGATATGATACAAGGTGTTCAAAAAAGCAACCCAAAGAAATCGCTATATCTTGAAGAATACTATTCCAATTGTGTTCATATTTTCAGGAAAGAAAGAAGAAACTATGTAGATATAGTTTCTGTTGTCAGTAAGTTGTAAAACATGATGCCTTGGACACCTGCTCAAATGACAGTTGTTCTAGGAAAATATGAAAATGCAGTCAGAGGTGACTGCCACAGCAATAAAACCAAATAACTTTCTAACCATGTTGTTTTGGCACTTCAGATTTGGCACAAATTATCCTCATTCAATGTGTGGTGAATTTGTGGAGTATCATCAAAATCACTCCAGGAACTTTACCTTCATGGTCAAAATGCCTTCTTAAGTCTGCCTGAACCAGGGCGTTTGACGTCCCTGAAGTGATTTTGATTTCACTCTACAGATTTACCAAGAAGATGATTTGTGCCTTTGAAGAGCCAAAATACTATGATAGTAAGTTATTAGTTTTTGCAGTTGCAGTCACCCCTGACTGCGTTTTTCGTTTTTTCCTAGTACAACTGTCTTTTGAGCAGGCGTCCAAGGCATCATATTTTATAACAAGCTAACTACAGGAACTATACATACACAATCTCTTCTTTCTTTCCTGAAAATATGAACATAATTGAATTAGTATTTCTCAAGATATAGCGATTTCTTTGGGTTGCGTTTTTTTAACACCCTGTATCTAATGTAAAGGGCTTCAGTATTCAACTATTTCTTCAATTTAAATGCAGGTTCAAATGTGAAAGTATGACTTTTAATATGAATTTGATTGCAACTTGATATTTTCAGGGATGATTACACTTTTGGTATCGACAGCAATGGAGGTTTCAGCTGAGGACGGCGCCATATCTGACGGAGAAGCAAATGAAGACGGTGGTATACCTGAGGATAATGATGATGACATGCCAGAAGAACTCAAGAAATTGTTCATAAAGAACAGTACCCTAGGGGAAAGTCTCATCAAAATTATCAAAACGGTAAAAGACTTTTCATCAGACTTCTGAATGAATCCATTTCACAATACTATACCCGTTTAATAAAAAATCACTTGACTAAAGCAAGAAATATCACAAAGATGGCTCGCAATTCAAGCACATTATTACAAAAATCGTTACGAGGGATTGATGTGGCTTTAGATGGTGTCGACAAAGTCATAGGTAGCATAATGGCTATTCAAGGCAATGCTTCCAAAATTTTAAAGCTACTACGAGATCTCCAAGAATTTGATTTATGGATACCATACGAATATTACGGATTTGGCCCTGCACGAACAATATATGACGACATACGATATAATTTTTTCTACGAGTATTACGACTACGACGATAAAAATTACCTTTCATTTGGAGACTTTGACACTATACTTGAACAAATCAGAGATTACGCATACAAGTGGCTATACCTGGATTATCCAAAGGACCCACGGACAAAAAGGACTTTTCGTGATTTGAAAAGAAAAATCAGGCAGCTTTGGAACACGGGGATAAAGCTTCGTAGAAAGTTTAAGCCAGATGTGAGTGTGTTAGCTAAAAGGTTGGAACAAAAAATAGATAAACTGCAAAAAGTTTCAAGGAAGGTGAGTTCAATGTATATGGCTGATTGTAGATAAAACAACAATTATTCAATAAGAAGTTAGTAAATTTAATGAGGCCTGATAATTCAGTCTTTTGACAGGGATCGGAAATTAGAAATAAATTTAAAAAAAGTTTCAAATAAAGTGGGTACATTTTTGATTATAGTTGTTCATCATAGATGTCAAAATGTCAGCAGTTTAATAAGATGTGAAGTAACTTCGGGAGGGCTTGAAACTCGGGCTGTATTTTTGTATGCCCGCGATGCGGGTAAACTGCGTAATACGTAATATGGGTTTTCTCTCCAGGTATGACTAAAAAGAACAATAAGCCCTGTAATGCAAATAACATGCTCATGTGTTTTCAACAAAAATAGCTCATCCAAGCGCACTTACACTCACATAATTCTTTTGAAAGACTTCATGGTTTATTGCAATGGAACTCCTGTGGTACACTAGCAACTAGCCGACGCTGTTGACACACGCGATTGGCCTACAAGACTGACACATCGTAATTAGCGGTGTAAGTGTGCTTGGATGAGCCGTTTTTGTTGAAAACATGTACGTGTCTATGTCATTTGCACCACAGGGGCTTATTGTTATTTTTCGTGATACCTTCTTAATATTATGCAATTGACTTGCACCACGGGCAGTTCAAAAACGGAGCCCCAGTCTTTGGGCAGGGATCTGCAATATACTCAGCGAATGTCTGCGGGGGTTCAAATTGTTCCCCTCGGTATTTTTAGTAATCCTTTTTGGCAAGGCTTTTTTTGTGCCTCCGTTATTTTTCTAACTTGAGCCACAGACAAATGCAACACATTTTGGCGTAAATATGGTGGTTGGAGGTAGAGGGGCAAAATTAAGAAAGTGAAACTTTGATGCCAATAAAAATGAAATTCATGAGATATTGATAGTTACCTTGCAGAACTGTAGAACTGTACTGTAGAAAATGCTGAAGAAAGTGATAATTATTGCTCTATTTGACAGATAATCATTTAACACTTTGAATTCCCGATCCAACATGCTTTATTTCATGAAGATCGAGCCAATAATTATCTTATAATAATTATCTTAATTATTAAAGGTAAAACACAGTAAATCGCGAAAGTATTAGCGAATCGCGTTCCCTTCACGAATTTGATGATTACCTTTGCCATTTTTTGCATATTCCTGAATGTTGTGCAAACGTTGGTAGCAGTATTATCATGATTTACAGTTACAGTATTTTTTTTTATCTCTGCACACCTCTCAATATTTCCTGATTTAGATTAACACTCAGAATCAATTTTATTTATTTTCAAATTATTTACATTTTTGCATTTTGAACAAGTGATATTGATTTAAGATTCATATTAATATAACCAACTGAAAAGACGTTTGTTACACATGAACACTCACCCTTTAATCGTAAATTAAATATGTTTTAGATGCTGGATAGGGCAAGGGGAGATGCATACATGGACTTGTAGTGAAGAGAAATGTATGCGGTAGCCTACTAGAACCAACACTGCCTTCAAATAAAGAAAACGATATTTATCATATATCTTTTATTTATCAAGATCATAATAAAGAAAATGTTATTTGGCTACTGCAAATAAAACTAGTTCATTTTAAAGAATTTACAGTTGTAACAAAAAAGAGAGTTTCTATTGTTTTTAAAGATCGAATTGGCAAGCTATCCAAAACCAACGTGGCACAAATAAGAATACGATTGACTGCCACATGCAGTGCAAAAAAAGCTCGTGTCAATTGTTGAATAGTAAACACAAAATAAATCAAATTTTAAGCTGTACCTGGCCTGTTACATGCAGTGCACCGAAGAGTCAGTGTGGGGTTTAAGTAAGATAAACCATTCGTACTTGCTCTTTATCCTAAAATCCAGTACTCATAGTTTATTCTTAACTTAAAAGTACTATTTTGAAATCTATTTATTTTGCACAAAATTTTGGCGAATGTTAAAGTTTGGTAAAAAAAGAGCAACAGCAGTATAGCAACAAGGCAGTAAAGCACAAATGTCACTTTCAGGGAAAGCACTAAAGTGTTGGACAGTATTCGTATTTTCCAAACGACGAAGTTGTTCAAGTGGTTTGTGGGGATCAATTTCTAAGGGAATTCTTTGTATAATTTTAACCTTGAAGTTTCGGTTGTAAGGGGCTTCGCACACCATCTTTTTATCCCTCTAAGTAGTAAAGCATATAAAAAACAATGATACAAGCACATAGCAACTAGAGATTCATATTTATTGTTTTTAAAGCCATGATGAATACTGACTTTGACAAATGTGTGCATGAATGATTTTACAGGTTTTATGAAGTATAAGTACACATTTTAATTTAATTTTAACAGATACAAATAGCAAAAAGCCATGATGAATACTGACTTTGCCACATATGTGCATGAATGATTTTACAGGTTTTATGAAGTAAAGGTACACATTATAATTTCATTTTAACAGATACAAATAACAAAAAAGCTTCTATCAGTGCAAATATGCTCAATTTCTATGTAACTCCCTAGCAATTTTGGTCATTATAATTACTATATTAGAATAGTCTTCAACTGCATTTAATACTATTCTAGTAAAAAGAAATACGGTATGTTAATTGCCATTTTCTAACTCCATGTACTATGTAAATAATATTTGTGTTTTTATTGTTAAAATTTAAGCACCTTCTGATCAAAATAACACACCCAAACGGCACTGCAATATTATGTATAAATATTTACATATTATGTACATTAATTACACCTTTTTATATATAAAAAGTTAAACTCTAAAATATTCTAAATGGTACTCTAGTTTACAAACACTAGTTTATATACTAGTAAGTTAAAGGGCCTTGCTTTTACTAATTTTTTTACATTTAGGTAAACTGTACCGATATACAATTCCACCTTGAGTACTGAGTCACTTAAAAGGTGATTTTTTTACAAAGACAAGACCCTTTAAACAATTATATTGCTGAACATAAACAATTAAGTCATCACTCACAACACTTTAAAGGTTTCTAGATTTCCATCCTGTATTGCACTAGGTTTCTAGGCCCTCAAGCCTTGTGACTACTTCGCTTAAAGCAACACTTGCATGCTAAGTCTATTACATATGAACCCAAAATAAGTATTTACATCATTTGGTACTTCAAGAACTAAATCAGAAATGATGAAATGAATTTGATATAACAAATCACAACGTAGGGAGAGATGGACGATGATCCAAATATTCCATAGATTTGGATAATGCAAAATGAGATTCAATGAACGATATAAATCTTGAAGTACCATTTTAACATTAATGTTATTGCCTTGGATAACGAAAATATTTTACACATACGTTTCTCGAAAATTACTGAAAGCGTATTCCTCCGAAGAACAGTACAAGCAAACAGTACAAGAAAATGACTTATGCCTGATAATATGCACAGCATATATAAACAGAGTAAGCTTACATCTCTGGTGAAAAATGTGACCTGAACTGTAGGTTCTTAGATTTCCTTTATCAGTCTCATGCACAAACAAGAAAACATTGAAAATCAGGGAATTAACCCATGTAAATGAACTCAAGATCACCTTCTGGGACATTTATCGTCAGTTGTCCATTGGTTTGAAAAAGGTTTTTGAAAATAATTAAACATTCACACATCACAGATGTAGGCTATAAGGAAAATATTTGGTTTGTTTCTGGTGAGGCCACGTTGACAACGATATACCCCTGTCCCCGATTGGAAAACTCACGACCTGAACCAAGTAAGAATTCTCCTACGTTCTCAAATACACCTAGTTACAATAAAACAGGCTGAGCGACCACCAGTTGTCTCAATTCTGAAACAGGTCTTTATTATGTTCATAGTCATTTTGATTAACACCTTGATGCTGTAGGCCACGCCGACCCAATTCTTTTTGCTGATGAGTGATGATCCCGGACACAAATGCTAATTTGTCAGTCTATGCCCAAACATTGATCAATAATTCTGAGATTGAAGTCTTAGTCACTGAAAGAAACTTCGAATATTTTAATTTCTGTATCTGCGAATGTTTTCCAAGCTGCCCTCCCAAAATCAAAGGATGATTATTAAAGGGAATCTAGGGTCTGCTATAGATAGCCTAGTCAGAATATCTTTGTCTCAATAATGTGAACACTCTTCAATGCGACAATTCTTGTTCAGTACGAATAATGTCCACTTCGGCGGACTTATCTCTGAAAGAATAGCAGTATCCATGTGTGCCAAATGTATTTCTAGCTAGCTATCCACCTAATATTCAAAGTATGGAAAAATTGAGCAATCGGTATCACATCTTTTATGATCTTGTTTTCTTCTCTGGTTTCTCAGGCTCTGCAGGTGGAAAAAAGTAGTTGTAGATCATATGCCCAATATCGTACTCTTCCTTTGGAATTTCCGGCTCCCAGAGAGGCTCTGGAAAAACATAGCAGAAATGAGCAAGTGAATCAAACGTAACAAGGTTAAGTAAAATATCAAGTTGATCGTGTCTTGAATTGAAATAGAATGAAAGGGAGTGGTATTTGCGAGGATTGGGGCAAGTACGGTGAAACAGATTTTATTGTCCTTTCTGGATAATTGTCCATTCTTAAAGTGGCTCTGACGGGCCCATATTGAGCCTTAACAGTGTGTCAATGGATAAGGGGGCATTCAGGTCTGGGACACTCATCCCCTTTGTAGTGTCTATGCGGTAAATATTGTCCCGATTCTTTATATTTACATAGTATCCCAATTTGTCTTACCAAATCAGAGCAATGTGGATGCCAATAAAACCGAAACAATAATCTTTGTAGGACAATAGTTTCTGCAAAACCAGTTTAATGCAATTGTAAACCACGGAGTTGTAGAGAATGAGAATTGGATTGGACATGAGCAGAATGATATTTTACTATAGTGAGTCTTGCATCAAGCCCTTGTGTTCTCTCTCCACTAAGAGACACAACTTCCATGCAAGTAGGGAACACAAAAATGGGAGGGGGCAAGGTCGAGAGACTTTATACAAGACTAACCTTTTATTTGTGATATGGTCGTAGAAGCTATGAAATAAGATATTGAGTTATCGCCTTGTAATTATCGTCAATAAGAATGATATCACTCAAAATGATCTGATATTCTATATTTATCATACATATCAAAAGGCATTTTTCTAAATATAACACACTTTAATTGTGTCAGTAAATGGAAGTTTTGTATAAAGTCCCATATTTCAGCTGCTATTCCTTCTCAGATTGAGGAAATAAATGTGTAGTGGAGAAAGATGGAACTAGGGACTTGTCGCAAGAAAAGTAAATAAGAAAAACACTATTAATTCAGATAAGATTACAGGTAAAGTATAGGTGACTAATTAAATATATTTTGGAAAAGTTTGTTTTAAATCAAGGACCACCACAACACAATAGAATATATTGAAAAAAAGTTATTACTTTTATCATGTTAGTATCAAACGCACACTTTGTGTGAATCACAAACACACATACGCAAAAATTCAGGAGTTTGGATACTATTGGGAAGCGAACTTTAGGAAAGAGAGCGGAGTCAGAGTAGAGAGGGACAAATGATTGTCGTGACCATTATTACATGTGCAGAGAGACTTAAAGTAATGAGTGTAATGTTGCAATTAGGAAAGACTTCAACAAACTAAATGCTAGCGAATGGTGCAAATGCAATCAAACTATGACCAAAGTTGATGATTTCAAATCACACTAGAATTTAACAGAATATTCAAATGGTGTATGAATTATATAGACAATAGATGGAACATGTGTATCAAGAACATTTAAAAGAAAGAAAAATTAACACTTAAAATCACACAGTTCAAAAATTGTGCTAAAATTAGTCAAGCATGCAGTGTTGAATCTATTAGCCTGCCATCTATAATTATTAGTTAACACAATCCTAGAATTAAGAACTTTAAACACAAACATAAAGCAACACAAAACTATAACAACTTTGAATTGGACCCATTGTTACTGCAAGCCCTGGCCTGAAATAAAGGAATAAATAATGCAATGCAGCCAGCACTAAGATTGAACATATAGAAATAAATATAAAATGAATTGCTTATTTTTATTTACTATTGTAGCGTTTCGCGATTTAATTGAACCGAGTCTTGGATGCAAACTTCATTATCCATAATGCACTCTTTGTTGAATTCGATGCACATATTACTCTTGGATATATTCTAAGTTTTAATGAAAATTGATAGCATAACGAGACTGTAAATACTCATACATGTTAAAATTTCGAACCGTTTAAAGTGGCCATGTCTGAATGCATTGACAAAACAGTATAATCACCTGGAGTTCGCTGTCCTTCGGCTTGGCCTATTGTGAGGTCATCACCATTGTTTGAATGGATAATGTCCCCATTTGTGTCGAAATCAAAGTGGATATCTAGGATACCATCCCCATCATCATCTTCGTCTATGTCATCTGTTAGGCCATCTCCATCTGTATCAATGTAACTCGGGGCCCAATGCCCAACTTTGTGTTTAACATGCCTATAAATCTTGGTTAGTATAACTTTGGTGTTTCGAAAAGCACGTCTTACAACTTTGCGAAAACGAGTGTCCTGTGGGAATTTACCTTGTTTACATGATTCCTTAGTACATCTTCCTTGTTCGTCATCGTCTTCACCATCATCAGTGTCTAAATCATTCGGAATTCCATCTCCATCAATGTCGTCATCCAAGTAGTCGGGGATTCCATCACCATCAGTGTCCTTTAGCAGGTCAATACCTTCCAAATGGTCGGGAATCCCATCTCCATCATCGTCATCATCTTCTGAGTCAGGTATACCATCATTGTCATCATCATTGTCTAAATAGTCAGGGATACCATCACCGTCAGTGTCTTGTTCAGAGTCTGGTATACCATCACCATCGTCATCGTCATCATAAATGTCAGGGATACCATCATTGTCATCATCATCGTCTAAGTAATCTGGGATTCCATCTCCATCACTGTCAACAGTCAAATCAATTTTGCCCTCCATCCAATCTGGAATGCCATCACCGTTATCATCTTCATCTAGGTTATCAGGGATTCCATCACCGTCATCATCATCATCTAAATAGTCAGGTATTCCATCACCATCAGTGTCCAAAGTTAAATCAACTTTTTCAAGTTTGTCTGGAATCCCATCTCCATCGTCGTCATCATCTTCGGTATCAGGGATACCATCACCATCATCATCCGGGTCTAGATAATCAGGAATGCCATCACCATCAGTATCAAGTAGCAGATCAACACCTTTAAGATTGGCTGGAAGTGGTTTTCCATCATCTAAGTAATCGGGGATACCATCACCATCAGTGTCCTTTATCAGATTTATTCCTTCTAGATGATCTGGAATACCATCCCCATCATCATCATTGTCGAGGTAATCTGGAATACCATCTCCATCAGTGTCTGCAAGGAGATTGATATTCTTAAGATGTGCAGGGACTGGTGAACCATCATCTAAATAATCTGGTATACCATCTCCGTCTTTATCAGCTAGTAGATCAACTCCCTCAAGGTTATCTGGAATCCCGTCTCCATCATCATCATTGTCCTGGCTATCAGGGATACCATCACCATCGTCATCGTCATCAATATAATCAGGTATACCATCACCATCAGTATCCAAGAGTAGATCAACACCCCTGAGGTGGACTGGGAGGGCCTTTCCATCATCTAAGTAGTCTGGTATACCATCATTATCTGCATCAGCAAAAAGGTTAATACCTTCTAGATAATCAGGTATACCATCTCCATCATCATCATTATCTAAATGATCAGGAATGCCATCATTGTCATCGTCGTCATCTAGGTAATCTGGGATGCCATCACCGTCAGTATCTGTTATGAGGTCAACTCCTTCTAGATTGTCAGGAATCCCATCTCCATCGTCGTCATCATCTTCAGTGTCAGGAATACCATCACCATCATCATCAAGATCCAGGTAATCAGGAATGCCATCGCCGTCAGTATCAAGTAGCAGATTGATGCCTCTCAGATGTTTAGGAATAGGTTTTCCATCATCTAAATAATCAGGTATACCATCTCCATCGGCATCATTTAACAGGTTGATTCCTTCGAGGTAATCAGGGATACCATCATTGTCATCATCCTCATCAAGATAATCTGGGATTCCATCACCGTCAGTATCAATCTGGAAAGCTTCTTTCGAATCAGGGATACCATCACCATCGTCGTCATCATCTAAGTAATCAGGGATTCCGTCACCATCATCGTCATTGTCCAAATAATCTGGTATACCATCACCATCAGTGTCCAATAAAAGATCAACTCCCTTCAATGAAGCAGAAAGTGGCTTCCCATCATCTAAGTAGTCAGGAATTCCATCACCATCTGCATCAGCAAACAGGTTAACTCCTGAAAAGATTAGATGAACATCCTCATAAAACCGCAATGGGCTACAATGGGGTTTCCACATACAGAGTAGACAGATATTTGATATTCAAATGACTAATTGAGCAATTGGACCGATACTATTTCTTGGAACCCAAACAATATCATAACCTTCCTTATGACTTTCTTATCATTTATTGACCTAGCCCAATGACCAATTAAAGGGAAATACACCAGCTTCATTTTTCATGTACATAAACTACAATTTATGGATAACAATGTGAGACCAAATTTGTTACATAACATTCAGTTTTTACCTTGATATGGTCAATAAAAAAATGTGCCCACTTTTGAAAGAAAAGACACTGAACGATTTCCGTGTCAACCAAAAAAGTATACATCGTTTGTTTAAAGCCATCACGTTCTTTTAGCTCTATTTTGCTCTGAGTGCTCTCTCATATTTAGAGTTAACATAGCCTATCCTTTAATTTGCTATATCTTTTAACAAGGGTGGAATTATAAGAGTTGATAACATCTAAACATATAAATATAATTTTCCTTATATAATATATATTATACTGTAGCGATGATATTTATATTCATTCAGGTATGGGAAGAAATAAATTAAGTGTGCTTTGCCACAGCTATTTCAATATCTCTTTACACCAAAATACAAAAATGTATGTGTTCAGTACCTTCTAGGTGATCAGGTATTCCATCATTATCATCATCTGTATCCAAATAGTCAGGAATGCCGTCATTGTCGTCATCATCATCTAAGTAATCAGGTATACCATCTCCATCGGAATCCAAGCTTTTATCAAGTTGTTTTGCATCAATCACGCCATCACCATCATCATCTTTATCTAAATGATCTGGGATACCATCGTTATCATCATCATCGTCCAAATAATCTGGGATTCCATCTCCATCTGAGTCTAATTCTTCCATGTAATCAGGAATTCCATCACCATCATCGTCTCTGTCCTTTGTATCAATAATACCATCATTGTCATCATCATTGTCTAAATAGTCAGGGATACCATCACCGTCAGTGTCTTGTTCAGAGTCTGGTACACCATCACCATCATCATCGTCGTCATAAATGTCAGGGATACCATCATTGTCATCATCATCGTCTAAGTAATCTGGAATTCCATCGCCATCAGTATCTTTAGTTTTATCTACTTCTTGCTTCACTGGTGGAGGAGTTTTCACTTGCTTCATCTGGAGCTTTTGTTTAACCTGTTGGGGAGTTTGAGGGACTTGTTTCTGCTGCTGTTGTTTTGGCTTCTGTTGTTGAACCTTCTGTTGAGTTTTCTGCTTCACTTTTTGTTGTGGTTTCTGCTGTTGCTGTTTTTGTGTCTTTTGCTGTTGGACTTTTTGCTGCTGTACCTTTTGCTGTTGTTTTTGTTGCTGTGGTTGTTTTTGCTGCTGTTTTGCTTTTTGCTGTTGCTGTTTCATCAATCCTTGTTTCTGTTTCTTGATCCTTAATTGTTTTGCTTGTTGTTTTAGGACCTCGGCTGATGCCAGTTTAACAGTTTTGAATTTCTTCTTGTGTTTTGCCTGATGTTTATCAACTATACCATCTCCATCGTCGTCGTCATCTTGGCTGTCAGGGATACCATCATTGTCATCATCGTCATCTAAGTAGTCTGGGATCCCATCACCATCTGTGTCCTATGAGATAAAATAAAACATATGTGAATACATGATTTTTTCCTCTGTATTTATCATAGATAATAATTAATTTGGTAGAACAGGTAGACGACTATTCACGACTCTTAACTGATGACATTTACAACTTATGACATTTCAGAGCACAATCCCTGCTTAAACATAATCGCACACTGGAACACCCTGATAACAGCGATGACAGATTCCATTTTCCAAAATGGCGTATTCGATTCAATTCGATTTTCTTTTCGTGTTTAATAAAGCAGCTAGATTAAATTCCTTTGGTACAGGAATCAATGAACGCGTCTTTTTACTTAGTGTGAAGTTAATATTTTCTCACATCGTCGCCGTTGTCAGGGTGCTCCGATCACATCAAAATACCTCTGGTGTGCAAATATCAGTTCGTGGTTTTCATAATCATGATTATAGATATAAACTATAATGAAAAAAATAATATCGTGCTGACATGATCTGACATTTCACGGGTATGTTTTCATCAGAACGAATTCAAAAGGATCGCAACAAAATTTGTTCTGGAGTGCCACTTGACATCAGATACAACTGGGAAACGATTGCATATTCACTAGAGCAAAATGAATCTAATTTATCTTGGTAAGTGGGATAAGAATAGTATATATTATTAACTCAACACATTTGGGATCACATTAAGGGATCACTTTCTTAATTAATATATTTATATATAATAATATATTTTCAGGACATAACAGAACAGTTCAGTAGTATTTGGATAACGACCATTTATTATGTTTTCGATACAAGTTCTAATGTGAAAATATGATTTTAACTTGAAATTGCAACTTGATATTTTCAGGGATAATTACACTTGTGGTATCAACAGCAATGGAGGTTTCCGCTGACGACGGCGTCATATCTGACGGCGAAGCAAGTGAAGGCGGTGTTATACCTGAGGATAATGATGATGACATGCCAGAAGAACTCAAGAAATTGTTCATAAAGGACAGTACTCTAGGGGAAAGTCTCATCAAAATTATCAAAATGGTGAAAGACTTTTCATCAGACATCTGGATACAACCCGTCAATCAATACACATGGAGAGAAAGAAAACCCAATACACACCTGTCAATATCAATAAAACGACTCTTAACCAAAGCAAGAAATGTCACAAAGATGGCTCGTAATTCAAGCGAAACATTACAGAAATCGTTACGATGGATTGATGTGGCTTTAGATGACGTCGACAAAGTCATGAATGCTATTATGTCTATTCAAGGTAAAGCTTCCAAAATTCAAGATCTACTTCAAACTATAAACGACATCGAAGAGTTCTTACCATATGGTTTTCAGGAAGGATATGTATTCGCTACACGAATAATATACGAAGACATTCAAGAAAGACTTTACAACTATCACGCGGAATTTTCCACCGGGGCTCGAAAATACGTTTCATTTAGACAATTTAACACTATACTTGGACAGCTTATGAGTTACACAAGTAAGTGGCTCAACTTGTACTATCCAATTGAACCGAGTACAAAACGAGTTTTTCGTGCTCACAAAAGACGTATACGGCACCTACAAGAAATAGCACGAAGGTTTCATGGAAAGTTTGGGCCAGACGTAAATGCATTAGCTAAAAGGTTGAAGCAAAAAATAAATGATTTGGAAAAAGTTTCAAGGAAGGTGAGTTCACTGTACGCTATTGATAAAACAACAATTAAATTAGGTGGAAAGTTGGAAAGTTAACTTTGTGAGGCCGGGTGATTCAATGTTTTTTGACAAGGACGTACTTCATTATTACCATTCGCACTCGTTTAGAATGATAATCCATTGCAAAGAGGAGTAATTTGGCTTTTTGGTACACTGAATTAAAAGGATGCAGTCAGCATTGGTTTTATGTTTTCGTCCAATATTGCATCGGGCTCCGTACACTGACTTATGCAATGTTTATAACTTGGCCCGAAGCTAATTTTGGCCCACTTTGCAAATGGAATGATTACTCGCCCAACCATGACCAAATATCAATGAATGATATATCATTGTAAAGAGGAGACACATGGCTTTATGGTGCATTGAATAAAATCAATGATGTTATCACTGGTTTTGTGCTTTTCTAAGATAACAATCTGTTGCGTTTTTTGATACGCACTGTATTTCATTTACTATTATTCTAATCCATTCAACAATTGAAAATATCCTTTATTATACATGAACGCCATCCTTTAACTCTCAAATTAAATCTGTTTTAGAAGCTGAGAAAGGCAAGGGGAGATGCATAAATGGACTTGTAGTGAAGCGAAATGCATGCAGTAACCTACTAGAACCAACACTGCCATCAATTAAAGATTACTTGGCTCATTGCAAATAAAATTGATACACAATATATGCATATCGTTAAACCAGTGTTTTCCTCCAGTCCGAAAATCTGTCATGTAATTCTGAATATAAGTACCTGTAGTTTATCCGGTATACCATCTCCATCAGCATCATCATCAAGGTAGTCAGGGATACCATCATTGTCATCATCATCGTCCAAATAGTCAGGGATGCCATCGCCGTCAGTGTCTCTGGTTAGATCAAGCCCTAAAGAATGAAATGTAAAAATGACCAAGGACAAGTGATTTTTGGAAATAAAATTAATTTCATGATGATAATTAAATCTACATGAATGCTCAGCCTCTCGTTCTCAACGTTTTAAAAGTATTCCTGGACAGCAGATTACACTGCCAAATACCCGGTCTCTATGGAGAATACATCATGATAAACCATGACATCAGGTGAAAAAAGGTGAAAAAGAAAGATGCTATGAGTATCAGAATGATGGAATACATCATTATGCACATTTCTCTTTCTCACCCCTAGCCTATTCAAGACATAGAATTCTGTAGTTAAAATGTATATCTCACTTATTGAATGATCATATAAAATTGTCATTATCCCAAGTCTGGAGTGGGTTAAAGGTTAGATTTTCAAAATTCTGCACACGACAGATACATCCTGCTATTGGAGTATTCCATCTTTCGCAAAGTGATATTTTTACCATGTAAGTTTCAGTATGACATGAATGAATGTCAAGATACAACAGACAGTACCCTCATAAATGTGGGGTTGGTTTTTCAAATCACACTCACCAGTTCTCGTGTATTGAAATCTTGGGGTTGAAATTAAGCTGGATTAATGGTTATTTAGATAAAATTCTGCTTTTAGTCAACTACTGACAACGTTTTAAAACCCCAAGATTTCAATACACAAGTAGTTGTGGGGGTGATTTGAAAAATCAACCCCACATGTATGGGGGTAACAGACAGTAACTGTTGAAATATGTCATTTCTCTTAAAGGTGCTCTTTTTACCTTCTAGGTCATCTGGAATACCATCGTTATCATCATCATCGTCTTCATCATCTGGAATACCATCTCCATCACTGTCAACTACAGCAAGAAGTTTACGTCTTCCAGGCATTGGCTCTCCTTCTTCATCGACATCATCATGGTCACGGACATCTTGGTTACTTTCTTGGTACTGATGAATAGGGAGAAAATACATAATAAACGCATGTTGTGCAAAATTTCCCTTGGTTAGGATTTAGATCATATTTCTTAATTGTCGCTTGCACATTTTTTTGAGGATGACAGAGAAAATATTTTTTGAGTAGTGTCAGATGGTTCTGGAAAAGGGGTGATAACACAGATACCTGTTTCTCATTGGGATTAAATTGCTTCGTTAAAAACCATTTTGTGAAACAGCTTCGTAACGAAGGATAATGTGCTTGTGTAACACCTCGAAAATCCTTCGTTACGAGGCTTCATTTACAATAAACCTGCCGTGAGACTCTAACCATTTATATGTAAATGAAGTCAATATTGAACCGTTCCTCAATCACTCACAAACTTACTTCCTGCGAAAACTATGTGGATTTTGATAATAAGTTTCAAAATCCAACAAGGCTAGTAATCACAAACGACATTCACTCGACTTAATCTTCCAAGACCGGTACATTTACATCATTTGATTCATCAGATTCAAACACAAACAGTATACACACACTGAAGATTTATCAGTTTATATGGTACAATATTTCTGTTGTTTGGATTTTAGGAGAAACATAAATACACAAAATAAAACTAATAATTAAATAAATATTCACATAATAACTATTTGTCAGTTAAAAGATCAAATTTATTTAATAACAAAATGAATAAATTATACAACATCAATATATAAAGCTTTATACAACTGTACAAGGAATACGATCTCTTGAAAGAAAAAACAATTTCATTTTATAAATGAACGCAACAAAACAAAACAACAATCAATTCGAACTCAACTGACCATTTTGAGTTTATTAATGTTCTGTGACGGTTTGTCATAATTAATCTCTTGTTTATCCGGAATTCCGTCTCCATCGTCATCATTGTCCAAATGATCGGGGATTCCATCACCATCCAAGTCTTCTTGGTTATCTGGGATACCATCTCCATCGTCATCATTGTCAAGATGATCGGGGATTCCATCACCATCCAAGTCTTCTTGGTTATCTGGGATACCATCTCCATCGTCATCATTATCAAGATGATCGGGGATTCCATCACCATCTTCGTCTTCTTGATTATCTGGGATACCATCTCCATCGTCATCATTGTCAAGATGATCGGGGACTCCATCACCATCCAAGTCTTCTTGGTTATCTGGGATACCATCTCCATCGTCATCATTATCAAGATGATCGGGGATTCCATCACCATCTACGTCTTCTTGGTTATCTGGGATACCATCTCCATCGTCATCATTATCAAGATGATCGGGGATTCCATCACCATCTTCGTCTTCTTTGTTATCTGGAACTCCATCACCGTCGTCATCATTGTCAAGATGATCGGGGATTCCATCACCATCTTCGTCTTCTTTGTTATCTGGAATACCATCTCCGTCGTCATCATTGTCCAGATGATCGGGGACTCCATCACCATCTTCGTCTTCTTGGTTATCTGGGATACCATCTCCATCGTCATCATTATCAAGATGATCGGGGATTCCATCACCATCTTCGTCTTCTTTGTTATCTGGAACTCCATCACCGTCGTCATCATTGTCAAGATGATCGGGAATTCCATCACCATCTTCGTCTTGTTTGTTATCTGGAATACCATTTCCGTCGTCATCATTGTCCAGATGATCGGGGACTCCATCACCATCTTCGTCTTCTTGGTTATCTGGGATACCATCTCCATCGTCATCATTATCAAGATGATCGGGGATTCCATCACCATCTTCGTCTTCTTTGTTATCTGGAACTCCATCACCGTCGTCATCATTGTCAAGATGATCGGGGATTCCATCACCATCTTCGTCTTCTTTGTTATCTGGAATACCATCTCCGTCGTCATCATTGTCCAGATGATCGGGGACTCCATCACCATCTTCGTCTTCTTGGTTATCTGGGATACCATCTCCATCGTCATCATTATCAAGATGATCGGGGATTCCATCACCATCTTCGTCTTCTTCGTTATCTGGAATACCATTTCCGTCGTCATCATTGTCCAGATGATCGGGGACTCCATCACCATCTTCGTCTTCTTGGTTATCTGGGATACCATCTCCATCGTCATCATTATCAAGATGATCGGGGATTCCATCACCATCTTCGTCTTCTTGGTTATCTGGAACTCCATCACCATCGTCATCATTGTCAAGATGATCGGGGATTCCATCACCATCTTCGTCTTCTTGGTTATCTGGAACTCCATCACCATCGTCATCATTGTCAAGATGATCGGGGATTCCATCACCATCTTCGTCTTCTTGGTTATCTGGGATACCATCTCCATCGTCATCATTGTCAAGATGATCGGGGATTCCATCACCATCTTCGTCTTCTTGGTTATCTGGGATACCATCTCCATCGTCATCATTGTCAAGATGATCGGGGATTCCATCACCATCTTCGTCTTCTTGGTTATCTGGGATACCATCTCCATCGTCATCATTGTCAAGATGATCGGGGATTCCATCACCATCTTCGTCTTCTTGGTTATCTGGGATACCATCTCCATCGTCATCATTGTCAAGATGATCGGGGATTCCATCACCATCTTCGTCTTCTTGGTTATCTGGGATACCATCTCCATCGTCATCATTGTCAAGATGATCGGGGATTCCATCACCATCTTCGTCTTCTTGGTTATCTGGGATACCATCTCCATCGTCATCATTGTCAAGATGATCGGGGATTCCATCACCATCTTCGTCTTCTTTGTTATCTGGTATACCATCCCCGTCGTCATCATTGTCAAGATGATCGGGGATTCCATCACCATCTTCGTCTTCTTGGTTATCTGGTATACCGTCCCCGTCGTCATCATTGTCAAGATGATCGGGGATTCCATCACCACCTTCGACTTCTTGGTTATCTGGTATACCGTCCCCGTCGTCATCATTGTCAAGATGATCGGGGATTCCATCACCATCTTTGTCTTCTTGGTTATCTGGTATACCGTCCCCGTCGTCATCATTGTCAAGATGATCGGGGATTCCATCACCATCTTCGTCTTCTTGGTTATCTGGGATACCGTCTCCGTCGTCATCATTGTCAAGATGATCGGGGATTCCATCACCATCTTCGTCTTCTTGGTTATCTGGGATACCATCTCCGTCGTCATCATTGTCAAGATGATCGGGGATTCCATCACCATCTTCGTCTTCTTGGTTATCTGGGATACCATCTCCGTCGTCATCATTGTCAAGATGATCGGGGATTCCATCACCATCTTCGTCCTCTCTGCTATCTGGAATTCCATCTCCGTCGTCATCATTGTCAAGATGATCGGGGATTCCATCACCATCTTCGTCCTCTCTGCTATCTGGAATTCCATCTCCATCGTCATCACTGTCTAAATGATCAGGGATACCATCATTGTCGTCATCATTGTCCAAATGATCCGGAATCCCATCACCATCAGCATCTTCTTCTCGGTCGTCTGGAATTCCATCTCCATCGTCATCACTGTCTAAATGATCAGGGATACCATCATTGTCGTCATCATTGTCCAAATGATCCGGAATCCCATCACCATCAGCATCTTCTTCTCGGTCGTCTGGAATTCCATCTCCATCGTCATCATGGTCTAAATGATCAGGGATACCATCATTGTCGTCATCATTGTCCAAATGATCCGGAATCCCATCACCATCAGCATCTTCTTCTCGGTCGTCTGGAATTCCATCTCCATCGTCATCACTGTCTATATGATCAGGGATACCATCATTGTCATCATCATTGTCCAAATGATCCGGAATCCCATCACCATCAGCATCTTCTTCTCGGTCGTCTGGAATTCCATCTCCATCGTCATCACTGTCTAAATGATCAGGGATACCATCATTGTCGTCATCATTGTCCAAATGATCCGGAATCCCATCACCATCAGCATCTTCTTCTCGGTCGTCTGGAATCCCATCTCCATCGTCATCACTGTCTAAATGATCAGGGATACCATCATTGTCATCATCATTGTCCAAATGATTCGGAATCCCATCACCATCAGCATCTTCTTCTCGGACGTCAGGAATTCCATCTCCATCGTCATCATTGTCTAAATGATCAGGGATACCATCATTGTCATCATCATTGTCCAAATGATCCGGAATCCCATCACCATCAGCATCTTCTTCTTGGTCGTCTGGAATTCCATCTCCATCGTCATCATCGTCTAAATGATCAGGGATACCATCATTGTCGTCATCATTGTCCAAATTGTTCGGAATTCCATCACCATCAGCATCTTCTTCTTGGTCGTCTGGAATTCCATCTCCATCGTCATCATTGTCTAAAAGATCAGGGATACCATCATTGTCATCATCATCGTCAAGATGATCAGGGATTCCATCGCCATCAGCATCTTCTTCCTGGTCATCTGGAATTCCATCTCCATCGTCATCATTATCTAAATGATCAGGGATACCATCATTGTCATCATCATCGTCAAGATGATCAGGGATTCCATCGCCATCAGCATCTTCTTCCTGGTCATCTGGAATTCCATCTCCATCGTCATCATCGTCTAAATGATCAGGGATACCATCGTTGTCATCATCATTGTCCAAATGGTCTGGAATTCCATCACCATCGTCATCTTCCTCTTGATCGTCGGATATACCGTCTCCATCGTCATCATTGTCAAGATGATCAGGGATACCATCATTGTCGTCATCATTGTCCAAATGGTCCGGAATTCCATCACCATCAGCGTCTCCTTCTTGGTTATCAGGAATGCCATCTCCATCGTCATCATTGTCAAGATGATCTAGAATACCATCATTGTCGTCATCATTGTCTAAATGATCTGGAATACCATCATTATCTGAGTCAGTGAATAGTCTACGTGGTAATACAGGCTCTTCTATGTCTGGTATATTGTTATTATTATCATCATCGTCATGTGTAGCAGGTATACCATCCCCATCCTCATCTAGTTCTGGGCTGCTATAGTACCTAAGGCCATCATAATCGTGGTCATCATCATCTGGACAGTTATCTCCACTGCACTGTAACCAAAGAAGCGTTCTTGCACCTTTCTTCACTTTCTTCACATCATCCTCACCATCATCATCTGTATCTAAATGGTCAAGAATACCATCATTATCGTCATCATTGTTTATATCATCAGCCACATTATCATTATCGTTGTCTTCTTCAGGGCATGATTCTGATGTACAATGATCTTCCTTGGAGTCAGCTATACCATCATTGTCATCATCGTTATCTACAGCATCTGGCACTCCATCATTATCAGAATCTTCAAGGTAATCTGGAATTCCATCTCCATCATCATCTTTGTCTCTATGGTCAGGTATCCCATCATTGTCTGAGTCTACTTCATATACATCCGGAATACCATTGTTGTCATCGTCCTCATCATGTTTGTCTAGAATACCATCGTTGTCATCATCATTGTCAATGTCATCTGGGATACCATCTCCATCATCATCATTATCTTCAGCATCTTCTATTCCATCTCCATCTAGATCACTTTTGGTCTCAGAGAAAAACCAAAGAAGTTTTCTGCTCGGATTCAATGAATTCTGGGGATCAGCTATCCCATCATTGTCATCATCGTTATCAATAACATCTGGTACTCCATCTTTATCAGAATCTTCCAAGTAATCTGGAATCCCATCTCCATCATCATCTTTGTCTCTGTAATCAGGTATTCCATCTTCATCAGTGTCTTGTTCATATGCATCCATAATATTATTTCCATCATCATCTTCATCTTCTATATCTATGATACCATCATTGTCATCATCCTCATCTATGTCATCTGGGATTCCATCCCCATCTGTATCCTGATTTTCCTCATCTGTATCTAGAATCCCATCATTGTCATCATCTTGATCTTGGTTATCTGGTATTCCATCACCATCATCATCTGTATCTAAATGGTTAGGAATCCCATCATTGTCGTCATCATTGTCTTCATCATCAGCCACATCATTATTATCATTATCTTCTTCAGGGCATGATTCTGATGTACAATGATCTTCCTTGGAGTCAGCTATCCCATCATTGTCATCATCGTTATCTACAGCATCTGGCACTCCATCATTATCAGAATCTTCAAGGTAATCTGGAATTCCATCTCCATCATCATCTTTGTCTCTATGGTCAGGTATCCCATCATTGTCTGAGTCTTCTTCATATACATCCGGAATACCATTGTTGTCATCGTCCTCATCATGTTTGTCTAGAATACCATCGTTGTCATCATCATTGTCAATGTCATCTGGGATACCATCTCCATCATCATCATTATCTTCAGCATCTTCTATTCCATCTCCATCTAGATCACTTTTGGGCTCAGAGAAAAACCAAAGAAGTTTTCTGCTCGGATTCCTTGAATTCTGGGCATCAGCTATCCCATCATTGTCATCATCGTTATCAATAACATCTGGTACACCATCTTTATCAGAATCTTCCAAGTAATCTGGAATCCCATCTCCATCATCATCTTTGTCTTTGTAATCAGGTATTCCATCTTCATCAGTGTCTTGTTCATATGCATCCATAATATTATTTCCATCATCATCTTCATCTTCTATATCTATGATACCATCATTGTCATCATCCTCATCTATGTCATCTGGGATTCCATCTCCGTCTGTATCCTGATTTTCCTCATCTGTATCTAGAATCCCATCATTGTCTTCATCTTGATCTTGGTTATCTTGTATTCCATCACCATCATCATCTGTATCTAAATTGTTAGGAATCCCATCATTGTCGTCATCATTGTCTTCATCATCAGCCACATCATTATTATGGTTATCTTCTTCAGGGCATGATTCTGATGTACAATGATCTTCCTTGGAGTCAGCTATACCATCATTGTCATCATCGTTATCTACAGCATCTGGCACTCCATCATTATCAGAATCTTCAAGGTAATCTGGAATTCCATCTCCATCATCATCTTTGTCTCTATGGTCAGGTATCCCATCATTGTCTGAGTCTACTTCATATACATCCGGAATACCATTGTTGTCATCATCCTCATCATGTTTGTCTAGAATACCATCGTTGTCATCATCATTGTCAATGTCATCTGGGATACCATCTCCATCATCATCATTATCTTCAGCATCTTCTATTCCATCTCCATCCAAATCAGCGTTGGGCTCAGAGAAAAACCAAAGAAGTTTTCTTTTTGGCCCAGAAGTATCAAAGTTATCTATTTCTCCCATTGTATGTGATGCAATTTCATCATTTTGGGAATGTTTAAGGAATGCTAAAGATTTTTTAGTACTTTCAAATGAATCTTTCTCATTATCATTTTTGTCCTCTCCATCATTTTTGTGATCAAACTCTACTATTTGGAACACATTATCTTTATGGTTTACTCTTGTATATTCAGGTACTTTAAATTTCTTATATATGATGTTTTTAACATCTATGTCATCATTGTCATCTTCATCTTCGTCATCATCATTTTCTTCATCATCGTCGTAGTCATCATCATCACCAGCTTCTGAGATGTCCAAAAGTTTACGTTTGCAGAAAGTACAGTTTTTCTACAAAATAAAAAATCATGAATTAAAAACTTTAAGAATATGAAAAAAAGTATATATACTGTATAATGTAGGCTAGGTTTAACTTTTATCTTTAAACTATTTAAAATAAACTATGAAGCAAATATTAATGACTTTATATTGAATAATCTAAAATAAAAATGTGTTACCTATTACTGGGAACTGGGTAGGAAGCAAAACAATTGAACAAAATGATGTCCATTCAAGAAAACGCTAGTGTGGAAAGCTGTGTGGCATCTGAAGTGGGGAAAAGATAAGTTAAAAAGGTAAGTTTGTGGTGCATGCTGAACTGAACATCAAAGTTAGTTGCACACTTGCTCTTTAATCCTCTATGCAAAGTTACTCAAGTTGAAAAAAATGTAATGGCCTCTTTGTTGTCTCAAGTTCAAGTTCCCAAACTTTGATTTGAAGGGTCACGTTTATATGTTTGAGGCTGTAGCCTTCATACATTTGCTGCATGTCATTAAAATTGACATTTAATCCCTTTTTATTATTATTAATTCAAATGGGATACGTACATTACATACAAATACACAAGATACAAACATATGTTACACACCAAGTACAATAAATTATGGTTGAATTCTCTACATGTACATGTTGTTGATTATTTCAATCAGAGTGGATGTTCTACCAAGAATGTGTAGTGTTTGCGCTGGTAAGCCATTCTGTTATTATCCTTTTCTTAAAGCCAATTAGATCAATGATAATTATATGCACAGACACAATCCATCCTAACACTTTCATTCAGTACATAGACCTACTCCCTAGTTTACACATTCTTGTTTTACATATAATTTGGAGTATAAACTTTCCGACCCCACTCATTACAACCCATACAACACAACAACTAGCTTTCTCACATGGCTTATACGGGTAGAGATTAAAAGGTGGATTGGATCGAGTAGATTGGATTTATGTAAAAGGTGGATTGGATCAGGAATCTTCAAAATATGGAATTTTTTACTTTTGTTTTTTCTGTTAATTTGTCTCTGGCTATTTCCCTCCATAAATAATTGGGTCCCTTTGAGAAATTAGAACAAAGCAAAGACAAACACATACTCTGATAAGTTGATGAATACTCCTAAGTATTCAACTGCTTTCCCTTGTAAATCAACTTTTGTAAGACATAAAAAACAAAGATCTGTAGATAAAAGCTGTCATTCAAGTTGATGTGCGAATGTTCTAAACAATGTCTGCTACATATTTATGTTCTGATTGGTCTAAAAACGGATGTTATGGATCTTCAGACCAGTCTGTCTATGATTTATGAAATGTCCTTAAAATTATACTTGGAATGAATAAGATTGTGTATCACCCTTCTAGACCACCCAAGCAAAATAATATTACATCTTTCATTGTCTTTTATTTGACATTATGGAAGTGAAGAGAGGACCAATCTTCTTAGAGGGAGATCAATAGATTTTTTAAGGAAACTCCATATTTTGAAGATTCCCGATCCAATCCACCTTTTACATGAATCCAATCCACTCGATCCAATCCACCTTTTAATCTTTACCCTTATACGGAATATGTGTATTAAAGAAGGTCATTTTACCAGAAGGACCAGAAGGCATGTCAATGATCTTTCAGATAGTTTCTCAAAAGGGCGCTAGATCCAAATTACACCAATTTTGGTTAACATATCTCATCAATCTGACAGTGTGCAAACAGATTTTAAAATCAAAACTGATCTAGAAAATGCCTCAAAAACTTGTAATTATTGAAATTGGCATCTGTCTACAACAGGGTGACATGATTTTTCTAATTTTGGAAAAGGGCAACCAGTTGATCTCACATTGGGAAGATTACTGCATAACATATTTAAGAATATTCATTTAGTGTTGAATGCCTATTGGTACAATATTGTTTCAGTATCATGATATTCACCCTCATTTACAGGGTACCCAGGGTGTCTTGTTATTTTCTGTTGTGAAATGTCACCGATTTCTGAACATCCTGTACTTTGACATCCTTACATGAACACCAGTATGATTCTAGTGAATAACACATACATCATTGAACCACTTCCATTCAATTACAAATAAAATCAATTGGTTTAGCAGTTAAGGCCTCACATATTTGAAGGTGCTTGAAAGCAATTTAAATAGTTTAGAGCATGAACTCTTAACTGAAATAACTACAGGCTTCATAGACTTCCAGAGCTGATGATCGCGTCAGTGGAAGTCTAGGAGGCCTGAACTAGTTTAATTGGAGTGCCACATGTTGCGATGACACTATGATGAGTAAAGTTGATGAATCTAGTGCGACAAAACCAGGGGTGGGTCATAAGATCTTTAGATTCAGATATCTTTTTCTAATCAAAAATATGTTTTCTCTAATATGCAGGAAGAAGGATCTCTTTATGTGATAAAGGTGACTTGGGATATCTTTTTCCAACTCAAAATATTTTTCTTCAAAATTCAGACAATGATCTTTTGTGATAAAGGTTAAGTACCTAAGATCTAATAATTGGCCACTATGTCCTCCCATAGTAATGGCTACCATTCTATATGACCGGTGAGTATTTTCTTATACATTTTGTACATTTCTTCATAGAGAAGGAATAGGAAGGAACAATATACACAAATATGCAAGTTTGAAAGTATGGAATGATCTCCAGACCTTCAAGTTTTGCTCCTGCATTATGGGATCATTTTGTAGAGCCCATAATGTTTTCCCTATGCTACAGCAAAGTCTCATTGGCAGTTTATAAATTCCTAATGATAATGTGACTATGATAACTACTATATGAAAGAAAACCCAGAACAATTGCTACATCAATTTTTAGTTATTTATTGTAAAACTGCCATACATAATCACATCACACTCATGGGCCATTCAAATAGCAAAAAATCCCATTTATAATTTGTAATGGAATCTTTTTAAATTAATCATTTTAACATTTTGAAGGAAATATTTCAGATAACATACTTTGTAATCCCGGGTTTTCTCTGGGGAATTAAAGATATCATACATCTTTCTGAATGCTTATTTTTGTGTTAGTGAGCAAAATGGACACACAGAAAGCATGTTATTAGAGGAAAATAAAAAAGCATACAGAGACAACATAAATATTTACTATAAAAAATATATTCTGGAGCAAAAATAGTGGAAAGTATCTCAAGAGAATTTCAAAAGGAGAATTCAGTCTTGCATACAAATGCAACTGAAGAAAGTAAAATACAAATGGGTTCCTTTGCTTCAAGAATGGCCCAGATCACAAAATAGTCCACAGCAAAACTCTCTTATGCCCAGGGTATGCATATTGTAGCCAGAATTTTGCAATCCTAGCTACTCCATTCATACTATGGGCAGCATAAATGTGACCAAATAAAAACATCATTTTCAAAGACTTGGGTAAAATCCTCATAGATGTATGCTAAATATACAAATCTATATTGAACGTATTGGTGAGTAAAGACTTCCACATGAAGTCCAATGTAGATCATAGTCGTATATCGAGTATACATAACCAAGTACTTCAAGAAACACCAAGTTCATAAAAATGATGCCAAATGTTCTCAAGTAGTTTTCCTTGCATTTCAACTTTATCTTTTAACACTGGTGTCACAGAATAAGCCAGGACAAATTGGTCATTTCTAACTATTATTACACTCAGTCAACAATAGCTGTTGTTGCACTCAGTAAACATCAACTGTTGTTACACTCAGTCAACAACAGCTATTGGTCAACTAAGTCAACAACAGCTGCTGTTTCAGTCAAAAACAGATGTTGTTTCACTCTGTCAAAAATAGCTATTGCTGCACAATATACTCAGTCAACAATAGCCATGTTACACTCAGTCAACAACAGCTACTGCTACACTCAGTCAACAACAGCTGTTGTTACACTCAGTTAACAAGAACTGTTGCTGCACTCATTTAACAATAGCTATCCACCACAAGTTGCCATTCTGTGACACCTTTATAATTTTCCAATGAAAAATTCAAAGCACTCGGCTAAGATATCATAATTTTGAAATATGTACACAAAATCACAAACCTAGATTTCTACAAATCAAAACATAAAATGGCCATTCAATAATTTGACCTGACCATTTGTAGAGAGCAAGAGAGCATATTACATCAGTAATAAATAGGATACAAGCTTCAAATATAACAAATGTATGTACAAGGTATATAAAGTAACAAGTTGGGAGATAAAGCAGACTATTATAGAGGAATTAGATATGAAGATTTAGATATCACATTAAGATTAGAACCCTGCTCCAATTGGTTACTCGGATTATTTGTATCACCATGGTAACGATTTGTAGCAGAGTGAACTGATATGTGCTGAACTGTTTGTAATATTTGATTAGAGAAGCTATCCATTAGAGGAAGTATAAAGTGCAGTAGAAAATTTAACAAGTGCATGGATAGCTATATGTAGAGCAACAGGTAAGTCTGGAGCATGATTTTAGTGTGGAAAATTCAAATTCTTATAAAATGTAAAAATATTAATAGAGGTAAAACAGTAGCAGGGGTTTTGGATGGAAGGTATGATTTAACATTATAGCTGCTGGTTTATAAAATAATGCATTTACTTTTAGTTCGTATGAAGAATTTTCTATAAAATATAACTGTCTGTATCCCACACTCAACAAATATTTACAAAACAAAGCAAAGATGAATTTATAAGACCATCTGTTCTTTAGGATGTTTACACCGGTGTGTGCTGGTTATTTTGTTGGACAAGCTATTTGGACGGCCCATGTAACACACTCTAAAGTTGAAAACCACATGTGTATTTTAGAAAGTTCCGAAAAACAGAAATTTCTATCATGTTAGTGGTATTTTAAGGAATCATAAACCAAGAATGTTGGTTTGTTTTGAATAAATAATTTCCGATATGTTTTCATCGCTCGAGTGTGTTTGCAATGTACAGATGGCAATTCAAGATGTCAATTGTTCTGGTTTATAGTTCATCATCTACCTTACTGCTTTTCTTCTCTTTGTCACCCTCGCAACTGTCACCTGTACATTCTTCTTCTGAATCTGGGATACCATCACCATCAGCATCACTGTCCTGATCATCAGGGATTCCATCACCGTCATCATCTTTGTCTAAATAGTCGGGAATTCCATCATCGTCAATATCTGAATGGTCCATTGTATCATCATCAGCGTCAAGATAATCAGGGATTCCATCACCATCATGGTCTTGGAGTTTGTCAGGGATTCCATCACCATTAGCATCATCATCAAGGTAGTCAGGAATACCATCATTGTCATCATCGTCATCCAAATAGTCAGGGATTCCATCTCCATCAGTGTCAATCGTGAGATTTCTGTCAATGATTCCATCACCATCAGCATCAAGGTCATCTTTGTCAGGGATACCATCATTATCATCATCAGTATCAATGTAATCGGGTATACCATCACCATCTGTGTCCACAAGCTCCCATTGAAGTTGGTAGTCCCTTGCAGACATCTTGGAATGCTTTGGTCTTGATGGTTTAGCTGCTTTAGCCTGGGCCTTTTCTTCCTCCTTTGTTTTAGAGTGATGATGGTGTAAATGGTCACGGTCATCATCAGCGTCTAGATAATCTGGGATGCCATCATGATCAGCATCTTGAAGTTTATCAGGGATACCATCACCATTTGCATCTTCATCCATGTAGTCAGGTATACCATCACCATCGTCATCATCGTCAAGGTAATCAGGGATACCATCACCATCTGTATCAATTTCAAGATTTTTATCGGGAATACCATCACCATCAGCATCAAGGTCATCTTTATCTGGGATACCATCTCCATCATCATCAGTGTCGATATAATCAGGAATGCCATCACCATCTGTATCAATTTCCTCCCAAGATCTCTGGTAGTCAATCGAGAGAAGTTTACGGGATGCCCCGCCGGTACAATAAGGACAGTCCTATAACATGGGAAAGGTAGGAATAGGAAGAGTTAAAGACAAGCTTAGTGTATGAAAATAGTCTTGCATCTGGACCAACTCTACAAACTCTTCAGATCTTATAATCGTCCAGAGTAAGGTGGTATTTTAGAGTGAAGGTTTTGATGCAAGACTTATGAAAAATGCCTTGGCAAAAACATGTTTGTGTTAATTATATTGTTATCTTGAACACATCATTCATGACTGAAGTGTGTTGATGGTTATTGTATTAAGCATGATGATACCTGCTTGTATATGAACTTGTTTTGCAAAGGCAATGCATGTTATCAAGAAAAGTAAAATAGTGGATTTAGATATAACACAGTCCATGATACAAATTGAAATATTTAAACCTTTCAAAATCTTTAGACTCATTTAGTGTACTATAGACTGGCTAGTATAAGCATTTATTACGAATAAGACTTTACACAGGATATAGAAGGTCTAGATATATTCTTCATTTATAGATTATTGGCAGATGAAGTAGAGATAGTGGGGATTGGCCAACATAGGTCTCATGCTTTGGCCATTTGTTCTTAATGAATCATGGTATTTATTTTGAGTATGTAACATTTTGTTCAAGTTAAAACCTGTTCAATACAATCAAATTTAAAGTACTACTGCTGATCATACAGGGCATGACAACAGCACCCATCGAGAAGTACTTTGTTTTAATATGGGCTTTAAAGTAAGATGGCAACTGTATACAAGGCATTTAACATGACAAAATGTCAACACCTAAAACAATTTGGTCAATTTAAAGCAAGTTGAAAAAATACCTCTTTGACTTTTTTTGACATTGAGAAGGTCATTGAAGGTCAAATGTCAAATTTAAAGTCAGATTTGAACTTCTGAGAACATGTAGATGATTTTGAAAAAAAAATTAAGTAAATTTGAAGCAAGTTGAAAAAAAGACCTTTTTGACCTTGAAAAGGTCATTGAAGGTCAAATGTCAAATCTAAAGTCAGATTTGAACTTCTGAGAACTTGTAAAGTCAAATTTGAACTTCTGAAAAGATGTAGATGATTTTGAAAAAAAAATTTGGTCAATTTGAAGCAAGTTGAAAACAGACCTTTTTGACCTTTTTTGACCTTGAGAAGGTCATTAAAGGTCAAATGTCAAATCTAAAGTCAGATTTGAATTTCTGAGAACATGTAGATGATTTTGAACCTTGAGAAGGTCATTGAAGGTCAAATGTCAAATCTAAAGTCATATTTGGATTTCTGAGAACATGTAGATGATTTTGAAAAAAAAAATTAGTCAATTTGAAGCAAGTTGAAAAAAGACCTTTTTGACCTTTTTTGACCTTGAGAAGGTCATTGAAGGTCAAATGTCAAATCTAAAGTCAGATTTGAATTTCTGAGAACATGTAGATGATTTTGAAAAAAATTTTTTTTAGTAAATTTGAAGCAAGTTGAAAAAAGACCTTTTTGACCTTTTTTGACTTTGAGAAGGTCATTGAAGGTCAAATGTCAAATCTTAAAGTCAAATCTAAAGTCAGATTTGAATTTCTGAGAACACGTAGATGATTTTGAATTTTTTTTTAGTCAATTTGAAGCAAGTTGAAAACAGACCTTTTTGACCTCTTTTTGACCTTGAGAAGGTCATTGAAGGTCAAATGTCAAATCTTAAGTCAAATCTTAAGTCAGATTTGAATTTCTGAGAACACGTAGATGATTTTGAAAAAAAAATTTGTCAATTTGAAGCAAGTTGAAAACAGACCTTTTTGACCTTTTTTGACCTTGAGAAGGTCATTGAAGGTCAAATGTCAAATCTAAAGTCAGATTTGAAGGTCAAATGTCAAATCTAAAGTCAAATCTAAAGTCAGATTTGAATTTCTGAGAACATGTAGATGATTTTGAAAAAAAATTTAGTCAATGTGAAGCAAGTTGAAAAAAGACCTTTTTGACCTTGAGAAGGTCATTGAAGGTCAAATGTCAAATCTAAAGTCAGATTTGAACTTCTGAGAACATGTAGATGATTTAGAAAAAAATTGAAGTCAATCTAAACAGTATTTGTTAAGTTATAGGAAGTTGTAAGAAATTGTTACAGACGCCGGACGCCAACCTCCAACCGCCGTCGCAAAAAAACGGAGACCATAACAATATGTCACCACTTTTGGTGGTGACATAAAAATGTTGGCACAATGGCTAATATTATTGGAGCCAAAATTTCACTTAGAGAAAATACCATGTAGATTATTGCAAACAATTTCACAGTTATATCTTGGATTATGACTATTTTCTGACCATAAAGACAGGCATATCTTTTCGATCAATTCATTAACTCAAAGAAAAGTATATGCAATGATTATAAGGTCAATTGGACTGGTGATATTGAGGGCGTAATCAACCTAAAAACATACTTTTTCAATGATGTTGACCCCATTTTCACAAAATAAAAGGAAAACTTATTTGCTCTGAGAGTAGTGTTCCCAATGTTATAGAGAAAACTCCATTGATTTCAGCTCATTTTGGTCATCCAAATTCAGTATTTTTCAAGTCCCTGGAGCAGCTCACTTTATACATGTATGTACGTATAATATATGTCTCAAGGCACATTCTAGTTAACAAGTTGGCTTTTCACTGAAAATAAGGTCAACATTTTTGAAAAAGTATGTTGCCCCTTTAATATCACTTTGTCAGAAAAACTTAATTTATCATTAAGTATACATTTCTTGGAGATAAAGAACGGACCCAAAAGATACATCTGTCTTAATGATCAGAAAATATTCATTATCAAAGATATACATGTCTGAAATTGTTTGCAATAACCTATGTGGCTCTTTACCCAAGTGAAGGCTTTATTCAGATTAAAAAGGTGTTCAAAAAGAAACAGGTTTTACTGAACATTTTCACAGATCAATTACGAGTCAGAACTTACCAGGTTTTGGTTCAGGATTAGCAGATGTTGTACTGAACACACAGACACAAAGTAGGTTAGTGAACAGCTAATGGAGTCAGTAAATGCAGCTAACAGGGTCATTAGACAGCTAACAGGGTAAGTAAAGTCAAACATGACCTACATATTCATGCGGCTACATCTCTCATTGAATTTGGCATGCTAAAATCATTCTTAGAGCATATTTCATCAAACATAGTTTGTTTTTCAATGATTTCTGCAACATTCAGGCACCTTGTTTTTATACTTCTTGTTTAATGGGAATGTGATTGTAGTTCCCAGGTTGTAGTTGCAAACAGTTTGTTTATTAAGAATATGACTTCAATTTTTATTGTCATGGTCACATATTTCTTATTTTGTTGAGAATGCGAGTGAGGTTTTCATTGTTATGGTTGCACTGTTTCTTTTGTTGTGAATGTGATTGAAGTTATGAAGTTGTTCATTGATTGCATATTTGTTATTTTGTTGAGAACGTGAGTGAAGTTTTCATTGTTATGGTTGCATTCTAGTTTATTTTGTTGTGAATGTGATTGAAGTTGGTTATTGTTATGTTGCATTTGTTATGTTCATTGTTGTCATGGTTTCAATGGTGAGTGAATGTTTCACCGTCATGGTTACATTCCTGTTTATTATTTTGTTGAGAATGTGACTGTAGCTGTTGCATATAGCAGCTTCTTGTGAATTTCTAGATTGTGACTATTGAATTCTTGTTTTTTTAACCTGACTTTCGTTACTGTTGTCATGGTAACTGACAACAGCTTCAAGTTTATTTTAAAATTTTGTTGAAAATGTGACTATTGAAAGCCAATTCTTTAAATTGTTTATTAGAACATGACTCACTAAGTTACTGCTATAGTTGCATACAACAACTTGTATTACATACCATGATGACAAACGTACAAAAAATAATATTTCTTATAAACATCTTAAATATGTATTTTTATTCAAAACTAATTGGTGCTCGCACAATGCCGTAATATTGCTACCAATGTACAAGAACATTGCTTTGTTGTATTAAATACACATTGTTAGTTACAATTCATCTTTTTACAACATGAAAATACCCTTCGATAAAATAATAATGACATTAGTTTGACAAATTCTTCGGAATGTTGCACACTTTGAAAAAATAACCATAACCCTTCTGAATAGACTCATTATAAAATCAATGATGAAATAATAAAATTATCATATTACTCAGGGAACAAATTGCATAATTCGGTGGCAGAGTTAATCCTTTCTTGTGTTGGAGTAAATCAAACTACCATTGTATGGTAGAATAACTTGGCATTGGCAAATTTATAGTACATAGCATTATGAGCATTATTTTTCAGCTTTACTTGCCTCATCATCACCATGGTAACTGCGTTATCATGATAATCCTTCATCGTGACAAGAATTTCTGGAATTCTCCATTATCACATATTGTCTAATCCTTAATAATAAAAGTTCCAGTGGGAATGTCTACATCTAGAATCTGTTGTTATGGTAACATATATTTATGTTGCCTGTAACTATGACAGCAGAAACCTGTTGCTATGACAACATCCTGTTTCCATGAAATTATGAATACATCCTCTGTTTTGATGAACATGATGTGAGTGTGAAAGTTCCACAGTCTATAATGATGATGAAGTGTTGATCAAGTCTATGTTTACTTTCCTAGAATCCCCATACTTATAATTCATCCTTCTGCTCTGTCTGTGCATCTTCCGTCTGCAAAAATAGCAGAGACATCTGGTGAGTGGTTATTCAAACCAAGATGGCCACCATGAAAATTTGCCCAAAATGTCTGCCGTGTGTTCTATTAATTTGACTAGTATGTAGAGTTCTGAGCATGAGTTCTGATCTAGCTGCCTGTGTACGCGGATGGAACAACGCTTTGTCATAACTGATTTGAAATATTCTGGTATAAACTGCATGTTGGGTCTTAGCCTGTATGAGCTACATCCTATTATATCCTACAAGCTTCCTTTATGTATTATTTCTTGTTAGCTAACTGTACTAATACAACACTATGCTGACTTTCTACATCAGAGCCATAGCAAAATGTATTCACTTCCAAACTGAGGTCTCATTATTACCATACATAGTCTCTCCAAAATGCAATTGCTGGGCTACACAGTGTAAATATTTACACTATGAATCAGACATCATGTGATTGCGTTTTGGAGTTACAACATGATAATAATGAGGATTCTGACCACTTGAGATTGAAACTTATTTTACTATGACTCCTCTAATGTTATACAGGGTGTCCATGAAGTCTAGCAAATAATGGATGTAATGTTCTGGACAACCTGTATTTATTATAGTACCTCTACTCAATGGTGAAGTGACACTTAACTATGATGAACACGTGAGGAAAAGGAAGCTGTTATGTTAGGAAAAACTCAAGCTAACTCAACAAGGCATACACCAACATGCAGTATGTTAACCCTTTCATGTCTAGTGGAGTATCACAGACATGTAAGGGTTAAGGGGCAGCGTTAAACGCAAATTCAATCCGACTTTGATTTTTTTGTTTTTTGTTTTGTCGTTTCTGCTTTTCAATGTATTGACTGATTATATGGTTTGGATGGTGAACAATTTAATGCTGCCACATAAAGTGGTGAGAATATAAAGAGATAAAAGAAATCAAGAAACAAGAAAAGCAGAAACTGGTCCTAATCTACACATCAACGTCATTCCAAATCAGCAAAGAACTCAACTCAATACTACAACTAAATTCCTTATGAAAATATAAAATCACACAGGCATTTTTCAAGATTTGGGCAAACTTTATGGGGAAATACAATCATGTAGGTGTCTCAAAAACACCAGAAGATGTAGGTGTCTCAAAAACAACCGAACATGTAGGTGTCTCAAAAACACCCGAATATGTAGGTGTCTCAAAAACACCCGAACATGTAGGTGTCTCAAAACACCCAAATACAATTCTTTGATGTAAAAAAGTATTATTATAAAAAGCTATTATTCCAACATTCTTCCAAATTCAACTAAGCTTGCAATAATTTAACGAGGATATATAATCACAATCACGTTTTAACAGGATAGTTTCTGAGGCATTAAAATGTCAACTTTGTGCCATCCTTGGATATCAGACATAAAATCATAATTAATGATTTGGTCTTTACCATTTTTGTAGTGTAACAAAACACAATTACAATGAATAACAGTTATCTGAATAAGTAAGTTTACATGAACATTTGTATGCTTCAGAATATCTGTCTTGATCCAGTGAAAATGACCGATATCTACGTACATTTTACATTATGGAGATGTTTATTTTATACATAATGGAGTAAAGTAGGAACTTGGTAAACAACAAGCTCCAAATACAAAACAGCATGCTTGAATTAGCAATATACTAAAATAGCAATAAATGACTTACTTTTTATAGTGTGATATTGCAGAGGTAAAGCAAGTTCTCCCAAGTAATTGTATCCCATTGTTTCAGGGCTAAATTACATTACTTGAGATGAGCTTCACCTCATTGCATATTTCCCAGTGTTTCAATTGTAGTAAATCTCACAATACATTTACATTGCTTGTCATAGGCTTTCATATCATTTGAGAAGATCACATCACACATGAAGTTCATGATCAGATGTGAAGTTCATGAACAAACATGAAGTTCATGAACAGACACGACATTCATGAAATGAAGCCACTGACTTAATGTATGTTTGTAAACATCCTAACGACATCACACATTTTTACTTACCTCATCAGCAACTGCTTCTTCTTCAACTTCTCCCTCATCTTCAGCCTCAGCATCAATCTCATCTTCACCTTCAGCTGCCTCCTCATCATCTTCATATTCGGGTTCCTCCTCAATCTGAAAACGTCATGAATAGCATTTACAGAACCATGTTACATATGGCCTTGACAAAATGTACAAAACTTCCATAGGATCGTGCATAAAGAAACTGTCCCATAAGATGTCATACATACTTCAGAATGTGGCCATTGTTTTTGGCCTGTGCGCTACACTAAATTCATATTTTGTTGTATCTTATATTGAACGATCATGAACAGTTAAACATGTCTTAAAAGAGGAAAAATAGCTTGCTTCATTGGACACATTGTTTTATATTATATTTCAGTCATACCTGTTCTTCCAATGGTACGTCCATACTGAGTCTCAACATGCGCTCTATTCTCTCAGCAAAACCTGAGGAGTCTGATAGTGAGTAGCCTGATCTTAGAGTTGCAGTTTCCAACATGACCAGGGCGAGATCCTTTGCAGTTTGATCATCTTTGTCTTTCTCAACACGCTGACGGAGTTCCTTGATGAGGGGATGTCTTGGATTTACTTCTAGAGTTTTCTTCTGGTTTGCATAGAAACTGGGAAATGGAAGAATTTTGTGAAATGATTTGATTACAAAAACAATCGTTAATATTAAGACATGCCCCATTTGCGCCTTGTACTAAACAAGACATTTTACTAATTTGGAGATATTTCCAAAAGAAATCGGGAAAGAAAGTGTTTCATCATTTTATACAAGCAATTCTACATTGCTACAAAAGGAACAGAGCCATTCATTCTTCTATTCTCTTAACACTATATTTGAAGTAGTAAACAAGACATTTAGTGATATATGTCCAGCTTCTAAGAGAAAATGGCTGCCATGTAATTTACCAAGAATGCCAAATGCCTAATCAGATCTTTGCACTAGTCTGCTCTTACATCTGTAAAATGTATGTGATAATAGAAAAGAGCTTGATGCAAAACTAAGAGGAAACTTACTTTTGGGATGGGTCCTGGGCCTTGGCGTATGCCTGTGCCTTCATGATACGTTCCATGTTACCTGACCAGCCGTATGAGCTGGCAACCAAAGCACATGGAGAGGTCGTCAAACGATCAGAAATTGTAGCCTTCTCAATCTAAAACACAACATGTGTTAAAAACATAACTTTACATCATTCATTAAACATGGACAGATCCATTCAGAGAATGTATTTTCAATGGTCTATGACCTTTTTGTTTTGTAACATAAAATTGTGATTCACTGAAATAAATCATAACATATTGATATTATAACATTGAAATTGTTTCATATTACACAAGCAATTATAAATGATGATGACTAACTGTGCATATTAAATGGGCAACATAAAGGCTCGTCAATGTTGTTTACTTTATCTAAAAAAGTTAAAGTCCGGCTAAATTTTTTGGGCCCCCTTGATGTTTGTTCAGTACAATCATAAAAATCATCATCGCAACATGTGACAGTTACCTTATCCTTGAGGGCATCATCCTTCATCCAGGTCAGCAGTGGTTCAAATGTCTTCTCAAGTTCTTCTTTGGCTTCCTTAGCTTTCTCACTGTCATCAAGCTTCAGTCCCTCCTTTGCAACATTCTGGAACTTCTTGCCATCAAACTCGGGAAGTGCTTGGATGCAGTACTCATCAACTGGCTCAATGAGGTACAATACTTCATAGCCCTTCTTAAGTAGACGCTCAACAAATGGTGATTTCACAACCTAGAACAATGATTACATATGAGCACGTTTTTTAACTGCTGATATTTGAGTGTAGTTAAGAAATTGTGACTTGACTTCTACTTCATGGTCTCATCTGAATGGAAAAATGTGTAGACTTTTGAGAGTATTCAAATAACCATAATATTTATACTTAGGTCTCATTACTGTAGTAGTTGAAATGGTTGGATCAAAAATATTTTTGTCGAATATCTCTGATTATTTGACAGATATTTTAGGATTTAAACATGAATAAAACTGACTGTCTACTCCCTCTAACAATTCTCCGTTTGTGTGAAATAACATCTAAGGTTTATCCCATGTAGAATAATACACAAGGTTTATCACATGCACTTACCTCATCACGGCTAGTTCCAGCCATAAAAAAGATGGTTTCTTGCTTTTCCTTCATCCTCTCCACATAATCTGCTAAACTTGTTTGTTCTGTCTCTGAGTTGGAGGTGAAAAATCGGAGAAGTTTGGCAAGGCGTGTCCTGTTAGAGTGGTCCTCAATAACTCCAAGTTTGATGCTGGAATAAATTGAACTCTTTATTTAAATTAATCCTCAAAGCATACTAACCCATGTTTATGAGATTTAACAGACAACACTTTCAATTACAGTCTGAATCAATGTAAGGTGGGGTTATAAAATAGAACCTGGAAAATGCATGCAGCTAACAAGCCTTAATTCACACAGCTGTAGAGGTTATGATACTCCGAATGCATCGATTTCTTGCAATGTCCATTTAAATGTGATTCTATGCTGCACACTTATCATACAACTATGCGATTCTTATCTCCATTCTAAACTAAACTGATAATCATATTGAGACTTACTTGGTGCTGTATTCCTTCCAGAACTTTTCATACTCTTCTTTGTCAATTTTCTTGATCATGTCGAGTGATTTACGGACAAGTTTCTTCTTAATAACCTTCAACAGTTTGTGTTGCTGGAGGGTCTCACGGGATACGTTCAATGGGAGATCGTCAGAATCAACCTGAAGTCAAGGATATAACATTCATCATTCAAAATACCTTTTACGCCACTCCATTTATATATTGTTATATAAAGTACATTACATGTATTTCAAAAAAATCTTATCCTAACTGTTAATAACTGAAAAGTTCTAGAAATATTTTTTATCAACTTTACCATGACCACTAATGGTCAAATTGCTGCCATATTTTTAAATTCCTGGGAAATGATATCTGTTTGAGGATCTAGGAATAAATTGAGATTTGAATTAAAGCTATAAATGTTGGGACTTACCACTCCACGAATAAAAGAAAGATATTTAGGCATCATGTCAGCAAAGTTATCTGTGATGAACACTCTCCTGACAAACATCTGAAATAGATAATAAACAGTACTGCATTTAAAAATTCATAAAAAAGCAGCTTTTTTCTTTGGTTTTATATACCATGTATTTGTTGACGAAATTTAACAATTGATTACAGCCCCTCAGTCTCACTCTTCATTGAAGTGTATGAACAGCAAAAAGGTTTTCAAAGTTTTGCGATAAAGAAGGAAAACATGAGTGAGCCAAAAATTACTTTAAAGCACAATTCCATATTTAAGTTATAAATTGAGATTTTAGATCACAATCACAAACCTTAATAAAGTCGTAAGATTTGCCATAGTTGTTGAACATATCTCCAGGGGAAGTTTTAGGGACAAACAGGATTGATTTGAAGGTGACCTCTCCCTCAGCGGTGAAGTGAGTTTTGGCCATAGGGTCTTCGGAGTCACGACTGAATGACTTGTAGAACTCATTGTACTCGGAGTCCTCAATCTCGGAAGCCCTGAATGAAAAAAGACAAGTTTGACATGAAAACATGAAAATAGCTACTTTACATGTCAAAAATATGGAAAGGATTAACTTTCACTTCTTAATTTAATTGTTCCATGGAATAAAGTACATAACAGGGTCTAAGTTGTGATTTTTAAATGTTTTCTATCACTATCTTCACATATCATTTGTAATTTCACAATAAACTGTACACATAATCACTTGTATTTCAGCCAGTAGGTGAGACATTGTCATTTTGTTTATTAAAAAGAGTGAAACTCATTTCTAAGCACACAGCTTTTTTCCATACAAAAATTGCTCTTCTGCAATGTTATTTTCAGTGAGTTTCAGATGCCCTTTAAGTCACTTACTTTCTGGTCCAAAGGGGTTTGTTCTCATTCATGAGGACCCAATCCCAAGTGGTCTTTTCAACCTTCTTGGTCTTTGGTTTATCCTCTTCCTTCTCCTCTTCAACCTTAGCTTCATCTTCATCCTCATCAGCTTTCTCCTCCTCAGCATCAGCTGGCTTCTCAGCCTCCTCTTCATCTTCATCAATGGGCTCCTCGACTGTTTCAGTCTGAAAGGTTCAAGTGAGTAAAAGTTAAATAAGCATAAATCAGTAAAGTTAAATGCAAGTAAAGGATAAATTGACAAAAGAAAGAAAGTAACTTTTTGGAAGCCAAGTTAATATTTTGGCATTATTTTGGCTGTTAACATTCCACATCACCTTGAATTAATGAATATGATAAGATATCATAAATATTTGGCGCAAATAACGGAAAATGATAAGCTTTACCATACTGACCATATCACGCAACTATTATACTTTATATGGCTAACTGAAATGTACAGACATTTATATTTTGAATGGTTTTTCTGAATAAATATTATATCAAATCTTGAATGAATGTGTACCTTGCTCTCCCAGATGTAGATGTTGAAGTTGATGAACTGACTGTATTTCTTCACAAGGTCTTTTAGAGAGTTTGGCTCAAGGAAGTCATGGGCTTCTTCCTTCAGGTGAAGGCTGAAATAAAAAAAATGAAAATAATGTAGTATATGATTATTATTTTCCTTAACTGTAACTTCCATTTTTGTTAAAATTATTTAAATGTTTTATTCGATTAACATTTTTATAGCCTATTAAGAGGTAGTAAGATTGTGAAGCAGACAAATGCAATATAATTTATGTACAACCCAAAATCAGCCAATGATTATTTCACTTGTTGGCACACAAAACATGTGGTGTGAGAGAACACCCAGAGAATACATCAGTAACTTACCTGATGGTGGTACCACGGGGCAGGGTGTTGCCACGGGGATCCTTAGCGATAGAGAAAGAGCTAGCATCTGATTCCCAGATATATTGGTCATCATCATTATTTTTGGAGGTAACCACGACAGTGTCAGCAACTGAAGAACAATCACAGTATGTATGTTGGGATCAGATGGAGTGTGAGAATAAACATATACTATTCCTACATATACTGTTCCCGCAATATTCCTACTCTTTACATCCTTTAAACTACAATGTGGGTAGATTTAAATGAGAGGACCTTGATGAAATACTAAACATATTTATATAGATCAAATCTTATACTCTTTATTTCAAACATTTGAACATCATTTCCCTGACACAATTGATGACTCAATATCATCTTCAATATTTACATACCTAAGAAAGAGGAGTAAAATCCAACTCCAAATTGTCCGATAAGATCATTCATCTCGACACCTTCAGATGAGCCATCCTCCATTTTCTTCAAGAAGTCACTAGTTCCAGACTTAGCAATCGTTCCGAGATTGTTAATGAGATCATTCCTTGTCATACCTATTCCAGTATCTGTGACGTGTAGGACATGATTTTCTTTATCTGCCTAAAATATCCAAGACAACAAGAATAAGAAAATTATCAACCAACAAAAAAAGAAAAAAACTGATATATCTGCAGTCTAGATGTAAGCCACAATAGCTTAAAATGTACATTGATTGCAGCTAAATAACCTTACTCAAAAAGATTTTTAAACTCAATTTGTTTAAGAACATTAAAAATATGCCTTCAAGCATGTAACAAACGTTCAATCAATAACTCTAAACATAAGATTAAAAAGTCTCTTACCTTTATTTTTATAGTCATTTCATCTGTAGCTTTTAGCGCATCTGGATCAGTTAGAGATAAAAATCGTATTTTGTCTAGCGCATCTGAGGCATTTGAAATTAACTCTCTAAGGAAGATCTGAAATCACAAAAACATGGGATTTAGTAATTTTACATCAAGATTGTCTTGTTTTTGCCAACAATAGTTAGCGTAATCTATGTAACAATAGCAAATATATGGCAAGTATAAACATCATGGATCACGAAAACATATAATTTAGTAAGGCTAAATTACATCAAATTACATGATAAGAAGGTTCACTTTACAATCCTGTTTAATTTCAAGTCTCAATTTATCAACCTATGGGTAATATAGCCTCATAATCAATTACTCTGAACCGGGAAAAGGTAACAAGGCATTAGCATGCAGAATGTCACTAACTGCCATTTGTTACAGACGCTGACTGCCAAATGCTGTTACAGTCACCGAATACCAAATGCTGAACACAAAAGTTGGAGACTATAACAATATGTCACCACTTGTGGTGATGACAAAAATTTCAGTTCAAAAATTCAACTAAAATATTGATTGGTTGGTACATGCCAAACACAATTTTTTCCAATTTCCAACGTGATGCAATTAGGCGAGAAACTGTGAAAGGGAGTATTATAGGCAGTCTAACCAGAGAACTGTTCTAAAAAGAATAGCTATAAACCTGTAAATATAATTCCACACTGGCTGCAATTAATGACAAAGAATATTATAAAACATAGTCCGACAGTCAAGTAAATGCTTGACATCGACCAACTTTCATAATACTGAAATTGCAAAATTTCCTTGCCATTTTTGTGAGATATAAATGAAATAGGCATCGTTTTCTAAACATAGGTTAACATCTGACATTTTAAAGTTAACGGAAGAGGGAATTCAAGAGTGTAACATCTATAAGTAAACCCTGATGTAGAAACACCTTTGTATCTAAGTACACTTGGGAGGTGTTCCACTTACAGAGGATCATTTAACAATAAGCTGATAGATTGCAGGACATTTAAAAGTGTTCCAATTATGGAGGTGTTCCATTTGCAGAGTGTTCCACTTTACAGGTTTTACTGTACATAATATACAGCCAAAAAGGGAGAATCGAAATACCATAATCATACCAAGGACTGATCCGAGCGACATAATGCCCACGATGCATTTGCTTTATACATATCTCAAATCATAAAACCTTGGTAGATGCATTTGCTTTATACATATCTCAAATCATAAAACCTTGGTAGTCTTGTTATGACCATCTGCAAATTAGGATTCATTATTGCCTATCATAACTGCTGCGAGTTCATTTAAGTTGCAAGGGGTAACTTAATACTTTACAGAGCTCCTGGAGTGATATTCATAGCTCAAAAAGTAATTTTTATCTAGGTCAAAAAGTGATTTTCAATAGCACATAGTATAATAGCAATCCTCATACAGAGAGATAGAGAAATGGTGGAGCTATTATAGCTTATATAGCAGTCCCTTTTTAGAACAATCCTTCCTGTGTGTTATAACAAGCTACATGTTCTTGATTAATTGCTTGTCCATTATTCTTTACTTGAAGAAAGTACTTAACAGGAGAACAACAAACTAACATCTGGAGAAGTATCTTTCACAAACAACTACTCTCTTTATTAAATGCCCAGTTTGACCTCTGACTTGCTTCTGACCTGCTTCTAGTTTCTACAAATACCTCATGCTTTTACTTAAACCTGCACATCGCTCCAAAACGCAATATGTTGACATATATTGTTTTTACATTTTTAAGCTCTAATATAAAGTTTATGTAAATAAAAATTGTTTTTTTCTGCGTTATATCAAAGAACAATCATTTCGTTAAAAAAAACAAAAAGGCGAATGCGGGATTCGAACCCGGGCCTCCCGCGTGCTAAGCGAGAATTGTACCGCTAGACTACGGTGTTATTATGCAAGGTGGAAGTAATTAAACGCTACTTATTTTAAAAGCTATGATTCGGAAGTGACGTCACATTCTTCATTTAGAAACCTTTTCAAAATCATATCGTCAGCGCCGATCGAAGCAATTCAATGAATAATCTTTGAAATGACACATTTAACGTAAGTATTTCTACACAAGATTTGCCCCATTTGTTCATCATTCTATAATCTTTCATTAAGCTCAAAATGATAAAGTTCACCCCCGAAACAACCCAAGATTGCGTTTTGGAGCGATGTGCAGGTTTAATAGTCTTATCTCCAATGAAATGACCAGAAATGAAGGTGGTGCCTAATATATCATGGTATTTCATTAATTAAACCACTTGGTTACTGCTTTTATTAGATGTAAACAGATCTAGTCTCTAAGTGTGAAGGTCATCACATGCTTGTATATTAGATCATATTAAACCACCTAATTGAGACTTTACTAGCCAATATTAGTTATTCCTTCATAATATGATAACTACGAGAGCAAAATCGGCTACAAGATCAACGTTTTGTTTTTGTTACTTCAAAATTATGAAGATAGTGGAGTTTTCTTTTCCAAGATTTATTCCCAGTGGACACTTAACATAGTGCATGCTCTTTACTCTACTTGAACACTTCAATCAGAAAAATAATCAGAACGATGATACTAGCACCATTTTAGCTAAGTAATAGACAGAAAATATCTTGGGTTTCATAGTATAAGTACCTGAGCTAAAGGCTGGCACATTGGTCATCCAGTTAATATTTTTTTTTCTAGGTTTATAAAACAACAACATAAATAGGTCGGCAATATAATACATTTTGGCCCAGCGGTTTCTAAAAAATACTTTGTTCATTCTAGGTCTCCTCTGCTCAAAAAGATCTTGGATCATGCCAATTTACATATGCATTCTACATTGGCATTCTGATACTCATAACATCTTTCTGTTTCACCATGGCTGAGAAGAAATATGAGATGTCATCGTTTATCATAATGAGCATTGACATGAGATTCATTAATCTTCTCTTCCTTTGACTCCCGGGTGACGATGGTCTCGTAAAACATCATAAATGTATATTTATCAGTACCATTTCATGATGTAGGATGAACCAGATAAAATATCAGCACAAGGGAGATATCAAAATTCAGATAATTTAAGATAGTCAATAAATTAAGAACTATGCAGGGCTTCGTGACCTTGATATGAAGGTCAAATGGAAATACCAACTTTAGTTAATAAAGCAAGTACCCGTCCTCCGAACGCAGTGTTCCAAACATCACCCACTAAGTTCCTTCCTTCTTCCAAGAGAAGGAGGTACGGGTTCTGGAGGCCTGTGTTCAGAGGATGCAAATACCCTATATCATCATATCACATATTCAGAGATACAGATACATGAAGGTAAGATAAATATCTAAGATGATGGGTCCTGTTTTCTAATTTACTCAATACACAGTTTACATACCTGATCTATGTAATTTTAATCTTGATACTAATAGCCAGATTCAGCAGCTAAATAATCACAAAGATAATATTCTTAGACACACCTACATTTATGTTATCATATATTAACATAGCCAGACTCAGTACAACCACTAATCTGAAGCTGCATGGATACATATGTTTATTTCTGGTTATTAATAAAATCAGTCCATCAATTCCTTAGAAATGATCAGCTGTTTTCTCCTAAGTATTTCCCAAGCATTGAATTCGTAAGAAATGCTTACTTCTATTTTACCTATTATGATCTTTTCCTGAGTGTGGTTAGGCAGTCTTGTAATCATGTTGGCAAGGAATTTAATATGTTCCTTTATTTGAGTTGAAATTCTTGCAGATCCAGAGCATGATCTGTGCCAAGATCTGATTGTTTTAGGTGTTCTGGGCAATGAAGGATGAGCAGTTTAACTACATAAGATAGAGAACAACATAATATTAAGCCTGATACTGGCAGAAACTAACCACCCATTTCTTGATTATCATAGCTAGTAATTTTCCATGTCACAATGTAACTCAGAGACCAACACAAGAATAGACTTGGAAACTGTTTTGTACCAAGAGCTTAGCACCTGTACACCACCTCTCTATTACTCTGGAAGTATAAGAGGGAGGGGGTACAGGGGCTATAGACCAAGCCTGACCAAAATTTACAGACCACAAGATACAAAATTTTGTTTGAACCAAGCAGGTATAGATCCTCTCAACCATGACACATTGATGATAGAAGCATTCCATGGATCAACTAAAACATGGCTGCCAAGGTTAAAAATATATATAAACCAGAACTTATAAAAAAGTCAGCAAGGAAAAATCAAAAACATCATATCCTATCATATGAAACAACTGAAAACCAAAGGACTTAATTAATAATTTAGAGAATATAATTTCAAGACAGCTGGAGTGATACAGCAGCAAGAATATGATCACTGAGATATATGGAGAAGATCCAGCCAAGAGTTAATCACACTATGTGTCCTTGCAAACATCTTCCAAGATCAAGGTCTCTCCGAATATCTATTGCTTTTTGTTCTTACATCAAGACAACATCGACTAATCAACTATCAATTTGTTTCTAGATGGTAATCAAAGATGTATTAAAACTGTGCATATTTATATTTTCTGGCAATATGGTTTGTTTCTTTGCAAGGGTGATGCTGCAAATGAAGGTAAATATAGCATCCATACATCTGAGCACTCACACATTCTGATACCAGCTCATGACCTTTAACATTCTCTACAGAGAAACTGCAGAATACTGAACGAAAATAAAGATCATCTAATTATATTTGAAACTGTAAATGTACAATGATTCAACATCATCTGTGTACAAAACCAGGTGGCTCTAACAAATTCAGTTGGTAACCCCCCTCTTAGGAGAGGCCATAGTTGAAAAGATTCAATTTGCTGCAACATTTGGGATTGTAAATTATCATAATATGGCATACACATTATTCAATCACAATTCCTGGCAGAGATATGGATTATTTCAGAGGTCATGAAAAACAAAAAGTTCATTGTCTATGGTAGCATGCCAAGACAATGCCTTCATAAAATTCCAAAGAGAAATTCCCAAATGATTAATAAAAAAATATGATCTATGATAAAAGCCAGTACAAATTGGTTCTATTAGAAGCTGTAGTCTTTAAATCAGAGGGCATTGGCAGGAAAACAAGATAAGCTGATGAACTGGTGTGCTTCTAAGCTAAAACACTAAATAATAATATGTCTTGGAGGCTATAAAAGCACAATGTTGTGATTTCCTTTCAGGTGTAGGCTTTTTGTTTCCAGATTAGCATCAAGAATTGACTTCTGTCTAGAAACTTCTGAAAATGCCATGGTGTTCTAAAAGAGCTTAATAAACATGATTGGCACAAATGCAACAAGTTTTGGACATTTCTTATCTGGTAGAATGATAAATTTGTAACCAGTTGCTGGTGAGAATACTGAAGCCTGCCATGTGAGAGCATTATTGTAAGAGCAATTTTGAAAAGACCATCATCTGAGAGTATCATTGTAAAGATTGTCAGTATGAGTGGAGAGATAAACCTGATACAAGATTTCTTCTGAATGAACTTAGCCTGAACAATAGACTTTAGTGAACCTGTTTTTTGAAGTCTTGTATCAAGTCTCTGACCCTTACCAACTCTCCTATAGTCCAGTTGTGACCTGAATACACCTCACTACTTGGAGGTTGGTCTAGAGGCTTGACTCAAGACTAACTACACTACTCAGTGTTTGTTTGTGTGTGTGAATGGGGGGGGGGGGTACAACATAGGTGCCTAATCCAAGACTAGAGGCTGCTAATATGTAATATAGACTCTCTGTTGTAATTAATCATCTGCCATTAACATTAATCTTGATATAACTCAGGGGTATTCAACCTAACAATTCTGATCAGAATAACATCAAACAGACTGCCAGTAATTACATTTTTAATCTTAGAATATCCCATAATATTGAAAAAATATAATATCGAACCATCCAACTGATTCTTCAAAGTCATGATGTAAGAAATACAGAAATGCATCCATTTTGAACAAGATCTCTTTCAGATTGGGCAATGGCTTTGTAAATTTAGCATGTGTTGGCTAAAGTAAAGTGGCAAGATGATTCAATACCAGCGCAGGTCAATGCACCCTGCGTTGAACCATATGAGTACCTGGTATACACATGCGGCTCAACTACCACCCCTCTTCCAGCCAGCATTTCACATGTTATTGTGATAACAAAGCAAATCAGAAAACAAGACTTTCAATGTTACAAACAAGTTTTTTGAGAGATTTGTGCTTGGCTATGATGATGGTAGAAAATGTAAAATGGAATACCTGTATGTAATGGTATACATATGAGACAGCTGTGGGAAATAAACCTGTACATGTTTACCTCAAGCCTTTGATAGGTATTACAATTCTGGGTATAACATACAGGTATCAGAGAGCTCGTTGAACAAATATATATACTAGTATATTAGACTTCTGTGCTCAACACATAGGTCTGTGTTGCAAATATATAGGTATTAGACTTCTGTGTTCTATAAAGGTATGAGACTTTAATGTTATATAATTAGACTTTTGTGTTGCATGGTTATTAGGCTTAAATATGATATTCACATTGATTCTTGTGTTGGAAAATTAGATTTCTGTGTTGAATCAAAGTTTCTTTATTGAATGAGCAGCTAAACAAACAATTCTCTTCTCTAATGTTACTTATCCAAAATCACAGGGCCTCTTACTGACTATTTTTTTACAACAAAGGGAGAAGCAACAAACAACAGCGAAACTGTTTACAGGTGTGCAATTTGTTCACTTAGGATAACAAGATGCACATTTCTCACAAATCTCCTCTCTGCATGAAATATGGCCACAAAAACAATCTTCCATTTTGGTCAATGTTTCAAAACTAATCCACTCAATGTCTCTCTAAAACATGAGTTGTTCCATTTCTACAATATTGAGAACCAATGGTGGTTGACTATAATCCAAGTCATATCCACATATATTCTAATTTTTCCTGTGAAGTAGAGGGGCAATAAATAATCTAAAATATTATTTCAAAGCTGCCAATTCGCGCCTTTCATCAATGTTACAGCAAAAAAAAATCATGGTGATATGTTGCTATTCTCAGGTGCCAAAAGATACAGTATAACAAAAGTGCCGTTTCTTACCTCCTTATTTTTGTATAGTGAGTTTATAATAAGTTTCATCATTCGATTGACCTCAGCCTGGAATGTATGTTTTTCTGCTTGGTCGCGTAGTTCCTTCATTTGGGCGACGTTGAGGCCATCTAGTTTAATGGCCTCCTCTTCCCTGAAAACAGACAGACATAAGTATAAGCTGGATGGCATTCATTCAGGTTACATTTGGCAAAATATTCTGGTCATAGAGGAACTGTTAAGTGGTGATGAACAAGTGATTAATCGAACTAGCGATTAATGAATGCTGGGGGAGTCTTGCGACAATTTGCTAAAACAACCCCTTTATCTACTTCTCTATTAGAGACTCCTGGAGACGGTTGTATGGTCTGAAGGGATGGATGCAAGACTATCGAAGGAAAGGCTCATCATTCAATATGTCAGTTGTGGATCTTTTAATATTCCATTATCAGGGTTCACGTCTGATAAACTTAACACTTAAAGTTTCAAACCCTGCGTAAGAATTTTTCTTTTTTTTGGGGGGGGGGGGGGGTGGTTCATCAAAGAGGCGAATTTTCTAATGTAACCTACTACATGTATGTAAAACCTGTTCAATCTGAAAATAACTAAGATTGGCACAAAGTGTTCAGAATTGTAAGTGTTTACATTTCAACGTTACTTCAATGGTAGATTTGTTTAACAAGGGAGTCAATGGAAAATTAGAACTGAGAGAAAATGTTCATATTGAGAGGTGTTCGCATTTCAAAGTTACTTCAAAGGTAGATTACAAAACTGGAACTGAGAGAAAATATTCATATGAATTATTCACAGTCTTTATTGTCTCTTGCAACCATTAGATAATGAAAATGGGCTCCGATAAAACACTACTGATGAGCAATGAGAAAATAATAATCTATTTCACAGTTAGTTCAGTAAATTCCACTTGCATTCTGACTGGGTCAAGATAACCCAGGAACTTATATAACTACATCATTTCAACACTAGAAGAGGGCAACACATCATACTTCTTAGAGATAGATTAAAGTCATTCTAATTATACATTTCTTCTATCTTTTGACTACCTGATATTGTGTTTTATAAATTGGTTGCCTAAATGCTTGTTACTTTATTCCTTGCCGATACCTCTCCTTTCCCGTGTTTCATTTTACTTGTGAATGATTCCGCTTTTTAATCCCTAAATGTCTTCACATACGCAAATTGAGATAAATAATGCTATTCCCCCATGGCTAGAAGATGTAGAAGAGATCAACTTTATCGAAATTTTGGACATGGATGACTGAGTTATAAACTAACTGAAAATCAAATGCCATGAACAAAAAGCATATTTGTTGAAAGTGCTGATCTACAGGCTGACATTTTTATTTGTCATGCCATGAAGCGATTAACACAGGCAAGTTAAAGCACTGTCCAAGGAGGATTGGCTCCCAGAGTGCAACATCGATATTCTGTCCCATATATGGGCATGTCGTGCTACAAAATTTGAATTCCAACAGCCGCCATTTTGTTCACTTCAACATTTGAATCGTGAATTTTGGTCTTATTTCCTAACGAAAAATTCCAAAACTCACAGGAAATGATCGAGATATTGGTTCGAATCTTTTGAACTGTTTATTTTGAATTTATAATCGGTTAAAATTTCAGAAAATAACGACATCTCGGCGTTTTCATTGTTGGAAAATATCGACTTCGATTCTGGGAGCCAATCCTCCTTGAGCACTGTCTATGTTTTAAAACAATATGGGGGCTTTAATCCATATGAAATGAATGATATTGATCAGTAATATACTGCCAATAAAACTGACAGTTGAATCTGTCACCAAGGAGGATTGGCTCCAATGATTGCAACTCAACGATGCAAATGTCAGATTGTCATTATTTTCAGAAATCATAACCGACTATAAATTCAAAATATACAGTCCAAAGGAATCAAACCAATATCTCGATCATTTCTTGTGAGTTTTGAAATTTTTTGTTTGAATTTTGAAATCACGACATCTCAATTATGGCAAAAATATCGTTGTTGCATTCTGGGAGCCAATCCTCCTTGATCTGTCACTGAAAAATGTTCACAACCTTAACATGCTCATATATTGAAAAAAAATTCTACTTCCTCACTACCCCCCTCTGAAATATCTAACCTCATGAGAAATGATAAGCTGCCAAATCTGGAACACATTCTATTTACCACATTTCTATTTACCACAACAAAAGCTACATTCTTGATGTTAGACCAGGTATTTCCATAAACAGAGAAGATTTTCTCTAACATCAAATTCCTGATAATCTATTGAGGTGTAAGGTAGCATCATAGGCCATCATGACATCGACTACACTACATTAACAGACTTGTGATCAAAATTGATTGATATTTATGGCTGATTGCATCGAATAAATATCTTCAAATAACACATAATCAACTGGTTAATCTTGTAGATCAATTGAGCGAAAATACCTTATTTTATAAGACTGAACATAGAGGAACAGAGGGAACGAGGGGGGAGGGTATCAGTATTCTCACCCTCAACATGATTTGTGGCCTGGGGACATTTTGAAGAACTATAGTTATGTCTAGTGTTAGATTTTATGGCCATATATTCATATCTCCAAGCAAATAACATACTCCATTACCAGTTTGATTTTCAAACTTCATACCTTGGTAATCCAAAGCAAATAACCCAGGTGATGGAGTAACTTGTTACAATAAATGGTCTATGTAACTTCTAATACGATATGCACAAGCAGGTGCCAGTAGGTAACATAATAATCAACAAACATTTGATCATTTGGAAATCAAAAATAGTGCACTAATAAATCAAAGTGTGTAGATGCATTTCTAGCTGCAGTAGTGTTGTATTCGTTAGAATGATCATAAAATACAAGGGGCAACAATTGAAGAACACAAATACTCAATAATCCACAAAACAGTTGATGATACAAGACTTGAAGATTTAGTCTAATGGGATATTGGATCAAGTCCCGAAATTATGCTGGGTTGAAAAAGATAGGGAAGAGAGAGATTGTTTTTAAGGGTTCTGACGTAATACAACGTAAGGCGAAGAAGGCCTGGTGTTCTGTTAATAGCTGAAAGCACATAGAAAATAGAAATACACCTGTGTATTATGAGAAGTAAACATGCTAAATTTGCTACATATAGTTATCAATACATGGTATTGTTCATGTTTTCCAAATGGAATCCTACCATACTATTAAAGTAAACAAGGGATGAAGAATTTTGGGGAAGTGAATGTGTTTATTACCTCACTTATGATAGCAAATTCTTCAGCTAACTAACAGGAGCTTACATCATGTATACATACTTGTATTACGACAATATGTACATGTAATTAGTAGTTATATATTTCACAACACATACATCTACTTATACATACAACTTATTGCAAAAACCAAGAAAGGATTAATTTCTAATCTTGCACTATGCCCTTGAAGTGCTACCCTATGAGTCTATGTAGAATTTATGTAGAGAACAAGATTGAGAGGAATGATAACAGACCCGATACAAGACTAGACCATTTCCAAAATGCCCCAGCCCGACAACATAACATTAGGTGAATTGGTCAAATCTTTACTTGAATAGTATTTTTATTGCAGCAGGTAAGGATGAGACCCCATTGCTTAATTATCCTGGAATTTCATAGTTTTGCATTTATTTATCCCCATTATCCATTATCCAACACAGGTCATCAGTAAAGGGAGGGGGGACTACCAAGATCTTAGTATTGCATCAAGACTAGTCACACCCTCATTTACTTCTAAACCGTTTGTAGAGAGTATAAGGGGGAGAGGGGCTTTATGCAAAACTGGATCTTAATTTTTCCCAAGCTAACATCAAACATGGCCAAAAAAGTCAAAAATTGTATGCTACCTTTGAACTGCTTCATCGTCTGTTTTTGACCCATCCCTGCTTTTTCCTATATCTTCTTCTACTGTTTCATCTTCTGCATAGCAACCACCTGTAAATAAATACAAAAACTGAGTAACCATAACCAAATGAGTATTTATAAGTCTATTCCACTGACAAGAGATCAAAAGAATTTAATTAATTGAGGATCACTGAAGGTAAAATTCACCTTTCCCTTTAAATGTCAATCAGGTATGACATTAATAAAGATGAACTGGTATAATGTGCAGTACACATAAAGCCACGTCATGTTTAAATGATGAATGTGTAAGGGTATTAAACAACAGTGTACATGCATTGTTCAATAAAACAATCGTATCTTTTTTTATCAATCAATAAATAAATTTTGTTTAATTAAAAGTGTCACATGACGTATGTATGCTGCTCAATGTATACATCCTTCAATCACAGCATAAAATGATAACAGTTGCAGTCTACACTGAACACTAATTGCACCTGAACTGTAGTGACTGTCAGGATAACTATTATCATTACATTTCATATAGAATATTCCAGAAAAATTAATTACACATTTAATTGATTCTACGTTAATTAGTTAGGCATAAATGCCTCCAGCAATAAACGAAGTTGTATCCAGGCATCAAATAAAGTATATGTGATGTCTCATTCCCCATATTACTGATTTCAAATTTAACAAACTCTTCTCGCATCTCGTTTCCTAGCAACATCTGAGGTTTTCATGAAGATGATTTTTACTCTATCTGTAGATGCACTAACCACTTTAAAGCACATTCTTTAACTTGATAATGATTTTACAATACTTGTTCCATATCAAATCAAACCACAAGAAATGATACAATGTTTTTAGTGATAAACCTGCAACATCTGACGTTTTTATAAAGTAAGATGATTTTTAAAGTCATCTGCAGATGTACTAATTACTCTACAGCTGCATGATTTATTTCTATTGTACTATTACAGTATTTGATTTAATTTAGATTGAACCATAGGAGATGATGAATGAATTTGGCGATCAAAGGGAATTATGCATTTGTCATTTTCCCAGGCATTTTCCTTGTATTCTTTGTGAAAATCAAAGAAAGTCATCTAGATATCCACATGTAATAGCAGGATAATCACTGATCACCTTAGACAGAATTTGTCGTATCAGTAACTGGACATACATTTAGATCTATTGACTAAGCTCACAGTATTAAAAAGCCAAATGAAACTGAAATTGACTCCATAAATGTGGAATTTGGAGGAATTTTTGTTGACGACTGACATAATAGAAAGGGGGTAGCGTCAATATTCTTACATATCTGAATATAAAGTTGAGGTTCTAAATATGGCATTGCAGTAAACCTTAGGCTGTATAGATGAAATCTACACTGACTGCAACAGATAGAAAGCATCCTAAAAATAGAACTGCATGAAAAAATAAAAATGGTGCATAAATTTCGAACCGGCAACCTTGAATACAGAATAACGGAAAAACTACACAATATGCGAACACAAAAATATAACAAAATACTAACCTGCTAATAGGAGAATACCCAGTAGTCCTAAAAGAAGGAATTTCCGCGACATGACGGAGAAATCTCTAGTTCTTTGACGGAATTTTCTAAATGTCCGTCGACTTCCTGGACAACGTGAAGTTTGTGAAGAAGGGGGCGGAGTTTCCTAGTCTTTGTCCAATCAATGCTCACCACGAGTCCCCACGTGTGCAAAATGAGCCAATCAAGTTTCACCAAGTAAAAGTCACTAGGCTTTTTCTGATTGGTTATATATCTAGGTTAGGAAATCCCTATCCAGATTCGGGGGCCACCCAGAATGCACTGAGGCCAAAGGTTTCATTTCCGGTTCGTGATTTCATATTTGGGTGAGTCCGTTTTGTTTATTTCTGTATTAAACTCTAATTTAGGATATATCGTAAGTATGATGGTTTTCAACATTCTGCCAAGTTATTGGTGAGTTTATTTTATATATTTTTGGCAGCTGTCCTACGGTGTTGGCGTAGTTCTATTGCTTAAAACAGTAAATGTTTGGTTGCTAACATTTTTTTGAAAAATAAAAATATTTTTGGACTTTTGAAAGTTTTTACTTACTTTTCATGTACAAATCAACTGGTACAAATGCCTCTACAATTCAATCTTCTACCTAATAGCTTTACGAGTTATTCGCTTTGACCAAGACTAAGCTTGCATAGCCGAAATCACTGACGATTTGACTGCTATTTCATGTTCAAATCATATGATTGACCCACATTTTATTAAAAAAAATTAGACACAGTTCTAGAGATTTTTTCGTAAAAATAGAACATACATTTTAACTAATTTCAATGAAAAAGCGACACACTTTAGCGACATGTCTCATATAGACTAGCTAATATATGGTGGTACCACTCCTGGGATTACTAAAACATTTTACCATATCATGGGCTTTCATAATCTGTTGAATGACCATATCATTACCAACATAAGGGTTAGTTGATTTTTTGGCTCTGATTTTCGTTTTTTTCAAATTGATGTGAGGATGCAGCTTTTTATTTTTTATTTTAGTAATGAAAGGCATTTCATTATTTTTGTGCTTACCAAAGCTAAAACAGTACCCTTTGCATTCATTTGACTTCACTCCTTAGAAGAGAGCTTCATCTTCACTCTTTCAAACTAAAATAAACCTGTGAACTCACCGCGCCAATCAGTGTTCGTCAGCCAAATTTGACCGACGTTCTATATATAGTCATTCCTTCTGACGTCATCGTTGAGCCCGGAATTGACCAATGACATGTGCATATTTAATTAGAACGCATTTGGCGTATGTTTCTTCAAGCTCACTGATTGGTGGAAGAAAGGTCAGCGCGTAGGTCAGAAGTGATTTACTACCCGGACTGTCACCGGTACCTGTCGTGGGGCCGGGGCTACTTAACTGTAATATGGTCTCTCCTAGGCAGAGTGTAGTTTAACTAGACTCTGCACGCAGGGTACTAAAACAGATGCACATTGAAATAGAAATAACAATTATTCTGATGCAATTTCTTGTCTAGCTATATAATTAAAAATGGAGAAAACCCCTGAAAATATGTAGAATTAATATATTCAGATAAATTCTTCATTTCGAGTAATTTTTGGCACTAATGGTACTAGTCATATTTATATAGCAATTTCTCTTCATGATCAATATAAGCAGATGCATGTACAGTGTTATTTTTGAACACAAAGGTAAAAAATAACATCCACATAGTAGTCTAAACTAGTGGTGTAACTCGAATGCCAGTACTCGCCACTCACTTGTTGAACCAAGATATTTACATGATTTTTCAGACCCAAGTAGAAAAGTTTTATTATTACCCCAGCAATGTTTTTTTTGTATGAACTGAACAAAATCAAGTATCGAGTAAGGAGGCATTTTTGCAAGTGACACTTGATCACAGTGTCATTTTTACACTTTCTACTTGTGTTGCATTTTTACTGGTGAGTTGCACCACTAAACGGTGTATGCATAATGCACCATAGGAATAAGAACCAGAGGGTAAACAACAGAATTCCTGTATCAATGATTTTGTCATTAATATAATAATGTATTGATAGAGAATAACTTTAACTTGAATTTTTACTTAATGACATTTCTGCTATATATAATACCTTCCAGAATGATAACTTACCCATCCCTGTCTAAATGTCTGGGAAATTTCAGCAAAAGTTTTCAATATTTCTTTTTATCTGAGTAATATCTGTGAACTGTGAGACTACTTTTTAATGTGATGCTTTTCTTTTTTTTCATATTACATTAAAAGTGAGTTCATACTACAGAATATCTGTTAAAATACATAATTTTCCACTGTTATTTCTTTTCTGAATTTCGTTATGGTGATCTGGACCTACTGAGCTTTGCCAATTTGACCCTTGCAAAAAGTTTCATTGAAAATATTTTGTTTTAGTGATTTTATATTTTTTACGTTACATGGAAGAACATATTTTGCAATATATGAAAAGAATTTAAGCCTTTGACTCTTAATGCATTATGGAATGACCATTCCTTTAAGGCATTGTTTCCTAAAATTAACACTTGATGCTTTAGCATCTCATGCAAATTCTGGAGAGCAACACCTTCAAGAAATGGTCATTCAACATTGCACTGAGTCAAAGCCTTAAATCCTTAAATATCCTGGAATGTTCAAGCTATTCTGCATTTCTTGCTTTATTCATTAATTTGTCTGAGATAAGGTTTATATATTTTTGAAAATGAATAAACTGATCGAGACAGAGATTTCTTCAAAGTTTTTCTTTTCCCAAGTTAAGTGGGAGAGTTAGTTAATTTAATAGATATTAGATCTACCCTTGGTGCAGGGGTTAGTTTTAAAGTAACCCATCTGTCAGTGGCTGTCATAGCCAGTCAGGTAAATAATGACTTCAGTGGAAATGGCCATATTAAGAAGTACACATTCTTTAGGTGTGTATAAGCTCTATAATATGCAATTTAATGCAGTGTCAAGTTCATTGTAATACATGCGTCACCTCTTGAACACCCTTTGCTAGAGTTGTCATCATCGTAGACTCTTTATATTACTGATACCTTTATAATCCTGCTGAGCCAATCATAACCTGTTGTCTCTCAAAGGCAGTTCTTTATATAAGTAAGATTAAGAAGATTTTTTGTGGCTCTGATTGTTAAACACTAAAATACGAAATGATCAGTAGTAGTCAGAGAGGGGTATACTGCAGCTGATGAGTCAAGGGTACCACTTGAAGTAAGGGCAAGTTAACTGGTAAGTGTTTTCATGTCTGTTCAGGGATATACAGGATGTTGTCTTTAAATATAACCATTATTAACTTGTCTTTGATAATTTTATCTAAATGTCTAGTCTTAAACCAACGTAAATCAACAGAGAGTTGTGACTCTGAAGATTATATATATTTCTTAGTTAAGTGATCTTAAATGAAAGTTAAGTCAAACAATGGGATCATTCCTATTCTGCAGTTGTTGACCAGAATGTCAAAATTGCAAACAACAAGATGACATATTTGGCACTAATCTAGGACAAACTTTTCTTCATTCTTGGCACGAATTAAAATAACCAGTAATACCAAAAAACAATTGCATGTACTTTTGGAAATTAGCTCATTGTAAAATTAATTCATAATTATTAAAGAACTGCTATTGAATTCACTTAATTCAGGGTATGTGTCAATCATCTTTTTCAATTTTATCATGAGAGAAATATCCCCAGCATTCCATAGCAATTTTTAGGTGTTTTGTTTCTATTGTACTTTTATGTAAATAATGCCATGCCTTGTTATTGCGACAAACCCAATGATATCACTTTGGCCTGTTATCACATCACTATATATTAAAATCATGAATGACTTTAAGATAGAGGGGATATGACGTAGTTTGACTTACACTCCCAAGAACTCACATGCACCTGTACTTGAAAACTTCCTGTCTGGTGTTTCAAATATTTGCATAAGTTGTGAATTGGAGGTATTGTGAAGAATAAATTTCAGGTACTATATAAAGTCGTCTATTTCATAGCTTGGGTTGAAAGCTCAATCAATTGAGTTGATGAGTTATTGGTTAAATTACTATTTCTTGTTTATAATATATGTCATCCTGGTGTATGAATAAACAAAGGAGATAATTGCTACCAATATAACAATGGCATAATACATGTTTGTGTATATACCTGATACTCAGATTATATACAATACAAGAAATCACATCACACACGCGCACATATTAATATTGAGATATGTCGATAAGATCTGCAATAAGAAGTCCTTTTTATCACACCATCGGTGGGATATAGTCGTCATACTGGTCGTGATCGTGATCGTGATCGTGATCGTCCCGCTTTTTGTCATCGCCGTTTAAGAAAAACTGCTCATCAGATTTTCTCCAAATTCACAGAGATGATAGAGCATATGAAGTACTAGAGCTGATTAACTTTTGGGTGGCCATCTTGTTTTCTGGCGGCCATTTTGAAGGTTTTTCGAAAAATCTTGTCATCGCCATTTCAGGAAAACCGCTCATCGGATTTCCTTCAAATTTACACAAATGATAGAGGATATCAAGTACTAGAGCTGATTAACTTTTGGGTGGCCATCTTGTTTTCTGGCGGCCATTTTGAAGGTTTTTCGAAAAATCTTCTCATCGCCATTTCAGGAAAACCGCTCATCGGATTTCCTTCAAATTTACACAAATGATAGAGGATATCAAGTACTAGAGCTGATTAACTTTTGGGCGGCCATCTTGTTGATCATACATTTTAAATATTACAGGAAACTTGATATAGAAAAGTGTTGTAAATAACTAAATGTACTTTTTTGCTATTTGTTTGTACAAACTGGCATATCTAAAGTTTATTAGCCTTTTATTCAACATAATTAACATACGGTACTTGGAATCACAAAAGGTGTACGCTGTATGGAGGTGTTCGCTATATAGAGGTATTTTATATAAAAGTCAATGGGGTATGATCTTAAAAATTTTGTTCACTAGGGATAAGTGTTTACAATTAAGAGAGAGGTTTTAATTAAGTGGTAGGTTTTACAGCATCATTGATAAAATCATAAACTGAACCAAACTCATCAGATGCTCCAATACTTTTAGGGGCCATCAATCAAAATATTCCAGGAAATGAGTTTATCTTTCATGAAATTCAATTTACCAATATTGCCAAAGCTACATCGTGAAAGTTAATTTGAAATCAGAAATCGTAAATCGAATATATGCTACCCCAGGGCATTCATAGTGTAATCTACTGACACCATGGTCTAATATAGTGAAATGTTGTATGTAATCATGGTATATGTATTTTTTTGGCATCTAAAAATTTCCTGATGAGAATTCCCTGCCATTATTTACCAGCTATACTCAAATTATGATGTCCTGGGATCATTTCCTCTCCCTATAGAAAGACAGCTCATCTGGTGGAGGTCTAATATTGAAAGTAATTTAAGTTGTGTCCTTCCTTCTCAAGTTTCGCCAGTATCGCTACAACATATATGGTCTCACCTAAATATTAATATGAACATTTTACAGTTGGATAGTCTGGTATATTGAACTCTGGTTTTTATATAATTACTTTATTATTCTCTGTCTTTTGTTTCAGACAAGATGGGTCCACCAAAGTTAAAGAGACAATTTAGTATTGCTAAGAAACAATTTGAAGTTCGTCATCCAATTCGGCCTTTTATCAGTTCAACTTTTCTTGACTTTCAACTTGAAAGAGAATACCTTGTAAAAAAGATCTTCCCAACTATAAATGCTGTTTGCCAGGATAGAGGGACATATTTTGCCCCGATTGATCTTCGATGGGGCATAAATGACGAACAAGCAGCATCGGGCCAAGTCCTCCAAATGTGCTTGGACTATATAGCACATTCATCACCATTTTTCATTTGTTTATTGGGAGAACGTTATGGCTCACATAGACCTACTGATAATCCACCTTTACCAGGAAAATATGAGGATCTTCCAGATGATTGTCATTGGTTGGATAAAAATTATATGGTGGCAGCCTCTAGTGGATATGATTGGGTACTTCAGGATGCATATCAAAATTGTAGTATTACGGAACTTGAGGTTATCGAAGCTGCATTTTTGACGGAAGATGAACATTGCTATTTCTACTTCCGTCAGCCCGAGCATACGGATCATCTGTTTACTGAATTACCAGAGGCTGAGAGAGAACGAGAACTTGAAATGTTTCAGTGTGAATCTGACTATGCATCTCAAAAAATTCACGATTTGAAAAATAGAATTGTGAAGAAAGGACTTCCGGTGAAATATTTTAGCACACCAGAACAGCTTGGGAAAATGCTCCTTGAAGATTGGTTGGCTGTCGTTGATGCGATGTACCCGCCATTACTCGATGAGCTTAACGATTACGGTAAGACTAAACATGGGAATAATAGAAGTAATTGGCTTTATTTTGCCTTTATTAATAGTAAATGAGTTGTCCTTTTCAAAGGTATAGCAAGAGCTTCTAAGAATTGTCTTCTGAGAATTGTCTATTATAATAGGATCTGTTCTCAAGGAAGATTAAAGCCTAATGAACACTTCCTTCTTTTGCGTAACTATGGATTTATTATTTATGTCTCAATAGTATTAGACAATGAACCAGTTTAAGACCATGATGGAATCATGTCCTTATATTGCTCGCACTAGCTTTTAAATGAATAATTTATTCTTTATTTCATGGAAGAACTTTTGTAAATATGTAGGGGTCTCACAATTCTAATTCCCTCATTCAGGAATTGTTGCAAATTGTGCAATCAGTATAAGTTTCCCTCTAATCACACCTGCAAATATATAAAAATGATAGAAAAGGTGCTTGAAGTGAAACAGTATAGCAAATTTCAATATAATTAATAATGTGAATCAAATTAAAAAAAGTTTAAATCTCAATATTTGATGATCTGTATCGCCATGGCTATGCTTACATATCATGTTGAAATGAGCAAATGAGAATGCTTCAAAGTATTGTGCGATCCCTAATTGCTAATTTTTGTGTACTATTTTATTACATAGATTTCTCTTTAACTTTTTCTCTTATAAATTCTCTCTATTTCACATATTAGGACCATTGATGACTTCCAAGGATCGAAAATCGAGTATAAGGGAACGAAAATCTAGTATAAAGGATAGAAAATCTAGTATCAAGGATCGAAAATCTAGTATCAAGGATCAGAAATCCCGTCAGTGCAGTATTTATGAAGATATAAGTCCATCTTTGTATAAACAGAGTAAGAAAGCTTTCTGTTGCATTCAATGTAATTGTCTTGCATCGAATCTATGGTCTTTTTTTAAATTGGAGGAGGGTCTAACAGGATTTTTTCTCAACTGATTGCAGAACTTCCAGATCAAGAAATGTTTGAAATAAGAAAAGGTTTATTAACCTTTTTTAAATCCTAACTGTTTGCAATTGATTTTCAATCGGGGGAATGGATTTTCAACTGGGTGGAATTGATTTTCAATCGGGTGGAATTGATTTTCAACCGGGTGCAATTGATTTTCAACTGGGTGCAGATGCTATGTTCAAATTGTCAACTGGGTGCTGAAGAATCCTGGGGATATCACTGGAGATAATTGATGCAAGATATTATCAATATTGCTAGCTTGTAACAATCAGTCCCATAATTTGCCCATAAACCAGGAATTTATTTAATTAATATGCCTATTTATTGTAAATTCCTTGATTCCCAACCCAGCCCCATATTTCTTAAACAGTTCTGTTTGTTTCAGATCTTAAGAATTATGTGATTTGTCAATTATAACACCCTGATTCCCCTCTTATTATTTTTTTACATGAAAATATGTTTGATTTCACAATCATTTTGAGCCTTTCCATTAAAACTTTGTGAAAGATTCTCTTCGACAACATGACTTTTTGCTTTGACTTGTTCAAAATGCAACATTTTTTCTGATCACTTTGGCTTGAAAGAATGTTTTTATGGTTCTTTTTTTTTGCGTGTTAGAAGCATCTTGCAACAGTATGATATTCATACAAAAGTACATAAATATAGCATTCATTCTTGAACTGCAGGCTCCCAGGTTACTGCTCCTATTGATTTCAACATGAGTGTTTTGAACCTGAATCTAGGTACTATGGTTTTAGCTTAATGTTATCTTGAGGCTGTATTTAGCATTGTGGCAGAACAAGGTAATGCCATATGTGCCCATTCTTTATTTGAGAATAAATCTGAAACTGTTTACGAGTGAACACTGTAATTTTAACATGGAAAAAGTAAGTGAAGCAAACTGGAGCATAGTTTTAGTAACTTGAAGTCAAATTAATTGAAATAATTTTTTTGTAAGATGGCAATTTTTTGTGGCAATGTCTTGGGCTAGGAAGGGTTGACTTTATTCACTCAATTACATTACAAGGTGTAATGAATTACCCAATTTAGAAATATACCAGCACTTTCTTATTTTGCATGGTACACTTTTGCTAGAAACATGTTCATTTCTGCGGAACATCTTTATCTAATCCAGAACTAACAACAAATATCTGAAAGAACTACTCGTACTGTTGAAAACACTGATCTTTTCTCTGGAGGGAAATGGGGTCCATATCTTATTAATATAGTTGCAGCTGAGCTAGTGTTGGCCAATGATGTGAAGCTTTTCTATGGCTAATTTGGATTATGGCTCTGGTCTTATCTAGGAAATATAGAAAAAATTCTATTTCAAAATACCCAGGCCCATATTTTTTATAAAAAACAAAAATATAGTAAAATCATTTTTTGTAGGTGTATGTTTTTTTTTTGATTAACCATCAGAAAATGTAATTTATCAACTCGGAATTCTCCAATCCCAGACTATGTTTGTATACCTTATGTATGTTACCATAGCAGCTAGGTCCACAGCAGAATTGTCTCCCAACAGGCACAGGAAATACCAGAGGCAGAGCAGACCAAAGCTATAATTAATCTTACGATTGTAATGTGATATATTATTTGACATCACAATATTTCAATTTTTGTGCAAAAAATTTCAATATTAGCAATGATAGAGCTTGGAACCATATTTCATAATTAGATACATGTGTATGTTGCATTTTATTTTCGAAAATTCAAAAGCATGAGGTTATTCCTAGTATTACATGTATTACATTGAGTAGATTCTTCCTCCTTGTTTGCTGTTTTTTCCATTTCAAAGTTTATAAAAACCAGAGTATGTTACGCGATTATATCAAGAATGTAAAAGCAAAAAACAGAGGTAATCAAAGAAGTATCATCGCCAATTATGAGACCTCTAATTCTCACCGCCATATTACACAATGTCGAAATGATGCCAAGCTGTGAATATTGGAATGTAAATGATGATCCAATCAATAGTTTCTTAACAAGGTTTATCACATTACAATCGTAGGAATAAGAATAATTCTTTGATATATGGGAACAATACGACCATAGATTTTATCACTGCAATAAACCTTGATTATTCTGGTGTTAACATACAGTCGCAATGAAATTTATTTTTGTATATTGAGCCTGAAATAAAATTGTTTCATGGCCCGTTTCCATCATGAATATATCTGTATTGACTTTATATTTTGGATAGGGTATAACCTGATTGGGAAAGATATATTATATCTACCCTTGGTTTCCGCCCCTCAGTTTGATATAATTTATTTATCTTACGAGGGACTTGCTCAATCTAATAGACCCAAACATCATTTTATCTCATCCAATTTGTCGACTAAAATATTGTTCAGGAACAAAAAGTTAAATTTTAACCTTGGAATCAGATGAAACAGTATTGAACATGGTATGAGATAAAATGAATCCAATATCCCCGTTTCCATTGTTTTTTTACTGTATACTTGTTCAAATGTTTGATGTGATATTTTCCTGGTTTTTAAGCCAAGAGTCGGACCAAAGAAGGTAGCAGTTGTTAAAATTCTGTTTTGTTCATTTAACTTTTTAGTTTGTTTTAATAAAACATGGCATTATAATGTTTATGTTTATGTTTATTTATTATTTAAAATACACACAAAATACAATATATGAACTGGGTGACACTTTAAAAAGTGTATATTCCCAATATTAGGCAAAAATAATACATGTGTGTTGTCATACCTATTAAATGCAGTTGATAATTGATATAGGAAATTATTCTTTCTCTAATGATGTTGAAAGCATTCCCTTAAACGATTCAATTTGACTTATCCTGATTGGATAATTAAGTTACTTAAGTCTGTTATACTGCCATGGTTACCTCATAGTTATGAGAATGTTTTTACTTCTACTGTCAGCAAAATACATTCATCACTAGATTTACACTTCCTCTTTTCAGAATTGTGTTTCCTAAGCACTGCTTAAAATATTTCTATTTCACAATCAATATTTCTATTTCACAATTTTTTCATAAATCATTGTTAAGCTTGTGGGTTGAAGTTGTACAGCAGGGCGGATTTGAAAACTAAACAGGGGGGGGGCACTTTCCAAGTCTGAAAAAATATTGGGCGCCTAAAACCCAAAATTTAAGGCCTATTTTCTTGATAATTTGACCTAATATTAAAAAATAAGGCCCAAAAAGACATTATATGTACAGTAAGACCTGCCAATTAGAAAACTTAAAAATCCTGTGACCTATTGACTAATTTGAAGTGAACACTTCTGTAAGTGGACACTTCTGAGTGGAACATTTTTGTGATCAAGAGGGTGTTCCACTTACTGTACAGTATTTACTAATACATGTTTTGTACAGAGATTTAGGATCATGTTTTAGTGTTCTGAACCCTGTTAACCATATAACTTATTCTGGCCTTATTCTTGGAAAGAGGAGGTATTAAAGAGAGTCAGATCTAGCGAGTGGGCGTGGTTGGGCTTTACAACAGATTGTTTCAATTATAACATATGTTTGGCTCATATCATTCCTTGTCATGCCTTTTTTCTAAAAAGTGCAAACTTAATTTCAAGAATAACTAAGATTTTTACATAATGTATTATTTTTTCTATAAATATGATTACCATATTTTTATTATTTGGGAGAATTTTAACGTTTTTTTCCTATTTTTGCACTTGGAATTTTATACCAATTTATAACAAATTGCGGGTCTGTTGGGAAATATTTAGGTGTATTTGAGATTGTAAGGAATAGATTGGTTGGTCAATTTTTGCTTGCAATTTTGTCACCCCCTATAGATTTGATTCTGCCTTTAATGGAAAATAAAAATGGGGGACCAGGTGAACAGGAACTAAATCGTGATGAAGTGTACATCAGGTGTTTGTTGGTATCTTCAATATCCTTCCATTGCCAAAGAGACCCCTTCTTGATATCACACATGCTCCATTTTGTTAACTGGTAGACCAGCTAAAGTGTGATTTTCTTATAAAAAATTATACTGTGGTTTGCACACAGATTGTGCTGACAGAATGACCTTTTACTACTACCTTTTAAACAACACTTGGCCTTTCTTAGGTATAACTGGCTATGTCGAAGTAAAAACAATCTCCAACATCATAATTCAATGTTGTAGTTTTTTGATAATAAATCTGTTATTAATGATTTTTTAATAATATTTATTCCCTATACTACCTAATACCTGTTATAAGAGTATTTAAAATAGTTAATTATTTCCTATACTATAAGTGTATTAATTAAATTGTATTTTATATGTGTCCGCATACTTTTTGTTTTTCTATTAATTTTTTGCCTGCCTTTCTGAGATGTTAATAATATACATTTTTCATGTTCAGTTAGAATTCCTGTTATAGATTAAGGGCATGGTTTGAATTAATTTGTTTGTATTTTTTATAACATTTGCTTTTTAATCATAATATACTGTGAAGAATGTTATTTCTGCATTTAAAGTCCCGTGGTGACATATTGTTAAAGTCTCTAACTTTTTATGGATGGTGTTCAGTATGCGTTCGGCACCTGTAACAAACAGCAGGTGGTGACATTTTGCATGTTAATGCCTTGTTTATTCGAAGCAATGAAAGGATGCTATTTTCAGTAAATTTTCAAGTCATGTTAGTAGAAATACATTTCACAGTATATTTGTTGTTACTTGCATTTATTACATGTATAACATAATGATGTTTACCATAATGGTTATGTTACATGCGATGCAATTGTCTGCAAATGGTTATGGGGTAATCTTGCTTCATGGCCTTACTTAATATGGATGTTAGGCACTAGTTATGATGTAATATGTGATATTTATACTTATTACCTTGAAAAGTTTCAGAGAGAATCATACATATAATATAGAGTTGATTTTTGAAAAAAGTGAACATTTTGTCAATTTTGGGATTCTTGCCATGCTTACTGTCTCATAGAGAAAAATCATTTTGGGGAAGAACAATTTAATTTTGAAGATAATTGAGATATCGCAGTTACTTGGATAAAGGGAAACACTGTGTTTCATTAGTTCCTTTCCTGAAGATTCTTGTAGATTTTATGATATATTTCCCCTTCAATAAATTGTGTTTTATTCATTTCTAGGCAGAAGTTGTTAGTAATGTGCCATTACATAGAAAATATTAGATTACTATGCTGTTAATAACACAGTATAAAGCCACAAAAAATCATTTATCATTGTGTAGTATCTTTACATGTCAGGTTATAACAAGATTTAACAAGACTTTGAGTGCTTTGTACCATATATTTGCTTAAGATCAATTATGACATTTCTGAAAACTAAGAAAAACAATGTTAAGAGTATTAATGCTAATGGATTATACATGTATATTGATTAAAGAAAGATGTTTGAAGTTGTTGTACATTTTTATAGCTGCTGATCAGTTCCGGGATTGGATGATCCATGAATCGTTTGCCGAAACACGACGACGTGTCTACGTGCGTACACCAGAACTAGAAGAGCTCATGAGTCAGCTGACTGATTTTGGCCAATCAGTCTTGACTGAAAATGTTGGAAAACCTTTGGCGCATTACACAACTTCACTGAAGTAAGTGTATCTAGATAAGAAGGAGGTTATGATACACTTTTTTAAAACAGCTTGTACTTGAATATGTAGAATTATTGTCCTCTGTAGATTAGTTCTCCCATTTGTACTGTTTACTTGGCTGACTGAGTATAAAGGTATACAGAAGATAATTGTAATTAAGTCCCTGGAAAATTGAATTGAGAGCAAGACAGTAATCCCCAGGGGTCGAAATAATATATGCTCACATACAGGTTCTTTTAAAGACATATTGTAACTTTACCTCCCTAATATATGATGCCAAATGCCACTAAAGCCTAACATACACCAAGGGGGCATGGTGTGACCTCCATAGACTTTGCCCCATTGAGTCCCACCAAGCCCCATTGAAAATGAACATGTTCATTCTTTTAAATTGGGCATTTTGGGACTTTTGATCAGGTGACTTGTTGGATCAAAATGGTAGGGCAAAGCTTTCTAATCTTGCTATGGTACTTGATAGAATACTCCATAGAGCAAGCGGGATTGGCCCCATTGGTGTATGTTGGGCTTTAGATAATATAATATTGATCTATCCAGAGATGGACCAGCACTAATGCAGTCTGTTTAGGGTCAACATATAATTTTAATGGCCAACTCAGAATTGAAAAATTTCTGTCAATTGTTTTATAAGTCAGAAGAAAATATAAAGTAGGACTAACTTCAGGAACTAGAATTAACATTCACATTCATAATAATTATTCCATCAATCTCATTAAATTTGTGTCATGACATCATGTCATCCCCAGTGCTTGTACAGTCAATAGTCAAAACCGTTGACTTCCCCTTTGATACCCTTTGTAAATTATACCTAATATCTAATGATTTTATGCTTTTTATGTCCCCACCACATAGTGTGGGGCCATATTGTCGGCCTAGGGGCGTCCTACTGTCTGTCCGTCCGTCCGTACGTCCGGGAGTTTTCTCCAAAACCGCTACAGATATCACCTTCAAATTTTCAGGGATAACTTATGAGTGTGAAAAGATGTGGATGAAAAAAAATTAACTCCAAACCTACTTCCTGTCGGCCATTTTGAAGTCAAATGCTAAAATCCTTATCTGCAAACTTTAAGAAAAACAGCTTCACAGTTGCTTTTAAAACTTTAAGATCTTGTTCAGCTCACTTCATTCTACATCTGATTAGGTTTTGGACCTGTTAGCTCAGTCATGTCAGCCATTTTGAATGTCTTTAAGAAAAGTTAGCGCGCGATAATACTTTGTATCATATTGAATGGTGTTTTTAAGTTTTCATACTTTAACTATTTAGTAGCTTGATAAATAATTTCAGATGTACTTTGTTGTAAAAGCCTATGTTATTGTTAACAGTAGTTATATGTGATAATTTTGTAAAAAGAAATCAGCAAAAACTCATAAGGACTTTTTTATTGTCGGCCATTTTGGATTTTTCTATCCTAAAATCTTGTCTATGAAGTCTTGTCTGCGCGTTTTCAGGTGAACCGTTTGGTGGATCAATTTCAAATTTTCAGGGATGACTCGTAGTATAAAAATCTAGATCTCATTAGATTTTTGGCATTCTGGGTAAATGTCAAGGCAGCCATTTTGGATTTTCCGTCCTAAAATCTTGTCTGTAAAGTCTTGTCTACGCATTTTCAGGTGAACCATTTAGTAGATCAATTTCAAATTTTCAGGGATGATTCTTAGTATGAAAATGTAGAACTGATTAGTTTTTTGGCATTCTGGGTAAATGTCAAGGCAGCCATTTTGGATTTTCCATCCTAAAATCTTGTCTGTAAAGTCTTGTCTACGCATTTCCAGGTGAACCGTTCTGTAGATCAATTTTATATTTTCAGGGATGATTCTTAGTATGAAAGTCTACATCTGATTAGTTTTTTTTTGCATTCTGCGTAAATGTTAAGGCAGCTATTTTGGATTTTCTGTCCTAAAATCTTGTCTGTAAAGTCTTGTCTACCCGTTTTCAGGTGAATCGTTTGGTAGATCAATTTTATATTTTCAGGGATGATTCTTAGTATGAAAATCTAGAAACAGATTTAAGTTTTTTGACATTCTGGGTAAATATCAAGGCAGCCATTTTGGATTTTCCATCCTGAAATCTTGTCTGTAAAGTCTTGTTTACATGTTTTCTGGTTAACTGTATGACGGATCAATTTCAAATTTTCAGGGGTGGTTCTTAGTATGAATATCTAGAACTGACTAAACTTTTGGCATTCTGGGTAAATTTTAAGGTGACCATTTTGGATTTTCCGTCCTCAAATTGTGTTGGTAAAGTCTTGTCTACTCATTTTCAGGATAACCATTTGACAGGATCACCCATTGGTGGGGACATTTTGTACACATTTGTGTTCTTGTGTATAAATGAATTGAAATTGTTCAGTATTTTAAAACTTGATGTTATGGTGCATATAAACAGTATCACATTAGAGCATTTTACCATCTTACTACATGAAGGTTGTATTTAATACTTTGAGCCTTTCATCCAATTCCCCCAGAACAACCAGTAGAAGTCTATACAGTAATATATTGCCTTGAAAACCAAGGAGGATTGGCTCCCAGGGTTCCATCTCGATATTCTACCATATATGAAGTATTTCGTGATTAGTACAAAATTTGAAACCAAACAGCCGCCATCTTTTTACTTCAGTTCATTCATGCAAACTTTGCCCTAGAAATCAGCACTGAACAAATTGCTTGGCGATTAAAAATATTGAGTTGGAACCCTGGGTGCCAATCTTCCTTGCTTGAATACTGAGTAAAAGGCTAGGAACTCCCACATCTGGGTTTCAAAAATCAATGCTCATTTAATGTAGTATATTAAGTGACAGCTTCTGAATTAATATAAGGCTTAGTGGTATTTCAGATAGGTTTGAGTAGGCTTGATAGAAACTAATGAGAGCACTTTTATCAAAAGGATTGGTAGCGATATGGTGAACTGAATTCAACATTGTTTTTCTCTTAAACCAATCATTGAAAACATTCTGTAAAAAAATATGATATGTAACGGTCACTGATTGACAACAATTTAAAGTGAAAATTATTTATATACATGTATATTTTATACAGGGTGACCCAAAAAATGCAACCCTCCATTTCTTCGACATTTTTCTTAAATGGATGTTAATTGCTCTGAAATTTGGCACACAAGAACTTCATTCAATGTGGGATCCTCTGGCAAAGTTTCAATAATCATAGTCTTACATTGATAGAGCTATGGTCATCCATTTCCAATGTTAGGTTTTCAGATGAATCACATTCCCTTCTTTCTGAACATGTAAACTCAAGAGATAATGTGTTCTGGGATCACAAATTCCATATGAAGTGCTTCAAAGGCCCCTTCATTCTGTAAAATGCACAGCTTGGGCTGCCAATTTCCAAACATGAAACCATCAGCCCCTTTTGGTTTGACGTTGATAATGCCAACACTGTTACTGTTAACACACAGCGCAATATTGGCGTTCCCAGGAAGTTCTAGGCAGTTCTAGAGTGGCATAGAGGCTTCAATAGACAAGAACAGTGGTTTTAGAAGGATGGAGCTTCTCCTCACACTTCTAATGATAGCATAGCCTGGCTCACTAGTCATTTCTATGAGTAGATGATCTCTCCTAGGACGGAAAACCCATGGTCATCCCACAGTCTTGATCTCAATGCCCCTGACTTCTATATATGGGGTTATTTAAAGGATAATGTGTATGAAAATAACCCTATCGCAATTGCAGAACTCCAATAAGCAATGGCTGCAAAAATTTGAGCCATACCCATGGGGAAGAATGCATCCGTGTTATGAACAGTTTTCCTTGAACACTGCAAGTTTGTTTTCAGCGAAATTGACGACATCTGGAGCATATTTTGAAACAACCATAACTCTATCAATATAAGACTATGATTATTAAAACTTTGCCAGAGGATCCCACATTGAATGAAGTCTTTCTGTGCCAAATTTCAGACTAATTTACCTCCATTTAAGAAAAATATTGAAGAAATTGAGGGTTGCATTTTTTTTGGGTCACCCTGTATTATTGTTTTTGTGAACAATTTTTGTTTTTTAGTACAATTGTTTTTTGTTCCTTTCTACCAATTCTTAAGAATGAAATAAAATATCTATCCGAACCTTGTTTGAACAAAATGCTATATACACATTTTATTTCATTCGGAACATATGGTACTCGTACCAATAACAAAAGAAGTGTCTGATGTGCTTTCTCAAACTATGTATTGAAAAGTAGATATATTTTTGTCAAATTAAATTGTTACCATTCAAAAGATGACCATTAAATTGACGAGGTGTATATTTTTCAGAATTTTTAATGACTGGTTTAAGAGAAACATGTGTTCAATTTAGTTCACCATATCGCTACCAAGCCTTTATTGATCACCACTTGTATATTTCATTATTCAGTATATGTGCAATAGAAGTAATATGAGATTTGTAAAAACTAAATGTGATTGAGTAACAAATGCCATATAGATATAGGTATATGTCACACAGGTTGATGAACTTCATTAGGTCTCAATGAGAGTTCTCTAGGATGTCTATAATTGTTGGTTTTTAGTAGTTATTGTTCTCTATATTTTAATGCTCCTTTGATGCTGCATGATGAGACATTCCTGAGTTTGTTATGGCTTTAAGAAATTGGAAAGCTTTGTTTCTAAATACCCTGAGAATACACTTAATATATCAATAGCAATTAGCCGTTAATCATTTTATCTTAAGTTCTTGGAAAATATGTTTAGTACTTAGAATTTCTGCTTAAGGTTTCAGGCCAAGGCTTACATTAATCTCTAGCTTCTGTATTGAGTGATGGGTTGGTTCCCTGAGCCCAAAATAATTTCAAATGTACTTAGAATCAGAGGCACATATGTTTTATACTCAAAGGAAATGAAAATGAAATTATCATTTCAACATTAACAGCATATACTGCTTTGTTGTCGTTAAACGATACACAATCATATATCAGTGTTAAGTGATTGAAGGCGTTTCATTATTTATTTAAAGTACCAATAACGTGCATAATAGTGATTTACAAGTCATCAGTATCTCTGCGTTACATTGTTAGACTGTTATATTGTTAGACTGTGTTTTAATGTCACTACCACAAGTGGTGACATATTGTTATAATCTCCAATCTTTTTATTGATTGTGTTCAGCAGGTGGTTTTTTGGGGGTTGGCATCTGTAACAAATGGCAGGTGGTGACATTTTTGCATATTTATGCCTTGTTGTTTATTGTTAGACTAACATGTCTATTGTTAGATTATGTTTATACATGTATTTATACTATGTTAATTATTAGACTTTTACAGTTAGTATTTCCTGAATTGACATTCTAAGAGTCAGTGACCAAAATTAACAATAAATAATTTATAATATGCCTGAAATATTACCCAAAAATCTAAATAGCGAATAAATGTACAAGGTTAATGAAAAAAGCAATTAAATATTTTGAAAAACTTTTCAGTCCAGTCGACCCATCTTCCTCTGTTTTACTACTGGAGGGTCGTAGAGGATGCGGCAAGACCACCGTGTTGGCCAATTGGATCAAGGAGTTCTCTGAAGAGTTTCCGACAGTGAAGGTGATTTCTCACTATGTTGGTAGCAGCAGCATGAGCAAGAACATTATTGCATTCATGAGACGGTGTATCATGGAGCTGAGAGAGGAAAACTATATAGGTACATAAATACAACTTGATCAGGTCCCTGGCCAAAATTTTTTTCAAAATCATGGGAGTTTTTCACCATTGTGAGTACTTCACAAGTGAGTTTGGCCATTTTTTGTCAAGTTTTGTGAACCCTCGTTGAACTTCAAAAACTGAACTCCCCTTGGTCAAAAGCTGACTATGGGCCTGTTTATACACATATATCTTTCTAGATAAAAGGGGAAAATGCATTTACCCTGGTTCAAAGAGTCTAGTATTTACTATGGAAAAATTCTTTCAAAATTATGGGAGGTTTTCACCATTCTGAGCACTTTACAAGTGGTTTTGGCCATTTTGGACCAAAGTGAACCCCCTAGAAAAATCTGGCTATGGGCCTGTTGATACACATATATCTTTCTAGATGAAAGGGGCAATGCAATTACCCTGAAACACTAAGCCTAGTGTTTACTATGGGGATGGAGCTCTCTTAAAGAACTTAAATCAGTCTATAAGAATAATATGGGGATATATGAGGGTAATATGCATTAGTTCAACCATTGTGAAGGCAACTGGTCAAATATACAATTCCAATCCACATTTATTTGAGAGTAAAATGCAGAACTATATTTTTCAGTTTTACATTCTAATTCAAAAACTGTTTAAACAATGATCAGGTTAATCAGATAAAAAATGTAGTCCTAGCCACACATCGCCTGTAAAATTCACAAAATAAACAAGGAAGTTATTTGAAATTAGGTTCATAAAACTTTACATGGCTATGCATTGTGATAATGAGTCCTGTGTTTAAATGTGGATTCTGAGTCCGATGAAAAGTTTCAAATGTGCCATTAATAATTATTGCTTTAACGTCTTTGGGGTGGAAACCATGGTTTGATATTATATTTCTTTTGTTTTTTTGGGGTGGGGTTGTTTCTCTATGATTATCAAGTCTTCTCCCTTCTATTTTTCTGACATTACATACAGCAAAAACACCACATACAGCAACAAAAAAGTGCTCAGGTCACCAGGTGTCCAACATTTTTAACATGTGAGTCAATGGGAGAATGAAAAAGAGTGTACATTGAGAGATGTTAGGATATACAGCTTTCACTATATAATCATCTGTAGCATCCCACTGCAGATCTACAGAACTCATCTATAAGATTCCCTTTTTTAGTTATTGAGAGATTTTATTGTAGGATTTTCAGAGGAATCATGATTCCTTCAGCCTCAACGATCCTAACGGAAACCCTTGAGCTCAATTTCTTTGATTTTGGAGGCCTGCTTGTGGAGTATGTCAACAGTATATATATTTTACATGTGTTTTATCATATTCCAGGTACAGACTCTGAAGTTTGCCAGACTGGGGAGGACTACCACAGAGTGTGTGAGGCATTCGTGGCATCTATATCATTCTCACCATGTATTCTGTTAATAGATGGCATTGATGAGCTTACTGGCTCATATGGTCTAACTACGCAACAGGTAATCAGTTTAGCACTTCACATTCCTTGTTTTATACACCTCTCAACTATGAAGTGTTTGGAAATGGGTAGCGTGCACTTCATAACCGTTTAATTATGTTCTAGTAAGGGATAGTGTCCAATTATCAACAGTTGTGAAAAAAGTGAAATTAATTTCATTATGGTTGGACCCTCTCCCCTCATCAATATTTAAAAATGATGATTTCTCTTTCACTTAAATATAAAAAGAATCAACACTACTTGCTCATGAAATCATCATTTACCCCCTCCCTCCCTAATGAAACTAACTTTGTCCTAACAACATCCCCAAGTCTTATCCTCAAAACGTCAGAAAGTAACACAGTGAATGATGTGTGGAACCCTGGGTTTGGAGGATTGTAAGTTCATACCTAGCTTGTTTGGTCTATTTCAAAATTAGCAAAAGGTGACCTTATTGTGCCTATACATGTATTTAAGGTGTAGTCTAGTGTGTAGAAACTGATATATTTTCCTTTTTTATTATTTCAGATTAAAGAATTAACATGGTTACCCAAGACATTACCGCCACATTGTAAGTTCATCATAACCTCAGCTAAGAATGACCTCACTTACAAATCATTGGTTGAGAGGCAAGACCTCGCCATGGTAACTGTTCCTCTTCTCTCAGACTCAAACTCCAGGAGTTGCGTCATAAAGGAGCATTTAGCATTACACTGTAAATGTCTCAACGAAGCTCAACTAAGTCAAATCGTATCATGTAAACTCAGTGATCGGCCATTGTTCCTGTCAGTACTGGCCAATGAGCTGAGACTATTTGGAGTTTACACCCGATTGGATTATCATTTGGAGAGCTACTTAGAGGCGACAACCATCAGAGACCTCTGGGCAAAGATTATACAACGTTGGGCAAAAGATTATGGTTGGCCCTGTGTCCCAGAGAGATCGGAGAGCACACTTACGTCATTAACAGAGGGAACATCTGCAGTTAAAGGTAATTGGCCCGATTGATATGTGGTTTAGTTGACCAGGGTTTGAGTTAATATTAGTCTTGTTTTAAGTCTCTGGACCCCCCTTATCTACTTCACCCTGGGGGTGAATTAAAAGGAGCTTAGAACACATGAGGCCTCTGCCCAATCTTCCATACAAGTCCCTGTGGGAATCTGTAGTGGAATCTGGTGAGTTTCAAAAGTATATGTTCTACTAGCAGCAGTATATATATATATGGGGTGAATCTACTGTTGACCTCGGGTCAAAATTCCTCACTGGCCTGACCAAGCCCTAGATGTGACGTCACAAGACAATGCAGATTTCCAGGTGTAGATTGCTGAACAACTATCGTTCATTTATCGAGTGAATTACTATGCTGCAATCTGATTGGATGAGAGACTCTAATATATTGCATGGTCACGCTGAATCCATTATTGTATTTTAGAGCTGACAGGCTGGGTTGCTGATGCACTGCGTCTTATAACAATAGCTCGCTATGGACTGACACAGACAGAGATTTTGGAGCTATTACAACAGATGGGATATAGAGGGCGCACTGAGGTCTCTCTGTTTGACTGGGCGAGATTTAGAACTGCTTGCATGGACTCCTTGTTTGAAGGCCCTGGGGGATTGTTGAATTTCTTTCACCAACATTTCAAAGAAGCTGTGGAATATACTTTGTTTGGTAAGGTTACGTTTATGCTCACTTCTATGTGACAATGTTAGCCCTAATGTATCAAACTCCTCCAGCGTTTCATTTCAATCTCAATGTGTGCAGTAAAAGTAACAAAATCTGGATTCTGTATTTTAGTTGTTAATTTTTCTTCTATACATTAAAGTAATAATTTTAACAAAATCATACCAATCTTAATAAATGTATTGACAATATTGGAAATGGTTCTTTAGGCACAACAATAGGTGGCACAAGTATGGTTGAGACTAACCAATCACAATCTGTGTTGATGACACCCCGCCCCGCAGCTGACAAAAAGACGTACCATAAACAACTGGCCCGCTACTTCTGGCAGCAGTCTCATAGTAAACGTCGTATGGAGGAGTTGCCATTTCACCTTGAGCACGCAAATGACCTTGAGGGACTTTCTAGAGCTGTCTCTGATCCCAGGTACGAACCCACATGTTCAATTTTATCCCTTTTTATGTTTAGTTCCACAAAGTGTTTATTTGAAGTGTTTTAGCTGCTTCTGGTTCTTAGTACCCCACATGTTTCCCTTATTTGGACTTTAACCTTTTTCTCTGCAGTATTCCATGAAAATTGAAATGTTGCTTGCGATTTTGTCACCCCCTGTAGATCTGATACTGCCTTTAATCTATAAGTCTTTAAAGGGAATAGTTTGATGCCAAGGCATTAATCGAAATGATTGAAGTATCTTTGATATTTGGGAAAACCTTAGTTTCAATATTAAAGTTATCACATTCAGTCAACTTGACTCTGGAATAGACATTTATGATCGAACCATCAATTATTCAGTACAGTTGTTAACACCTCATCCCCTCAGAGCAAAACATAAAGATGTAGTAAGTCATACAGCATGCAAAATGACAATATTAGATTGTAATTATCCCATTGAACACAGTTAAATTAGAGAAGCTATCCATTTACAGATTTGATTTACATTTTATAGGCAGCTAACGTTTTTGGCATAGGACTTGTCCTTGAGAAGGAATTTCCAAATGAATGTTCAAAATTGCTGCCATTTTTCGTAAAATAACTTTGAACAAAAAATATCATACTAGACAAAGAATAAGTATCTGTCAAATAAAGAATTTTTACGATGGCTGCTGAATTCGAAATGACCAACATTTTTGGGGGAAAATGTATCTTTGATTATGATTAAATACTGACTATCAGATAGTCTAAATTTGTATAGGATGATGTCTTATGGGAATACTGCTCAAGAAGATATTTACCAATATAATATGGCCAAATTTTTTTCATAGAAAATATAATTTTTGATAATTCGAATACCAAGTAGGACTTTTCCTGATTTTCACCCTATACCACTCGTGTTTTTCAATGTTTTATGCATCAATATGTTGCATTTGTAGACACAGTTAATCTCTTAAAAGGAAAATATGTCAAGTGGGATAAAGTGAAAAGTAATATTTCCCATATAATTTTGGTCACCCAGATCTTTAAAATCCCTGGTTGAAACATATTTTCCAACATATGACTGTCTAAAATCTGTTGCGATACCTTCCGTGGTCCTTTGTGTTAACTCAAATCCTGATTATTGGATTATGTTCTTTTATAGGCTTTTCATGACATCTAAAATAACAAGAAGGAAAATAGCCTCAAACTACCTTCAAACCTTCCCTTTGAAACAATATTTTTTCTTATATAATGGCTATCAATTCTTCAACATTTCGGTCAACAAAAAATATTTAATATATTTCAGGATATTCTTTGAGATGGTAGGTGACCATCACCAGACGTCAACAAAGCTTGACTTGATACACTACTGGGAGCTCCTCAAACCTGCGAACTATGATCCTAGCACCATCTATAGGAACATGGTGAAACTAGCCAGTGGGCATGAAGATACAGAAGCTGACGATGAATTAAATGGGAGTAATACACCAGTGAGTTCATTGAATTTTCTCCCTCTCCATAGAATATGTAATTTATGGATATTAATTATGGATAGTTGAGGAATATCATTAACACTTGTTGATTTAGACTCTAAACTTTCTTACCCTGTGGCCTGTCATTTTTAGTACCAAAATTTTGGATGACATATCTAGTCAGTGATAATTCAGATCAATGAGATATCTTGTCCTCAAATTGGTGTGAACCAGCAGAGGGACTACAAAACACTACATTGGGACTTTGTACAATACACTAGGTTATTGCAAACTTTACCATCCATACCTCTTGCTTTTAGGCTAATGCAATACCCACTCCACCCAGCCCCATAGTCACACCTGCCCCCAAGATCTTGCTCTCCAGGGTCAGTGAGCTGTCAATCATAGAGGAGAAAAGCATGGAGAATGGAAGCCTGGCAAACTACAGACTACAAGGCTTACAGGAGGTATGTAAATAGGTGAAATCTATACATAGTCACTGATTTGTCTGTGAATCAATGTTTCCATACCTCTTCAGGTTTTATCTAAGGGGTGGCTGGAATCTCATAAAATTGTTCTTCCTTCTTCTCTTTTTAGCCTTCAGAGGGAGAACTGTATATGGCAATTTTCTGGAGCCTTTAGCCTTTAATCAGGATTTCAATGAGAATACAAAAACCAATATGTTTGATTTGTTCAGCAAATGGTTTTCATTGTCACATAATGTGATACTGTACTAAGTACAAAAAGTGAGCTGTGTGGTAAATCAGGGTGTTTACTGGAGCTTTAAGGGCTTAATGTTTATCACTGTGTCTCATACTATATGTTCAGTACCATACCTGATTGTAGGCATTTGATGACACACTATCAGAGACTACCAGCTTTAAGGGCTGAATCTATATCACTGTGTCTTCATACTATATGTTCAGTAACATACCTGATTGTAGGCATTTGATGACACACTATCAGAGACTACCAGCTTAAACAATGATGTGATGAGTGAAGGTTCTCACAGTGTTGTATCAGAGAATGTACATGAGGAGAAACAGCATGATGAGGAGAAACAGCATGATGATGTATTTGATCAAGTCATTAGCAAAGGTAGGCATGGTCACAGTTTAACTAGATAATTAGAAAAAATGGGTGTTGTAGAAAGAAAATATATGATGAAATAAACCAATATGATAGATATGTATGAATGATATTAAAAAGCATCTTGAAGAATCATATTAGAACTTAATATAAAAAGAGTATTATGTAAATATTAATACATAAAAGTTACAGCTAGCCTGCAAAACAAGTACATGTACCCACATAGATAAATGTTAAAGAATCCATCAGCCAAAAAGCAAGTCCCAAGAAGTTCCCAAAGAATCAACTGAAACAAGACAAAGCCATTTAAGACTGAACACAAGTACATTTAAACAAGATAACACTACAAATGAACCAATATAATAGATATGATGTATGAATGACATTAGAAATCATCTTGAAGAATCATATCAGTCCTCCGGCTATGGCTCAGTGGAAGAGTCAAGGTTACCCATATCGCTTGGCCCGGGTTCTATTCCTGGTTCAGACACAACTGAAATATTTTAACTTCACAATGTTAAATTAAGTTTATATTAAATTTTCTAGATGTTACTGGATCTGAGACTCCAGATGATACCAAGGAACAACCCCTTAATTCCCATGAATTAGCTGCACTAGCTAAGTGTGCAGGACAGTTCCTATCTGAACTGGGCCACTTCCAACCTGCTGAGGAATTACTGCTGAAGGCTCATGAACAGCTAATACAGGTAGTGTGTTATGGGTTAACTAGTTCAGTAACATTAATGCGTCAAGTCAAGTCACATGATCTGTATTAACCAATCTGGAAGATTTTCTTGCAAGATTTAGATAAATAGGACTCTGAGACTTACCCATTTTAAAGAAGTGTTATAAATCTGAATTATATTATAATTCAAAGAATGCTCTATAATCCAAGATAAGCTGTATATTTGCCTACATAAACAGTATAAGATAGTATACAACAAAAATGTCTCCAATTGCAGAGTTTTCCACTGACTTCCCCACAACAGCTGTTGCTATGCAACATACAGGAGAGTATAGCTGACCTCTATCTCTTCCAATTGAAGAAGGAACCGGCAGAGCAATGGTACAAGAAAGCATTAGACACGTTGCGATTCCTCTCGCTGACAGATGGTGCTGCAGCAGATGGAGCAGATGCTGAGGAAATTAAAGGTGAATTTTGAATAACATAAACTTTGAATATCATAAAATTTTGAATACTGTAAGATTTTGAATAACATAAAATTTTGAATTACATAAGATTTTGAATAACATAATTTTTGAATGCCATAAAATTGTGAATACCATAAGATTTTGGATTCCATTAAATTTTGAATAACACAACACAATGTCAACGCATTTATTGAATATAATGTAAGCCATGATCTATACCTGAAATAAAACGATATTAAATAAAAGTTAAATATGAAATAAATCAACCATTATGTTTAGGTCGTCTTCTGGATCACCTTGGTAACATGAAAACACATGAGAAGCAGTACGCAGAGGCTGAGGACTTGCTTAGTGAGGCCCAACATTGTATGGAGTCAGCAAGCAGTACCACTGGACAAGCCACTCTCTTCTATCATATTGGAATACTCAGGTGGGTGATACTTTAGAGTTTTAATGAATCTGAAATTATAATTTATGTTGTAAAGTATATCCTGCATTTTATATTATAAACTGAGTCTGTTATGATTGTGAAGAATATGATATATCATGCCCAGGCCCATTGCCAGGATTTGCCAAGGAGGCGTTCACTTCTCAAAAAATCCAAGGGGATTCACTTTTAGACATCTTTGGCCCAAATATGGCCATTATCACTTCACTTGAAAAGTGGCCAGAATGGTGAAAAAACTGCATGGTTTTTAAGAAATTTTTGGTCAATATTTTTCACTCGAATCCCCTGAACTCCCCTTGGCTACGGGCCTGATGCCTAGTTGTGTGTGAATAGTATATGAATGTGCAGAAGGATGTCATAATGCATGTTGTATTCTAATGCAGGCTAATATTGCTTGTTGTATTCCCAATGCAGGTTAAAACAACACAAACTTGACGAAGCTGGCCATCTCTTCAAAAACTCTCTTTGTATTAGAGAGCAGTGGTTTGGCAAATCTCACCCTCTTGTGGCAGAAGTGCTTAATGACCTGGCAGGATTACTTGCAGATAAAAACTATTCAGGGTAAGTTTCAGCATTTTCTAATGAGCCCTTTTTAAAGGCATATGTGTTTATACATAGTTTTATCTCACTTTGAGCATTTGGAATCACCCATTCATTCATTTATTTACCATTCTGTCTTTCATCATCTGTAATAAAGAGAACTGTCATCCATCTGAACCAATACCCATATCCACTTTATGATTGATACCAGTAATTTATGCCATTGGTCTTGGCTCTTACTCTTGCTTTGTTTTGGAGGTTACATAATACGAGGGGTGATTCAAAAGTAATGGACAAAATTTTATAGGCATACTAAATTTCACCCAATCAGTCTATTTTTTTCACAGTGAATAGATCAATCAATTCTCTACTTTGTGTCGAATTCTCATTTAAATGCATTTGAAATTGTTTCAGCTATGCGTAACCATGGTAACAAGGGTAAGCATGGGTGGAATTGGTTTTTTAATGATAATTGAATGTTTTTGTCATTTTTGCTTGATTTCGTTTTAATGACTCAATTACCACACATGATATGTCTAACAAGCATGGTAATGCAATTGTCAAGCAAGACTCACATGCCCATGTGTTTGCTGTTGAGTTCTTAATTCAGCAACCAATTGTGCTATGACATCACAATGATATTTCTAAGAAAATGCAATCTTGGACATGCACTTCAAAAGAAAAGGAAAGACACAAGAGACAATCGTTTGTTACACATGGACAATGCCCCAGCACACAGGTCCAAGCTAGTTCAGGATACTCTTGCAGCATTCATGGACATGCCTCAACTTCCACATGCTCCATATAGCCCTGATACTGCTCCTTGTGATTTCTATCTTTTTCCCACCCTTAAGATGGCATTAAAGGGACAATCCTTTCAGACATTAGCTGAGCTGCAAATGGCTGTACAAAAACAGCTGAACACCATGGCTGCTGATGGATTTGGGCATGTGTTCTCTGCATGGGTGCGCCGACAGAAGAAAGTAATTGAACTTGGAGGAGAATACATTGAGGATTGAATATAATTCAAATGGATGATCATCAGGAATAATAAGGAATGATATGGATTATTATTGAACTTACTGCGATATGCTTTTCATATACATCTTGCATTGCAAAATATATTGCACCAGCAAACTTTTCATTGAAAATCCATTTGTTATTATGATGAAAATAGCCTTAAAAATGGATTCCGGGTGTATGCACCATGATCCAAGAGAAGTGCTCTATCTCAAAATGTATTTGCATTTAGTTAATAAAATTTTAACATCTAATAGATAATTGATTAATCTTTATTTGTACAAAGTTTCATTCAAATCTGGTAAAGGTAAGCGTGCCTATAAAATTTTGTCCATTACTTTTGAATCACCCCTCGTATATGAGTATAAGTCTGTGTCATTTGACTTCAACACCAAAATGTTGATTCTTTGGCAGATAATACTTTGAAATGTAATAATGTGATATTTCTTTTATTATTTTATCTAGGTTTAATTTATCTGAAGCCAAGGTGTTATATAAGAGAGCATTGAAGATACGGGAACAATCGCTAGGCAACAGACATCTACTTGTAGCAACCACACTTTTTCATTTAGGTAAATATATACACAATTATTGCAGTGTCATATCATGGCCCGTTAAGATGAATTAATGGAAACAGGGTATATTTCAACTTAGTTTTGTCATAATCTTAATTAGAATTGTTATATACTTATCTAAATTTCACATGATTGTACTTATTTTAGGCCGTCTTTTGAGGAATTCGCCAGTAAAATATGACAAGCAGCAAGCCATAGAGTTCATGAAGAGAGCGCTGGATATACGCACAAATAAATTAGGTGAGATGCAGCATTAAATTTTATATTATGATGTGCGTTTTGACCATTTCAGTCAATTCAACCATTTCAGTCAATTCAACCATTTCAGTGATTGCAACCTTCTGTCCATTTCTATCTAAGTATGTGTTCATCGCTTCAACCATTTCATTTGCTTGTGAGAACAAGATTATATACATGTTCCTGGGCCTATACCTCATTCTTCAATCAGCATTGTTTGTCAGTCAGCATAATTAGCATTGTTTGTTTGTTTGTTTGTTTCAGGCTCAGAACATCACTTGACAAAAGTTGTAAGACGAATGCTGAACAGTGTGGAAAAGAAAATAAAGATGGGGCTTTATGAGTGTGGTCCTGCTAAACCCTTAGATGCACGGCATGAAGATACGCCATATAGCAATCTCAGTTATCGTGATAAAGACCTTCATGACTTTGAGACCAGGAGGAAGCCTCGTCCAACCAGTAGTTTTTCAGATAAGGTTAGAAGGGCAGGATGTTATCGGAAACTGTCTATGCACCAGCATAGTATAGGATACACTGAGAGGTTCAGAGCATTACGGCGGACTAATACATCATCTGGTGACAGTGATAGTGATTTAGAGACCGAATCTCGCCCAAACACAGGTGGAACTATTTCCACGAGACCAAACACAGCAGGGAGTCATACTAGAAGCAATAAAGATGATTTATCCCACTCATATGTTTGCAAGACTACTAAATTACATGCAGATGAAAAACTTAATGTGCCTCTGACAAGGGAATATTTATCACAGCGTGTCATGCCAGCTGAAATTCAACTGTCGGAAATTTCCCCTCAAAGACCCAAAACTGCACCAGGACGTTCTCATCGTGTTTTAAAGAAACAATCTGAAATTGAAAAAGACTCAGAGAATCTGGAATATTCCACACGAAGATTGCTAAATAGGAAAGCAGTGTCAAGAAAAACTGTTAAATACAAGGAGTCAGATGATAAAAACATAAAAAATGATGATATTAAACCCAGTGATGAATCTAGACCAAATATGGAGTCTTTAATACCACAGTCAAGTTTAGCAGAAGAAAGAGACAATAAAAATGAACACATACAGTATTATATTGATAATTACGCAAACGAATTAGAAAAAGCCGAGCGAATAGAACCTGATGAATCAGATTCACATGTTGGTGTAAAAAGGAGAAACACTAAAAGAAAGCATAGTCGTCCGAAAAGTGCTCCTGAAATGTTATTTGAAAGGTATGCTAGCTCCACCTATAGAGCTGATTTGAAACCAGCTAGGGATGAATCTGCTGGACATTTCCGTCGTGTGAATGTCCCCACAGGGAACAGTAGAGCAAGTAGCGGGTATAGCCTGCGTAGTCATGCGCCATCACTTGGCCACACCTCCAACTGTTCAATATCGGGCACCCATACTATAGACCCAAGTAATGCTCGTAATGTGTCTGTCGGCCCAAACTGCAACATTCTCAGTCTTTTAGGACCTCCCCCTAATCCGAGAGACCCATTTTTGAAAATCCAACACAAATCTGCATGGTATCACTTCCCTGGACGTTATTACACGCAGGATGTCCCTGTGCCCCCTAAAAGACACCAGAAACGTGTACCTTCATCTAATAAACTGAAACTCAGGGAGAAAAAACCTGTTGTGAAATCTAATTCAACTGGGGATCATGCATCTTATTATTACCCACATAACTTTCAACTAATGGGGAACCAATTTGAGGGAGACTACCCCAGGAACAGCATACGCAAACCTTCAAGTGCTGGCAAGTCTATCCACAGTGTCAAATTCCAAGATGACTTTATGTATTAGGTTTATTGAACATTTTTAAAAGGTTTAAAAGTTATCTTCAGTATACACCAAGTTATCAAAAAGTGATTTCTATTTTTTTCACTTAGCCACTACTATTAAAATAAAATAGTGTTCTATTAAGGGATTAGCTAGCAGCAAGAGGATATGAAATGAGAGATTATTTTTGTAATCAGTTCATTAAATATGTTTCATGAGTATTGGTAATATATTTTTACTGCCAGATTATTTTAGTAAATGGAGATTGTTGAGAGACTGTAAAAAATAAACATTATTTATTTATTTAATTTGAGATTGATTTGAATATTTTCATACAGTAGCTCCTTAGTATATCCTCAGTGATCACTGAGGACATGTGTATATATATTTACTTGATATATATATATTATTGAATATTATGTACATATGTACAGTGTCAAATATTTATTTACTTTATACAATTTTTAAAAATAATGTACAGTATATTGCTTTGCTGCAAATATTTTATGTAGATATATATTAACAATGTATCATACTTAAATGACCCCATAAACTTTCTATTTATTTTTTATGTAATACCACCATGCAAGAATGTTTATCAGGGGTGGGTCCAGACACCAACAAGGGGGGCCCATATTTGAAATTTGGCCAAAAAAGGCCCATTAAACGGGCCTTTAAAATTTTTTTTTTCTGGTCCCACCCAAGTTGGGGGGGGGGGGGGGGCTGCCCTCCATCCCATATTCGTGTACAGAATATGTATAATACCTCATATGTCTAGAATTTAGACAAACATACACTGGCCAAGTAATTTAATTGCTAATTAATTGCCTACAATGTACTTTAATTGATATTTAATCATGCCAGTTTAATATTGGGAGTTAGATGTAGTCTTGCACCAATCCTCTGTCCATCTACAAATGAATATTACCCCACTGGTTAGAGAGAATGGGGGGGGGGGGTTATTACAGGAGCTAGATGCAAGACTATGGAAGATTGTATATTACATATACTATATAGATGGAGTACTTAGTACTTGAAGTCACTCTAGTAACTTACTCACTGTCCTCAATAATATAACTACCACTAAAAGTGAAATATTTAATATCACTCAAAGTGAATACACTTATTAGAGGTAGATTAGCTTATTTAGTTTTAGATTTAGAGTTATCATGAATAAGTACCTAGATGAACACTACAACAATATGATAGGTGCAGGGTTACGATAAGGTATGCTATGCATTTTTAATCTGAGATGTCCATGTGCAGTGAACACCTGTGGAAGAACAAAGTCAATTTTATTATGGGAGGTTTTTGTAAGTGAAATTCAAGTAGAGGAAAATTAACATTTGCGAATTTCATTATATGAGGGGCGAGTGATTAAACCATGATGAAAATAATTTCATTTTTCCACAACCAACTGTCATCATAATGTTTTGCATTGATTGTCATTTTGGGCAACTAGATCCTTATTTTAAAGGGTATCTTATTGCATTTTCAGCGTATTTGTGATATTATAATGTTATACTTATACACATATTTGCTTGATAAAAGAAAATCTTGTATGGCTTAATATAAGATGACTCCATTGACATAGATGTATAATGAAGAAATGTACAGTATGCACATTAACTTAAAATTGACTCGTTTCAGAAATATTTATTACAGAAATGTCATGTATATGTGAGATTTTATCACAATGGAATTTTATTTTTACAGCTAAAACCTTACAGTTTACTGTATTTGATTATACAAAACATGTAGATATATTAATATTCTTTAAATATAACGAGAAAATATTTTTTATAATAACAATTCAACTATGAACAAAACTGAGATTGAATTACATGTGCCACTTTCAAATTTTCAATAATTTTTACTTTCGGAAGTCAAACATTTCTGGTGTCCAGTTCCATCAAGTTTTGAGATTGAAAATATTAATGAGAATTAGAAAGTGGTGGATTGATTCTTTCATTTTGAAGTAAAAAAGTAACTTTAAGGAGACACATTTGTATAATAATGTATACCAATGTACACCTGCCTTGCCAGCATTTTTGTTTGCTTTTATACATAATAAACAATGCTATCCTGAAATATGAACTATTTGTTGATTTTATTGTCTTATGATATGTTTTTATATGGTTTATTTCTGTTTGTTTCAACCTTAATTACTTATTGACATCCTTTCTCGGAACTTCTTGCTCTCTGAGATTGGTATCAATCTTGGCCACAAGAGGGATGTGTTCCAAAATATCAATAAGTGTATTATGTTGCGAAGAGGTAATAAATCACATAGCCTCTGCAGATCTGTAAATTTATAAAGTGTACAGGGCTTTATCAATCATTTTCCTTTTCTCTATTATCTCAGTTTCGCTATACAATATACAGGATGTCCCCAAAATATAGTTCCCAAATCAAATGGGAATAACTTTTTTTTTTCATCAAAAAAGTTGGAACTTTTAATATAACAAATAAAATTCATTTTCATAAAATAATTCCTTTATATATACTCCAGATAAGTATTGCTCTACAAAGTATTGCTAATAATCATTTGCAAATTCAACTTACGTAGTTACATCTACGTTCAATATCAACATACTACATTCTTTCAATGCCTTCCTGACTTACCTATGAAGCGAATACTGTTACTGTTCTTTTAAATAATTCAAAGACATACATACAATATATTTTTATTTTATTTATTAGAGTAAACTACAATATATTTGTAGAAGTTGGAATAAAGTGTTTAACAATTAATTTACCATAACATTGGTCTTCAATAAGAAGATAGGTCAACGAAGTTGTGCAATATACGATAATGTATATAACAGATGAATAGGTTGGTCAAACAAAAGGAGAAATGGGATGCAGCATGAGTAATATGACATCAGATAGTGAACAATAGAGAGGTTTTTGCACATCAAATTATAACTAAAATGCATCCGCAATTCCGGATCTTGTTTAGAACAGAACCTCTACGCAAAAATCTGGAGAATGCATTATGGATTTTAGATAGATTGAGATCTATTTATCCCTCTAAACATCTGTTTGGCGTAAATAAATACCACAAAGGGCAGTAGTAAACAAAGCATAGAAATGAATATTTTGGGCGTGTGATCCTCAATTATCAGGGGTTATTTAAGCCTCAGTCACATTTGCTCTATGGCAGGCATATGGTAGCTGTAGCGTCACAAAATTGAAAATATACACCGAACAACTTATCCTATATTATGTTGAATGTTGCTCTCAATATTTGGAATCTAGGGCCCGCCATATGGTTGCAATAGATCAAGTGTGACTGAGGTATTAATGGTAATCTACAGAATATAAAAATGCATTTTTTCATTTAAATGTGAAGTAGCATATGTTTGCTTATAGTCCTACATAATGCAATTTGTTATTGACAGTTTAACAAAAGATAGAAATTAATAGCACTTCACTGCCAAATATGAGAATCAATGCTTTGAGTACCCGACATATGAGAAAAGTTGACATAAGATCGTACAGACAAATAAGACAAGATCATTTAAGTCATAACTGAAACTGACATTGTTTAATTCAACATAATGACGATGTTTGACTTAATGTACATTTGTAAGAGAATACATTCCTAATATAAATGAATACATTTCTGATGTAAATGTACACATTCCTGATGTTAGTGCATAAATTCCTATTCCTCTGTCCTCTGCATTCCAATCTTGAAATTTATTGTTTTCAGCAAACAATGCAATAGATTGTTTAGCAATATCCCAAAAGTTTATCTTAAAACACTAGCTCTATAAATAATATATGTTTTACATTAGCTAAATATTTAGCTGCAAAAAGTAAATAAAATAAAAAAGAAAAGTATGCATTGAATGCAACCTGGCATATTTGTATATTTTATAACTAAATGATATCAAATTTTACTGAAAATTGGCCAAATTTGGCACTCTCTAATTTGAATTGGTGTTTTCACAATTACATGGATATCGGTGACTGTTTGATTTGGCAATTTGTTTAAAAATATCGCAAATACAATAGAGCAGTATTGTAATAATGTTACACAGATTTAAAGTGGCAATCTTGTACAGAATTGGGGAGTCACCTAACAAATGAAAGCACTAAATTAATCCAATTTTTAGTGTTCTTAGGAAACATGCACAGTGTATTTAAACACACATATCACACTTAAAGAGCAAAATGGCCACCATGTAAATTAGCCAGCCCAAAACCTGATCACATCTTGGCACTATAGTCAGCTTCTGCATCTATAGTTTCAAGTTAAATGGATGAACAGTTTTTTTGATGCCAAGACTTTTGTGCCGTCAAACCCATACATTCTTCAGCACAAAATGATGACACTTTTCAAGTGTGATAATAAGATAACACTATTACAGTATTATACTAAAATATCTAAGCTTAACTAGAGACTAAATTAAACCAAGATATATTGGTCCCTACAGAGTGAAATGATTATAATGTGATTAAACTCAAAAAAAATTTATCAGTGACATAAGCCAGTGTTCTCCCCAGGATTTTTTCTCAAGTGGGTGCAAAATTCTCATTTTCACAATCCAATCCAAAATTGGTCAAAATATGCCCATTTTATATGAATTTTCTGATTTTCAAGTGGGTGCAAATGAAATCCCTGGTGGGTGCAAGCCTGTTTTTAAAATCTCAGGTGGGTGCTGGCACTCACTTGCTTTAATACTGGGGAGATCACTGTAAGCATATGCCCAAAACACTTGTATTAGTAATACAATATCTTCTCTTTAATAGGCATATACCTCATTGTATGTCTTTCAACTTAACACTGCCCAGCCCATACACAGGCTGTCTTATTCCATTAACATTATAATTACCACTGTGCCTTTGAGGACACATTTTACAGCCGAATTGCCGACACCTCTCTTGGCAATTGTTGGCACCTTTAACTGCACTTAGAACTGGTACTGACTCAAACACACTCTCAAACACACTCAATAGTTAGTCTTTTATCATGCCTCTTGTCCCTTCCATTTTCTACTCCTCATCCATACTTTGATATGTATGTAAGCAGGATGGAGGGGTACACAAGTACAAAGGGCTTATTTCTTGCGCATCAGATTGATTTTGCTTTGTACATAAGGATTATTTCATTGTGCATGAACTGACTTGAACACTTATTGCTTTTAAAATGGTTCTCTCATTATTAACTCAACTCATACCTTTAATATATGACATGATTTATTGTCCTAACCCTTTTTGCCAGAATGTTTATCCCCAAAGTACACTGACTTAAAAGTAGAGGGTGGTGGCAATGGTCATCAGTTGTGGAAATGGTTAATTTCCTCAAGGTTTAACTTCTCTTCTCTCATATATCAAAGTCTGAAAATGTAAATTTGTCAAAATCTGAAAATGTTTATTTGTCAAAATCTGAAAATGTTAATTTGGCTTTCACTTGAATTTTTCAACAGATGAACATTCTTCTCAAATGAAATCATCTTTAACCCCCTACCCATCACATGACATCAAATTGTCCTTTAACAACTGTTGACCATTGGATGCCATACAACACACACCATATATCACACATGTTACTTTTGTATGTACAGGGTGTCCCGAAAGTATAGGCCCCCCTAGGCAGACATCTACCAATGTCTCCATAGTAAGTGTCATATATCATTTTAAAGCTTATCCAAAGTTAATTTGGTTTGCCAAGTATCACGGTTCAACTCACAAATTGTAAAAAGTTACAGACATTTCAAAACTTATTGTTTGGCCAAAAATATAGTTTATATCAGTATCCTGGAAACAGCCCTGACCTATATGAGACCGAAAACATGGTTGCTATTGTCGAAGATAGGATGGATATTAAGTTCTAAAAAGAGAATGTTGAGTGTAGATACTCTAAGGAAACTCTTCTAAAATGCCTCAAAAGGGTTTTATGAGGCTTACAAAATGTCAAATCCCTATTTGAATCGTGTTTAAGGTCATATGTGAAAAGCACTGCTGTTGTTAACATGGCCTAGGGAGACACACCGACTATTATTTTGATGTAAAACTGACTTTAATTTCGTCCAAACACTAACTTTTGAACTGTAACTTTTTCTTATTTATGAGTTGAACCATGATACTTGGCCAAATCAATGTAACTTTGGATGGGCTTTAAAATGATATATGACACATTCTATGGAGGCATTGGTATATGTCTGCCTATGGGGAGCCCCATACTTTTGGGACAACCTGTGCAATACATGGTGCACCGATCAGCATGGCCCATTTGTCAAAACTGAAATATGAACTCAAGGTTTCATTCACAAGGCACCCAATTTTCATGTCATTTCAATTCACAATGGGGATTCACATGCATTCTTTACATCTGAAGTTACCCTCTGGTAATACTTATACCAATATTTCACTTATAGCCCTGAAATAAAGAACACACAGTCCTGATATCCAAGTATTTTATAGCTCTAATATCCAGATATTTCAGTTTGAACATCTAAATATTTCACAATTCTAATATCCAGATATTTCAGTTTTAATATTCCGATATTTCACAGTTCTAACATCCAGATATTCTGTAGTTTTAATACCTAGATATTTACAGCTTTAACATATTCTTTTTAATATTCAGATTTTTTCAGTTTTAATATCCAGATATTTCACAGTTCTGATATTAAGATATTTAGTCCCAACATAGATCACCTCTAGACATTCAAATATCTTCCAGTCCTGACATTCAAATATCTTTCAGTCGTGTGATATCCAAATATCTAGAGACCTGACATTCAAATATCTTTCAGTGCTGACATTCAAATATCTTTCAGTCGTGTGATATCCAAATATCTCGAGTCCTGACATTCAAATATCTTTCAGTCTTGACATCCAAATATCTTACAGTCCTGACATTCAAATATATGTGAGTCCTGACATTCAGATATCTTTGAGTCCTGACATCCAAATATCTTTCAGTCCTGACATTCAAATATCTTTCAGTCGTGTGATATCCAAATATCTTGAGTCCTGACATTCAAATATCTTTCAGTCCTGACATCCAAATATCTTACAGTCCTGACATTCAAATATATTTGAGTCCTGACATTCAGATATCTTTGAGTCCTGACATTCCAATATCTTTCAGTCCTGACATCCAAATATCTTCCAGTCCTGACACTGTACTGTATCTTTCATTTTCCATCTATGACCTGCATAAATGGTGCCCCGCCTGCCATATGAACTATTTTCATGCTATAATGTGCAATGGCTTCCCAAGTTCATATGCTCTCTCACTAGACATATATACACAATACATGTGCTAAGTAAGTTCCCCCCATTCTGAAGATCCATGGTTTGGTGCACCTAACTTGATAATCCCAACAGATTGGTCCTTTGAGGCAGTAACTAGATCTGGTGGATGGTCAAGGAATCATACTCATTATACCATTTATATCACTCTTTTACCTTCAGATTTTTAGAAACTTTAAATCTTTTATTCATGCCAACCTGTTTAATAAGTGCCAGAAGTAACAACTCCATAATTATCAACACTTGTTCCAAACATTTTACTTGAGTTGGCAAAGAAATAAAAATTCTGAAATAAACAACAGAAAAATTAAGTGGCAATATACATCCTTAAAAAATCACTAGCGATTTTGCACTCTTGGTAGCATATTGTGTCTCAGAATATCTGAGAATATTTTTTCATATTTCCTTGTATTATATGAGTCATTTAAGGTATAAACTTTAAATTGGAAACAGACTAACAAAGTGTTATTCAATTTTCCACATTAGCTTTAGTCTGATTTTTTCTCTGAAGAATTAACACAGGGATACTTTCCGCTTGAAAATCAGGCAGTTTAATCAAATTTCAGAGAGATATGGAGTGAAGTGATTTTTTATCTGAGAAATTAATACAGGGATACCTTCCGCTTGAAAATCAGGCAGTTTAATCAAATTTCAGAGAGATATGAAGTGAAGTTAGCATGATGAGAGAGATACAAATTTATCACATATTTATCACATAACTGATAGAAAAAGGATACATTCATCATAAGGTGATATGTCCATATCTTCAACATCCTGTTTATGAGAAAATAAATCCTCAATGTATGCGTGGTGATCAGGCCAGCGTCTGTATTTCCGAATGGCACCATCATCACATGCTGTGTATAATATACTGCCATTCGATGTGTACCTATAGAAAGAAGAAAGATTATACATGTGGTATCACATACGTGTGGACAGATGGACAAAAATGGAAGGACAGACTAAAAGATGGATGGCGTCTCCATTCCATGTTTGGGACAAGGATATGAGCAGTAGGAAGGAATTAACCAAGGGTTGTAAAATACAGGTAAATAACCAATCAGAATACAGGATTTAAATTAAGTCCAGTAAAACCTGTGTATATTGAACATCTTTTGCAGAGAAAAAATGTTCAGTGTTGGTGGGTGTTCACTAGAGAGGGTAATTCATACAGTAGTCAGTTGAGTATGTGCGGAGGAAGGGTGTCTTGTATAGACAGGTGTTCACTAAAACAGGTTTAACTGTATGTTAAAAAGACATCACTGGACTTGAAAATACAGGGGAAACAACTACAGACTGTATGCAAGACTAGGCTTTTTATTTTTACATTACCTGAGTTTCCATATTGGTAGTTGGTGGTTATGTGGTAGAGTCTCACATATGCCTGAGTCTGGTATATAAGCTGAGACAGACTCCCCTCCAGCTACTATCAGACCTAGAACATCATAATTTTAAATGAGTATTTTCCTTTAAATACTTGTTTTGTTTCAGTTCTTCACTTTGAGTTGGTTCATCAGAAATGGGCATCATCTTGAAGCAATTAAAACCTAATGAATTGACTGCAAGCGCAAAAATAGAAATGTGCAAGAACTTTGAACTTGGAGTTTGCGAGTTTGCATATTTCTACACATGTTATTCCATGCACACAAATATATTCAAAATAGTTGAACTTTTCAACCCCTAGTTATGGGCCTGCATGGATACTCACAAATGTTTAGAGGTTATATTTCTAAATATGCTAGTATAGACCTTTTAAACAAAGAATTGAAGCTTTATGTCTTTAAAGCAACTTATCAATTCTGAATAAATTGTAATTTTTGAAATACAAACTAAAATGTGAAAATTATTCCGTCCTCAGTTACATTCTCTCACAAAATTACCAAATGTACAATATTTAATCTTACTACTAAAGCCATCATCAAGGCCTGAGTTAAAGGACTCTGGTGTTACTGCAACAGTGTTCAAAGGCTGTCCAAAGTCTAATTGGTCTAAACATCTTCCATCAAGGCTCATAACCTGTGACACAAAGATGAGGCTTTAAATGCTCTTAATATGACATATATACACTGATAAATAAAAAGACTAACAGATATAAAATTGATAACATCAAGCATTAAAGGACAACTGAAATAGGTTTTCTTAACTTGCAGCTACAAAAATGCGGTTTTCTTCATTGTAAGCCCAACGTAGAGTTCTTGCGATAACCATTATAAAAGAAATGTTAGATAACTGTTAATGGTCATAAATAACGTAATTAAATAAACTGATCAATCAGATTGGCCCCCACGTGATTAGTAACGTCATACATAATATAAAGTTTTGGTTTATTGGTTCCTTGGTAATCAAGACGTCACTGCAACTATAGGATTGTTGTGTAAACAAATAACAAAACATCTTGGCATTATGGCGTCATGCTTTAATGGACCAAAACTGGCCACGTGGGGACCAGTCAAAGATCACGTGGGGGCCATTAACGTCACAACTAATTCGAATATTGCTTATTAAGCAGCTATAACCATCGTTAGAGTGAAATAATTTTCACTATTCTGATGATTTATCAAAAAAAATATTGATTCCTTTAGGTCAAAAATACCATTTCATATCTGCTTTAACTTTTTACAGGAATCTTCACACAACACATATTTGATTTTTGTGTTTTTTTATGAAGATTTTTTACAACACAAGGATTAGGATTTTAATGCAACAAACTATGAAATATCATTAAATCAATTTCAACATAAATGGTAATTAGTTAATCATTCTCACTTTTGCAAGACTTTATTCACACCCCATTCTCTTATACGTCGTAACACCGGAAGTTTACGGCGACATACAAGCATTTCAGGCGGGAGATATGTAAGTACTTTCGTAGAGACATTGCCCATACCATACAGATATACCTCTAGTATCACTTCGTCTCGACATCTTGCCTGAAGACGGTCTAGAACTTCTCAAACCTTCTAGAAAGCACGACATTTTCAAGAAAAAAATGAGAAATTAATTTTTCTTTGGAATCATACGACGTCAAGGAGGTTTACGGCGTTTAGAGAATTTGATATCTACAATGAAATATATGTCCAACTGATTTTCTGGCTACATATTTTAATGTATGACCGATTTACACGAAAACAAATTTACATGAAATAAAATGTACAAGATTGAGACTTGATTTTCCCAAGGCATAATTCAATATCTTTTGTTTTTAGTCGTAAACATCATAAAACATACACTACAGCTAGCCTGCACACATATCTTGTTGAGTGAAGTATGTCTATCTTTAGCCTCATTGTGTGCATGAAATATACATTAATTTTTCTTTTGCTAATATTTTTAGCCAGTTGATTGGTTTTGGTGAGGTCCTGTAATCATAAAGTTAAGCATACCCACTCAGTCACATAAGCAATGCAAGATACGTTTCATGATACACAACTGTCGTTCAAACTAACTATACTTCTGATGCATGAAATGTTCTAAATTAAAAAGAGACGTTTTTTCAAAAGCCATGCTATATGGTTGGTGCGATAATTTGCATTTGCTTTCTTGAATTAAAATTAAATGTTTTAAACCATTGTTTCAGGTCGTGGTTCATAAGAAGAAAACATGCACCTTCTGTGGCAAAGGGTATACCAGTCAAGTAAATTTGTCTAGCCACATGAGGTCAGTCCATGGCGCAAAATTGCTCGAATGTCCACAGTGTGAACTGGAGGGTTTTATAACAAGGGATGCTCTAAAGGGACATCTTGTATTTTCAACCAAAAAAGCTGACAAATGTTGTTGGATACACATCATTTTTTTAAATTTCAAATTTCAACAATTGTCACTTTCCGAAACAAAAAATACAATACACGATCATGAACACTATATAAGATTCAGAGGGAGAATGTAAACAGTTGTCACAATCATCTGTGGATTGAAATTCAGATGTTTTTTTATGATAAAATGTCTGAAAATAAAGACTGAAAGCCTCATACCCAATGATACCTCAAGATCTTTTGCAATGTGTGAAATAATCTTTGCCTATCAATCAAAACATTTTTTGATATATTCTCAATTATTAGTTTCTCATATACTTTGCATTATGGTGCGCATTTGATGGAAACAAACCATTCTTAGGTTATACATCTCAAATGATGCATTGAATTCCTGGCTAAAATCCTGATATACTAGTAACCTGTAAGTCCAGTTTAATTAAACAGCTGTCTTTTAAAAGACTTTGGAAGTGGGGACTTCAAGTCAAGAAACTTATTAGGTGCATATGGCGAATACTTTCTTTTCCGAAGTGGTAAGGCTTTTGGGGTGGGTAACCCGATTGTCTTTGGGGAGAAGTAAAGCCTCTCAAATTTATTCTTTTTTCTTTTTGCTCCCTCCGAGGGACAATTTTAGTCTCCAGGGCTGGAAACCCTCATACTGACCCGACTTAAAGAAAATACATTTATATTACCATGAACTCATCAATACATTTAATGCTTAATCAACTTTAATAAGAGTTTAGCGAGGAAAGAACAAGGCAATATAAAGAAACAATGTCATGGTGTACGTCATAAACCTCCTTGACGTCGTAGGATTCCAAAGAAAAATTAATTTCTCGGAATTCTTTCATTAATATTGGAAACTGAAGTGTCCGGATGATATATAAGAATTGTTTTGTTAATCTTATCAATATTTCAAGATGATAGGGCTAGAATTGTAGAAACTATGACGATTTTCGTGAAAGATTATCATTTTTTTCTTGAAAATGTCGTGCTTTCTAGAAGGGTTGGGAAGTTTTAGACCGTGTTCAGACAAGATGTCGAGACGTAGTGATACTAGAGGTATGTCTGCATGGTATGGGCAATGTCTTTACGAAAGGGAAATGACCATATTCTGTCAAAACGTCGAAATAAATGAGTACTTACATATCTCCCGCCTGAAATGCTTGTATGTCGCCGTAAACTTCCGGTGTTACGACGTATAAGAGAATGGGGTGTGTTATTGAAGATATGATTAATATAATTATTATATACAAGAAGCCTACCCTGCATTTTCCGTCTTGACTAACAGACATGATTGACCTCTGACCTTGACCCCAAGGCCAGCTGTCATGCACAAAGGTGATGTCACGAATGATACTGCTATGTATGTCATACATGAAGTCGAGAGGTAGTGGCATACGCAGGTCAAACACTGTCAGACCCTAGAACAACAAACAGAATCCAGAGAGATGTTAAACAGTGATGTGTTCAATGTTCATTCATGTGTGTAAAACATAATCAGGGGAAGGGGGTTCAGCGTGTTCGAGCAAACTCCCCCTTTGGTTCGAGCAAACTCCCCCTTTGTAAAAATCTTTTAAAACCCCCTTGACAAAAGTTTGCTACATTTACTTGAAAATCAAACTGTAAAGGTTTAATTTACTATTTACAGTGTAAGTTCAGTAAAAGAAAAGAAGAACATCAGATCTACATGTATGTCTTAATATGGTGTTATTACGAATGAAAATGCCAGAACAGTAGATGAGCTCACCCTGCCATTGACACAGCAGCAGACAGCAATGTTTGGGGCCAGGGGGTCACATGCCAATCCTGTGCGGTCACGACCATTAAATGCACCTAGAAATACAGCATGATCATACAAAATAACACTACATGTAGTTTCTTTCCTAAAACCAAATCAGTAAATGGAATTGAGCAAAGAGAAAAGATGTATTAAGGGATATTGTGAATTTGTCTTTTTTATTAAACTCCCAACATGAACACAAAAAAATCAAGTAATAGTGATGAAAACATAATGCATATTTTAGTCATATTTTACTCACAATTGTCATAAGAAAGTATTTGGTCCCCTCGTTGTAAATCTATTACAGCTAACCTTCTAGCTGTTGTTGTGGCCAGAATCTGAAAGATAAACAGACATATCATTCGATATGATAGATTTTGAGTGGGCTATGGCCATCAAACTAAGTGCACAATATAATGTAATTCTATAGTGGGCTAAAATGCTTTGGATTCAAGTATATAAAGATCCTTTCATTTTATATTAGATTCCTAGTGTAAATTTGCAACTGATAGATTTTATAGTCTTGACAATGATTTTACGAAATAAGCACTATTTCCTTACCAGGGTACAAAATCAATTTGCACACAAATAAGAGAATTTCAGATGGAAAAGTCCATTGATATACAACCTTAAATTCTTTTTGATTCATAATAATCTGTAACATGTAGACTTTGGTACAAATTTTTTCTGAAAAAGCTATATTAAAAAGTTAATTTGTATGAGCAGCAAAACAAGTTTCATATTAAATTTTAATACTCCTACTTTTTCGAATTTTATAAAGAAATTCTTGATTTCTTTGATAAAAGAAAAGCATTGATAACTGCATAAAATATTATGATAAACATGCTCAAATGGACTACATGCTGTTGCGCCATACACGTTAGCTGTGGACATGTAGAGGCTTCCTCAGCTGCCTACAGAGTCTATTGATGCTGTAACTTACAGATAATTTATGCACATATGATTATGAAGAGAATCACTTTGGGGTTAAGGATCAGAATAAAAGATACTGATCCTTTAAACAGATATAATGACAAATGCCTAATGAATTCATATAAAGCATTGGGGTACAACTAGATAGTAAACTTTACCTTACTGCCATCACTTGTAAATCTCACTGCATTCACATTCCGGGCAAGACTAACTGTAGTTACCTGTAAGTAAATCAAATATTAATCAAAGATTTTTCTATACATGATCTATTTCCATAGTAAAATATGATTATTACATGCACATGTTGCGACTTTGCAATACAACTCTATTTTGGTCCTGAGTTATCGACCTTGCGGAAGATGGCATCGGTCACTATAGAGTTTTCATTTCAACTGGGAATACAGCACTGTTCACTATTTTAAAATATGTGTATTTTTATTCATTATTTCAATTTGTAACTAATTTATAATTGTAACTCCCTAGTGATTAGAGGTAAATAAATATACAATACAATACAATACAGCATTATAAGCCAATCAAAGATTGCTAAAAGCACATATTCAAGTGACAAACTTAAATGAGATGTTATTATCATCATACTTACTGCATAGCTCATGAGGAACTCACACTTCTGCGCAGAGTACAGGTTCACTTTGCCATCATAGGATCCAGAGCAGAACAAATAACGATCCTGAAACAACAAGATTTTTATATGACTTTGTCGAACATAGAAGTCAACCTTTAGGAAACTTAGTTGATCTTTTTCAAAAAATTATATTCCGAGTGCTTCTATTTTGAATCAAAAATTATTAATAATATTAAATGCGTATGTTAAATAAGTCTTCAAATACTGAAACATGGGTGGTTAAAAACAATTTCGACTTTGATGACAGACTTACCATATCCATGAAAGTTCAGAAAGAACAAATTATTATTGGCCCAAATTCTTTGAGTGTTTTTTCTCGCACGTGAGTTATTGCATAAGTCTGTCTATGGTACACTCTGATATGCCATTTATAAAAACACAAATTCTGTGGTAGAAATTTTAAAATGAAAATCTGATATTGATATCTGCAAGAGAGAGCAAAGCGAACGAGTGCATATATCAGTATTACCGAGTAGATTAAAATGATATTCTGAAAAAATCATAGGATGTTCTTATCATCCTATACTTACAAGGAGTGTATTAAATGTATAATATCATTGCAAAATGAATTTCATGCCAAATAGATTCAATTTGGTAAATCAACAAGCGGAGTATATCGTCACAATATCCTCCGCATATTGGGTTTTCCGGAGTATATCGTCACAATATCCTCATCCTCCAAGCCTCCGATCACAGGGCTTCAAAATCCAGAATATGTTCTTTCTTTTTACCCCCTGCGATAAGCAGTTAGAATTTCCTGTATTAAGAACTCACAATCTGATTGACTGTCGCAACACTGCAACAGAAATCATGTATAAGTCATTGCACATAATTAGATCATGTGATTCAGTTAAATCAGGTGCTTCCAAATTGGTTATAGCAGGGGGAAGATAGGAGGTACGGATTCTGGACACCTGCTTAGGAGGACGCAATATCGTCTACATATTGGTTTTCCGGAGTATATCATGGTGATATCCTCTGGTTACTCATTTTGCCAATAGATATCAAATTTATTTTTTAATGTTATCATACATTTAGCATACTAAGTGTAGGATAATTTAGGATAACATGGGCCAGTATGCCAGTCATAAAAGGCCAGAATCCAGAGCCTTAGAAAAAGGTCAGGTTTGAGAAGTTGTATCTTGCTGTTGAACCAACTTTCAATGTTTGCATCATGGCTTACAGAAGTTCACTCTCTGTGTACAGAATGCCTAAAGGAAATCCAGGGGTCATTTAATACTGACCTTGGGATGGAATGCGACGCCCCGCACTGCCCCGGAGTGATACTTCAAATATTGCACCGTCCCTGGCTGTTGCATATTCAAATCATAAAAGAACACCAGCAGAGTGTAACTGAAATTATTTTACTTGAATTTTGATGATCTACAGGACTTTATCCTTTGTCCAAAGGGTTTGTTTTGATTTTGCAATATTTTCTTGAACTGAGAACACCAAAACAAGTGCCAATATCTCACAGGGTATTGCGTCCTTCCTCCTCAAGTACCACATATACATTAAATATCACAATATCAAGACATTTTTGTTCTCTATTCTTGTTTCTGACAAAGAATCGTACAGATATCTTCAAGTAAAATCACAAAGATATTTTTGGTCAAAATTTCTCTTCCATCTTGCACTCTAGCTCCACCTATTGAGAAAGGTTCGTACTAGGGTTTCAATAACAACAAAACAAACAAAATATGATTTAAAATTACGAATTGATATTATTTGCATTTATTGATGTATTTGTTATATCCAATTAAAATATAACTAACAATGAACTTTAAGATTCAATTAAAATAGTTTAGTACTCAATCAGTCGCTAGCTCCTCTGAAAGTGGGAAGGGCAAAAGTCAATTCAAAACTTCGTGGAAGTTAGATTGCGTTTTCTGACGATTCATTTGATCTAATCATCGTCCTAGGTAAGACAGCAATTGAATTTTATTTATTTGTATTATTTGTTAAACTTTTGTGAAGTTTAATTGTAGTGTAATGCAACAATATTGAATCAAAAATTCGATCGTGATTTTCAAAATCACTTGTTGATTTTATGATTTACCTTCCATGAACTATTGGTCAGTTTTATAAACTTCATGCTGTGAGTCACAATCTGAAGATTCATCCTTGTCAATCATTTTGCATTTGGTGTCGTGATTTTAAAGTAAAAGGTATGACACATCTTTATAAAGGAGGTTTTCTATAAGTCATCAAATAGCAGTATATTAGCCAAGTGACGACAAGTGAAATAGTTTACTTCGGTCCAAAGCCTTCTCTATATTCCGGCTTTGAGGAGGAAGATTGAGCTGCGTTAGTATTATAAATATTGTAAATCATTGTGTCACACGCACAGTAAATATGGCATAATAATATGAAATATACCTTTATGTATAGATTTGAAGAACACCAGCTCACATCCCCGTCTGAATCTATTGTTATATTTGATTTCTTTAAGCGAGAATAATTTCAAATGTTATTCACGTCCAGAACCGGAAGCCATTTTTAGCTACAGCGAGAAAATTTCACCATGTGTTGAAACTCCGAAATGAAATTTTGAAATATCTAAATCCAGACAAGCAACGCTTCATCCTAAATATGATTAATATTCTTAAAAATATTTATAAAATTTATTAAAAATGAGTTCTAGGTGCGTGTAGGTGCGTGTAGCACAGTACATACGAAATCAATGAAGTTTCGTCTAGCTGTAAGCTAGAGACTCGAGTAAGAAATAGTAGTCTACATGTAGATCTAAAATGGTTCCCATGGTCCAATGATTCATTGATTTACAAAAGTTTAAGAACAAATAATTTAGTAATAAGCAGGAGTAATTCATTTCTTAAATGAAACTTTTTGAGTAAGATATATTTGTTGAAATAAAAAGTTATTTGCTATAGTTTTGAGTTGAGAAGAAGAAACGGTAACATTGCACACAAAGTAGTAAGTATATAGAAATCAGTGTCTTAGCGTTATACATTGTTTTTTTAAATTACAATTTTCTACATTCTGGTTCAAGTATGTTCAAAATATCACATTAATTACAATGTTTAATTGTCAAAAGGAGGATAAAACAGTAATATTTTGTTTCTTATCTCAAAATTTAGTCAGTGATGTCATCATGATTTGAAATCTACATGTAAAATACATCTAGAAACATGATTTTAAAAATTGTGTATCAACTCTGAAAATTTAATTTTCTTTAAAAATTATTTCGAGGTCTGGTTCAGGGTTGATTCCCCATAGAGCCATTATTAAAAAATCACAAAAAGTGAAATATATTTTCTCGTATTAGGCAGATAATATTTTCTTTCACTAGACATATTTTCAGTTGTATAAGGGCTAAACACAAAAAGGTTTTATTAAAATTGATCTCGTAAATCTGAATTTAGGAGCATCTTTTCCTTTATCTGCCATGTTATCTAACCCAAATTAGCCACCTAGTGGTGAAACTGTTAACTAGTACAACCTGTAGTGGCACCTGGGTTATTGATTCGATAATTTACAATTTTGATTATCAATTATTCATATTTGAGTTAGATTCAATGCATATATTAGAATGAAAGAGAAATGGAAACATGGATACATTGATCTTAAAGGCACATGCTCATGATAAGGGAACACCTGTAGGTAGTGCATATATGGCCATCTGAAATCTGGTACACATTTTGCCAGGGCCTTTTCATTCAGCATTCATTCAATGACTTGTGCCTGATTCAGCTCATTGTTGAATTGAAACAGAAATAGAAAGACTTTTTAAAAGTTTATTGAACATTTATATCGGTTTTCAGTTATTAACTCAATGGCTTTTATTTTGATGCCTATATAAACTGCATATATTATGCTATTTAAAATCCAAGGTCATGCAAAATTCCATATATTTGACTTTATAAATAATTCTGGAATTTCAACACTATACAAGGCAACAAGTACAAAGTTCACTTGAACATAAGTTTGACCCGACAAAATGAGGAAGATGCAGTAATAAAAATAAATGTGAGTAAATGTCATGTTGCTATTCCAGGCTCTTTTAAGCCAGCTTTTAGCTAGGGGGTTGGGTTCAGTTTTTAAAATATTCAAAGGGGGGTTTTAAATTTGACAATTTTTGACCCAAAATCACTTGAAAAATGCACAAAATAGTGAAAATACTACATGATTTTGAAAGAATTTTGGCTAAGGGAGGGGGAGGGGTGGGTGGTTGCTAGAACCTTTAACTATACTGGCCTGTATTTGTAAAGTTATGATATAAGGACGCAATAAGTCAAATCTAAAGTGGCAGCGAAAGAATGACCAAATTCATTAATATTGAAAAATGGGATGTTTACTTTTTTAAACAACTGTCAAATAAGTAACTTTGTTTAAATTCAGTTCAAACATGACCATTCTCCAAGTGAGTGTCTCAACCAATCAAAATGCAGCTTAGCCATGCTCTAATTTTGGACCCATTGGACAGAGTGTCAGTACAAATGCACTTACCTTAGGATTGTGCTTTGTACGACATTCTGTCCAACTCATACTGGATTTCACCATATTGAATGGCCTATCATTATTTATTCCTTAAATATAAAATGTTAGAATTTTTATTAGGAAATAAAAGGTACAATACTGGAAAACTGTTACAATTTTTAGAAAGTGCTCTCAACCCTTCTTTGTTGGCCCTTTAAGATTTAAGTTATGATATTAGTGTTCAGTGAGCTCAACCTTTTTATTAGTTTTTCCTCTTGCAGTTTGACATGGAAATTTAGATTTCAGAATTTTATTGATATCGAGATCTGAATATACAGTCAATGAGGAAATGTTTTATAATACCTGAATACCATATGCTTTGTCATTGATAAAAGTTAGAATGGTTTTTTATGAACATTTGTTTGAAAATAGGATGTTGATAATGACTTTAACAGTCCATTTTAGCATTTCTAATGTAACCACATGGGCGGGAGGTTACGACCCTAATTATTATATACATACTGTATTATGAAATCAATTTACATGTTGTATCTCTGTTGCTATTTACATTCTGTAAGGTTTATTTAACACCATGGAGGCAGACATATCATTTTTGTTTGGATTGAGAGGTATTTTCTGGTCAACAGATAAAACACTAATGCTAATACTTAACATCTTCTCTGAAGAACCCTTTCAAAGAAGGAAACTCTACTCTTTGATTGAGAAAGATCTTCGATCAAGCCAACATTATAGCTGATCAGAATATGTACATTAGTCAGAAAATCATTTATTAAATAATTATTCTGTCTTCAATTAGCTAACATCCATTTGAGGTCGCTATGATATTATCAGCACCAAAACTGAAATCACATCTAAAAGATAGAGGGTAGCATGGTTCAGGGTATATACTAAAAAGGAACGTCCTTTTTATTTACAATTGAATGTATTCGGTCTGTTACAAATATTTTAGGATTCAAATCCTTTATACATGTATATAATCTCTCGCAGTAAACATTTGAAGTAGGATAAATCAAACAAAATAGGCTACAGGCCAAGGCTCTCATCAGGTCATATTAACTCTGGACTGCTAGGGCATTTTTCATTCATTGCTTGTTTTTGCCATATTTCTATCTTATGTATTATGTTTGATGTTCATTTTGGTGATATTATTAAACAAAGATTTAATATACAAATGTAGAAACTGAGCAAAGTTAGTCAAATGGCCATTTGAGTAAGAAATTATTTGACTGATATATTGGTATTTGGCATGGTAGAAACATTTTCAGAATTAAGTTTCATATCTGTGTATCTTCATCCTTCAAAGGACAAATCATATTATCTAATATAATATGATTTTTGTTTTATTTGGGTTATGAGCAAGACTGATATAGAATGGTTATAGACACCCTTAATAATAGAACCCCAATAATAAACTTGTTTGGGGATGGTGAATCTTTCTTTTAATCCTTTTCACACAATTTATAGTTCTGTATTTAAGCAGTTTCAGTTTCAGATTTTGGCAGTGATCATGCCTTTTTGACAGATTGTGGCTGGATTATTTAGACTTTGGCCTAAAATTTACTAAGCTATTGGTTGTTGAGTTACAGTAGGAACAATAATATTGATGCTGGATTCATAATATTATTATTTAGTTGATAAACATTTACCATAACCCTAATCAATCCTTGGTTCAAGAGGATTTCAATTCTTTCCATAGCTGGGATAACAGGGAAGCCCACTCATAAAGGATGCCCTCATCATACATGTCAGCGATCTCTACAGCATTTTAGCAAGTGGGGGCTGCACCCACTTTAGATTTTAATAAGATCTGATTGCATCCACCTCAGAATCTATTGCACCCACTCGAAAATAAGAAAAACATGAAAGTACACGTTGGCATGTTTTGAGCAAAATTATCTAAATTGTAAAAATAAAAATTTTGCACCCAATTATGAAAACACTGTATCTCTTAATATTTTGATTTGTCAGATCTGTGGAGAACGAGGAAATGGCAAAACATATTTTTATGAAATGCTTTCTGTTATAGCTTCTGTTTTTTCCTCATGCTTCCTTATTACTAACCAAGCAATGCTGTTTCATCCATCAGTTGCATATTGAGAAGCATCAAGAATCATTCTATATATTACAGTCTTCATCATATTCTTAATAATTATTATCTATGTAGCATATACCTAATAGCCTGTAATACTGTATACATATGTATATAATACATAGGTGTTAAATTAATTAGGGGGTACATAATGTGATATCAAGGTAAAATTGTACAAGTAATTTCATGGAGGCTCTGTCGTAAGTTCAAAAAGTTCAAACTATGTATAGTTGACTTTGTCAGAAGTATATCAAAACATTTTTTTTATTTATGAACGATATCTGAATCTGATACACCTACAACATTATGAATTTCTTTATCATCTGAATTATTATTGGGAATGATATATCTTTAGAAGGTTATTAGAAAAGGTGAAATATGAAAACTTGTAAATCCAAATTGACCTTGACTATGATGGTTTTATCGTAATGGTTGCCTTAAAATAGATAGCTGCTGACTAAAATAATAGAAAAACTATTTTCAACTTTAATGCACCTGTGATTTGTTTACAGAGTGGTCCAAAAAGTATATAGAAAATTTATTTCTCTACTGAAATATACCAGAACTTTACCAATCATTGTTCGTTCACATTCTGATACTCATAGCATCTTTCGTTTCACCTGAAACATCTCAGGGCAGTTGAGATGTCATGGTTTATCACAATGGTTCATTGAAATGTGCCTTAGTAGTGTGCGCCAAAACTCCAGAAAATCCCATTAACTGATGTTGAGGTAGGTTACTATGATCTGACCCATAGTCATTATATATTGGTTCATTGACTATTCATTTTTACTTGTCTGCACTCAAAAAAGTGACACGAAAGGGCTAAACGGCTTGCTCCAAGGTGCAACCGTCAAAAAGATGAGTTTGACAAAAATCTTTTTTTTCAAATAATAGCAGCGAGTATATGACATAGGAGGCAAGTTTGATATGGATATGTATGATAGTCCATTTGGGTGTGGTCATTTTTATTAAAAACAATAATATTGAAGAATTATATATTTCTGACCTTAAAATGACATTTTAATGCAAAAGTAGCGGTTGTTATTAATTATATTCCTATTTTACCTATTCAATGTTTTCTATATATTACACTTACCATTATATTCATTTTTGGCAAAGTAAATAATAATGGGGCTCACACAAGGATCCACTTTATTTACAACTTTTTCATATTTAGTGTTGTTTTGAAAAAATACTACGTTTAACAGAAAATTATTTGTTAAATGTTAAACAAAATAATGATGATGTGTTTCTTTCTTTGTTTTAACTGAAAAATCACAATTCATTGCTCTTGATCTTAGAGCGGCAGGGCATATACCAGTCTGACCAATCTTCAATACAGTTGATCCTTGTGTGATCCCTACTATTATTTACTATGCCAAAAACTAATATAATGGTTATTCGGATATATGAAAATCATTTGATAGTCAAAATAAGAATAATATAATTGACTTTTGAATAAAAAAGCATTATATAGTCAGAAGTACCAAATTTGTACCATAATTGTTTTAAAGAGAATAACCATACCCCAATGGACTATCTCTACATATCAATAACTAACTTTTGCGAAATTTGCTTTAAATTTGCATTTTTGAAAACGCACCTGCTTATACCTAATAGTATTCAATTTAGAAACACAACAACAAGTTACTCTTTCATGAAAAACTTCGTCAGCTTCACTGAAGATTGCAGTCATTAATATGACCTCATATTTGGATAACCTCTCTTCTGTTATAATTTTACTTCAAATTGGCAAATTTTATTAAAATTGACATGATAAAACAGAAATGATTGACTATTACTTTTGAAATGTCAACCGCTCTAACCGAATTGTAGTAGAAAATTGATTTGACTTTAATCGAAACAAAACAATATCGGTCCATGTTTTCTTTTTAATGGAATTGTAGCGTGGCTGCTAGTTCAGGCGGTAGAGCATCAGAATTTAGAATAGAAGGTACTAGGTTTGGTTCCCACACAGAGCATTACCACGCAATTCCCCGAAGGAACCCTCGGGTCCTTACAGAGTGCCATATTTGCATATTAAAGTGAATAAACGATTTTGCCACCCTCCCGCCATATTCTTGTGTATCTTTTATAATACTAGCAATCTACTGTTCGAGTCGGTCACAGCAGCCCCACATGACCTTAAAAATAATTCCAAATACCTGGCTATTGACTTTTGACCTTTTCGGATGCATAGATGAACTCGCCCAAAGGCCTTAAAAGGCTTAATACCTAGATATTGACTTTTGACCTTGAATTGACATGACCCATCAGTAATGACTTTGACCCCAAGTCGCCTAGTAATGGGTCACCAAGCGTCACAGCATCCCCCGAGTGCCTTGAAACACCAATACCTAGATATTGACCTTGACCTTGGGATGATCTTGAATTGAACCATTAAATGATGACTGACCTCATGTCACCTTATCATGAGTCGCCAAGGACCACATCACGACAGCAGCCCCTGTGGCCTTAAAACGCCAAACACCAAGATATTGAAATTTGACCTTAGATTGACCTTGACTTCAGGTCACGTTTCAATGGAGTCAAGTGCAGCAGCTGCCACAAAACGCCAAATATTTAGATATTGATCTCTGACCTTGACCTATAACAATGACACTGATCTCAGGTCACTTTATCATTGGTGATCAAATGTCAGTGTAGTCTCAAACGAGCCAACTACCTAGATATTGATATTCTTATAATTTTGAACCATAGATATTGACTTTGACCTCATGTCACCTTAGCATGAGTTGCCAAGGGTCATAGCAGCCCCCAGGGCATCAAAACGCCAAATACAGAGATTTTGACCTTGTGGGAATGACCTTGACCTCAGAACACATATCAATGGGTCCTCACATGAAGCAGCATCCCCAAAATGCCAAATATTCAGATATTGACCTCTGACCTTGACCCATAAACCGTGACATTGACAGTAGGTCACTTTATCTTTGGTGATCATATGTTACTTAAGACCCACAGTAGCCAACTACCTATGACCTAGATATTGACCTTTGAACTTGGAATTACCTTAAAATCACCTTATCATTGGTCGCCAAATGTCCCAATTGTTCTCACGTCAACTTGCTAGATATTGACCTTTGACTTTAAAATTACCTTGATCCATTCAGACCTTGACTTCGGGTCACCTAATCATTGGTTGTGGAGGGTCAAATCACCGGCCAGGTGCTGCTACAGGTATCACTCTGACAAACATCGGTAAACAAATCAAACTTGATGTGATGCAAATCGGTATCTTTTAATTTGGCGTCCAAGCAGAATGTTGGACAAAATGGCTAACTGTTAGATAAACCATCAATAATGGAATTGTCAAAAGTTGCCAAAAGTTGTCAAAAGTATGAATAAAGCTATCAGAAAGAATAAATATGTTTTGGAAAGTTGTGACGTAAACAAACTTGCCCCGCCTTTTTGTTGTTTCGGTTGCTCTAGCAACCACAACTCTGGCCAATCAAACATAAGACACTTTAAATTCACAGAATAATAATAAATAGGTTTGGGCTACAAACTCTGAAAATTTCATCAAGATTGGTGCAATATTAAGAAAGTTACAATATCTTTCACCTTATTAATTGGACACCCTGTATAAAATCGATTCCTGCCTCATCACTGTTACACCCATTACTAAAAGATGTTGTCTCGACTAGATCACTGTCTGCAAGCTAAAAAAGTATCAAAATCACTGCCTGCTTCATCACAATAAACTTTTGTTACAAATAATTTCAGTAAAATGCAAATAGAAGGCCCATTTGATATTAATATGGAAAGATAGTCCACTTTGGTGTGGTAATTTTACTGCAACAACTACATATATATGTACATGTATAATGCCTTTTTATTCAAAAGTCAATCATTGTATTCCTATTTAACCTATTAAAGGATTTTTATATATCTGAATAATCGTTATATTCATTTTTGGCAAAGTAAATAAACATAGGGCTCACACAAGGATCAACTTTATTGAAGACTTTTTGTACTGGTATATGCCATGCAGATCTAAGAGCAAGAGCAATGAATTGCGATTTTTAGTTGAAACAATGAAACAAACACAATACCATCATTTTATTTAATATTTAACAAATAAAATTGTGTTAAACTTAGTATTTTTTTGAAATCATCACTAAATATGAAAAAGTTGTAAATAAAGTGGATCCTTGTGTGACCCCTATAATTATTTACTTTGCCAAAAACTAACATAATGGTAATTGAAACATTTAGAAAACATTGAATAAGTAAAATAAGAATATTATCATTAGCAACAGTGACTTTTGAATTAAAATGGCATTTCAAGGTCAGCAATGTATAATTCTTCACCATTATTGTTTTTAATAAAAATGACCATACCCAAATAGACTATCATACATATCAATATCAAATATGCCTCCTATTTCATATACTCACTGCTATTATTTGAAAAACATGATTTTTTTCAAACTCATATTTTTGACGGTTGCACCTTGGGGCAAGCCGTTTAGCCCTTTCGTGTCACCTTTTTAACTGCAGACAAGTGAAAATGAAAAGTCAATGAACCAATCTATAATGACTATGGGCCACTTCTTAGTTATCTACCTCAACATCGGTTTAGATTAACTAAGCCACTTTGGAAGCGATTTTACATGAAAATTTTTGAAAAATGTCTAAACAAGCAAAAATGAATCTTGTAGATTTCCCTCTAACTAGGACTGATCATTTTGCAGTTTGGGTTTGCACCAATCATAGAGAGGGTGGACAAAAGGAATGATGTGAGCCACAAAGGTCCTGATATTGAAACTATTTTAGATAAATATTAGCACTCATTTAATTTACTGATATTATGATGTCACTCAAAATTATATAAATAATTCTAATCACAATAACTAGAACAATTGATTTATTATCCCAACGAACGAAGTTCTGTAGGGATATAGTGAAGCCCTCCGTCCGTCCGTCCGTCCGTCCGTCCGTCCGTCCGTCCGTCCGTCCGTCCGTCCGTCCGTCCGTCCGTCCGTCCGTCCGTCCGTCCGTCCGTCCGTCCGTCCGTCCGTCCGTCCGTCCGTCCGTCCGTCCGTCCGTCCGTCCGTCCGTCCGTCCGTCCGTCCGTCCGTCCGTCCGTCCGTCCGTCCGTCCGTCCGTCCGTCCGTCCGTCCGTCCGTCCGTCCGTCCGTCCGTCCGTCCGTCCGTCCGTCCGTCCGTCCGTCCGTCCGTCCGTCCGTCCGTCCGTCCGTCCGTCCGTCCGTCCGTCCGTCCGTCCGTCCGTCCGTCCGTCCGTCCGTCCGTCCGTCCGTCCGTCCGTCCGTCCGTCCGTCCGTCCGTCCGTCCGTCCGTCCGTCCGTCCGTCCGTCCGTCCGTCCGTCCGTCCGTCCGTCCGTCCGTCCGTCCGTCCGTCCGTCCGTCCGTCCGTCCGTCCGTCCGTCCGTCCGTCCGTCCGTCCGTCCGTCCGTCCGTCCGTCCGTCCGTCCGTCCGTCCGTCCGTCCGTCCGTCCGTCCGTCCGTCCGTCCGTCCGTCCGTCCGTCCGTCCGTCCGTCCGTCCGTCCGTCCGTCCGTCCGTCCGTCCGTCCGTCCGTCCGTCCGTCCGTCCGTCCGTCCGTCCGTCCGTCCGTCCGTCCGTCCGTCCGTCCGTCCGTCCGTCCGTCCGTCCGTCCGTCCGTCCGTCCGTCCGTCCGTCCGTCCGTCCGTCCGTCCGTCCGTCCGTCCGTCCGTCCGTCCGTCCGTCCGTCCGTCCGTCCGTCCGTCCGTCCGTCCGTCCGTCCGTCCGTCCGTCCGTCCGTCCGTCCGTCCGTCCGTCCGTCCGTCCGTCCGTCCGTCCGTCCGTCCGTCCGTCCGTCCGTCCGTCCGTCCGTCCGTCCGTCCGTCCGTCCGTCCGTCCGTCCGTCCGTCCGTCCGTCCGTCCGTCCGTCCGTCCGTCCGTCCGTCCGTCCGTCCGTCCGTCCGTCCGTCCGTCCGTCCGTCCGTCCGTCCGTCCGTCCGTCCGTCCGTCCGTCCGTCCGTCCGTCCGTCCGTCCGTCCGTCCGTCCGTCCGTCCGTCCGTCCGTCCGTCCGTCCGTCCGTCCGTCCGTCCGTCCGTCCGTCCGTCCGTCCGTCCGTCCGTCCGTCCGTCCGTCCGTCCGTCCGTCCGTCCGTCCGTCCGTCCGTCCGTCCGTCCGTCCGTCCGTCCGTCCGTCCGGAAGATAACTGAAATATTAGTTGACCGATTTTCTTCATATTTGGTGGAAAGATGTATATTGATAAATAGTTTTACGCAAAAAAAAAAAATTTCAAGATGGCCGCCACTTAAAAAATGACGAGACTTTTTTGCTAAAATCATAAATTTTTCATTCTAAACCAAAGTAATTAATATTATTGTTTGAAATTTTGGTAGTATTCACAACATCTATCTATTTCACATATATTCCGTGTTTTTCATCCTGACCCCCAGGAGCCGTGTATGGGGGGTCAGGAAAACAGAGATTTTCGCTAATTTTTAGATCTTTCTGAAGTATAGCTTTATTATACTCAAATGAAAGGCAATTAAGAGTAGATTGCAAATATTGTATCTTTTTTCTGATTCGAGCATCGTAAAATTCAAAATGGCCGTCTAATGTACGATTTCGCAATAATTTTTCGATCCCTTCAAAGTATGGCTATATTATACTCAAATTGAAGGAATTTTTGAGTAGATCACAATTTTGGTATTATTTTTCAGATTTGTACCTCAGAAAATTCAAAATGGCTGTTTTGCAAGAATTCGTAATTCTAAAATCTAAATTTTCCAATTTTAATCAAAGTAATGAGTATAATTGATTGGAATTCGGTAATTGATATTTTGTTCGTTGGGATTTGCTACTCCGCGGAGTTGCCATTATCTAGTTGGTCTATATTCGGGCATATATGACCACATATTTAAAAAGTTGCTTTTCTGGTTCATTATCATATTTGAATTGTAACAAAGACCTCTATTCTATGATTTATGGCAAATATATGACCTCAGATCTATTCTGGCCATTGCCAAAGACCTCAATCGCTGTGTGATTGAGGTCTTTTGCAATGGCCAGAATAAAATTTTCGGTCATATATCGCGCCATAAATCATAGAATCATTGTCTTTATTCATATTAAAATCATATACAATAAATTTCATCCTCGCAACATTCTGTCAAAGACTTATAGAGATTTCACTGACACTGAACCATTTAGATTACACGATCCAAGTTCTAAGCTGACTTCCTAGAAAATTAATATTGAATACATGTATATAGAAATGCTTGTTGAAACAGTCATTATAATTGTAACCTGAGATTGAAAGTAAAATGTCAGGTATATACACACCCTTGTAATTACCATCAATACCTTCGTGAAAAATTACTATACTCAGGATGAAATTTCTATTTTGATTCCAATCTTGTATATGTGTTAGTTCTGTAAGGGTGTTTTGATTTCCCAAATGGATTTAGATAAAGATTACTTTGTTGTCATATTTCACAGGAGAAATTGTGTAATTCATTGCCATTTAGATAATCTCTCTTCTTTTTTTGTAAGGGTATTGTCTCAGATTGCAGCATCTTTGTTACCTGTTGTTATATTATTATGGTGTACGTCATCCTCATCATCAACGCTGTGTTCTTAGGGAGACTCAATGAAATATGTCACTATTCTTTGGTAATAGTATTTGTTATAAGGTAATAAAATAAGGTGTTAAGTCAAATTAGTGGTAATCATTTCAAAATGAGGCTTACCCGGATTCTGGTTTACCAGAGCTGAAGCTTGTGTGGGAAAATCATGTAAAATATTTTTACCAAGTGACATCATTGCTCAAATCTAAAGAAGTGAAATGATTGGTTGAATGAATTAAGACGGATTGGCAGCCATGTATAAGACTGTCATTTATGGTGTAGTTGTTTGGCACAATAAAAACCCCAACAGAAAATGAAATTTACACGCCCTTAGTAGAAAGACAAAGGTGTGTGAGTTTTGCAATGGCTAACCAAGGACATATTGATAATTGGAAGTTATGGTTCAATTCAGCGGAATGATATTAGATCTTCATTGTTCCAGACATTACTGTATTAGAAACATTTTTATCACACCATCCGTGGGATAGTCGTCGTGATCGTGATTGTGATCGTGATTGTCTTGCTTTTTTTGTCATCGTCATTTCAGGAAAACCACTCATCAGATTTTTTCCAAATTCGCACACATGATAGAGGATATCCAGTTCTAGAGAATATTAACTTTTGGGCGGCCATCTTGTTTTCTGAAGACCATTTTGTAGATTTTTCTGAAAATCTTGTCATC